CTAGTTAATATACTTCTAGAATATACTAGGTACGTTCGCGAGCCTAAAGGAAGTAACTATTTATTCGAAAAGGCCGTATCTCGTATAGAATATCGTTATTTATTCGTCGCCTTTCGCGATCCGAATCTTATAAAAAGTCGCTATAACGTCGAGTTTCGTATACTACTTTACGCGTTTAATATTTCGTAAAGTTTCGTAGATTAGTAGTAGAGAATAACGATCTTTCTTCGTAATCTTATTAAGATCGCGATAGTCGATATAAAATCTTAGACTATCTTTCGATTTCTATACGAAGAGTACCGAAGCTATCGTAAACGACGAACTTATTCTAATAAAGCTTTTATCGAGTAGTTCCGTAAGAGTCTTTCGTAGAACGAATAGTTCGTCTCGAAATATACTATATAGAGGCTCTTAAGGAACTTTAGGCGTTTTTCTATTTTTCGTTACTAGTTCGATACTATAGTTAACTTCTTTTCCTCGTATAGAGGGAAGTTAATTCGCCTATAATTAATTAAATACGTTAAGATATTCGTAGAAGTACTTAGGTAGCTTTATACGAGGGTTAATCGAAACTTTTATCGTTAATACTTTCTCGATATTCGCTAAGCTAGTAGCGAATACTTCGACTTCTTTCTACTTTCGTTTCCGTTAGCGTTATACTAGTATAGCGAAGGCTAGTATCGAAATCGATATAAGGTTTAGCTTAGTATATTATTCTTATCGTATATTTAGAATTCGAATACTAGAGTAGCCGATATATAAATATTTCTTTCGTAGACTAATTTAAACGTTATTTTTCGTTATCTAGAGAAGACCGAGAATTATATCGTACGATATATCGGAAATTATATAAAAGAAGATATCCTCTTTATAACTATTAAGATTAATTTCTAACTTAATAACGTTCGTAATTTCTAACTTTATATTCGTACTAAAATCGATAATTAGGCGAGGAGTAATTAGGATACGCTAAAGACTATTACGAGAGACGAAACGAGTATTAATTAGTTTATAAGATAAATAACTCGTATCTACTAGTATTAACGTAAAAACTTCTTAATTTACTCGTATAGATATTAAGAATAATAGACTATCTATTAACTTCTTAAAGTCGCTCTACTTCTACTCCGTCTCGTTCGATACTAACTCTATATTTCTAGTAGTAGTTATCGCCGTTATCGTTATCTACTTTCGTAGCCGCTAGGCCGACCTAAGCTTATTCTTTTAGATAAAGTAGCCTAGTCGGCCGTAGCGTAGACACTATCCTTTTTCTCGACGTTAGTCGAGAGTCGCTTAGGTTACCTAGGTCGCTCGTTAACGAGGTCTTATAGCCGCTACTTAGGTTATCGTCTACGATTTCTAGTCTATTACGTCCTCCGCCGAGAAGGATCCTTTTATTTCGTACGTAGGTATTATAGTTCGCGTCTTCCTCCTATAGAGGGCTTTTAGGTTCGTACTAATACTATAGAGAAGTATATAGTATTCTCGATACGACGCCGGAATCGACGCCGCTATAACCGCGTTCTATAGCTCGTACGAGATATAGTTCGCGAGGAATATCTTCTTAACTTAATCTACCTAGTTAAGACCTTCTACGTTAAGGAGCGTACGATCGAATTTAGCGAGGAAGGTACTAAAAGCTTTCGATCTTTATCGTAGCGTTAAGAGTTTTCTCGATACTCTCTCTACGAACTTACTATCGTCGTACGTAGCCTTTAGTTAGCTAATAAGGCCCTCGATAGTTATCTATAGCGTTAACTATACGAAGTTAATCTATAATAATAGTTAAGAGAGTACGTCTCCTCTTAATCGACTATAAAGGTACTAAAACTATACGGCTTTACTCTTATCTACTCGGTTAACGGCGAGCTTTACTCGCGCTTATATTAACTACGGGCGGAATATCGCCCTCGTTCTATTAAATTCGGATAGCTCCGAGAGCTTATCCTTTCGTCGTACGGCTATAGTTTTCGTAACGACGTCCGCTACGACTATCGATAGTATTATCGTCCTCGATAGAATAGTAATATCCTAACTATTATTTCGCTACTAGAGCTACTACTCTAGTACTACTATACGTTAATTCTATACGACTATCTATTCGTTCTACGTCTAAATTATTTAAAATAATTATACTACCTACTATAGGAGAGCTTCCGTTAGTACTACCGATATATCTATCTTATACGATAAGAACTCGTTCTCTTAACTATATAATAGGGAGCTTAACGTAATATAAGGGTTTTAATAGGAGCTTATTTAACTACTATAGGACCTATTTAATAAGGACGTTAAGCTAAAGGAAAGAGAGAAAGAAGTCCTACCGCTATCTATAGGGAGATATAATCTTCTAAGGTAGGTCGCCCGGTATCCTAAGTAACTATTAGTATTACGTAATATCGTCCGGCTGTATAACTATTCGGTCGAATCTAGGCATCGCTAGTTTAGTCTTAGCGTCGCTCGCTAAAATATCTATTAATATCACGTGATATCGTTCGGCTATATAACTGTACGGTCGAATCTAGACGTCGCTAGTTCTTACTAAGACATCCTACGGGTTTAACCCGTGATACGAGGATTCTAAAGCTAAGGAGGGAAAAGAAAAGAGAAAATCTATCTACTATACGAATAAAGGAAATACTCTCTACCCTCTCCTATAGTAGGTTAGTATAGTTTCCTAGGAGATAATCGATAGGGAGGAGTTACGTAGCTTCGGCTATATAGTTATATAGCCTAAAGGTATACTACGAGTAATCGCTCTAGGGCGTACTCTAGAGCTTTATACGAGTTTAACTCGTAATAAGATCTAATATTAAGACTATTTATACTACTCTACTAGTAGTCCTACCTATTAGTACGAGTAGTACCTAATAATTAATCTACTATAGGAGAGGATAGGAAGTATTTCCTTTATTCGTATAGTAGATAGATTTTCTCTTTTCTTTTCTCTCCTTAGCTTTAGAATCCTCGTTATACGGTAGTTAGATGAATTACTCTAAATTCCTAGCTAAACCCTTATAGCATTACTTACTAAGACCTCTATTAATATTACGTAATATCGTTCGACTATATAACTATACGGTCGAATCTAGACATCGCTAGTTCTTTACTAAGACATTCTACGGGCTTAACTCGTGATATAGAACTATAATAGAACTAGGGAAAGTAGGATTACCTACTAAATCGCTTAGTTAACTTACTAGATAATATTCCGTTTAAGGGGGTGTATTAGAAGTGTAAACGTAATATATTACTTAGCCTAAATTAAGCCGGAGAATTCTCTTTTGGCCTAACACCTAAATAAGAATAGTTTCCTTTAATCTATATTATATTATACTTCTCTAATTACCTACTTATTAAGGAACTAGTCTTAGTTAGTACTACTTAGAAGTTTAGATTATAATTTATCTATATATTAGATAGTATAATATATTTAAATTTCGCCTTAAGCCTTAAGTAGTACTTATATAGGTACTAGAAGATAGCGTATAGGAATAACCTAACTATTTTACGTAACCTCGTACCTTCGCTAGGTGCCATCACGAGATAATTCGATAGCCGACTCACTGTCCTTTAGTGTGAAGGTGACGCCGCCTTGTGCTCAACCCCTTACTCACGTAAGCTAGGTGAGTAGTCACTCGTGTCTCACCCGCTGCAGGAGCTATATAAGTCGGTGCCTTGACGCGCTGGGGCGATACTAATTGTGCTCACCTAACTAGGGCCCTTCATGGAACGACAAGGTAAATCGCCACCGAGCGCACCTTTACGCTACACCCTATACTTACCTACGACCTTTTCGTCCCTCCTCGATTGTGAATTCTTCTCTAGCGCTAGATAGGGATCTTAAGCTACGGATAGATAGGATCCCTACCCGCGTTAGCCGCCTATGCCCTACTGTGAAGCTAAAAACCACTTCCCTCAAGGTATAAAAATAGGCTCTCTCCTTTTTTATAAATATAGTTATCTTCTATACTAGACCGACCGTACTTACTGTGAAATACGCCACTAAGTGCCAAGCCCACTTAAATAAGGAGACCGCACTGGTGAAGAGGAATTAGGGGAAAGGTGGAGCGAAAGCGTGGCGCCTTAGAACCATAAAACACATATGCCCAGACAGCCCTGCCGAGCTGTAACTCATCTTGGACCTATGGGGACAATAGCACCTTCTCGGAGTGTCGGCCTCCCTCTTTCTTTGAGATGCTGGGCTATTACGCGGTCGCCAAGGCAGATGCTGCTAAGCAATCCTTGATGGCTTCGGTGTCTCTTGGCGCACGCATTGTTTGTCTTTCATCGAGCCTTCAACGACACAGACGCCTCGGCCCCTTGACAGGTTTTTCAAGCTCTCCGATGAGATGGGGATTATACACTTTCAGAAACTGCTATGGCTGGAAAGATCTACTATCCGCGCAGAAAAAATCTTGGGTATTCCGAGTTTAAATGGTACCGAAAACAAAACGGAGTGCCCAGCCCGTCCAAGGCTGATCCAAGGCGGACGCCGTCCTAATTCGAAGGATCGATCCTTGGACAATTCTTAGAAACCAGATTGTCTTGGCTGACACCAGTTTCGTACGATCCTGAGATTAATGCCAACCAAATGCAAACTCTCGACAAAGAGGGACTTCGCGCGTTCATCCTCATCGCCATCTTTCATTTTTCATTCAAAAAATTTTATTTTCGAGGCAATCGGCACGAAACCTCTCAATTGCTAAACATTCATTTAGAAGTGTCAAGGGACTGACTAGCTTTCGTTCCATCGCTTCTGTTCCCTCGTTATAATTTTCGCGTTGGCTCTACTCGCTAGGCATGAGGCCGTGAGATCTGTTTTGTACTTGCCTTGTCCTCTTTGACTCTCCTTCCATACATCAAGATCACAGGCATTTTACATTATCGAGTTCGACGATCGATCATTCATCCTTTAACCTATACACCCAAACATTCGGACCACTTGGAGGAAGGAGACTATCGCTAACACTTAGGAGTATAAGATCTTGACAGTTGCCATGCATCGCCTACTCTTGACCGCTTTAATCCCTCTCGCGCAAGCGATCGATCTGCAACTCGACTCCCCATCGTCGGTCAAAGATGTCACCTCCAAGATTGCCAATGATATGATGACCTTTTACACCGGTGACGAGCCGGGTCAGATACCCGGTCTCCTACCTGGCTCACTTGACTGTAACCCTTCACAACCCGATAACTATTGTTGGTGGCAGGCTGGTGCCATGTGGGGTGCATTGATCAATTACTGGCAGTATACTGGAGATGAAAGTCACAATGCAGATGTGCGGCAATCAATACTCCATCAACGCGGACCACAGGACAACTTCAATCCACCAAACCATAGTCGCAGTATGGGCATAGACGACCAGGCATTCTGGGCATTTACCGCGCTGGACGCCGTGGAGGCAAACTTCCCAGAGGAAGAAGGCGCCCCAAGTTGGTTGAGCCTCGCACAGGGGCTGTACAATTTCCAGATGAACCTGTGGGATCCGAATTCATGTGGCGGTGGTTTCAGGTGGCAAGTCGTGCCTTTAAATCAGGGTTATAATCTTAAGAAGTGAGTGCCAGAGAGGCAACCCCTGGAGGCAACCTCACCTCTACATATGTGACGGCCATGCTGCAATAGTTACGGGTCGGGGGTCCACATGACTTACTTGCTTTAGTATGATTTCAAATGGCGGCAACTTCCAGGTCGCGGCACGACTTGCTTACATCACCGGGAATGAAACTTACGGTGACTGGGCTACAATGGTCTGGGACTGGATGGCGGGCTCCGCGATGTTTGAACGCAGTGAAGGCATCCTTTACATCTGGGATAACTTGGATGCCGACATGGATTGCAAGGGCGAAGGTGCTCTTAAGCGCCTCATCTGGAGCTACAACTATGGTGTTCTTCTAGGCGGCGCAGCCTATATGTACAACTATACGGACGGAGACCCTCAATGGCTAGACCGGGTCGAGGAAATCCTCGAAAGTGCCTTTCAATTGTACTTCCCTGCCGAATTCGGTGGAAATATTATGGTGGAGTTCCACTGTGAGAAGGAGGGAATATGCAATCAGGATCAGAAGAGTTTCAAGGCATATTTGTCCAGGTGGATGGTGGTCACGGCATTGCTCGTCCCAGGCACCTATGACCGGATCATGCCGAAGCTACGAGAAAGCGCGATCGGCGCAGCAAGGCAGTGCAAGGGAGGAGAGTCAGGGAACATGTGCTCTGCGCAATGGTGGACGGATGTACCCACCGGTAGAACGGGAGTTGGTGAGCAGGTGAATTGGACTTTCCTTTCCGACGTTTGAGGTGCATTGAAAACGAGTATTGGACTAACGTTGATATCACTAGATGACTGCACTCGCCGTCATCGGCTCCACCTTGATCAATTTCGGCATGGCTCCCTTAACTCAGGCTTCAGGAGCTAAATCCGAGAGCGATCCCGATGCCGGGGTAGAGGAAAACCCCACTGCCAGTCCACTTAAACCAATCACAGCTGGGGACCGGGCAGGTGCAGCTATTTTCACGATCTTAATTACAGTCTTTCTGGTGGGCGGTGCATTTTGGCTTGTTTGGGATTAGCATGTTTATATTTGAGCGTCTTTTTGAAAGCAAGAATAGGGTAAACCTTTGTGATTGCCCCATAAGATACAGGAAGCCTCATCAAGTAAGACAATGGTGATGCGTATTTCGGAGTTGGGAGTGTTGTTAGTGTTGTGAATTACGGCAGTGGAAGTATATTTTAACTATCGATCTTCGTCTACTTGCTCAGAATGTGTGAGCATATATACACCGAAGTAATATACTAGAAGCTCCCTATTATTTCCAAACGTGCGGAATGATTCCACGAGATATTCCATCAGCCCTTCTGATAGTAGTTGAGCCTCATATTATAATAGTTAGTCCGTAGGTGGTCGAAATTTTAGTGGAGATATGAATGACTAGAATGGTAGTTAAGGTCGTTTGTAATTCCTTTTCCTGCCTTTGAATCAAAGTCCTAAGAGAGTTAATATAACGCATATAAACGCTTTCATCGTAGTAAGATTTTCCGACCATATCGCGCAGTAAAATCGGTCTTAGACACAAGTCAACTTAGCTTCTTCATGATGGTGATTGCGACATCATGGATGAGTCCTTCATCGATCTCCACGTCCAACCGGCCCAACCTTTCAGGATGAACCTCCTTGAGATGAACGCTAAGGTACACAAGTGACTTAAATCCAAGTTATGGACATGGAAAAGCATGACAGGCAATGTAGTATCGTTTGGGATTGGACTCCTCAACCATAAAGGCGTGCACTGTGCGACCAACATGGGTCTTTCAGACCATTCGGCAAACAGAACAGGCAGCCTTCCTTCGCGAGCCCGCCTCCTATCTCTCGCCGACAGGATGGATCGTCTTCGATCAAGGACACGAACACTACGAGCTTAGCTGTCTCGATACTCTGCCGTTGGATGGTTCGATTGCTGACGGTGTCCATTGGCTGATTGGGGACGCAAAGAGCTTCAAGCAGGCATGACAGTTCGCCGAAAGTCAGATCAAGCAGGCCGGTCTTCAGAAGGTGAAGACGGAGGATTGTTATCGTGATGATCGATATGGGTACGAAGAACACGTCGCCGATCTACGGGAGCAGGCCTAGGTTGCATGGTAGGCGGACGGTGGGTTCGGGGATGAGTGTTCAAGGCTGTAGCTTGAGTACTTCAAACGAAACCGCGCTACAGTGATGATGGATCGGTGGATAAAGGACGGTTGGTATCCCAATGTCGAGAATGCTGCGGTTCTTTTGGCGGCGAAACAATCAAAACCGGAAGGGGAAGGCGAAAATGTGAGGAACCAGAAACAGAAGTGAGGGCAATGGAGAGAAATGAGAATTCAAATTCAGGCAGAGATTAAGAGAATAATCTTTCTTATGGGGAAATTGATTACCCTCTTTTCATGGGGGGTTTTTTCGGATCTCTGTGTACGTTATTGGATGGTCTCATTGACACCTCGTGTAGTATCAATCCCTATAACTAGTCGGTAAAGTAGATCGTTCAAAACCCATCAGCATGCCCCGCCCACGTTCCTAGCTTGGAAGAGCAGAAATCTAAGGAAGATATATGAGTTTTGTATGGTAAAAGCCGGGTCATTAAGGGGGTGGGTCATTAGATGGGTGTCCGACTTAGCTAATTATAGTCGCGGCTTCTAAATTATAGTTTACCTAACCCCCCTCCCCCTCCTAATGTTAAACGCTATTACGGTACGCTTCACAGGATAAGCATATAGACGAGGCCGCGTTTAGAAGAATGAATAATCCAACGTAATGGCGGCGATAAAGGCGCTTATTACTCCACCGTAGGATCGTAGACGTCTGGCTTGACCACACGGAAATAGAATGGCGTGTTAACTCTTGTCCACGAACCATAAATCCTCTGGCCTGACTCTGCCAAACCCTGGTGCACATACAATCCAACTCTCTGCATCTAGTTATGCCCGGACACTGGGCCCAGTCCAGCGAAAGTCTCCTTGTCTCCCGTTGAAGCTCCGCAATTCAATAACACAGGCAAATTCCTCCAACGATGCCGAACAAGAAGTCCAAATCGGGCACCCCCAAAGGCAAAGGCGCTGCTTCGCTCTCTGATTCTCCTTCGCTGCCAGCAGTTCCTGTTGTGGTACAGCCGAGGCAGACGATGCCCTCGCCGCACCCACAAACCCAAGCGCCGCCACCAAAAGGCTCCTCGTCTTCCTCCGAGGACTTCTGGACTAAGAATGCACGTGCCAAGGCCCTCATCATGTCGACGTTGGTGCCAGGTAGCGAACCTTGGAAAATCGCCGAGCCGCTCGAACTGGCCTCTGACATTTGGAAGGCATTAGAGGACAAATATGCGCCCAAGGACACCAAGGGCAGGCTAGATGCGAAGGGGATAATAGATGCTGCGAAAAAAAGCGAGCATGGTACAGCTGAGAATGCCAGGCCCCTGTCCTCCGACTTCATTGGTGACTGGGTAGAGGGCAAGCCTATGGACAAATATCTGGATATGTACCGATCGAGCAAGAGAGCCCCACAACCACTGCCTGAACCTGCAGAGCACCCAAGTGCTGCATACGATGCACCGGTCACCGATAAGGATGCAGTGGAATTAGCTGCAGCTGTACTCTCACAACGCTTGCCAAAAGGCCCCACAACTCCTACCCCTAGCGAGGCGCAGCCAATCCAGACAGACTCTGCAACAGCCGCAGGAGCCTCATCTTCATCCTGGCGGGCAACACCAGTCGTCCACGACAGTTATCTTACTGAGGGCCAGGCTCTTGCCTTCGCACAGTATGACCTGGAACGGAAGAAACAGATACAAGTAGCCGCAACCAAGGTCCTCATGCAGAAGCTCCCTACTCGAGATTTGAGGTTCCTATGGGCGATATTGTATGGCGGAGAAAATGCACCCTGGCCAGGATCGAGCTCCGCAATCATCCCTGGCGTCACGGTCTCAGGTGGGCTTTCTACCTTCCGACTGAAACCCGTTTGAAAAGACCGAGAGACGTATCTTGACAAGGTGTCTTACAATCCTGTTTTACGGATGCGCTATGAAGGGTATCAACAAACGTTCAAACTCATGCAGCACTGTGCTACTGCTTTATGACTCTGCGACGGGTGGAGGCGTACATCTTGGATGCGATCGTGCCAACTGTTCACCTCAAGTCTAAGCTCAAGCCAACGAGAAATCTCCCAGGCAAATGCAGACGAGGAAGATGACCAACGCTCTCAGACTTGCGCTGGGCTCAGTGATGGCAGTGTTAGCGTCACTTTTTTCTCGTATATAGGTGACATTCTGCGCCAGTTCCACAATATCTCTCGTGACGTGACCAGTCTGTGCCAATTGACGCATTTGGTCACCGAAAGTGGCCAGAATGTTGGAGCTCCGGCCAGCAGGACAGAAGACGATTTCAAAGCCTCCGCCCTGAGGGATGATGAAGGTACTTGTCTGATCATCATATGCATAACTGTACGCGTCTGGACAAACTTTCTTTGCTTGGATGGAGTAAAGACTGGGTGAGCACGAGGCCGGTGTATTATGCTTACCAGTACAACAGTATTCGGGCTTGTTCCATTTCGCACATGCACTGAGACATGGGTTGAAGGGTGGCCGCTGGATTTTGTCGTCTGGATATGGATAAATGCCATCACCAGGCTTTTCAGGTGGAGTCTGCTGTAGTGGCCATGGACACCACTGTTGGATGAACAAAGGAGTGACTGTCTGCTCGAGTGGGATTGGAAACGTGGTGTTTGTCCCAAACGTCGCGTCGGAGGTGTCTCCGATTGGAGCAAGTAGGGATGCAGTCCCGATGCAAACAGGGTTGGTGAGATTGGGTGGAACATCAGTCAACGACGAATTGCCAGTCTGTCCGAGCAGAGATATGATCCCCATAGGAAGATTGTAGCCGTCGACCAGCGAGATGTCGTAAAAACTCTGATGTGTGTTACTCGACAGAGTAAATTCCGCCAACGTTGCGGGTGCCGCTCCCTTTACCATGCCGCGGTTCAGTACAACAATTCTCACGAAATCCTGGTCTTCGTGATACGAGGAGCGGAAGGCCAGGACGAAGGATTTATCAACTCACCGAACCCTGACACTCAAGATACATGCCACAATCGCCCGTCTGGCACGCAGAGCCACCCTGCCCGCTCGCTGGCCCACTCGCGGACGGAAACGAGCAATTTGTCCTCCCCCAAACTCTCCCTCGCCAGTCCCCGCTGACGGTCTGTCGACTTGAATCGCCAGGCGCGAGCACGAACCCCGAGCTTTCAGGGCCGACACCGTTCTGCGTGAGAATCGCCGGCCATATAATTTCGGGGCAGTGGTTTGTCACGCGAAGAGGCACGGAGGTATCTGGAGGATGTGGATATTGGCTAATCGCTGGATTGGCCATGAATGCCATCGTGAAGAACATCCATCCGCTGCCCGAGGATCTTGAAGATTTGCTTTTTTTCCTAGTCGTCCAGGGATCTGTCGACTCACTTCCTGCCATGTTGACCAAGATATGGAGAGTTGATATCGAGGTTAATGATGGTAATAAGGTGTACATCAGGAGTTGTGTTGCGACGTAACAATACTTTGACTAGGCAATGCCTATGTCCAGAGGATGGGGTGATAGACTGCGGTGGGTGGTTCTTGGTCATAAATGCCCTCTAAATGGCTTGAATGCGCCGTGCATCCAGTGAAATGCAGCGACAGCAGGTTGATCAATATTGTGAGGAAGCTGCGATAGATGTCTTTCCGGAGACATGCCAGATATATCTTGGTACCCTCGAAACCTGGTCCTTGGCGGTTGTTATTCCAAGTTTTCCACCATTAGGGTTGACGATCTCGAGCGTCGTCCACTCAAACCCCTGTCTACCACATGGTGGCTGATACCGGCTGATCTGAAGTGTGAAATGGAGCCAGGGGAGTGCTACTCGGTAGTTCGAAGAGCTATCCGATGTAGTGGCAGAGCAAGTGGTATGTTACACCAAATCGGCTTCTCAATCCTGGCCTTTGAGCCGTCACCCTGCTGTGAACGTTGGATGAGGTCCTTGGTACACAATCTTGAAGGGATATACAAGTAGTGTTGACGGCGTGTTCGGTGACGTCACTTGCCATTACTAGCTTCTTAGGGTGGCTTGTGGCGCCCTGGGGAGTGGCTCAGCTTCACAGCCACGCTGCCGCTGAGTCATCAGACCACATGTCCTTGAGTCACGAGGAAGGTGTGCCGGAGAAGGACGACGCGTTCATCTATTATATACAACGTTAGGCAGTCTTGACCTCAAGGCTGTTTCGCGTGGAATGTCAAGCAATGTCTGTCCGACAAGAGAAAGGCTAGTTCTGGGCATGAAGCAGATGAGATGAATGCAGGTCTGATACCTTCCATGATTGCAAAGTCAATTACTCAACCCATTCCGGATCTCATTTACTGGAAACAATATCCAGGATGAGAGGGTAGTTTAAACCCTGACATCTAACCATCTCGCCCTGAATGATGTCCCACTGACCTGTTTCCCATGTGGGCAGGCTTCATCTCCAGGGTGATATCTCCACTTGTGAGATGCCCTACTTCCATCCACCAGTTGATCAGGAATCCAAATTCGGGCCCCTCCACCGTGCCATCAGAATCGAAGTTACTGCTCAGGCAAACTTTACGTCTCATTGCCTACCTGGACCGAATTGTTACATTCAATCCCGATTGAAGTAGCATAAAACTGTGGCCATATCAGCATCGGAGTCACAGGGAGGAATAGATTCGACTTTTGAGCTTACTAGCTGGTTATCTTCAATTCAGTGTCTTCATCGGCGAACTGGATCATGAAGTTCCTCAATATTGTCGGCACAACCTGGTGTATCTATCAGCCACGGACTGAGATCGTCGCGTCGCAGCACAGATCCTACCTTTGAAATTTCAATCAAGGCAAGATCTGCGATTCACGAATTAGTACCGGAGAGGTCTCAGATTCCTCAAACTCACTCTTTCCGATGCAAATCCGTGATGTTCCTCCAAATGCCAAAAAGCCACGCACTGCAGATCATGTAAATGGTGTCCAGGGTACGTTTCACACAAAAGCACGACTTACGCAGGTCACTTCTTCCCGCTTCTAGCCATCTCTCAGGGCGAAATACGCTAGCATCTTGCCCGTATATATCCTTTGAGCGACCAAGGACGTATGGGCTAGCACCGATGATCGTCTGCCGCAGTCAGCGATGTGCCTCAAGAGCGCACGTCCCGGTTTTACCCCTTTTGGCAGCCAATGCGATTCGACCTGCAGACCTCCTTCAGGAACTACTCGGGGCAGACTCTGACCAACAACAGGATGTACGCGGAGAGCCTCATTCATGACTGCTTGTAAGTAAGGCATGCTGTTCGCCTGATCAAAGGTCACCGGTCTGGTCACATCCACTGTGCCCGCCACATCATCAATCTCTTTTAACAGTCTTTGCATACATCGGGGGTTTTTCAGCAAATGATAGAAGATCGATCGGAGTGCAATGGCAGTTGTGTCACTGCCAGCAAAAACATTACTCGCCGCCATCGATATTACTATCGTATGGTCAACTTCTGAGGGCTTCTTCGCGCTGGTCTCCATCAACTTGCTCAACATGTCTCGATGGTCACTACCCCGTGCGAGACGGGATTGTGCCTGCTGCATTGTGAAGTCACGAATATAGCCGCTTCTCGCGTTCAAGGCGAGCTGATTACCGACGATCCGGCTCAAGATCTCATGGATTCGGTATACCCAAGGTATTTGACCAACCCAACCCCAGGATCTCGCTGCTCTCTTGATGATCTTTAGCGACTCGATCTCCTCTCCGATCTCCATGAGACCAAACCGCTGAGAGAATGTCACTTCTCCGATCACATCTGCCATCGTCAGACACAGCGCCTTGCGATAACGCCTTGGAACATACCGAAAGCAAACAGCTGGAACCATACCCCAAGGTCCAAGCGTTCTCCTTGCTTGCCACGCAAAATGCTCATGAAATGTTGAATAGCACTATCCACATATGGCTGCAAATCAACGAGAGATGAAGTCGCATAGACATTGTTCACCAGTCGACGATTATTGCGGTGAACTATCGAATCCATTTCCCCAAACAGATCCCATTTACGCGCGCCCTTAATTGGCATGTAGAAAGTGCTCTTATTGTACTGTGATCCCGCGCCTAGACAGACGATGGATTAGTCCGAGTATTCATCCGACATCGACGGTCCATACCGTAAATTGTCTTCACGGCTTCAGGTGATGTTGTGACAACCTCGTCAGGCCCAACCCGGACAGTTGTACCGTACTTGTTATGCACTTCAGACAGAGCGCTATGAAGATCTCCTGTCCAGGCGTGGTAGGCAAGCCATAATCTCGTAAAACGCGCTATAAGCGGTCCAGGAACAGCCGACAAGGGCGATAAAAATCCATAGTACAAGAGATATGCAAGCAATGATACAACGGACACAAGAGCGAAAACTCTCGTCAGGAGAAGAAAACGGTCAGCATATTCGAAAGATCCATTCCCGGTGATGTCCATGATGCGTTGTGACTTATCGTAGTGTAGGAAACGTGCTCCCTCGAATCCCCACGGCAGGGGAGGAGATATGACATCTTCTTTATGAAGACCGAAAGGGGCGACGGCACAGACTCATACCTAGTCGGACGGCCACAGAGGTCCCTGTAAGGATGGACCAAGGCGACCGCTGCGGGTTTGAGTATTACGCATACGCACCATGCAGGTCGCTGATCATTAGTGATGGATGTTACGTCCGCCCATCAATCAATGCAAAGTAGTTGGAACACGACATATGTGGAGTCTAAAGCCCAATTGACTGCGGACATTAAACGCCCTGACATCCCTACTAGTTAGTGACGATCAGGCGATCTCATAAACTAGCTAACCCCCTAACTACCGATTACGCAAGCCATATCCCGTCAAGTAGTGAGAGAACGTACGCCAACGCCACAGCCTACATATTAATCCTAGCTACCGAATTCACTTTCAAGCTGTTTCCGTACTCACCCAACCTTCCCGCCCTGATCTAAGACTCCAGACTCTAACCAAGCTTTGGGCGGCCCGGTCCTAATGCTTGTGAGGAGGCAATATCTATGCTTCTAGACAAGGCCATTTGAATCGCTGGAAGGACTTTCTTTTTGACGCTCTCCGTCAAGTGTCTGTTCAGTAGATTGAAGCCCTAGGTATGTAACGCAGTCGTAAGGGCATTTCGTTCGGTTGTGTGCCGTGGGACCAATCAGCTCCGCAAGGAAGAGGTGCTCCCTTGAAGTTCTTGGATTTACAAGATTTGATGACGACTCAATTTCGCCGACTGTCAGGTCTTCTCGTGAAGATTTCGGAACGACTAGTTGTTTTTCCATCCGAGTGTCAATGAGTTGGCCGACGGTCTGTTCTTTAGCGTCTTTTGATAAGGGCCAGTCTGAGACTGTGTAAGGGTCAAAATATTCTTCAGACACGGATACCTTCTTTGACACGGATGTTTTTTTTGAGACGGACGCTTTCTTTCTGGCCATGTTTGTAATGACTGCCAACCACTTCAACTATTATATATGAGAAGTTCCCGATTTCACTTGGAAACTGGATGGGAGAAACAAAAGAAAACTACTAGCAGCAACTATTTGCGACACGGCTAAGTTTATATGCTTGCAAACTATTTCAACGAACAGAATAGCAATGCGAACACCCATCACAACCGCGAGTGCGAGAACCCTTGACTGACAAACAAGTTCGGTTCACGGCAAACGAGCGAAGCTGTGAGCGCACTAGGCACAGTGATAGTATGGAACCCAGAGACGAGGCAAATTTCAAGCGTACTTCTTGGTACATATTAGCCAACAATGGCGATGAGCACGGAAGCAATGTTTCGGATCTGTACCAATATGCGAACTCTAGAGTTCGCCAAATTGTAATACATAAGTATTGTCAACTATCTGCTTTAAGTCTCAGCCTGTGTGCTTGAGCTACTCTTACACCACCATGCCATCTTGGACATACCTCTCAAATCTCAACTATCGGACTAGACCTCGGCCTATTCAGTTTTAGCTGCTCTCAACATCGCCATGCCACATTGGACATATCTCTCAAAAACCGGCATATCAGTCAGTACTGCAGTCTAGCTGTTGTACAATTTGAACTTTGCCAATCTCTTGTTACCCAGATACCCTCACCAATCATCTGACTGCATCTGAAGCTCTTTGATTCTTTGATATGAGCTTCTCCTTACTTCCGGTCATCAAGATAACAAGACAAACGATCAGGTACCTCTTCAACTGCTGAGATCACATCCTCACAGATCTCGAAGTTCAACCCCTCTTTCCGATTTATATCCTCTTTCCACTTCATCTGCTCCGTCAATGAAAAGTGGTCGGACTCGTTACCCTGGGCTTCGTAAACAGCTATGTCTCGGATCACAGCCAGGATATCTGAAAAACTATGGTCACGGACGACGATCCAGTATCGATCATATATCGAGCTCAAACAAAACTTGAAACTCGGCAGTACCAGTTTCAAGAGCAAATTGTCAGAGAAAGACGCACCGGCAGCTTTGATTTCGTGCTGACATAGAAGGAACTGGTTGATAAAAACACAGGCGGGCAATGTCGAATCAAACAACATATCTCTCAACCTCTCGTTCCCACACGAAGGGAGGAGGGGCTACTGAATCCCCACATATTCCTACTTAACCCTGTAGCTTCAATCTCGTGCAGAATCAGCACTAATTGACTGGTTTCCTCGTTGTGCCAAGTCTGCCAGGCTTTCTTGCCTTCAATGCCCTCCTTGATATCCTTGGGAACGGGTGGTATCCCAGACATGAGGACCTCAGAGTCGGTATGATTTCGGACCGCATTGATGGTAGTGAAACAAAAGCTTTTGAGCAAGTCAAAGCAGTTGCCAAACTTGTCGCCGAGAGTATGAACAATATCAACGTAAACCTGAATCGCGAAGATGATCCAGAGCGTCATCGTTTTACCCCGGAGCACCGATTGCATACCGCGAATGAACTCATCGTTAAATATCTATTGGACTTTTGATTTTCGCAATTCTGAAATAGTCTACCAGAAAACGAGGTTCTCTTTAGCGTAATTCGGGCATGAAGAACCACAGACTGGGCGTTGCAGCTTGTGGCCGCGATGATTTAAAGCGTCAAACTGCATCAGTACATGTATGATAGAAGTAAGAATCCAGTGTCTCAAACAAGAGAGCTTCATCCTCAAGAGCCCATGACTGGGCGCCTGTCTCAACCATAACAAGCTGCACGTGGCGGCTTCTTAGATCTTGATACACATCGCCTATGCTACCGCTAGCAACCAGCTCGTCTCTGCTGATATCTTCTTTCATACCGCGCGTGAGTTCCATGGCAGTATTCGAGGCTAAGGCCGCGGACACCAGATCACATTTTCCTCCGAGAAAGGATCTCCATGTCTCCTGCACACTGCGCCGCATGCTCTCTAAGTCCTTGAACAGACAATTATAAGCTGGTGAGAGCTCGCGGCACGCTTTTTGAGGATCGAACACAGGACTACTCGGTAATTATGGATCCATGATCACATTGAAATCCGAGGTTGCAACGTCTTCGATAGGATTTGGGTCATCCGCTGTTTCAGATTCCGTTGACCCCATCATCGTCATGTTGGATTGTCGTATAAATGCTCTGGAATTTCATCTGATGACCATGTTCGACCGAGGCGCAAGAATAAACTGGCATACTGAGTCTTGGCCCATGAGTCGATTCTCGCTTCGTCAATGGGTGGTCCTCGACATTCTCTCTCAGAACATCTCTTACCTCTACCAAGACTCTCGTAAAATATGCGTGCCGTGCGTTTTCTGTGGTTGACATTGCGGCAAGTAACTATTCACCATCACCATTACTTACTGTGCCATTACTGAATCCAAGAGCTTGTGCCACCTGTTTGCGAAGCCTGACCCCTCTCTCAAGAACCTCTAGCAGCTGTGCTGAAACAACGAATTTTGAATCCCTCCTTGCAATGATTGAGCGAGCCACTGGCACAAAGTCTTTGACATTTATGACATACTTTTTTGTCCGGAGGGGGGGGGGGGTTATTAATGTCTTCCGCTTGAATGTTTCAGATCCTCTGCTGTGAATATTGTCGGTTTCTTGACTTTCTCTTTACCCCTGATGGACCTGGGTTTGGACCTTCTACTTGAGGTGTGCTAACGGAGTCGTATTTTCTCACTGTAGTTGCCAGCCATTTTGCAATACAGTGTGTATCGGCCTTGTATTGTTTGTAGGACGGAAAAAGATGACCCGACGACATGGTGTGAACAAATTTTATTCGGGCACTTGCTGTAGGCCAGACGCTTTCTCCTTTGTGTTCAATAATTTAATGCTTCATGCGTCAAAAGGACATTGCCTGCTGTTTATCTCGAGACGCTAAGTAGACAAAGCAGAGCCCAGGACAATGGGCTTCCAGTCTGATACGAAGTGTGCATTGTCGCATTGTTTCCAGCATCAGCGATTCAGGTCATTGCTTCGGCAGGAACCAGGTTAATACACTTCGATTAGACGAGAATAGTGGTAGTTGATCATGAAATCTGTGAATTAGGCGAGGAATCGTCTATGCAGGATCTATGGACCACCGCCTGTGAACATAGCTGCCATTTGTCTTTGCCGTCAGCCTCCTTCTCAGACCGGCTGATCTCTATGCCATGCACCATCTACAAGGTTCTGGTCGCTCATAGGTCATCCATTTCGACGGCTAGAAACCTTTTGGCAGCATTTCCATCAGCCCTTTGAAGAGATCATCATGGAAATGCTTGCTTTTGGCCGACAGAGGCCTTGATTTCCCAAGGCGAGGCGGGGTGGTCCTGAAATCATTCCAGGGACAACAAATACGTTGTTAGCATGCGCACAACGTCGAATGCGCGTTTCGTCCTCCACAATTTCTTGGATGTCGTCGTGGATGTCGTTCAGGACGCGCCAGCACTGCTCATTCAAAAGTAAATAGTCAACTGAAAGGTGCACAGTCTCATAGCCAATCGCTTCGCCCAGCCTGTTCAATGGTCCCTCCAGTCACCTGTCGACCTCTGGATCTTGTTCGGCTATTTCTCTTACCTGAATTGACGACTGTTTCGATGTTGTCCGCGGTAAGATCGGCTCTTCGGTCTCTAAGACAAAATCTGTCATGGAAGACAGATGACACAGGTGTCCCAAGTTCTAGTACCCGACAGTTGGCGAGTGAGACTTTCGGTTTCATCGACTGTCGTCTGTTTGTAGCCCAGAGAGTGATTGAGCCACCTCCACAGGTGATTGTCCATCGACCAAAGAATTTCTCAGGGAGCTGAGGAGCTTGACCAGCAAAAATGTTCTCTTCCCTTTGCAGATCCGACAGAAGTCGTAGATCGAAGAAATCAGTCCTCGATATCAAATACCTCTCCACTAGCGCATGGCGAAGGTGAGCAACACTCAGCCTATAGCCCATAGTGTTGACCAACCTTACTGCAATCATCTGATAAGTGATCTTGATGATATATAACACTGTTCCGCATAGTAATGGATGGCTCTTGAGAAGGGCGAACTCGGCAATGTCGAATTGAGCCAAGTTCGGAACTTGTGTTCTGCGCTCGAACACAGTGTCACATCTGCAATAATACTGGTTTCTTGAGTACAGCGAGGCCAGCTCACTACTGGCCAGGTCCAAGGACCGCCTTTCCTAGAGAAAACACCCGGCCCGATTGACTAACTCTGAGATGCCTGTTCCCACTCTACAAAGATCGTTGAAATGGCGGTCTAAATCTAACCCAACCATGTAATAGATGTGAAGATAGACATGCGCTGCAAAGGAGACCCATAAATGAATGTCTCCTGTCCGAATGAAATGGCAAAGTCCTCGGGTGATATCATCATTCTCCAAGGTCCATTCCGGGACCGGCTCTGTACTGGAGGCAGGATGTTGGGCATTGTGAGAAACTGGGAAATGATGAGATTATCCATCTTTGGTTTCTGTGTCTCCGCCAGTGTGGGTCTTCCTGTCGTATCGAGAGGCAATCCACTATTTGTAAGCGCGACCACGGAACATTGGCAAGGGCGTTCTTGCTCAAGCAACTGTCGATCATGCTATTTGGTGCCAATAGAAATGGAACTTCCGTCTCAGAAATTCGATATTCGTCCTCTTCCTCGGCGCACTCAAATATTGACTCTATAGGCTGGACAGAGTGATCATGCATTTTGAGAAGTAGAATGGTCGCGCCTCCGCATGTTGCTAGAATCTTCATGTCATCTTCTAGCCATCTTCTAGCCGGTGGGCTAACTCGACGAGCTAACTCGATTGCAGTTTTGGTAATGGTCGAAGCTATGACTAGATCAAAGGTTTCATTCTGGTAATCTCCCCAAAAACGCTGAATCACTTTCCTCAGTACAAGCAAATCGTTCAGGAGGCACTGAAGGGCGACCAGAGCCTCTTGCGAGTCTGAGAAACAATCCGCTCCATGAAACTCGACTTGATCATCTGGCTTGCATGTGCTTGTTCGGTCAGGGTCTTCGGGAAGGGAGTTCGATTGTGAATCTCCATTGAGATGGAGGGCGTCCAAAGCGATTGTCATCAATGATTTCTCCTCCACCCCCTCCGCAGAGGAACGGGCAGGTGAAACATGGTTGGGTGGGGTTGTCGGGGAATCGTCTTTGCTCTTCAACAGTTCTTTGACGTTTTCGAGAACTTCGACAAAATACATGTGCCTTGAGTCTGACTTCTGACTCGTCAAGTCCTTGTGAAGAAGAATCACTACTAGAATTTCGATAGGCATTGCCCACACAACGCTAAAGGATGATCGCTCGATCTAGTATCCTTGTCAAGCTTTCTGGTACAGCCATAGCAGGTTTTATTGATGATATGATCGCCTTCATCATAGGAAGAAAATGCTTGACTGACACGACATGGCGAACGATGGATCGATCTGCGGTTTTCACTGCTGCTTGTCTCGCAGCGCGCCTGGCTAACGTCCTTTCTCTGCCTTTAAGCTTGAAAGGTTTTGCAGCTGGTACTGAGCTTTTATCACTCATATCTTTCTCCAGGTTATACCGGCAATGTTGAGATATTCTGACAAGCCTTGAGACAATTGAGTTGGTGCCTACCTTTGACTGGGCGTAACTATTGGCCAGACCTTCCGGGAGCATGATTGCCATCTCCTGCTTCTATGGGAACCGATTTGAGTACGGCGAAACAAGAAAACCAATCGGGGTGTGATGGAGGGAGTGTCTGTAGATCGCGAGCAACAGCAAGTCCTGTTCGATGGGGTTTGGTTTTGGGTACGGTTCTGTGCGAAGGTACAAATCAAGAGCCGACCTCTGAGGGCGCACGAGAAGTTGATGCGGGACATTGTGAAGTGCTTGTGATGCTGGTTGTCACCTCAACGTGAATCGGCTGGCCGTGAATATAACGACACTTCGAGAAGTCTCATAACCATGGGGCATAGGGCGGTAAGTATATCGATAACTTTGACCGCTACCATCGTCATGGAAAAGCCAAACTAACAGGACAAAGCGTGGTGGACCGCAACCGGTATGGCAAGGCTTAGAATGAGGGAGTAATGTCGAGTCATGAGCATTGCCTAGCAGTGGCAAGGGCAGCAATCAGACCTAAACTGGCCAAATCTCAGTATTTCCTAGATTCAACATCTACAGCAACGATGTCGTCGAGAGGATGTGGCAGTTCGATGAATTGTTGCTTCGATAATGGGTCAGCAATCCTCCGAATGATCGATATAATAGATATGTATAGGCATTACCCAGCGCAGTGGCAACAAATGCATTGAGCAAGTGTTGAAAATGCGGCAAAACCACCGCTGATGGTCGTTTCTAAACAGGAGATGTGGTACATGGTCAGAGAGACTATGCGGTTCCCTAGCCTTCATGCATGGACCCATGGAAGACGACATTGGCCCTGTCGGCCATCTCCTGACTCCCCAGCCACTGGACATCAGACAGGTCGCTTTGTCCTAGCAAAGATGCTTCACGGAAGGTGAGAAATTTGGATCTGATTTGTTATTCCCTCGTGGAAGCAATGTGTACTTGAACGTCAACTGGCACCGCAGGCACGAGCCATTGTCAGTCCGGGTCAACGGAATGGCAAACAGCTACAACCATAATTTCGACACATGAGCTTTTGCTTAGAGCACCGCCTACCAGTGATGGACATCACGGCTAAGTCTGTCGGCGGAGCCCTAGTTGGGGAAATAAAGATCGCTTGGTGGGATATATATGCTGTCATAGCTATGGACGAGCCCATCGCAGTGAGTGACAGTGGGGGAGGCTTTAACAGCCATCAAATAATGTTTGCTCTAGTTCTATGAGTACGTGTAAGAGCGAGAGTTGTTGAGTGGCTTTGTGAATAGCAGTCGAGCACTGAGAGCCAATCGCAGGCGCGTCCCGCCCTATCATGTGACATCTGGTCAATACAATGATGGCAAACGATGGATTGCGTCAAATTTTGGAGTCAGTAGCTCAAATTCTTCGTATCAATCGACCTTGGCTCATGGAATTGAGGTCGCGATTGCTGGAATCCTCTCGGACGAGTACTGTCTATTTGAGAAATATTGAGAGATATGCAAAAAGGGGTGTAAGGACAAACATGCCAAGGCTGTTGCACGCGCGGGCTTCCAGCTTCACCGTATGATCGCTACGGCGCAATATTCGATGGCCCCTGACCCTGCCTGAACTTTCCCCAGGTTAGATTGAATTGAATTGACAGCAAAAGTGTCCACAACCTGCGATTCTCGAAGGACCAGATCACCAATTCAGCCGTTAATCTCTTTCCACAAGATCTCACTCTCACTCTCTTGTCACCTCATTGTGAATTTCGTGCCTACGTCGACAAATCGGGGACCTCCAATACCTAGTTGCACTGCTATTCACGCGACCAGACCTTCCTAGTCCCTCTCCACAATACCAACTATGGTATGCATTCCATCCCGAGCGTCCGTTTGCGCAGGATAGCTGCGCACCAGTTGCCACTTGGCCTGCATTGTGTTGCTCCACGTCAAAAAGAAGGCCGTGGCAGTTGAACTATATACTAACCACCTCATGACTAGGCTGCTCCGAGACCTTCCTCGCCTCTGACCTCGGGTCCTGAGTCTGGCGCAGATTCGACACCATCAGCTTCTAAGACCAGCGGATCTTCAATTGCACGCGCAGGCTCCCCTCCAGGAGGGCCGCGTTCAGCCATCCGTCGACGTGCAGCTGCCGATCACAAGGAGTCAGTCAAAAATGCACGGCCAGCCTCAACACGCTCCGCAGGCGCAGGCGGGTCTAGCGGAACCATGCTGAGGTTATACACGGATGAGAGCCCTGGATTAAAGGTGGACCCTATGGTGATCTTGTTCTTGAGTTTGGGATTTATTTTCAGCGTAGTGGCATTGCATCGTATGTTCCGATCCGATATTCCTCTTGGGATGAAACATGTCAGCTAACTCTGAACTCTTCACAGTTATCGCGAAGATCACCAAGAGATTCTCATAAACGGCAAGGGTACTTTTGTGGTAGGCGAGCAGATTTATTGGCGGCAGAGACAAAAGCATCATGATCATGGATCGTGGGTCACTGGCAACGTGTACACTATTTCTTCTTGATCAAAGAGATCCGTTGGAGATTGCAGACTCCAGCATGATCAGCCCTCCTGGTCGACTCTATTGATTAGACCTGGCCCTTGTTCTTGTTCTTGTCTTTATTGTGAACATCTAACTGGATATATTTGCTAGATTAAAATGCGAGGAGTAGCATTTTAATTACATCCAGACCGCATCCCGCGTTTACAATAATCCGGATTAGTCAGCATTTGATATTGTTCTTGCACCGTCTTGGAGCCTTGCATGTGATGGATCCTCCTCCTCTTCCTCCTCCTCTACAAAACAACAACAAGAATATGATCCACGGTAGGAGCTACAAACCTAATTATCTCCAAACTTTCTCAGTCCAAAGAATCTGCGATAGAGTATTAGGCCGCGTAGGACCCTCAGCCTGCTGCCCCCCTCCATCGTCCATCATCCCACTTCATGATGACCGAACCCAACATCCAGACACAGAATGGCATCTCTCAGCCTGACGGGCAGAAACCCCAGGCTGAGGTTCAGATAGAACTCCCAGCCACCCAAGAAACTCAACCTCACCCATCTGGTCCTCTAGTTAGCAGCAATGGATGGGATGGCAAACTGCGCATGCAACCCCGCAACGCCGTGCTGTCCAACCCGGAAATCCTCAGTGATCCCGACTATTCCGACCCAGACGCCCCTCCGGTCGACCAAATTGAGGCCGATGAAGATCTCCTGGAAGATATGGACGTTTCCACTGAAGACATCGACCTGGTCCACAGCCGCATCGCCTCTCTTCCCGCCCTCAAACTCGAACGCTTCACCAAAGTGCAAAGACTATGCCTGCGCCAAAATCAGATCTCTTCCATCCAATTTCCCCCCAGCCTGGGCGATACCGTACAAGAGCTGGATCTCTATGACAACCTGATCTCCCATATCAAGGGTCTCGATGACTTCAAGGTCCTGACCACCCTCGACCTGAGTTTCAACAAGATCAAACACATCAAGCACCTCAACCACCTCCACACGTTGAAGGAACTCTTCTTCGTGCAGAACCGCATCTCCAAGATCGAAAATCTTGAAGGCCTGGACAATCTCCTCATGATCGAACTGGCTGCGAACCGACTGCGAGAGCTTGAAAACCTCGAACCCCTGCGAGCCTTACAGGAACTCTGGCTAGGCAAGAACAAGATTACCGAGATCAAGAACCTGACACCTCTCACAAACCTCCGCCTGTTAGATATCAAATCCAACCGCCTTACAGCCATTTCCGGCCTAGGCTCCTTAACAAACCTCGAAGAACTGTATGTATCCCACAACGCGATCACCGAGATATCCCCTACATCCCTATCCAACAACCACAAACTCCGAGTCTTGGATATTTCCAACAACTTGATCACCCGCCTTGAGCACATCGGACACCTGAAGCACCTTGAGGAGTTATGGGCGTCCAGCAACAAAATCAGTGATTTCCGAGAGGTCGAGCGCGAGCTGGCAGACAAAGAACATCTCGACACGGTATATTTTGAGATGAACCCTCTACAGTTGGCTGGACCGGCGCTGTACAGGAATAAGGTTAGACTGGCTTTGCCTCAGGTCAGTCAGATTGATGCGAGTGAGTGCTCTCCTTCCCGGAGAATATGACATTAATGCTTGGACTTGTCGCTAATGAAATGCCCAGCATATGTGAAGGTATGAGACTTCGACAACTAGGAGAAGCGAAGAGGGCAAGTGACACCATATGGCCTCGCATGTTAACGCCCCGTTATTGGCGCGCTTCGTTGGAATAAAAGGAAGATCAAATCAAACCAACAAGGTCACTCGCCACTGTACACGACTTCGTCTGCTCAGGCTGATGATCCTTACTCCAAGGGCGGCTGTCACATCCCGGAGCCATACCCTAGACATTCCAACAGACACGCACAAGATAGACGCAGTAAACCGTGGTCGGTTCGTGCGTGGGTTGGGATGGGATGAGCACACACTCGCGATATCACAACCGCATCTCCACATCATTTCGCCATCACAACACGGCATTACTACACAAACTGCACCATCGAAAAGGAAAAGTTCTCGCATTGCATTACTTCCAACGGCACTATGTTGCTTTCCCCCAAGCTTTTCGTCTTCATAAGCATTCTTCTCATTCGATCAGTGAGCTACCATGGCGCATGGACTTTGCATCAGGCGCAGACAGGCGTGAGCCTTTAAAGAAGCCGTGTTTTCTAGGATGAGTGACGATGATCACGGGTAGGTTTTGCACTTGTTTCTCTTTTTTCGTTTGGCTTTTTTGTGGAGGGAAGCAAGCATGAGAGCGCGGTCGGGCGCTGGCATGGCCATGGGCCATGGCCAAAAGGCACTAGGAGAGACATACATGGATGCTTCACAAGGCGCTGGCGACGTTTAAGGATGAAGAGCATGAGCGTTCTCTTGGCATTCTTCCAGCAATGGCGAGGGCTGCAGAACCACTGCACGCATGAGGGTACAAGTAGGAGCCGCAGAGAGCGGTACTTCAACGAATTAATGAGGATGCTTGTCACTGGCTTTGGGTAGTCACGAAAACTACAGGGAAGAGAAATTGAAGCCCAATGTTCAAGTCAAGAGGACCGTGTAAACGTTTGGTTTTATTTCCCATCAACTCATTTCGAAGCCCGTGAAGGTAAGCCAAGCCGATACCATGTCGTAGGTTCTATTGATCTTGATCTGCACAGTCAGGGCGGGCCCACGAACCGAGGCTAACCGAGGAGTGCATCGAAAGAGTAGCTTCGCGGGTAGATACATTGGACGCCTCCCTCTCGCTCTGTCCTGCTTATTCCAGGCCCAGCCAGTATGATTTTCTCCAAGCGCCCAGAACTCCAGCATAACTCCCATGGGCAATGTGTTAGAAAGTGGTTGGAGATCTCAATTCCGATTCTGTGATCGCCAAACTGGATATCCAGATCAGCATTTTTCCGGCTTGTCATCTTGAATGCCTCTGCTGGTAAGGAATCTTTTAAGAGTCGGACACGTAGTTGCGATTCCTGATTCGTGCGTATCGATTTCACCTCTCATTAGAGCAGTAGCTCGCCCTGTGTCATTTCTCCCACCGTGTTGGGACATACATGTCATTTTTCATACACCGCGAACTGTTCAATTGCAAAGATCATCAAGATTTCTAGGTGTATCGGGTCAATTGGTGCTGTGCTGATAGACGCCTGAAACTATGCAGTGGTCACGCTCGAAAGGCTCTATTGGAAGATGGCTGGTCAGTACGAAATCCTGATGGCAAAGATGGCAAAGCCAATGAAAGCAGAATGGCAGAAAACTTACCAAGCGTGAGCTGCTCCTTGGGCTTAATCCGCTCCTCCCGCATCTTCTTGACTTCATTTGCAAACACAACTTCGGGCTTAGCTGTCGAGTCGATACAGTTGGCCTTGATTGAGACCAGGATGCCTCCGCCAACTTTCAGGAACAAATGTGCGTTTAATCCGACAATACGAGCTTGGTCAGGTTGCGCAACGTCCGCAAAGACGACGTCCACCATACCAACGAGCATGCGGTAGCGCAAGGGATGTCTAGCGTCTTCGATGATGGGAATGACGTTGGTGCGATGGGTAGCCATCGTGATGAGATCTCGACCACTTCGGTGTGAGAATTCCACGGCGTAGACTCGTCCAGTAGGACCTACGATGTCTGCAACGTGACTGACGGATGTGCCTGAGGCTGCACCAAGATAGAGTACTGAAGAGCCAGGACGTATATAGATCTCTTCCAACCCACCCAGAATACCAGCTGCCAACTTGCTGCGGAAAGGGTTCCAGACTCGGTATTCGGTTTTCAGGGCAGTGGCTGCGTCGGCCTCCCCAGTCACAGCAGGTGTGGGGTTGTCGACGCTGACTCGCTTTTCGCCATAGACTGATTCACCTGGTGTGAGGTTCTTGGTCACCAAAAGATCTTCCTTTCCGCCGCGAGCGACAAAGACGCCTGGATGTCGATGTGGTTCCTGTGTTTTGGGAACGATGTGTTAGTTTGCGTTTGATGCCGACTAAGCTTAGGCAAGGTTTGTCGCCTTGGATGCCTCTTGGGTTCGAGAAGTTTGGAACCTACAATGACGACCTTCGCACCACCCCTCATGCCAGGCTTTCCACCTCTTCCACCAGCACCGCCTCTAGGAGCGCCTCTGCCTCTTGGGGCACCAAAGCCGCCACCTCGGCCGCCACCGCGGCCGCCGCCTCGACCACCTCTATCACCGAAGCCACCGCCTGCGAGGTTGGTAAAAGATGGTTAGTCCAAACACGCTCGCCAGAGATGTTGTCGCAGTCCGTCCTGCGGCACAAGAAAAACTGTACCTCTACCACCACCACGAGCGCCGCCACGGCTGAAACCCCCTCCTCGACCACCTGCGCCTCCTCTTCCACCACCACCACGGCCTCGGGGTGCACCACCAAATGCCATCTGATCTTGATCGGAAGTTGTTCGAGCTTGCTCAGGTAAGGGTCACAATGAGAATAGAGATAGTATCAGGGACAGAGAATCTGTCGGTGAGAATAGCTTTGAGAGTAACCGACGTAGTGCGTCAAAATGATAAGAAGATGTGGATAGAAGATGGAGGATGGAGGAGAGGATTATGCAACCCTTGGAAATGACTTTTCCACTGGCAGCGCAGGCAAAGCCTTCTTTTTGCCTTGTTCGAAATTTGGAGCTTCGCACTTGAAAGTTGCAGGAGCGCTGGAGAAATTATCTGCGGCTAGGCATTAATTCGGTTAGATTGGTTTATTTGCCAAGAATAGATCTGATTGGTGGAACTACCGGGCATTGGCCGCAAGCAGCTCAAGGCTCTACCAACTACTCGTACAGATGGAGGCACGCATCCAGATTTCATTGTGATTTCCAACAAGCTTGCCATTGAAGACTTTAGCATGAGAAGAAGAGGTCTAGGGTTGCACCGACCCACTACTTCAATGTACTGTTGACCGGATCTCCTATCCCTGATCTTGATGCCGTGCTCCCTCTACCGGGTAAGTAGGCACACCCAAACCCCTAGCCTAGTGTCGGGTCCCCTGTGCTCGCATGATCGCCCAAAACTCCCAGTCAAAATCGGGGTCCGAGGTGTCAATCAGAGGCTCGATCTGTTCCGGATAAACGACTTCCTCGTTGGAAGTGCCTCCACGTTTCGCCAGGGCGCAGATAACAATTTCATCCGGAATGTGTTGACTCCCCGCCGTTATAAGCGATTGAAGCTCCACAACCGCCTGCACAAGACCGAATACGGGGATATAAAAGTTCTCCGGCAATGCATACCAGGAATCGTCGTTTTCTAAGTATATCGGAAAGATTTTCTGCAAATCCCGTGCCCTTAGTAACTTGAATGGCATCACCGTCTGGGCTTCCACCATGGTTGGGGACAGCAAGAAGTTATTCTCGTTACAGGCGTCTCCTGTGAGTGGCGTGTCCAGCATCCCTACTGCACCACTCATTACATCGTTCACACCTTCCTCCTGGTCCTCAATAGGAACATAGGGCTCGCCATTCTCGGCTAGAGTCAGCCCATCCTCAACGACGCTTGCGTTTTGTGGTGTCCAAGGAACGTCCGCGTTGGAAGAAGGCGTGTCAATATTTGCTAGCGGTGATGTAGCCTGACCGAAGTTTTCCTTGGAGGCGATGTGCTGTTGAGTTTCATTCAGATCAGGTTGGCTCTGTTCTTCTGAAGGAGGTCTGGAGTACAAAATCTCTGAACCAGGATTTCTGTCTTGTTTGAATGGCAGTTGCTGTAGGGGATCGATCATTGGCGGGGAGGAACAATCTCTGCGGATGCCAGAAGAACCACTCTGTGAAGACATTTTGTCGATCGTTTTGGGCTTGCTATGGTCGCACTTATCGCGAAACCAACCTGGCGAAAACTGGGTACGGTCTCTCAAGAGAAGCTCTCTCCTTGCATGCGCGACTAGATAGAGTATGTGCTCGCGCGAGAACAGATGGTCTGGTGGTGGGGTGGCACCCATTATACAGGCAGCCACAGAATGTTATTTATATGTCGTCTAGCTTGGTAGTGAATGTTCAGCGCCAATTTCTGGCTGACACGTTCGTGAAGCTTCAACCCACTCAAGCACGGTCGGTCAGTAACGACCGGAACAGCATGACTTTTTGAGTCTCATCCTTCTGTTGTAGTCTTTGTTAGGAAGCTTGAGCCTCGAGCTATCCTCGTTGCGGAAACCAACACTCGCATACCTTGGTGCCTTGTCGTACGTCAGGGACAGGATGGCTTTGACCTCAAACAAAGATATTGTCTCTCGTTCCCACATCTGGGGCTTCTTAGGCTGCAAAATGTCAGTCCCAAGGATCGTTGCAAACTCTCACATCGTCATCCCCAGATACTTTACAGGCGGCACCTTGATGGAAGATGGGAATTCGTTAGCGGGCAGCACATAGCCCCTTTCAATCAACATGAACCGTAATGCAGACGTGCTTCATGTTCCAAGCATTTCGAGATGGCTGAGTTTGATCTCCAGCAGAGATGAAAGAAGGATTTTGCAGTCATTTTGACCAGATATACTGTAAGGACCGCGATTTTTGATCAGTTGCCATTGGATGCACAGCACATCATCATGTCCGGACGGTGACCTCAAGCCCCTGTATTGACTGTCTTCGCCAGAAAGCTGGCGGTCGTATGTGAAGAAAATGGTCGGCTGCCGAGCGACACGTGGGGTGTCTCTCAGCAATGGGCGTATGAACATTTTCTATCAAATGCAAATTGCATTTCTCGAGTAGAAAAGCAAGCCATTCATCTGTACTATTAAGAAGCAATTTGTAAATTCAAGGCAGAAGTCAAATTTTAATATTTTTGCTTGCACAGGTGTCTTAATATGGAACTGTAGATGGGACATGGAACATGGCTTCTTTCCACAGCAACCATCATAGCCAGAAGAGGCATTGTGCGTACTGTACTCTGCGAAAACCAAATTATGCCGGATGTAATTGAATCATGGCGATAAAGACAGTTCTACCGACGCCGAGATGACACTTTCCCAGTGGGTGGTTTCCCCATAATCATGGCCGAAATGAAGAAGAAACTGTTGACGTCATGGCTTGGCTCTTTCCCCAATGTCCTCCACCCGCAGGACACCTCGCATGTCGGCAAACCTCTAGGTCTGAAGACTAGGACTCACTCCACGCTGAAACTCTCGTAAGCAAACACCAGATCTATTCATGAAGTTGCCCACGTCAATTGTTGGACAACTGCGCCCATTCAGCCAAGGGGAAAAGGTCCGGGCAAAGGTACTTCAGGTTCCGATTCTCGGTGGGCACAAGACCCCTCTACCACCTCATCCACCTGCGCAACAGACCAAGATGTCGTCCTTGAATGGTATGTCCGCCCATTCCCAAGCAGAACCGCTGGGAAATGTGCTCTTGCTCGATTTAGTCTCGACGGTACTGAAAATCCCTCTAGTCTTCAGACAACCCCTCGCCTTCTTCTCAAATCAGCCGATGACGGGGTTCTATCGTGATGGATACTGCAGAACTGGTGCAGCGGATTTTGGGAATCATGCAGTGGCAGGCGTTGTCACAGAAGAGTTCCTGGACTACTCAGCATCGCAAGGAAATGACCTCCGCATGGCGGGACTAAGAGAAGGTTGCAAGTGGTGCTTGTGCACATCTCGGTGGTTGGAAGCACTCGGCGCCTTCAGGGATGGAAGAATAAGCAGGAACGGGGTGCCAAAGGTCCACTTGGAGGCGACAGAAGATAGTGCATTGCGGCAGGTCGATCTAGAAACATTCAGAGAATTTGCAGCCAGGGCAGAGACCAATGGGGTGAATGGCGTCAACGGCGTCAACGGTATCAACGGCCATTGAGGCGAATGGACGAGACTGGTAACCCAACGTTGATAAAATCACAGATTATTAGCAGCATCCCATATCTTGTAGAAGAGGTCTTTTTGTACAACATACCTCAAAAAGAGAAAAGGGATGCGCCGCCCCCCAGAGTAATCGGAATCGAATTGAAGTTCCGCGCCCTGATCCTCTGTAAAGAGGAAAAGATTGCATAGCTCCCGCTGCGATTGCACTAAAGTAGGTCCACCTTACCAACTAAGGTGTCAAACAATCTTCGCAACGGCTCTTCCATAGGGAATCCTCCAAAGAGCATTACCAGCCGGGGCCGGCGTGTCCTTGAAGCCCTGTAAATTTCTGATGCCTGATTGCGAGCACGGTACAAATCATGCCGGGCCCTCGCAGGCAGTTCTGTGGTCTCTTCTTCGCGGGCTAGCCACGGTCGAAGGACGCAGATCAATGTTTGAAGATTACTCCGAATTTCTCATCTGCAGGTGAACAAGACAGTCTCGACTGCGGCTGAGCGCAGGATCCATCGTCGTAGGTAGCAGAGAACGCAGCGGTTGGGGAGCGGCGCGTCGGCGGAGGGAAAAGAAAATTGAATTGAGTCATGGAGATATTTATTCTCGTAGGTGGCATTCTGCCCTCAGTCACCGCCAAAGAACTCGTGGTCACGTGATCGAACTTGCCAATCGACCTCCTGGGAAGAAGTACTATATCGGATCCAGTGTGCAGCTGTGCAAGATTTAATGGCTAAATTATGTAAAGAATTGAAGACATTGCAAGTCTGCGGCAAATACAACGGTTCGAGAGAGGTGTTGTACCGCACCCGAGGGGTAAATCAAATATTTGGCAATTTCTTCCAGCGATAGATGGATTGATGGTATGAGGTTCTGGCACCATTGCAACACCGTATTTGGCCCAAGCGATTGATTCATCTGGATAGTCCGAGCATTCGGGCAAGAATGCGTCGATGCGCTGAGCTGCCACATAGTGACAGGCCACACGTCAGATTTAGGAAAGGTCTGGTATGGTTTCTTTCGGTATGCGCAATGTTCCAGAAGCATTATCAGATGATCCAACTCCGCCAGCCACTTCATTGACTATCGCAACTCTTTGTGGTAAGCGAATCATAGCACGTGATGTCAAACCCGCTCTGCTTCCAATTCGAGATAGTACAGCATCGAGGACGGTAGGGAAAACTCGATTTGGAGATGGAGCTGTGCTAATCCAAAGCAGGGCCCATGTCCAAAAGAAATAAAACCGTCGTCGCCCTCTTCGCCAGCGCGGCAATCGACCGGGGACCGATTCAGATTCGCGAACTCCAAGCGCCTAACTCTTACAAAACTGAAATGATGACGTCTTCTCTTCATTTGTAATGATGTTGTTGCCCGGGTGGCATACCACCAGATGCGTGGGGAGGTCCATTATTCCATCCTTGCGGCGGTCCTTGCTGAGGCATTACGCCACCTTGGCCTTGCTGAGACCCAACATCGGGTCGATTCCTGGCAAGCATGTTAAGGACTTGGTCCTTCATGGCGGTGATGGATCGCATAAACATACCTCATATCTTGACGGAAGCGACAGATAGAGCAGGCAATCTGGAAGCTGCGGTTAGTGGAGATGGCGATGGGAATGTAATCAATCGCGTACATCTTTATGCTTGCTTCCCAGCGGGATGACGGGTACCCAGCAGAAGGTGAACCAGTCCCATGACTGAATCGGATGTGCGGCCCAATTTCCACAGTTATGGCACTGCGCTGTTACACCCTCGTAGCCTGGGAGCGGTTTGGTAAAGTCTGGAGAAGCGTAGATTGTTAGCTCGCCGCAGGTGCGACATGGGATGTCCCGGGCACCGGCTTGCCTTTAGTGCCAACCACGAAGAAGAATGCCATGGTTCAGATGTAACGGGTATGGATATGTCAAGGTACGGCTAATGCTTATGCTTCTGCTCCGTGTACACAAGAGTCGATGGCACGAGGAACAGAAGAGGGAATGGTGGAGATGGTGGAATCGGCGGAAGTAGGCAGCTGGTTGGGAGCAGCCCAAGGCTTTTGTTGGCACAGAGGCGTCAAAAGAAAATAGATTATGTTTGATTATTTACTGGTAATGCAGCATGCAGCCCAGCGGAGAAAGCAGCCCGAGGCCAGTGAAGGCGTCCACGGGGAAGTGCATGAGGGTCTTGCACGGAGTGTGGCGATGCAGACGCGATGACGCGTGACTCGTGATGTTGAGGTCTTGGCGTGCTTGGCATAGCCCTCTTTGCATCATACCGAGTCATTGGTCCATCAACAACTGAGTCGGAGAGGCAAACACTTGTCACGCCACAGCCTTGTAAGCCTTGTGTCGTTGGTCCTAATACTCGGAAGTCGATTTCCGTGTGGAGTACGTGAAACACTGCATCAGAACGAGGTTTCTCGCTCAACCCTCAAGAATGGACATCATGTATTCACGGCATCTCGAGAATTCCCAGAGCCCGACCAGATTCTGGATCCTATGTACTGTTCTCTCACATTTTGAGCTCATTGCGGAATGTTACAAGTCCCTCCCGCCGTGGGCAGTATTCAAGACACCGTCCCCATGGCCATGTTGGTCATGGCTGGTTCCATTTTGCTCCTGCGATTGCAAATACAGCGCCGAAGAATAACAAACATGCATTCGAGTTCATCGCAGGCTTCGTCTCGCGCTCTCTCGCTCATTGGGTCTTGAAAAGTAAAATGGCAACGTGGCCAAGGTAGAAGTAGATAAAGTGCTTAGTTTCTGCAGCCTTGTCAGCAAAAACCCAGTCGAACAACGGCACACTCCTCACCATGCGTCACAAAACTGCCAAAGTTTCTCCCTACTATGCAATGCCATGTCGCACCCTTCTTGGAGTCGAACTGGGGTTAGCCATGTCAGCATGAGCGGTCAATGCCTGGTCATCCTCGGACATACTTCTCGTTTGATGTGTTGTGCGATATCCTTCTCTCCATTAGTACCGGAAACCATGTATAGTTCCATCTCTCTCACCTTCTCTACACTAAATTTCTCCATTGCTTCTTGGGCTACCAGTCCGTCAGTATTCGCATGCGCCATAAGATATCCATGTACGGAACCGTACCAACTTCGATGGCTTCCTGCTGCATATCCTCGCTCTTCAAATCATGTTAGGTTCTAATCGATCGCTCGGTGGTAGGGTCTCTGTGCTAACCATGTCCACTGACTTGATCTGGGCTGCATTGTCGTTAGTCAATGCCCATACTGGCATGCGATCACTCACGCTCCAACTTGACCTTCTTCTCAGGAACATTTTCTGTTGACGCCATGATGACTGTATGAGTTAAGGATGTGGGGCACTTTGAACCGAGTCGAGACAGTGATTTTAAAAGTGATGAAGCCAAAGGTCCTCCTATGGAGGCCTGGTTGTTGTTCTCCTAAGATCATTAACATTTGGTGCCCGCCCGGCGCACTTACCTAACTCGGCAGTATCACGTGACGGGGATTGATTTACAGGTGCCGCTTTAATTTTTTCCATCACCATCTACTACGCCTGACCGTCTGTGCTGTACACTCCTCCTGGGTTGTTGGCCCGAAGAATGTCTAGCTTTTAGGGTGCTCTTGCATAAGCACTGAATCTGGTATCAGCTCTGAGATTTACCACATGGTAATAGCTTTTTATGGCTCTGCATTCCTTGCGGCCGAGCGCTTCAAAGGTGTGAGTTGCGTCCATGTACCAAGCGTGTCCGGCTGCTGATTACCGTATGTTGTTCGCAAACTAATCGGTGGGATGGCCCAGAGCCCCAGGCTGCAAAGGCCTATTTCGAGTTGCAAATTAATTAGATTTGGTATTTGAGAACGTTTTCTTGAAGTCTTGTTTACTTGCAACACACAGTGGCTCGTCTGTGTTAGTAACCGCCTGGAAGGGTATTTTGATTGCGATAGGCTGGATTGATCGAAAATCCACTCGGTTGGGTCGCCCAAGTGCTGCGCCTTGTGGGGTCCTAATTCTCCACCCTTAATGACAAAGGAGCTACCTCATATAAGTAAAAGCGAGGCCAGTCCCCTGGAGTTAGTCGAGACAAATGGTCAGCCTGTGGCCAAACTCGCCTTTGTCAGGACAGGAGTTGAATTAAGATTTTCACAACAGGGCTATCTCTGAAACATTCCACGTAACTGCCAAGACGAAGGGCCCCCTTCATATGAGGTCTTTATGAAGTTGATATGATAAGTGTGTAGAGGGCGCAAGCCATGTCCTCACAAATGTGCCATCCTCTAATCCAAGCTCCCTTCCTTGGCTCGACTTCTTGGTAGACTCTGAAACAGTATTGATCTACATAGCCGAGTATTTCGTCCTCCGTATCCCGTACATTGCCCTGAACCAAGAATCAACTACCCACAGTTCATTCAGGGTCAGCGGCCTGCAACCCTTGTCTAAGTGCTTAGTCTCCTTAAATCCCTGATTACGCAATGCAGGCGCAGTCGTTCTGCACCAATCACTCGGGATTTGATATTACTCGTATATCGTTGAAATTTCGCCTGCCTAAATAATCATCCTCCTAGTTGTGTTTAGTCCGCGTATTTGAACACAAGAACTACATAGCCGCATGCCCCGTTTGCGACAGAGCTATTTACTTATTCGCAGAGGCTGGCCCCAAACAAGTGCCCCTGAGTCGTTGTCACACTCTGTCGACAATTTTAGGTCGAGTACAAACTTGATGTTTGCTGAGGAGGTTGTTTTAATTGCTGCCTGGCGGCTTTTAAGGCCCCCGGACCCGACAACACACCAAGACCCGAAATCTATCAGAATACATGCTTCAGTCATTAGGCTTTAATCCTTGTATGCCCTGAAGGTCAACATATAACATCCAAACCGGGCTTCTGCTTGCCGAACCGTAAATTCACTATCCATGAAGCCTAAATCATATCATGAGTTTCACGCGACCAAGGCTAAGGGAGTTGAAAGCTTGCCAGACTTGCGCGAAGGCGAAGTCCAAATGTGAATTGGATTATGGAGCAAGCAAATGCAAGCGGTACGGTCCAATATTGCGATATGTGCGAGGCTTTTGAACTGATGGTCAATATCAAAGATGTCAGCGATTAAACAAGGGATGCACGATCCAACAACATGGCAGTCAACAACATAAATCTCCCAATCATCGACCTAACAGCAAATCGTAAGTCTCAAAAGCGCGCCGAGCGAAAATAGGCTTATTTGCCCAAAAGAGATATCCTTCGCTTGGAATCGAAAGTAGACTCAATGACTCAGCTCCTTTCAACATACTCCAACACCCATCGAAGTAGATCTCCCAACTCGAATTTTAGCAGTCAAGGTAGCAGTCCCCCAATCGGTGACACTGCTGTTTCTCCTATCAGCGACATTCTTCCGACAGATACACAGGAAGCCAGCTCGTTGCTCGACATGTTTCGTACAGAGATGATGCCTCTGTTCCCGTTTGTCCACATCCTACCCAGCGCGACTCCATCCAGCCTGCTTCAGGAGAGGCCAATACTTTATCTGGCAATTCTTGTAGTCGCGAGTCAGAACAACGTTGAGAGGCAATTGAAACTTGTGAAAGTTATTCGAGAAGAGGTCAGTCGCAGATTTATGATATCCTCACAACAGGACTTGGGAGTGCTTGAGGGACTACTGGTTTACCTGGCTTGGTAAGTACTAAAAATCCGAATCATATATGCGATTTCCTTAACAGAGACTTTTGCCTCTTCTTCCCTACGTTAATCTAACTTGCTGAATTCTGTAGGAACCATGTTCATCTGGCACTTGGCACACCATCTGTTCGAGTGATACACATGATCATGGCACTTGTAACTGAGCTCGGCCTGGACAAAGAGCCAAATACAATATCAAATACTAGTCCGGGAGGAGTCAGTGCCATTGGTATTTCTACATCCAACGTAAACCTTAGGACACTAGCAGAAAGGCGGGTCTTATTGGGTGCACTTTGGCTCAGATCAGTGTTCGTTGATTGTGACTTCGGCCCTCGATTTTCCACGGTGCGCTGACTTGTGATTTGTCAGATTCACTACATGTAGTACAGAGTTTGACGCCCTGAAATTTGGGAAGTATGCAGACAATTGTTGCCGAATTCTCGAAGAGACCATGGAATATCCTACAGACATCTATCTAGTGCAAATTGTTCGAATACAGCGTATAGCAGATGAAAGCAGGACAACATTGTACAACGAAGCTCTCGAAAGTGCATCCGAGTTTTCAACGCTCTTGTCCATGGGCATGGCCTCATTGGAGAGAGACCTGCGAGAGGTTGGAACAACTCTTCGCCTGGATATTCCTCAAGCAGGTGAGACTGATGCCCCATTACCAAATACACTTTCCTCTAGACAGGACGGTGTCGTCAACGGAAATTCGGAGAGTTGTTTAACACTCAGCAGTGTTGATGGTAGTATCCTACCATACGGTACAGGTACATCTTTATAAAATTGCACTGGAGGACAGGATCTTCAGCAGTTGCACGGGCGGATTTCTCCACGCCAACAACTCGTTCTCTCCAGGAACGCCTGCTTTAAATCGTCATGCTCTTCTATCGTCTTGTTGGTCAGCGACGAAAGCGATGACCAAATGCTTCCTTACCGTCTCGCCAAACCTTATCTTCTCTTTGCCATATCCGATTTGGTTGCAACTCGGACACTCACTGCTTATATTCTCTCGCCTGCTGACGGTTAGAGACGAAGCATGGAACAACTCTCGGATTTCAGCCATGGAAGACTTCAAAGAGATGATTTTGAAGCTCTCTCAAAGACTGGAGGAGGTTATGAGTCACGGATCACAGCTTGTTCCGCCTCGGCGACTGCCCGACATCTTCCACCTGCTGGTGGAGAGATTAAAGGAAATTGCAAGGATTGTGGGAGGAAACTCAACCGACTATGCCGTTGAAATGGTCGATGAAGAAAATTTCTTTGTCCCGGACGACACGCTGGAAGCAATCGACCAGTTTTTCGCTCAGGAAGCAGCGCAGGCGTCATTGTTCAATTTTTCGCCCATTGGAGGAGATTCCTGGGTGTAATGATAAAAATTACCGCCATTAGGCTGTTCACAAGAGAAATCTCCTTCATATGTAACTATTGAATATCAAGTCAACATTATAGGAAGTTTTTTTTTGGATATAAGACGGGAGTCGGTCTACGTCCAGAATCACCTCTGACTCACCCTCGTGGATCGTAAGGGGGACTCGCTCCAATCACGTTATTGGATACGGGAGGCGACCGGCGATGTTTAAGGCGGCGTCAAGGTCGTCTCCCAAATGACGTTGAAACCTTGGCATTAGCTTGCGGGTGGCTTTCTACAAACATTTTTTCTTGCCCTTGCATTCGGCCCCAGTTCAGAGAAACGGTCTGATTGACACCACTTTCTTTTGTCTGGCCACGAAGATGAGGAAAACTTCGGACACGGTACAATCCAAGAGTCCAGACTCGTCTGTAACTCGAGTCTTCGTCTCTGGACTCCCTCCTTCGATGACAACAGAACAATTGCACACACACTTCTCCTCCAAATTCACCGTGACTGACTCCCACGTCGTGCCGGAACGTCGTATTGGTTTCATTGGCTTTGTGGATAATGAGTCTGCAGCATCAGCCGTCAAGTACTTCAACAGATCTTTCGTCAAGATGTCCAAGATATCTGTAACTCTAGCAAGACCTGTTGAGATAAAGAGGGATGGGACCGGACAGGCAACGCCTGTTTCGCTCCGGCGGACAGGCGGAAAGCAGGAAAGCCTGCAAAACGAGTTCAAGAAGCGGAAGCGAGAAGCATACGATGACGGCGAAAAACCCCGGCAGCAAACATATCAACAACAGCCAACGCAGCAAGATTCGAAGAGGCAGGCAGGTTCGGCAGATGCAACTCAAGAAGAATTGCTCAGTACGGGCAATGTCCAAGCAGGGTCTAGAGATATTCAGGGATCGGACAGTGACTGGCTACGTGGCAAAACCAGTCGGCTATTGGATCTTGTTGAAGACGGTGCTTTGGATTCAACCCCTCTGCCGACAGGTCCAGAAGCACTCCTAAGTCGGCCGACCGAGTCTTCCAACGTAGTGAATGAGGTGGACATTGCTGAACCTACGCCCAACGAAGTTGGAAGTGGTACGACAGCAATCTCCATCGCGAATGCCCGGTTGTTTGTCCGTAATTTGCCATTCAATGCTTCACAGGACTCGATCCGCGCGACCTTTTCTCCGTACGGAAGGATATCTGAGGTAAGCCAAGACGTCTCTGTTGTCAATGCCCTTACACTTGTGTGATGATTTCCTGATAGGGACAGCTTATGCTCAATGCGTATGATGTGAATGGGAAAGAGTATTTTAGTAGATGCTTCTCACTTCTGACTCTTATTCTCTACAATATGATGTCCAAGAACCGTTTTGGGTGCGTAGGCTGACAGAACTACATATAGGTACACCTCGTGACGGACACGCGAACCTCATCCGGCAAAGGTCTAGGATACATACAATTCGTGGAACCTTCGGACGCTGAAAGAGCTTTGCTTGAATTGGACGGCAGAGACTTCCAAGGGAGACTCATGCATATCCTTCCAGCCTCGGACAAGAAGATATCCAAGCTGGATGAGTTCGAAATCTCGAAGCTGTCACTGAAGCAACAACGGGCATTGAAGCGTAAGACAGAAACGGCAAATTCCAGCTTTAGCTGGAATTCTTTGTACATGAATCCTGATGCCGTTTTGGCCTCGGTGGCAAATCGACTTGGAGTATCGAAAGCAGATTTGCTCGATCCGTCCTCGTCAGATGCCGCTGTCAAACAAGCCCATGCCGAGACCAGCGTGATCAAGGAAACGAAGGACTATCTAAAGTCGCAAGGTGTGAACCCAGATGCGTTCACGGCACGGCGACGGGACGATTCCACGTTGCTGTTGAAAAACTTTTCATACGGGACAACTTCTGAGGAGCTTCAACAGATGCTGAGTCAATATGGGACGATTCGTCGCTTAATATTTCCTCCCACAGGTACAATGGCTATTGTGCAGTACGAGGAACCTTCCTCTGGAACATTGGCAATCAAAAAGCTCGCCTATCGCAATCTGAAGGGATCCGTGCTATTCGTTGAGAAAGCACCTGAGGGTCTCTGGGGAAGTCCAAATAGTTCGCGACCGGTTGAGGACACAATGGCGGATGATCTAGATGCTTCTTTTACCACTTCGGCCACATTGTTCGTTCGCAATCTCAACTTCACTACCTCTAGTACCAGACTTGCCGAAGCCTTCAAGCCCCTTTCTGGTTTCCTCTCTGCTAAAGTCAAAACAAGGACTGATGCCAAGAAGCCTGGTGAAGTACTCAGTATGGGTTTCGGCTTCGTTGAGTTCCGCACTAAGTCCCAGGCCGAAGCTGCAAGAGTGGCGATGAATGGAAGGATAGTTGAGGGACATGAAATCGTCGTCCAATCATCTCAAAAGCCCACCGATGCGGCGGAAGAAAGACGAAAAGAGGACGCTTCGAAGAAATCTAATGCCAAGAATACCAAGATCATCATCAAGAATCTTCCTTTCGAGGCATCTAAAAAGGACATCCGTGCATTGTTTGGTGCTTATGGCAAGTTGAGAACTGTCCGCCTTCCTAGAAAGTTCGACAACACTGCCCGGGGGTTTGCCTTCGCCGAGTTTGTTACTGCGAAAGAAGCTGAGAATGCGATGGATGCTCTCAGCAACACCCATCTGCTCGGACGTAGACTCGTCCTGGATTTTGCAGAGGGTGAAATAGTCGATCCTGAAGCCGAGATCCGGGCCATGGAAAGGAAAGTCCAAGGTCATGAAAATATGTTGGCCCACCAAAGGATGACAGGTTCGGCCCGGAAGAAATTTAACGCTGATGCTGCACGAGATGATGTTGAGCCTCTCTGAAAGCCCTCCCAAATTAAGCCATCCCTTGCAGGCATCCATGCAATTTTCTCTGGACATCATTGAATCAGAGCCAAGCCTTTGTTGTTCAATTTCGAGCAGAATAATCAACCCTGGGGAATAGTTTCTCAACTCTCAGCTACATCGTCGTAGAACATTTGTCTAGAGATGCCCTTGAAGAGCCTTTCAAATGTTTTCACGACGGAGTATGACTTTGTTGTATCAAGCGATGAACTCCATGTCATGATGCGACATAATTCGAGCCTCATGATCAAGGCATCCTTCCGTTACATCGCCATTTGGCGAAAAGGTAATTCGTCTATCTCCCGGTTACTAACAGTCTCATCCTCCCTCGAGATTCACCCTTGCCATGGGCAAATGTTGCCTGTTTCCTACCCCTTGCATCATCCTTTCTTGACATCTCGGGCCAACGCGGTAAGGATTGCAAACGAACCCTCTGTCGTGAAATTGCATGTCTTGCTTGGATGCGGTTTCCTTGGACGGAGCTCTCGTCAAATGTCCGTGAGTCTGAAATCAAAGCATCACTGGCCAATCTCACTATGGGGGGAAGAATGGTGTGCACGAGCATCTAGTGTGTGTACTACCTATTCATATAATGTTGTCAATGTTCAATATCCTGTCCTTCCTCCAGCATTCCATGACATCCATTCCAAAGTTTTTGTTCTTGTTCACTGCTCTTGAGTGCATTTTTCCCGCCCATTCTCTCTAGCATTTTTGAGGACGCACTGGGCGCACAACGCATTGATGGATTATACTGTTACCTCTGTGCCTGAAGTTGTGGGCATGCGTTCCGCCAGTCTTCCGCTGGGAGTTCCCCCTAGCAATGCCCAGTCCTTGCTGGTCGACACTCGAGATGGTATTGAAAACCAGTCGCCGGATCTTCTAGAACAAGTGCCTCAGTTTCCTATCCCGGCTGTGAAACTGGGTTCAAATGATGGCCCTGATCATGAAGTCGACACAGACATCAAGATAGATACCGCCAGGGTATATCGACAAAAAACATTCTATGACCCAAAGAGACCTTTCCTTCAAAATCCCAAATACCTTGAGTGGTTGGGACGACAGAGGCAAGAATTCGGTGACGATGGGAAACCGGTTTGGTCTGCTGAAGTTGAGGCTGCATTTCAAGATGGTAGGGTCTCTGTCTCACTCACAGGCAGGTCGCTAATCTCTCCAAAGCACTCACTCATATCCCACCGATGGGCCGAAAGAAGTACTCTCAACGAAGCCGGTTATTTGGGCGAAATATGCTTATTGCAGAATGGATACTCCAGGCTACTGGTGAGAAAAGGGAACGTAAACAGGTTTCAAGCCATATTCAAGTTCTCGACCGTTTCCTCAAAGGGATACCTGAATGTAAAGACTCTCCTGCCCGTCCGTCACTTGTAATTAATTTTTCTACAGGGGATCTCTTGATCAAGCCCAGCCGGTTGTCCTTAACAGCGGGTACGGGTGATGGCCGCAAATACTATCACAATTCTATAGAGCACATGGTCAAACAACAAAAGGCCACGAAACATCTCGCTCGGGCGCACCTACTGCAGCGTCACAGATCCAGCTCAAATGCTGATGAGGCCGAATGGGATACAAGTCACCTCGCAAATTTACTCGACGTCAATTACCTGCATCGTATGAATTTTGAGATGTGGGTGAGCTTTCCAGACCAGCCTGAGCATGCCTTGCACAAGTACACAAATTTACAAACCGCGACCGCGACTTCAATGCCAATGCCACTTGAGGAACTCGTTGATTGGCGACTATCCTTTCCCCATTTACAGAACAGCATAGAGGAAGGCTCGCCATCTGCACGGTGTGAAATTGTACTGCTTGACACAAACTTTCAGCTTATGGACAATTTTCCACCGCGTCACTCCAAGCTCGGGATAGGATTGGAGCTGGAGTTCCGCGCTAGAGATTGGAAGTCAAAGGTCTCTCCACCCGATGAACCAAAGAATTGGTACTCCATCACGTACATGTATCAGAATGGAGAGCAAGTGCAGGAGGCTATTTTTGAAAAGTGCATCATCTCTGCCCACGGACAAGTCAGACCTGTCTTTCAATCTAGATGGTGGGCATCAACATTTACATCTCTGACGGAGATTAAGAAGCTCGCGGAGGACTCCAAAGATCCCATAGCAATTCATTCAGCGGATGATCACGTCCGAGGGTTCTTTCACAGCTTGACCATCATGCAGGAGGTCTGGGCATGTTATGATGGGGCGGACGGAAACAACTCGGGAAGAAGAATGGCAATCCTGCTCTGGAGGTTTTCCCAAGCGCAATCTGGATTCGTGGGAACAACAACGTGGCAAAAACTCATTGCTCCTCCCCACCGCCTTGCAACAAACAGCCCGCTACCGCCAGCGTCAGAGATGGGATTACCTCCTCTTGCCCTGGATACAATGATGGAAGGCTCCCCCATCCATGCTAACTTTGACAGAAATGACCACTTCCTCGAAGAGCCAAACCTGTCTTGGGACAGTTTTATTCCATTCAAACAGGATGGAAGCCCTGAATTTGGTCAGATGGCTGCCACCTTTGCCAATTCGATCAGTGCCGGCCTATCCTTCGACCAGCTCCACGAGACTAGCGACCACAATAATTTTGGACTCCAGGATCCGAGTGGCCTCGAGATACATTCCCAGCAAGACCACCCAATTGAAGCAAATCTCTTTGAGTTGCCACGTCTGACAAAAGAAGAAACCAATCTCTCACGCACGCATTATGGCCTGCTTGATCATTTGTCAGGGAGCTCCCATTCACCTCCTATATCTCACGATCGACCATTGGCAAGATTCGACAGGAAGTACCACACCGTCCTGCAAGAGCAACTCGGCACGGATGATTCGCACCAAGAGAACAGCCAACATCCAGGAAACGAACTGTGCCTCGGTTCAGAGCACAAGAGTTCACAAAAACCTCTGATTAAGTCCGAGCCCGATGACCAAGATTGCATGAATATGTCTCCTAGTTATCATGAGCCTTGGGCACATGTTGATGAACACGATGAAGCCCTCTACTCTGCCTTGCTTGCTGTATCTGCAGATGATGCTGTTGACAATAGTCAACCACCCATCATTCCACACTCGCCCGGTCAGGACGACGGTCAGTATGTCTCACCTCAGCAATCACAAACACCGCACTGGGAGTCTCCTGTAGCCTTTCGACCTCCGTTGCAGACTCATCATAGTTTCCCAAGTTTGGAGTATCAATTAGGAGTTGATGATTCTTTCGCCCTGATATCATATCCTCACTCTCTTCTTGCCCATGACCCGGGCTTGCAGTCGAAATTCCCAGAGGTGGAAGGATATTTGGATGCCAATTCCCACACCATAGATGTCTGTGCGCCGACTTTGACACGCCCTCGAAGTGAGCCAGACCTATCTGCTTATCAAAGCGCCGAGCCCGATATCACTCTATTGCATCACCAATCCGTTGTGCCGAGATCGCAGACTCAAGAGAGCAGTCTACAGGCTGGCTTGCCAACAGCTGTCCATGCGTTCAGGCAATTCTCAAGTCACAGATCCGACTCTGCGTTGCAAGAGCGGTCAGGGTTTCCGGGGTTGATAGCGCCCACTTTCGAAGTAGAAAGCCAAAACGATGAAGCCTATGCCGAGGTCAAAATGGCGGATATTGAGGTCTGATTCTGCATAAGCATATCATTAGCCAAAATGGGCACGGCGACCAGGCTATGCAAATGGTGCGGGGATAGGCCTTGGACACGCACGGCTGGTGGCGCTGGCTATTCCTAGAATGAGAATGAGAATGAGAATGATATGGGACCATTGCTCGGTCCTTGGTGCACCGTTCTCCGTGCTTAGGTTTAAGAGGAATACTTGATACTGCCAGGGGTTTCATTGTGTTCTAGTAATTCATCCTCCTTGGTTACCTTTCTTCATTTTAAAATTGGATGTCCCTGTTCCTTGCATTTTCCTACTTCCAAGTCCTTCGAAAGGAAGCCAACAAGCTACCCCGCAGAATACAAGGTCTATTCCCTGGAGTTTGGTGGATCTATCCCACGCTCGTCATAAGGCTAATTTTTTCCCTAGCAAGATTGCTTGCCGGTGGATGGTTTTCTCCACCGGAGTTTCTTTCTCCGGATTCACCTTCGTCGGCAGGAAAATATAAAATCGGCGCAGATTGGATCATTCTGTGCCCGTTAGATCTGAGCTACGCAAAAGCCTAGCCTTAGGCTGGCTAGCAAGATTGAATTCTCCCGGACTCTCCGCATTTTGCTTGCAAGCCGTGCTTCTCGGTACTTTTTTTCCTCGAGGCCTAGAGAACCTAGGATGAAAGAAAAGTGCTTCCCCAGGGTCGGCGGCCATGAGGTGGAAACCACTCCACTTCGAAATGAGACGGCGGCTTGTCTTGAAGAAGATCTCGCTGGTGAAATAGGTATATATACTGCACGCCAACACTCCGGTTCAAGCGATCGCTTCGCAAGCTGTGTCTCGACTCTGACCCAAGGTGAGTTTTCCACCAAACATGGCGCGACCTCATCCTCTCGTTGCGTTCCTTCTGTCATTCGTTCTACTCCCTCTCGTTGTGCTCTCCAGACCAGAGTCATCAAACAACTGGGGTGGCCGTCCCACTGCGAAGACTGACGCAGGTGTCGTTGTTGGCATTACCGCGACGGTTTCCACTTCTAAGACGGTGTTGAACAGTTTCCTCGGTGTACCCTTCGGCGCACAGCCTGTGAGATTCGCCGCTCCCAAACCGCCAGCGCCATGGAAATTACCGCGGGATGCCTCGCAATATGCACCAGCGTGTATTCAACAGTTCAACTACCCTGACCCGCGACGCACTAAAATCCTCGAATGGTTCAACTCTCCCCCTCCACCAGCCGGAGAAAGCGAGGACTGCCTCAACTTGAACGTGTACGTGCCCCAGCCAGTACGAAAGCCGAAGGCAGTCATGGTGTGGCTGTATGGAGGCGGCTTGCTTTACGGCTCGAACTCTGTGGAGAAGTACGATGGCTCTTACCTCGCCGCAAACAACGATGTCATTGTGGTTGTACCGAACTATCGCACAAACGTATACGGCTTCTCGGGCTCCCCTCAAGTGCCAGTTACCGAGCGCAATACGGGATTCCTGGACCAGAGGTTAGCGCTCGACTGGGTACGACGTAATATTGCCGCCTTTGGTGGTGATCCAGCCAAGGTCACCATCTTTGGAGAAAGCGCTGGTGCTCTCAGGTAAGTGAAAGTTCACAAGATCGCAAATTATAAATCTTGAATACTTGCCGGGCACTAACAAGTTCCTATCTATGACAGTGTCGATGCCTTGGTCACAGCACCACCGAAGCCACTCAACTTCTACGCGGCAATCATGGAGTCTGGAACCGCGACATTTCGTGGAGTACCAGCAGATTACTCCTCCTCGTGGAATATTCTGGTTGCTGCCATGGGCTGTGGTAACTCTACGGCCGCAGACAACAATGCCCCCGAGATCCTTGCCTGCATGCGAGCGGTAGACGTGGCCAAAATCAAGGATTATAACGAGCACGCCCGCTTGGGCTGGGCTCCAGTCTTTGACAACGTTACCAGTAATTATTTAGCTCGTTCCGACCGACTGAGTTCCAAAGCATCATACTCTAAGATTGCCAGAGTACCCATCCTCGGAGGCTCCAACGCCCATGAGGGCCGCCTGTACTCCGTCAATGCCACGAATGCGACTGCGTTCGTCCGGGGCCTTTTCCCATTAGCAACGGATGCCGAAGTCTCTGGTCTCTTGGCAGCTTATCCTGGCTACTCGAGCATGTTTAGGCAGCTCGCCGCGCTTTACACGGACTTTATATTTCAATGTCCAGCACGGCTGGTGGCACTAGAAACTGCAAAGGCCGGCATTCCCAGCTATCGCTACTACTACAACGCCAGCTTTGCGAATACCCAGATATTCGAGGACGCTGGGGTCTACCACGCCTCTGAGATTGGCGTCGTGCTTGGCACATATCCCAAAGAGGGCTCCACAGCCTTCCAGCGCGAATTGAGCACATACCTGGGGAAGGTCTGGACGGACTTTGCGAAAGATCCTTACGGCTCGGGCAGGCCGCCGTGGCCAACGGTGCCCACAGCTATGGCAGAACTAGGTGGCGGCGTTCGTGCAGAAGATGGGCCAGACACCAGCGGCAACCTAGTCAATGCACTGTCCCAGCAGGAGACGGACGCGGTCGATGCTGGTTGCGCCAAATTCCAAGCTATATATGATTTCTTAGGCCATTGATATGCCAGACTGAAGTGATGAAGCAGGAGTCGCAAATAAAATAGGATAATTATATTTCTATTTCGTCTCATTTATTCCAATTCGTGTGGCTTCTGACACCAATAGTCCCAGAGTCACGTGAGTTCGCGTTGTACTTCGTCACCGGGGAGATAGCGGGAATATGAGGAGGAGCCAATGCCCGATCGCAGAGTAAATGCTTTTTGATATGATAGAAATAATAATGAGGCAACTTGCCTTGCTGGTAAGACGTCTGGGAATATTGTCAGCGTCTTCTCGGCATGTCATGATGAACAGATACATATCAGAGCCATTGTTTAGGTTGTTTCGGTATCGTGAATAGACTGGAAAAGCTACGTTGGCACTTTTTGACTGCCCTCAGTCTTCCAATGATCAGGTTCATGTGGAATTCTTGTCTTGGTTTGGGCTGAAGTCACAGAACACGTCAACTGCAGTTAAAGCGACAGCACAAACAAACCTAGGGACAACAGACAGCTTATGGCAACAGGGTGATGTTTTTCTAATAGATCCTCTATCAACACCCAGCGTGGATGGGGCATGGAGAGATGTTTTTGCTCAAGGCTTCGACTGGGAGTCGTCCTTCGGAATGGACTTCTTTTCCACAGCAACACAATAAGCGGACCTGATCCAGCAGATATTGGCCTTTACCACTCTAGGATTTCGGATGCATCCGACAACCGGCATAACCTCTCCTTGGAAACTTAGGCCTCTGATCAATGTCTTTTCGCTAGCGCCTATTGTCGCTCTCAATATTCTTTATCAGCGTCTGATCTTTTACATTGTGTCACAGTTCCTATAGAATACTATGTCTGTACCCACCAAGCCACTCAATGTGGAATCTGTCAGGTCCACCTCTCTGGGGCATCGTAGACCGGTTCAATGGAGGAACCTTGTTGTGGAGGCTTTCATGAATATTTTCCAGGTCACTTCCTTAGGCCAACCCATGGAAGTTCTGAAAACCCATGTGGCTGCTCATAGAGGAGATACGCTCCGAGAGGCTGCCCGAAAGACTTGGTCAAGAGGCGGCTTCACGGCCTTCTACCAAGGATTGATCCCATGGGCATGGATTGAGGCTTCAACCAAAAGGAGCAATACTGATATTGGCATCAACGGAAGTTAAAAAATGGCCCAAATTTCAGTTTGGTGCCAGTCCTGCGGTACCTGGAGTACTTGGTAGGATTGCCGGTGGAGCTGCCCAATCATACCTGACAATGGGTATGCAAATACTCCTTCAAAAGGTGCTGGGAAGCTAATAGGAATAGGTATGAAGACGTGTATGAAAACTGTCGAGATCACACGCGGCAAAACAGCAACCACTGGGGGAAGAGTGGCCGGAACCATGGAGACGTCCTTCCATATCTTGGAAGCCAAAGGCATCCGAGGTGTCAACAAAAGAGTAAATGCTGTTGCACTGCGGCAAATCACCGGCTGGTCTTCAAGGATCGGGATATCACGTCTCGCAGAGGGTAAAATTAGGGAACTTCGGCGCAAGGCGCCAATCGAAAGGTTGAACATGGGTGAAAAGATTGCTGCTTCCACGGTTGGTGGCGCTAAGCTGCTGGAATCAGCCATTCGAGGTATGCCTCTGCTGGAGTTTCATTCTCCATTGTACACAGAACTGACGAAATTGCAGGTATTGCGAGTCGAGATGCAATCAGTGAAAGCAGATCCAGCTCGCCCAGCCAATGCCTCGATGCTCACCACTTTAATGTTTATCCTGAAGGAATCTGGGGTGGGGGCTCTATTTCGGGGTGTCGTCCCTCGGATCGGTGTTGCTTCTTGGGCTACAATATGCATGGTCGGGTGAGGCGACCAAGTCAAAGATGCTGTAAATAGATTGCCTGTGGGGAAATAATGGATCACAAATGCTGGATACTATGCTTGCAGGCGTTGTATATGGAATCATGTTTCCGGGGAATATTACGAACGTCCTTTAGCAATAAAATGCTTTAAACGAGTTGATTGAGCCTAGAAGCCGTTTTGAATTATCCTTGAGAATATACACACTAAACTATTAAACTATGTATCATTCTGTTCCAGATTGGATCAGGGTTTCATTGTTGGCGGTGTCCGGGCTCAAAAATGTGGCCCTGTATTCAGGCCAGACCACCGCGGTTCAGCCTTGTCGGGAGCTAACCAGGTGTAGATGAATGTGATCGGACCCATCCGAAATGCCTTCCCCTGGATAGTCACGATGCTCCTCAAGAATGTCATCTGAATTACCTTGTTCCTCTTTGGAATCTCACTTCCTCGGTCCTGGCATTGAATTATTCAATATTAAAACCGCGAATTCTCCTTTAGTAATTATTCTCACGGCACCCATCACCAACTTATACCTAGATGGAGTACATATACGCCGATAGACAACAAGCCCTTCATGATGATCGCACTTCCGAGAACGTCCAAACCTGCCAGGGTTTTTGGACTCCACTAGTCAAAGCCAATTCCATTTTCTCGCTCACTGGCAGTTCCTACCACAGTTCACTGCGATCATCTTATCGTGGGCCGAGACGGCGGTGAAAAGGACCTTCCGAACGCCATTGAAGCCCATCGTGAGGTCTATGACTTCATAGCTAGTGCTTGTCAACGATATAATATGGGATATTGGAGGCCTGGAGCTCTAATTATTCACCAAATCGTCCTAGAGAATTATGCTTATCTTGGCGGTATGATGGTTGGGACAGACTCTCACACCCCAAATGCAGGCGGAATGGGTATGATTGCAATCGGCGTTGGTGGTGCAGATGCTGTAGACGTGATGGCTGACCTTCCACTAGAATTGACCGCGCCTCGCATTATTGGTGTCCGTTTTGCTCAGAGCGAACTACGAGCCGACAACGGCGCCGAGTACGATAAAATTATTGAGATCGATTTGCCTTCTCTCGAACCAATAGCTAATGGACCGTTTACCCCGGATCTGTCGACTCCCATATCTAGATTTGGCCAGGCTGTCTCGAAAGAGGCGCGGCCGTCCACACTGACGGCAGGTTTGATTGGCTCTTGCACAAATTCGTCCTTCGAAGACATGTCGAGGGCTGCAAGTCTCGGTCAGCAAGCTTTGGATGCTGGTCTCAAACCAAAGATGAACCTTCTTGTGTCACAGGCAGCGAGCAGACTAGAGCCACGCTAGAGAGCGCAGGGATTTTGGATGTTTTTGAGCGACTCCAAAGTACTCTGCTCACAAACGCCTGTGGACCATGTTGTGGTTCGTGGGACAGGCGTGACATGAAGAAGGTGAGATGACATCCTCGATAATAAGCTGAGTGTGAGGAAGCTGATCACAACAGGGCACTCAAAATTCAATAATCACGTCCTACAACCGCAACTTCACCGGTCGGCTCGATTCGAATCCGGCAACGCATATTTTCCTTGCCTCCCCCGGAGCTAGTGATGGCCAAGATATTCTCTTCTGACCTTGCCTTTGACCCTACGAAGGATATCTTAGAGACGGAATCTGGAGAAGAGTTCACATTTCAACCTCCAACCGGGGAGCGTCTTCCCCTCAACGGCTACGAGGATGCGGACGATGTTTACACGCCACCACCATATGAGGGCAGGTGTCTGATTGACATAAAGATCGACCCTGAGTCGGAGCAATTGCAGAAACTAGAGCCATTTGAAGCATGGTCCGGAAAAGACTTTGAGGGTTGTTCAATACTCATTAAAGTTAAGGGAAAGTGTACGACTGATCACATTACACCTGCCGGGCCGTGGTTTCGCTTTCCAGGACATCTGGAGGACATTTCCAACAATACAATCATTGGGGCAACGAACGCTGAGAATGAAAAAGTCAATACTGTCACCAACCATTTGACAGGCGCTGTGAGCGACGTGCCTAGCACCGCGCGATCTTATAAGAGTTTGGGGCAACCCTGGGTAGTAATAGCCAACCACAACTATGGCGAAAGGGTCCTCTAGAGAGCACGGTGCTCTCCAACCACGGTACCTTCGTGGCGTCGCCATTATAGCGAAGAGTTTCGCGCGTATCCACGAAGCCAATTTGAAGAAGCAAGGCATGTTGGCTCTCACATTTGCCGACAAGGCAGACTACGAGCGCATCGGGTCCTCAGAAAAGGTCAGTATTTTGGAGTTGAAAGAACTGACTCCAGGGCAATCACTCTTCCTTACAGTGTCCCCTTCCAGCGGAAGTGGGTCTCCTTGGGAGTGTGAGGTCAAGCACACCTTCAACAATGAACAAATCGAATACTTCAAAGCAGGAAGCGCCCTAAATTTGATGGCAGCAAGAGCTTGCTCGAACAAGGAAATAGCCTAGATTTCCTCTGCCATTAGCCAAGGAGGGCTGACTGGGGCGACCCTAGATATGTCCTCTCAGCATTGAAGTTTGTTGCATGTATTCCTTACTTTTACGTTGTTGATAGATACCGCTGAGTGTCCTGGCCAAGGGGGAAATATGGTTGAGCGAGGGCGATCATCGATAGCCGAATCTTCAATCGGAAATAGGATTCGCAGTAATCAAAAGGTTTTCTAAATAACATCTTTAAAGTGTCACAAATCATACCTGTTACTTTCGAACCATGTTAAAGACGACATCTGAATTGAAGTCTGTTATGATATAAGTCAACCTGAACAAGCTCATTCGCAGCTTGAAGAGCCATGAAATAATTCATCCTCTCACGGATTTACTCGTCAAACTATTATGATGATTGCAGGAAGCGCGAGCTGGAGGCATCATTATGCACGATGTAGATGCATGTACTGATCGAATCCTTGTAACCTTGTAACCAATATTGATCCGTCGTGAGCACTGATAAGTCGCGATCTGAGTCCTTTTGCAATTTTCAACGATGGCGATTATGAAAGCGACTTTATGAGTCTACACCTGAATTCGTTGAGGCCTTTCTCTCTAGTAATTCAGGGCGAAGTCAATCGATGAGCAAGTCGTCCTATCCCAGAACCAATCTTACCCTCGTTCTGGAGCAGGGCGCCAAGCTTCTGGACAGACTTGCAACGCTGGTTTCTAGCTTATGGAAGATGGTATTGTTGCTCCACGGACTGAATGAATTTGAAGAGTAAATGCCCGTGGGCTGAGGGAGTGCCTCCATTACCTTGGAGAGCATTTAGCTTTGTGGAAGAACCCCCGTTCAGTTTTTGTCGTTCGTCCAGACCATACTGTCAAGTAACATCTCCCCCTTTCACAATGATGTGATCAGGTGTGCTGCCTTCTCATATCTTCTGGATAGCCGAATGTAGGGAAGCGCATGATGTGCTCAGTGGCTCCGGTGTTACCTACTGGTTCTCTTCGTCTAAGTATGCGCCTGACCGCGTCTGCAGCCCCCCATCACTTTGCTGAAGTTAACACCTTAACATCCATTTTCAAGTCTGGTTCACCGCTTCCATTTTAAGCCATGATTGAACTCATACTGATTCTGCTACTAGCACCGATATGCGCACTTGCTGTAGTCGGAATTGTGTTCTCGCAGTGCATGGTTAGAGGCTCAGGTATGGTTAGTCACAGAAACTGTCCATCTGATCGTTGGTTGTTGCCATTTTAGCATACTTTCCTACACCACGAGGAAGGCAGAGGTTCACTTCCAAAAGATTGTTCCTTCCATCAATCTCCTTGCCGTCCTGGATACAGTGGCGAAACTCAATGCTCCGTCTTGATCATATTTAGCTCAGACCATCAAGGTCCCGCTGGCGTGACCGAGAGTTACACCAGCTGGATCCACCATAGTAGGTGAAACGCACTCCTGGACAACGGTACCTGCCAATTTGGAGGCTGCCGTAGTAGAAAGCGCAACAGTGATGGGCACTGCTTTGTGTGGTTGACCGACAGAGATGGCTCGAAGTCGAAGGTCCACATTGGAAGAATCGTCACTAGGTGAGACCACGCATATCTTTGGAACACTGCCTGGAACTTCACCTGGACAGCTGGCGAGGCCCATCTTGACCCCGGCTTGTCTTCGAATGGAATCCAGTCGTCGAAGCAGATCTGGATGCTGTTCAATCTGATCTGGAGTGTACCCTCCATCAACACCCATTTCCTCAGCCTGTACAAAGCAGCAAGGATTTCCAACATCAATGCAAGATGTCCGTATTCCATCGAACTCATCTATTTTGCTCCCCGTCGGGAGCAGTTTCCCTGTTCTCGACCCTGCAGGGTTCAGAAAGTCCAGTTGAATGCGCGCAGCCTCGCCTGATACGCCATCGACCTCAAATCCACCTCGAGCTGAAGATTCTCCATTTTCGGTTGTGAGTGTTGAGTGGATGATTTTGCCGGTATTGGTGTTGTGGATTTTGACCGTAGCTTGTCCTGCGGTGCCATTGATTGCGAAGAGCCCAGAGTCAATAGAAAAAGGCACTACGGCGCTTGTCATGTTTCCACAGTTGCTTTAGAAGTCGACTTCAGTGTCCTTCACTCTAATGGCAATGAAAGTATAGTCGACATCGGCATCTGGACGGGTTGAGGGTCCGACCACGCATATTTTGGAGAGACTTGATATACCGCCACCCATACCATCAAGCTGGCGGCCGTTGGGATCTGGACTACCAATCACGCCGAGAAAGATCGAATTCCATTTGGATTTATCCTCGGGAAGGTCCTTGAGCTGAAAAAAGACGGCCCGGGAAGTGCCACCACGGTAGTAGGCTGTAGGTAACCGGTTCTGAGATCGTAAACTAGATGAGATTGAAAGTTGCCTTTGAGAATTAATTGCCAACTTTCTCGTACCCATACAATCGACTCTAAGCTGCCTGAACCAGGATCGCCAGTGCGTTCGACATCTTGTTTTGGGGCTAGAAGTTTGTTCTGTGTTCTAGGGGGTGCCAGCTCTGAGCACACTTCTTGTTGGGATTATATTGCAGTGATGTTCATTGACAACTTTGAATAAATGTAATCTATACGAATGCAAGAACAAAGAAAGATGGGTGAATCGTGGTGCTGATCGGATAGATCCGACGGACAGAAGACACACGCTTGGGGCAATCCGGGTAGCGGCTACCAATCAATGTCCCTTGGACAAGGCGTATTGAGAGCAGTCCTCTGAGAAACCCTGTCCGCTCTGCTTTGACGGTTTTTGATAGCTCAGTTTTTCAGGAAGGCCTGTCAAGATCACTTCATCAAAGTCGAGACAGCTGACCGTGCTCAATGAAGCCACTTACCCCTACAGTGCCTGATGGCGTCAATGAAGCAGGGGCATTCAGTGCAAATTGTACAAAATCATGGCATACACATATAGGTGATCGATCCACGGATGGTTTGAATATGGCGCTCTCTTCGACTCAAATGCAACCCGTCAATCTTGCCTTACAAAGTGGAAGGTGGAAGCAGCGATGCTGTCTTTTGTTGGACCCAGTCGCGACTTCCACTCTGTCGACTTTCGGCGCATACCGGAATAACAGAAACTCCGATCCGAGATAGCCTTATCCAGGGCCGCCGCAAATGATTGGCGCTGGACGACATGCCGCGTCGCGGGCGCAGTCGCAAGACAGGGTGACCGCTGAGCACCACTGACCACTAACCACCTGCTCTCTATGGCCAGCACCACTTCTCTCACCGTACCATAAGGATACGATAAGCATAATCCCGCCGTAGCCAGCCAGCAAGGCTCTGGGACGTAGCGAGAACGACGATACGACATGGCGCGTCCGAGAAGGATGTCAGCGGCGTCCGATATCAGTTCCGTGCCCGATTCGCATCAGGTATGTATGGGCGCTTTCCCCTTCCTCCCCCCAGGCTGCATTCCCGGCATAATCAACTGACACATATCGTTTCTTGCCTGCAGGAACTAGGAAGTATGTACGACTACCTAGCGAAAGTCGTCCTGATCGGGCCTTCTGGCACCGGCAAATCATGCATCCTGCATCGGTTCGTCAAGGCCGAATGGCGGGTGCTCTCGTCACAGACCATCGGCGTCGAGTTCTCCTCCAAAATCGTCAAGATCGGCTCTGGCGCCACCCGCCGCAGGATAAAACTCCAGTTGTGGGATACCGCGGGCACCGAGCGGTTTCGCAGCGTCAGTCGGAGTTACTATCGTGGTGCTGCGGGGGCGATCCTGGTCTACGATGTCTCGAGCCTTGCGAGTTTCAATGCGCTGCCAACGTTTCTGAGTGACGCACGGGCATTGGCGAGTCCGAATCTGACGGTGATATTGGCGGGGAATAAGGCCGACTTATCAGATGGGAGTCAACGGCAGAATATCCACATCAGTGGAAACACGCAGCGGCCGTCGGAGACTGCGGGCGCTACACCGTCGAGCACCTCGAGTAGACAGTCGTTTCTGCCGTACGACACCGGTGGAGGCACCAGCGCAGGGACGACACGGTCGCGTGGAGACTCGATCAACCTAAGCGGCACGAGCAACAAATGGACGGCGACGGTCTCGTCGGAAGGCCGCGAAGTCAGCAGCGATCTCGCATCACGATGGGCATCTAAGGCGCTTGTCCCCGTGACGATGGAGGTGTCGGCACTGACGGGAGAGAATGTCGACGAGCTATTCAATCGGCTGGGCCGCACGATTCTCACAAAGATTGAGCTCGGTGAGATCGACCCGGACGACCCAACTAGCGGGATCCAGTACGGCGACGGCGGTGGATACGGGGACGGCGCGAGCGTGCGCAGTGGCATGACGGGCGGTGACGATGGTGCTAGCACGTTGCGCAGACGCCATGGCAAGAGACAGCGCAACGGTCTCTTGTCTGGCTTGACGGAGTGGGAGGATGTGTTTCGAAGACCGCCGTCCCGCGGTGGTGGGCGATGCTGCTGACACTCACCACGCGTCTCTTTTTCGGCAGCCTTTTCTACATGACGTGGCGTTTTCTGAGGCAGCGTGGGACGGGTTACCTTCTTCATGGCTAGGCGTTCCTTTCTCTCTCTCATGTTGGGCTGCTGTTTCTGGAAAGCGAGCAAGCGTTGAGCAGGTAACAGTGTTGTACAGCGTTCCCCTTCTCTTCATTCTTGTTTTCTTGTTCTTTTGTTGAAAGTAATCTACTCGCACGAAAAGATAACCCCCTAGGCGGTCAGTGTGACTCGACGAAGCTCTCTTTACATTCGTCGCCACTGCCGACACTAATGTTTAATCTAATGCTCGAAAGAAAGGACCATGATTTCATTGTTTCGTGGTACCTCGTATCTGCGCCATCTCACAATATGTCAAGAAACTCGAACATCAAGATCCATCTCGACGTCGGCGATAGTACCATTGATTGTGCCAGATCTACCACTTCCCCCGTCCCTATCGAAGCTTGCACCAATTTTCTCGCATGCCTCAATGAACTCGACCTGCTTCTGCAGGTTCTGTGCAGCGCTCAGCGCCTTGATGATGATGGCCTGGTTGCGTTCCGTAGTTGCGGCCCGGAAGCTGCGGACCAGGAACTCCGACAGCATTTCAACGCTCCATGAATCAGGGACATCCTGAAGAATTGACAGTGGATCGAAGAAAGTCGCGAACTTGCCCAGCAGATGACTCGTGCGCTCAAGACGGTCTTCAACATCTGATATGTTGATGAACTCGTGAAAGAGAAAGTCGAAGAGCTCAGATTGCTGCTCGCGAGATGGAAGTGCGCTGGCATCAATTGTTTGTGAATGCGGAGGAGCGGGCCCACCAAAGTAGCAATAGCGGATTGCGGTATCGAAGTCGCCGAGACCATGGGTCAGCAATCGAAGGGCTTCCTTGTGCCGGCCTTGTCGAGCGTCGAGGATGATGGATTCGGATACCAGGTAAGAGGAGAATGGCGCCATGCGCTCCAGCACTATCGGGACCGAGTATGTGAGATCTTTACCTGATGTGCTAGTACTGGCATAAGCGCCACTACCCAGTAATTGAAGCAGACGAAGCCGCGATCGCCACCACTGCTCTGGCGGTGCGTTTTGATTGATGAAATCAAGGTAAGTAGGTTTCGGGGTTTCAAGCGCTCGGTAGGTGGAATAGCTTTCTGCCAGTGACGTCCGTGCTGCCTCTGATTCTTCCAGTACTGTGAGGACAGAATCAAGATAGTAGCCGATCAAATCGTCAGCATACTTATCTAGACCTTTGCCAAATACAAGATGCTCCAAGTATTGTTGACCTGCTCCTGGTGCCCGCTGTTTAAGCAATGTGACTACCTGTTGGGGATCGAACTTGACTCGTGCACCATCATCGGTCAAGATCTCCACAGCAAGTTTGGGATTGCGCTGAGCCAACCAGAGAGCATGATCTTGGACCAATTCCGCATCTCGGATCATCATCAAATACCGCCGCAACTGTCCCTCCACAAAGCCAATATTGTCACCATAGTCAAAATCTTTCTCGCCTTCAATTATGCGTTTCCATGTGGCCAGAACATCGCGGGCTTGTTTCTTGCTCTGATAGAGCCGACTCAACACAAACAATCTATTGTATCTCTCTAAGAGGAAGGCTGCTCGATCGAAGTCACCCTTCCAGTGATCAACGACGTTGTTCAGCTTGGTTCTGACCGATTTTTGAGCACCACTGTCACTTGGTAGAGCTTGATCGAGGTGGAGCAAGACGTGCAACAGTGCAGCATCCACAGAGTCGAAGACATGTTTCTCGTCAGTGATGCTCCCATAGCCTCGTTTTTCCTGCCAGAGCATTAAGAAATGCCGGATCATCATCCAGAAGTCAATGGGAGCATCCTCGAAAGTTGAGATCTTATGCTCAAAGCCTTGGAGAAGATCCGTCATTCCTTGGTGAAGCCAAATACCTTCGGCACCATACAGAACTTCTGCCGCCAAGGGTGGGAGGAGCAGGAGTGGTACTCGTGGATCAAGACCACCATCGTGCAAGGTGTTCTCCACGGCTCTTAGGATATCGACTGCTGACAGATGCGACTGCAAGTATAAGAAGAGTATGAGGCTGGCTTTCTGCTTAATGTAGTTGAGCGTTAGGAATTCAGTTTCGTCCTTCGGCTCACGGCCATGAATACTCGCTAAAAAGCCAAATATGTTGCTGGGTTTGACATGCAAAAAGCTTCCATCCACCATTTGCTGTGCCAATCGATACTCCAGCTGCGAGATTAATGGATTCTGGAGGATCATGAATAGACCTCTTCCCTGGAATACCAGATTCTTTGTATACGCCCTCCCTAGACGACTTGCAAATTTGTGTTCTTCCGTAGCTCGCTTGGTCACTAGTTCAACTGATGTCTCGACCGGCGTTAAAGTTGAGACACTTTCGAAGAGTGCCCGTTCCTGCTCGAGCTGCTCAACGGCAGATTGCGTCCTGGGATCTTGTTCCTGCCGTGATCTCAGGGGCCCAAGAGATAATGGGACGAGTTGAAGTAAATCTCTCGCAATTCGAAAGCAGTACAAATGGCTGCTGAGAGTGTGACGCAGACCAGCCTTTGGCGGTTTTGAAGACTTCACTTCAGGTAAATGTACCCATGTTTTCGGATGAACAAGCTCCGCAGCATTTTGTAATTGTTGGACCTCAAGACCTCTAACAACATCCTGCTCCTTAGGTTTCCTTATGAGTGCAAATACAATTTGACCTTCACCGTCCGGCAATGGGCCAGTGGGATTTTCTGGGACAGAGAAATTGTCCACCAGAAGATCTTCTGGGTATATTTCAAACTCAATTGTTCCACGAACAACATCTCCATCCAAGTTCACAAACATAGCCACTCCTGGTTCTGTTTCAGCAGTGCCTGTCGTTAGCATGAACTCACTGGGAAACGGGGAAAGGACATGAGGTTTGAGCATTTGCAACGAATTCTGACTGGCCGAGCCGGCAGTCTTTGCAGGAGTGCTATCGGTTGCAGCTCGTGGACGGGGTTTTGGACTTCCATCGGCGTCCGTGGCGGCAGAAGTGGGAGCTGGAGACTGCGTTCGGCTTCCTTGGTTAGGACTTGAAGTAGACGGTACAAGCTGGTGAGATGTAGGCCCTCGAGTCTGGGATTCGTCACGACGGTTGCTGGAGGTGCCAATGAGATTTCCCATGCTTGTGCTTCTCCCATGGCCTGCATCAGCAGGGGGTGGAGAAGTGGCAGGAGATCGGCTAGGAGTGGGAGCTATCTCTTCCACCTGAGGCTGCGATGATATAGGGAATAAGGGAATTTTCTGCTGATGTTCGACTTCTAGTAGAGCATAACTAGTATCGTCGGCAACGCAAGCGATGGTCTCTCGCCTGCTGGACCGTAAACAACCGGGATACTCTATGTTGTTCTTGATTGCCCTCAACCTATCGCCAACTCTGACCTGTAGAATGCGTCTAGTGTTTGCAATCATGACCACTGGGCCTTCCGGGTTCTCCTTGTCCTCATTTTCGTCTAGTCCACCGATCCATTGCACTCCGGTGGGCTCCCTATTTGGAAACGCTGGGCTAAACTCGGGAAGTGAATAAAATGAAACTACTCCGTTGCATAGGACACACGCTTTCAATGGACCTGGGAAAACCAGGATCTGTTGGATACCTGGGGCAGCGTCCGAGTCATTGGAGGCAGCATGGCCGCTGGGCTGAAGTCGCGATGCAAGGATGAAGGTGACAGAAGCGGCGTCATCTTCATCATCGGAGGGTATTGCAACAAGGTGGAGGATTTCTGCCGCCGAGGTTCCGATGTACAAGTTGTTATCTAGGACAATATGAGCGCCAGCTCTTTGGAATCAATGCTCTTCCGACCTACTCCAGTACTCGACGCACGTAATCGAAACGTCCTGTCGCCCGTCTTCGGTGTCTAGTGGAACATCCTCGAGGACATTGCGCAGAACGTACGGACCGGGTTCTGGCGGAGACAGGCGTCGGCGTTTGGTGGGGGGTTGCTCAGTTGCAGCACACATACCGTGCTGAGGTGTATGGCGATAATCATGGGAGAAACAACCTTGGGGGAAAAGTGGTCCCATTGGGAAGAGCAGGCTGTACATTTCAAGGCTCAATAAGGTCGCAGGCATCCATAGGCGAGGTCGATATTGGGTTAATGACCCACCGTATCACAGCTGCGGTGGAGTATAAATGCATCCTTCAAGAGTTTCTCTTCCCCACAAGATCGGCCTGCCTCCAAGCAAGGACGTGGGACACGAGAGGGTCTTTTTAGATTTGGAAGATTGCTCACCTTGGTTGAGGTCCTCTTGGTCAGTCGGCCCATCACTTGGGTAGACGGTGCCAGGACTGATAGTCCAGATCACGTGGGGTCATGAGCAACGCGTCAGAAACTACGGACGCTGGGTAGGTGCACACCAAGGAAGGAACGGCGAACACCACCCGTACACTGACAATGAAGGAGGCACTTGCTCCTGCCAGTTTCATGCTGACACGTCGCGTCATGTCGATCGGTCGACACGCGTCGCGACAAGATGGCCAACTACCGACTACATACGTCTCGTTGACTCTACTGGGCACTCCGTACATAGGACTTCTCAACATGCTTAAACCTCTAAATTTCGATTTTAGGCCTGGGGCCTGGGCCGGTCCGGTGTGACTACTTTGTAAGAGATACATAAGTTGATGTTAAGTTTCCATTGATCTCTCGCACCGAGCAGTTAGCGTGCGACTACTCATCCAAGCGTCTAATCGACCGCCACCCTCTTTGGGGAACCAGCCATTTTCGTCATCAGCAAGCCACAAATGTTAAACTCCAACACTGCTGTGTACTTTACTGAGAGACCAGTCCAATGACGAGCCACTGTGTCGGCAAGAACCTTTTAAGGGATCGGAGGGAGGCGAATTGGCGCCCCATCTTTCGCTTCCGGGGAGCACTGCCGTACGACAGGGTTTCTTGCTCTGGGCGGACTTTCGGGTCTGGGAGAGGCCAGGGATCCAATCGTCAAGCATCGTCATGCATCGTACCCGTGATGTATTTACCGACAAGTGCCATGGTGTGACACTCGGACGCTGGTTTGCAGATCGACATTATCAAGAGGAATCTTTAGGGTAATAAATCCCCAGTTTCAGCTTGATGTTCCAAAAGGCAGAAAGTCGCCATCAATCGCCTAGCAGGGCCCGAGTTCCTCAAATGACCTGCATAGAGGCTAGAGTTCTTCGCACCTACTCCTTCGCACCATTGCTCCTCAAGTCCTTTGCCTTGTTCATCCCAAATTAATTTCTGTTTGAATCTACCGCTATGAGCTTACAGAATCAATTGGTACTCAGGTGAATCACCATCACTATCACTGAGAACACCATGTCTACCCGCAAGCACGTACCAACTATCATTCCAGAGTATGATACTCGGCCATCAGCGGATTCTTTCTCAAGCGACTCGTCCTCAAGTACATACGAAACTGCCAACTCATCACCTACAAACGTGCCAATCGCATCTCCAAAACCAAGCCGCCCATCAGCTCTTTTGTACAGTAACACAAGACCCCAATCCCGCCGATCTTCACCGCAACAAACGCTTTTAGGGGCCATTGATGAGAATAGCGGTTCTGTCCTTCCGGATATTCCCTATTCTCTCAGTAACAAGGATAGTCCAGTTACTAAGCTTCATGCCTACGCCGCAATGTTTACACCTCGGAAGAGACCAACCCTGGTGGCTGCTAATTCACCACCAGACGAGTATGCCGCCCTAGTCGGACCAAACGGCGAGAAGTTTACAGACTTGCGAATGAATCGAAAAGTTACTGATCCGAAGAAGAATGGTCTCAAAAGGTTCTCGTGTTTTGGATGACTGGTTGCTCGAACCTTCCTTGAACGTGCTGCAACTTGCAACTATTCCGAATTGTTGCGTCTACTTACAGTTGCAAACAGCCAGGTTGCACGCCATCGCTAGACTATCTTGACTCAAGCTTCACGACGGTTCTAGCTTTCTTCTTCATCTGCACTTCCCCCAATCGAATGAGCTCGAATGGACGATGACTTCTCTCCAGGTGACATTTTCTGAAGGAAAGAATCGGGCATACGATTAAACAGCTACAGCAGCACGAGCACGTTTCGGCAGCACCGCATACTATTCCATAAGTGAGAGCGAAGAGAAGTAAAACGAAACTCTCAACCGCCACAAAGTTCAAGTTTGAGCCAGCGGACAAATACTTCTGATGCGAAATGCCTGCTTAGCACGTGATCAAATTGGCATGTGACAGTGAAAACGATCTGCAGACTAGACAGACGGCAATGCACATGCACATAGGCATTTGTAAGGGGCAGTAAAAGCGAGTTCTATCACGGCTGTGCTGCTGAAGTTTCCATGGAGGACGTAGCTGCAATATCAACGGATGTGCATCATATTGAAGCTGAAGCAAGCTTGAGGTAAAAGATGAAACGAATTTTGAGTCAACTACAACGAAATACATCTCTGATAGACACCACATCTTCGAAAGCGTGTGTGTGCGATCCGAAAACTGCCCTCGTCGTCAGAAGCTGCCTCAATCGGCGTCCAATCAATTATCTAGTTAGTACCTTGGTGATAATCAAGACTCTTCGGAAGTAATTCCCCCTGCTTCCACCCCTACTCTGCTACTCTAAACCCCGCCGTTACAATCCGCAATACTATGCGTCCTGGCAAGGATCTATATGCCTAATAACGTTCTTCTTTATTCCAAACTATATGGTGGCCCGGTCCGCTCCGGGGATTAACGCATGTCTTGCTGCTCTTGGACCCATTTTCTACTCATCGTCCAAGTGCTCATTGACGCGTGCTGAAGACTCGTTTAACAACACCTGAATCGGCAAATGCTCAAAGAGTTGGGATCCACCATGACTATGAATCATGCTTTCGTCTTCAGATGCCTGGATCACTTGGTCAGTCAGACAGCCTTTTAGCGAAACCGCTGAGCGCTCTATCCCTGGACGTACTCTAGCCCCCTCAACTCTGCATAGACGCCGTGATTTCTCCAGACAGATATCGTGAAATCTTACTTGTTAACTGAAGACCAGTACTGCCGGAAATCATGCCTAGATATCATCAGTCATTCTCCAATATAATACTTCCATCGGAAGGGGAAAAAACTCGCCCGAGAAAGTACGCCTTTTCTAGCATCACCCTCCGAGCTTCTGGTGAGGTATTCATGGTTCGAAACGGTTCTGCAGACCTTGCTGTCTCTGGGTCCGTGTCTCGCAAGGCACACGTGTTGCCGTAGCTGACGGGGTTGGTGATTTCCTGGTACTTCTGCCTGCGAATCTCGGCGTATTTGTCGAGCAAGGAGTCCGCGCAGCCTTTACGTAGCACTCCGATCAGGCAATCTGCGAGCCCGCCTGCATCACAGATTCCTCCTGTCAGGCCCATTCCTGTACAATTGAATATTTAGTACATTTATACACAGACCTGGTTAGAAATCGGGGACAGAAGTTCGCCTACCTCCAAATGGAGAGCACGCGTGTGCTGCATCCCCCGCTAGAAGGGATCGCCCCTTCCGGTATGAAGTCGCGCTGCGCTGATGTATCCGGTAGGGGCTGATATTCTCAATCTTATACGCATCCCTCGAAAGTGGCTTCGGTCCCGGGAATATCGCGTTGAATTTATGGTGCACATTTGCCAGGACCTCCTCCTTGGTGAGATTCTCCTGCTCATTGTACGACACACGGTATAGACCGGTAGGGTCGATCTTGGCGATCAGGCAGAAGTGTTCCGGGTGGATGATGAACTGTCCTCGCTCGAAGCCGTGCTCTCGGAAGGGATACCTGACGTTACATGCCACCAACCACTGCGGGAGCGTGAAGCCTTCGTAGCCTAGATCGAGGATCCGACGGACGCTGGACCGCCCGCCGTCGCTGCCGACGAGATACTTTGCTGTAAACTCTTTCACCTTGTCTCCAGCCTCGACGATCGCTATCACGCCGTCGTCGGTTTCCTTTATATCGCTCAGTTTATGGTTGAATAGTATCTATGTCCGCGACACATGAGTTTAGATATCCCTGATCCAATAATAGACAGACGGTGAGAATGCAAATCAAAACAGCATCACATCCACATACCTGTGCGCAACCAAGCTCACTAAGATGCCGCTGCATGACTCTTGCAAGTGCATACTGGCCACAGATAAGGGGATCAAAGGACCCCGGAATCCTATCCTCGGGTTGGAACTGCGCGACCAGCTTCCCATCGAGTGTGATCCACCGCAGGTGGAAATCGTAGTCCTCGGCTTCCATGCCAACCTTGCGCGCATCGGCCGCGATTCCAGCTCGCTCCAGCTCAACTATCGCCGCTGCACCGTAGGCCATTGCGCGCGGCGAGTCGTCGATATCTGGCAGACCTTCGATTAGGATCGCCTTGATCCCGGCTTTGGCGAGTAGGAGTGTGGTGAGAAGCCCCACGGGCCCAGCACCCACGACGAGGACTTCGCAGTCTATTGGGGCTGTCATTGCCAATACGTTTTCGATTATATGGACCTTCAATTGTTACTCCTTCCCAAAAGACCAAATAGATAGATCAAATCTAATTGAGAACTTTTCCCGTTCTCTATACTCTGGGAGCCTCTGGCTATTTATCTTACCCCGCCTAATTCGGCCTTACCCCATACCCCACACGACTTGATGTTCTCCAACGGCATGTGTCGAGAACTCGATACTATATCAACCTAGAAGACCATTTAGGGAAAGCATTCGGTGTAGCTTTGCCATCGCTGAGACATTTATAGTGTACCGACATACGGTTGCGTGGCGGTGGAACTTGTGTATTAGCCAGAATTCTCTAAGCGATTCCTCTATTGATGATCAATCAATCTAAATCTAGTATTCTCGAATATATGCCTTGCCAAAACGTGTAGCTTCTATGCATAATGCTGGCACGTCTTCGCGTGGAACTTATTGCCTTTTGCTCGTATCACGTTGTAATCGGCCCCGCATAGATAGCAGAACTCGAATCCACACCCCCCTATACACATTAGGAAGTTAGTGAAAAACTCTGTGCAACCATGTGAACTGGCTCGTCTGAGCATAAAAAGAGGACTTACAGCTTTTTGCAGTGGAGTGCGTATCTTTTCCACAAGTAATGTGATCACAGCCTTCCGATCTATAGTACAGCACTTTGCACCTAGGGCACTTCCTCTCCTTCTTCATAAATGCTTTGGTGAGCTTCTCCTCCTCTATCCTCCGTGCATTTGCCCTTGCTGCTTCACCCACCGGACAAGGCTTATTCGAGTGCTGCTTATACGGTTGATTACATTGGTTGCACGTTCGATGTCTGCAGATGGGGCAAGAAAAGACCGTGACGTTCTTGTCGGTAATCGGGTCAAGCCATATTGCACCTCGACAAGTTTGCATTGCGCATTTAGCAATGCTTTGTCCGGCATGCAGATGTTGCTGGCATAAGGCATCGTCATAGGCGTTGAATTTTTGGGTTTCCGCATACTTTTGTATAATTGCATGGCTCAAAATTTCTCCACATTCGGGTGCCCAACAAGTAACTTTTTCAGATGGACGCCTTTCATCTCCGTCAGGAAACATTTTCGACTCGAGGCATAGCCTGAGACAATCGATGCAAATTATTTCATCTTTCCAACTGTGCTTTGTGGGACACGCAGCGGAAAGATGAGCATGTATGTTCGCCGGGGCTTTTGGTCTGTCACCGCACACGGAGCACTCCTTGTCCTTCCAGGCCTGAAGGCGGTCTCTACTGTCAGGGTCGAGCAAGCGATCAGGTATGCCAATAGCATCACTTGGCTGCTTGCCTTCGCTCGCATAGTATCTCCTCTGGAATCCCAATTCGACCAGTCGAGCCACAAGTTGCTGACGCTCGGTATCGGTAAGTCTGATATCGGTGTCCCACTTTTCTATGGCACTGAGCAAGGAGAATCGGTAACAGCCACGACGGAGCAGTGTGGTCTTGACTCCTGATCTCGGTCTGAACTCAAGAAGAGCAGACACAAATTCAAAGGGCCATTTACCTTCAAGGGCAATTCCTGCCAAATTCGGTCGAGCCTGCCAAATTGTTGCTGCTAAATCGGCGTCTTTGAGGAGAAGATTCATGGTAGGGATGAACTGGTTCACCTTTCTTTTTGGGTGATCAAACCGCATGAGAGCTTCCAGAACTGTTGCGTTATGATTTAGAGGCGATTGATGACTAATGCTGTGGCCAGCTTTGAGGAGAATCTCCATTGCCATATGATTTTGATTGCAAGTCGCAAGATGTAGGCTGCCATCATCGACAGAAGCGCCTTTACTAACTAGGTCACCCATGACCGAGCAGTCGTTTCGAGATGTAGCCAAAAAGAGAGCAGACCGTCCTTCAGAGTCAACAATATTTGGATCCGCACCCGCATCGATGAGTACAGCAATCAATGCTGACAGTCTCGGACGCCTCAAAGCGGCAAGTAATAGCCGGTTCACGGATTTCCGTGGTAGCGCAAGCCCAAGATGCTGATGTCCGATGTCTTCAGGCTTAACCTTGGCAAGTTCATAGGTGAAACCATCGTTCTCAACGTAGAGACAAAATTGGTTCAGTGTTGCTGGTAGGTACATAGAAGAAGTTTTGATTTGTTCCTCAGCAGTGTGAGTTTCTTGGTCGGATATGCAGTCGAAGAACTGCTCGGATTCGGCAGCCTGTAACTCGAATCGAGCGAGGACACGCGGAGCGTTGACTTGCATTGCACTAATGATCAATCCGATTTGCCGGTCGCCATCATTGTCTAGCGAGGCCGCGATGCTCGTACTCAGCAGTTCCTCCATTGAGTTGCATCCTATCGCTTTGCAATGTGCTGCCACGAAGCCCAGGCCTTGAGGTGTCCGCAGGAATGCTTCGATCAGTTCAAGGCAACTGGGCTGAGTAGCAGGCGCTAACATGGTCTTGAACAGGGCTTTGTGGTGCTTTGTTCTGGTAAATGCATCTGGCGTGCCTGGTGGCCAAATCAGGAGATCGAAGCAGGCGTAGCCTAAATCATCCGATTTTCCATTCGCTGACCTATTGTTCGAGGTGTTCAGAGGATCCTCGGATTTGAAGAGGAGCTGAAGTGCCCCTAGCCTAGCTGTTATTGCTGGTCCACTGTGGGCAATCAGTGAGTTTATATTCGCATCATTTAGGCGGGACAATCGATAAAGTGTGTCGCCTTCAAGCTCAGTAATGGGCGCGCCGGTCTGTAACATCAGCTCCAAGATCGCTGCGCTCGGACTAGACTGAGACGCAACTTTTGACAACGCTGCGGAGCGGCTATGGCAGGGAAGGTTGGTTATGAGAAGGGGAGCAAGAACTACAAGTGCATCTTCACAAGAGCGGAGTGATCTGGCGACATCTCCGCTTGTATGGTCTGCAACTGCGATGTCGAAAAGACGGTCCAATACAGATTGCTCCTTACACTGGCTGAAAAGCTGTGGATACAACTGTAGATTCCCAAACGCCCACGCTTGGATCATGCAAGCGCCTCCAGTTGACTCAACACTTGCGCCATAACCGAGGAAAACTTGAGCATGGTTCCATTGCGTTGACTTCATCCCACATAGGCCAGTAAGTGCCGCATTAAAATGGCTGACGTCTTGAAAACCGCTTTGGCGAAGGAGACCAAATACTTCACAAAAGATTTGTGGTTCGTCTAAAGGCGACTGCAATAAGCGAGTCGTCTCTTTTGCAACACAAATGAAAGAATCTTCGTCTGGCCTCAGCGATAGCAACATCTTGAGCATGTCCATTTGGCCACAGCACGCTGCGGCCGTTGCTTCTTTCAGACAATCACCGTCGTATGCTAGAACAGACCCTCCAGCGGCGACCATAGCTTTGACCGACTCGGGAAGTGCACACTTCACAGTCTCTAGAAGAGCGAAATCAACACCAGCAGGACCAAAGTCATCGCGACAGACACAGATTGTGATGAACGCAAGCAATGTATCACCATCCATGGCCTTGGTAGCAACCTCAATGATAGTCTTTTCACCGCGCACAAATGGAGCCTGAGCTGTGATCAACATCTGGCACATTGGCAAATCCCCATTCAAGACAGCTGACAACAGCGCATCGCCGAGAGTGCAGAAGAATGCATGACTTGGAGGGTATCTTGCCGCTGCAATCTCAAGATGTGGGCCTCTAACACGGTTTTCAAAGTCAAAAGATTCACGACCGCTCGCGCACCGGTCCGTTTTCCAATGCTCGAGGATTAACGCAGCGATTGCATGATTTCCACTTCTTACATTGCGAACGAATGTTTCTGCAACAGCAGGCCCCGTCACCCCTGCATCGAGAAGGGTCTTGACTTTCCATTGATCCTTTTCTGGATGAAGCCGTACTTGGAGATGTCGCCAGAGAAGCTCAAGCTCTTCCTGGTCGCTCTCTACTGTACTTAAGATCGTCGGAAACCACTCGATGGCACTGTTGTGACTTATTCCTTCACTCAACACATGTAGCGCCGCGGTGATTCGAAGCTTATGAGGAAATCTTGAAGCGAGAAGAAGCGCCTTGCGATGGTCATGTGAGCTCAAGGAGACTTCAAAAAGTCGCTGCATTAAAGTACTGGTTTCCGCGTTGACACAAGAGATGGCAGCTGAGTTGAGAATGATATCAAGCGCCGCTATCGTTAGCGACCCAAAGTCAGTCTCGAGAAGCCTCGAGATGGTCGTTTCCGGCAACTTTCGGTCCAAGAGTGTCTGGAGCGTTGTCAATTGCCCAGAAGAATTGGCCAATTCAAGACAGGCTTCGAATTCCATGGAGTGGGTGTTGATAGGCTGCGACAGAAGAAATTCAATAGTAGCAAGTGGCCACTGTTCACCGCCAAAGCATCGGTGCAATTCTTCAAGATGTCTCCAGAGTAACCTCGTAGTGAGAGAGGCTGCTGCTGTACCTTCGATATATCTTAGAAAGAATGTGGTCATACATTGCAAAGCTCTGTTGTCAGAAAAGCGAGAGATGTCTGGTTTCGGTAACGGGATTTGCACAGGAGGGTTGTTTCGGTGTAGATCGGTAGATTCGATCAACGACCTGGCAATCGAATTCTTGCTCCACTTGGTGAAAGGATCAGAACTCAAGATATAATTGGTCGTTTCAACATTGCAGAAGCAGCTAACAGTCATCGCCATTTCGAGCAGGGAAAGTACATCCAGTCCATGCAGGGAGTTCAAACATGTATCTAGCAATGCTCGATCATGTGTATGGTGCTCAAGTAGTCGATGAAAACAGTCATATCTGCGTGCTGAGCCGTGGTCACGGCATGTCTCTGGAATTCGTCCTGATATGTGGAGAAACAGCATCAAGTAAGAGGAGGACATATGGGAGGACGAGTTATCCAAAAGTACCTGATCAAACAGGTCAGCATGGTGAGCCTTAAACCATTCAACAGCACCATTGTATCGAATGGTGCTTGATGATCTGAGCTTATCGAATATATCTGAGTCAGAATGTTGCATGGCGATAAGAAGTGAGTGGACCTCGCAACAGGCGTTCGCACTAATGAGAATATCTAATAGCTCTACATCCCTGGCTGGGGAATAATCGCAAAGTGACTGGTTCAAACTCAAATCGACTGAAGCCCCTGAAACTCCTTTGTTAAGAAATAGCCTAGTAATAAGTCTGCGAGGTAAAGGCTCTGTCTGTCGGACAAGCGGAAACGTGGACTGAAGTGTTGGTAGAGCCACATCATGCGAAAGCAGGGCTTTGACAAGGGATACGTTGTTGGAAGAGATGGCAATCTTGAGGCATTCTCCTTCGTTCCAATTGACTGAGGCACCCGAGATGATCAGCGGGCCAATCAGATGCGACTGGTTCAAGGAAACTGCCCTCAGAAGCTCTTGCTGTGTCCAACGTCCTCGATTGTGACAATGAAGAAGTTGCAGAAGTGCTTTTGAGCGCAAATCCTCGGCGGACTGCCCAAATGCTGTTAACACAGATGAGAGAATCTGCTCCCCACCCTGTAGATTGCCTTCCAGGAGCCTCTCCAGGCTCTTCCGCTTGCGTCTTTCACAAGCAAAGGTGACAAATCTGGTGACAATTGGAACCTTGTGAGTGAGCAAGCATTGGAGAATATCTTCTAGCTCATCTTCGATACAACGAAATAGGAGATCGTCGAGTTGAGTATGCACTGCTGACTCTGCAGGGAAAGTGCATAGACCCAGAAGAGCGTCCATCATGTCCAACAGGATTAAGGGGCGAGCACAATCTAATACATAGAGGAAGAGGTTGCCATTGGTCAAAGGCCAAGTATTTGTGGCAGCTGCAATGGCGAAGAAAGCGCTTTCGTATTGCGAGGCTATCGCAGTCTGAAGTAGCATATCTCGATTCCACCTTGGAGTGCCCTCCCCAAGGATGTGGTAATCAGGGAGACGACGAAGCAATAAATCCAAAGTGTCAGATCTGCCATTGTTGATGGCATCGGCACAGAGACGCCCAAACCTCTCATGTGGGAGTTGTTTTGGTGCTTGAAGAATGAACTGGAAAATCGGTTGGTCGGCCGTGGCAGCGATCGAAAGGGTTGATTGAGGGAGGTGATCAGTATCAGCACCATTTTCGAGTAAAGTTCTTGCTATGGGCTGCTGTCTTTTTAATACTGCAATGTTCAAAGCTATTCCAAGAGTGTTTACTGAAGAAAATGAGGCAAGGAGCTTGACCAGTTCCAGGTTGGAGTGTTTTACGGCAGTGATGAGGAGATTTCCCGGGATCTCGACTTTATGGGAAGAATATACACCAGCAGCGACAAGTTTCTCAATGTATATTTGAGCAACAACGGCGGACCCATTCGATTCAACATGGCGTGACAAAGCAGCGGCTGTGAATGCTGAATCAGGACGGGCGAGCTTTGATGCTACTCGGCGAAGAAACCGCTGAGAATCGTGGACGGCGGCGGCCTCATGTTTTAACTGTGCTTCAGCGAATGACCGATCAAATTGACTGACCTCTGAAATTCTATAAGGCTGCGTCCGTACGTCCAACACAGGGAGTACTCTGGCGTTAAGCCTGAAACCATTGGAAGACAGACGAGGCTGGGCAGCATTGACTGTAAGCATTTGTACTTAGCACAGCTGACCATGCTCGTAATGGTGTTTTCGGAGTGACTGATGCAATGGAAAGAGAAAGGCTGTATCAGACCGGGAAGTCGACATGATATGAGAATGGTGGTGATCCGGGCTGATCGACATGATGCCAAGGGGCAAAAGCAAACTACCACAGCATAGGAGCACCCGGTACAAGGTAGGATAGGCGAACACACTTTTGCGAAGTCCGTCAAGGGAAATGTGGACGTTCACCAATCAGGCGTGGATTACCATGTCAATCGGGCGTTGAAGCAGAGTTGTATTTGGTTCAACCATTGATAAAGTCGGCTGGAAGTTCCAGGCATGGCTGCCTAGGAGCTAAACCCGGCAGCGACTAATCAATCCCAAAGTCACCAATGGAGGTTGTCCGTGAAAAAGTCATGGAGTGTTATAGGAGCGCTTTTGTGCCTTGCATTGGGGGCGCTGCCAAGATCCTAATGGGAATCTGCCCTGCCATTTCAAGTGCGACCTCCCATCACAAGACCAAAAGCAATGGTTAGGCGTACTGAAGGTTGGGCTGTAGCGGATGCATTCCAACAAGTCTGAGTTCAAAGGGAGGATCCGAAGTATCTTTCTTAGCTTTGTGGAGACTAGATGGTGTACTTGTACGGAGTATTGTCCTTCAAGATCTCTAATCGAGAGAAGAGCCTGACTATAGCTGCCTAGGTAGGTGGAGGAGGCAGAAGGAGTTCTGGATTCATCAAAGAAGGCTGAACACATACGTCGGCGAGAAAAATCTTAAGATTGGTGCAGCCTTACGAGAAGCCAACGAGGAAGGCACGCGTTCCGAACTGGACGCGTGTCAGGATACTGAGCCGTGACTTCCCTGAGTGACAATAAATGACGACATCGCTATCTTCTTATTATCACTTCCTCCCTTGCTCATCTACGATGGTGCCGGCTGTCTCTTCATAGTAAGGGAGATATGAAATAGCCAACATGCGGAAAGGAGTGAGCCGGATCTACCCGCCAGATTCTGTAGCCTGCGAGCTGTGAGCCTGTCGCAGGGGTTAGCAGCCAAGTCTCTGGTTGTTTGTCAGCCGCTAGAACCCAGGGCATTTATCAATACAGCGATGCCCAAGAATGATACGAACATCTCGTACTAACAAGACAACGCAGAACAGTCCATCGATAACTGTGATTCAAGAAAGAATGGCCTGGACCAGAAGGAAGACAACACAATTACAGAGCTTCGAAAGAGGTGGTGCATCAGCAGTCACTTATGACCTCTCTCAACCACATCGTATCACCATCACCATACCGAACAACTCAACATGGACCTCTGGACCTCATTGGCACGAGACCCACGATGAGTACCTCCAGATTCTACAGGGACGTGCATCGGTTAGAGTTGGCAGCCAAGTCAGAGAACTCGGCCCTGAAAATGGTATCGTCGAGGCACCCAGATATACCGTCCATGAATGGCGACGGGCTGTAAAACCCAATTCTGAAACACTCGTGGTCCGAGAATGGACTGCGCCTGAGGACGGGCAGAAAGAAGGCTTCTTCCGAATGCTGAATTCTTTCTTGACGGAACCTCAAGCAGCGCTTCTGTATCAGGCGCCGTTTGCCATGCCTGTTTGGGCTGAAAGGTGGATTGAAGGATGGATTGTGCCCTTACAACTATTCATTGTCTTTCAAGCATGGGACAATTGGCCTGTGCTGTATGGAGACGACAGTGGGTGGATCAGCTGGACAGCAACACACTTCACACTTTGGGTGTCCTCATGGGCGGGTTCGGTGCTTGGACTGCACGGTTCCTATAATCAATACATCGATAAGGGCGCACTGATGAGGGGCAGCCATCATTCGAGGGAGAACAAGAAGACGCCACCATGACGAGGATGAAGGGCGGTAGGGTAAGATATATCATGAAGGAGGGTCTATAATTGATGCCCTACTCTTTATTCTTCATCCTCTGTATGGAGTACCTGCATGCAGGGCAGCCGCATCGACAACGAGTGAACCTGGGAAATGAAGGGGAAGGGAAGCAACTTCGCTTCTATTACTTAAAGAGTCAGCCTTATTTCTACAGGGAACGCCTAATCCTAAATTGCCGGAAACCCGTTGACAGAAATCCCTTTAAGAGTAAAGGCCTATCAGACACCCCCGGACGCCCACGGACGCCCATTGACCCCGGGCACCCTCAGGCCAGAGAGCCCCTGTAAGGCAGTTTGATTCCCACCACGAGTCTTATGTACTCCTGCCGGCGGCATAAGAACAAGGAACAGTTACAGAGTCCGTACGAGTAGGAGTACTCCGTGCTTTAGGTGCCAAGTTTGTTAAACCGTCTTGAGCTTAGAGGCATCAACAACGCTGAGCTGGCGAGGGCACGGAATAACGAACCACTGGCACGTTGATCAGCAGTGAGTCCCGCCTGCGCCCCTCTCCCAATCAACGCCCCATCGGCCTCTTTTCTCACTCAAGCTGAGCAGCTCGCCTTAGCAATGCCACAAGCGACCGAATCAGAGACTCATTCACCAAAGCGATCAGCCTTCACCGAGAATCTTTGGACTTTGATTCTCGAATGCGACATACCCGTAGGCTCACAGCATCTCTCGTCCTCAGCCTCCAACTGCGACCTCATCGCTCACTTGGTTGACCTACTGCCTGTCCAGCTGACTGACTGGCTTTGTCTCTCGTTTTGCTCTCATCTTCTTTTGCAGCCACGAGTCCCCCCTTCGGTGCTTGTCGAGTTTATCGCCCTCCTAGCCGAATATCGCTTAATCTAAGACTTCATTTCTCAGCCTCCAAATCAGGCATCCAGTATCATCGACACCCTTGACTGCACGAAGCCAGCCACCCAGTCTCGGACAACTTGAAGTTGAAAACAGTTTTCCCTCGACTGACATTCCACTGCTTTATTGCTTCCTGGATGTCTCCCTACCCATTGCTGTTGCTCTCGTAAAAGAGGATGTCACGCCGGTATGAACGGATGCGCGAAACCTCCTTCGATCTCTACACCGAACGAGACGCACTTCCACGTTACTATCGCGCGGTTGCACTTGTTTCAACATGGCTGGCATTAGGAGGCTACATTTTATTTGCCTTGGCCTTCACCTCCGCTGAAGAGAACTTGAAAGTTGGGCGGAAAGCACTGGTCGGGGTCGCATCTACATTTCTCCTCGTTGGATACGCAGTCAGCGGCCTCTCGGCCTTCTTCAGTCGGAGTTTAATGTTCACATTTGATGCCGTCCTCATACCCACGTTAACCTCGTCATTTATGGGTGTCTTTGTTACCGTCGCAAATCATGCTCTACACAATGACTTCCCAATTTCCAATGAGGTTCTCGTCTATGTTCCACTGGTCACTGCATGCATCGCCACAATTGCCACCACTGTCATCTCTTTTATAACCTACCGAAAAATATCTCATATCAAATCTTTGGATTCGCAACGGAGGCAGCACCTAAAGAGATGGGACAGAGCATCATCTGTGAGTTATGGTGATGCGACATCGACGTCTGAATTATTGCCCATGAACAACATCGCAAACTCCATCAACTTGCCAGAAGATGAAGCTCAAAGACGGCAACTTCTTCGACTTCTCTTGTCACGAGAGACGGCCGAATCCCCAGGCCTAACTCTGACACCTAGCACCTATCAGATCACCCTACCTGGTGATTACCCCAATTCTGATGGACTACAAGTAGCCCCGGTGGGACAGCGTCCGCGTGCTGGCAGCCTTCCATCAACCACCACCAAGTTCAACATACTGAATAAAATCGGGCGGGATCGTAGCCCAACTGTGGAGAGTTTCAAGAACCCTCGAGAACGGAGGCGGGATGAGATTGAGCGCTCATCTATGCTCATTACGCCAAGCAGTGATACAGGATGGGCTCGGACGCCTGGAACATCAATCCACTCTCACGGATCCGGGTACTTCAATGGATCACCCCATCATGTATAAACGGCCATTTATTATCGAATGTTACGATGAAATTCTGTGCAGCTTAGCGAGGGCGTCTTGGACATGAGATCGATATCTGAACGAAATAACACTAGTTCTTGCTAATGGAATGTACTTATAGTATATCTGCTTCTGGTTGGCGCGATAATGCGAATTTTATGAGTCATCCACGTACGTGCATAGAGTAGATGCTTGCCTACTGCATGGCTCGAGGAAGGGTAGAAGCATGTGACTGGGCTCACGTGCACCAAGCCAAGGTAGTGCACGTGACTCAATTTAAGTCAGGTGCTTCGATCTGATCTCGGGTTTCTTCTGGACCTCGGCACAGAGTACAATAATATAGACTTCAGCCTATCCGATGTCACTCCTACATGCCACCAGCCCACGGTTCCTCGTTTTCCTCTCCAGGATACGAAATCGCCAATCTCGCCGAAATAATCCTCAGAAGAAAATAAACGGTCCTTCTACATATGACTGAGAGAAATCCGCCCACACGCCACAACGTCCCTGAATCCCTAACCTGCCATGACCCTTTGATACCTCAACGTAACTCAGGTCACCTCCGGTACAACGAGTTGAGATAGCTTCAGGCCCTCCGTGCAATCTCATTTGCTTCCAATTTCACGATGTCGACACATTCGACGCTGATCAAACCCCCGAAATCTCTTCCTCACCACTCCCCTATCGAGAATGTCCTTTCCCTCCTGCCCCTCGTCGATATAGGGCCAGACATCTACACCAATGCGAGACCGCTATGGCATCCTCCTGGCGCGAGAGGGATTTACGGGGGTGCAGCCATCGCTCAGTGTCTCAGCGCAGCCCAAGCCACCATTCCCAAAGACTTTACGGTCCATAGCATGCACTGTTACTTTGTACTGGCCGGAAACTCCGAGATTCCCATATTATACCACGTGGAGAGAGTCCGCGATGGGAAGAGCTTCATCACACGAACGGTACAAGCCCGTCAGAGAGGGAAATGCATCTTCACCACCACTTTGTCCTTCATGAAGGAGGACTCCGGCGGCAAGCAGACGGTGCAGCATGCGTCCAAGATGCCGGCCGACATCCCGGAGCCGCCCGCGCTGGACCCCAATCAAGATTTCTGGTCATTCAAAGCTAGCGGTAGTATTGACGATCGGCCTTTTGAAAGCGTTCGCGTCCCCGGCACACGACACACAGAGCCTTCGGAGCGGAAGCTTCGCCAGTGGCTACGGGCCCGTGGCCGCATCAGCGACTGTCCACCCGAGGTACGCGAGCAGGAAATCACTGATGGCGAACGAGCCAACAAACCAGGCGACAATCACCAAGCCCACCTGTCTGCACTAGCATACATGTCCGACAGCTACTTTATCGGCACGGTCGCCCGCGTTCACAACCTCATCCGGTTCGCCAGCCGGAAGAACATTGAGAACACGCTGCGTAACTTCAAGGGGCCCGAGGAAGAACGGGCGCAGATGGAACGATACCTAGAGAATATCGCACGTGATGAGGAAGAGGAAAACAAGGAATTTGGACGGCCACCCGAGAGTGACGGCCGACGCATCGGCATGATGGTCAGTCTTGACCATACAATTTACTTCCACAATCCACGCGCCTTCCGAGCTGATGAATGGATGTTGACCGAGATGGAGAGTCCCTGGGCAGGTGACGGCAGAGGCGTCGTGCTTCAACGCATTTGGACTAAAGGCGGTACCCTGATTGCCACGTGTGTGCAGGAAGGCTGTGTGAGGTTGCAGCAGCAAAAGGAGAGTAAGATATAGACGGAATTCAAAAGAGAGAAAGAGCAAATCCCGTCTCAGGGGAAATGGGAGTGGTAGGTTTATTTGACTTGTGCCTGGGCCGGCAGAGGATGCGTATCTGTGATGCTTTATGCTGTAAGTTCTGTACGTACGGCACGTGCAGGAGGGAGCGCGAATTGTTTAACCTTGATACTATATTTACATACTGGTTTAGAGTTGAATAGACTTTCCCCCACATAATAGAACTTGCCCCCGTTATACTTTTAGGCGTTGGTTGAAGGGTCCCTATCGCTTTCGTCAATTCTTCTCCTCAGTGAATCTCTCTGTAGCATCAAGTTCTTCCTTGTACTGTCGAAACCACAAGGAGAGAAATTGTTTGATTCTCTCTCCCCTCGTGGCCATACCACCGCCTGTTACGATGAAATAGAGTCCATTCGGGGACCAAATTAATGAACTCGTTTAGCTTTTCACAGGTACCGAGTACCTTGTGTATAGCCAATTCCCTTGACTAGGAGCCACTCTCCGAGGACTGCAATGCGGGGCTGGCGTTGATCCTGGCGCCAATGCACACCTTTTCGTGTAAGGCAAGGATCGATGACAACTCCTACATCTAGTGGTGGCCCATCAGAAGGGATCAGCACCACGGGCGAAGCTTTGTACAAGACTGCGAACTTGCTGCACTCCCAAGACTCTCCTGGCCCAGTGGGTACCTTGCTGGCGGATAGCAGTCCAAAAGCTGCCGGAACCGGGAAGAGAGCTTTAAGACCTTCCTGTACGCAAAATACAATTCACAAAGCACCAGTATTCCCGGATAACATGTTGGATGATCCAGAATCTCAGAACCAGCACAATACGTTCACCACGATGGACGGAGTGCTACCATCAACAACCTCCCTCCGCTCCGCTGTCCTGCCAGGCTAACCCGTCCTTGCTAGGACATGCGCATTTAGCAAGCGGTCTGTACCCTTTCCAATCACCATTCGAATAGGCACACACACATGGCGCGGTCTCCAGCCCCGATTCGAAATCGTGATTCGAGCAGACGACCTTCCTCCAGGCTATGGGAATCTACAGCATCGCCAGCGGCTTATCTTTGATCGCACTGACGATTTTCTGGCAGGTTTCCTCCTGGTGCCGGGCATCACCAGTCACCGCGGTTACAATACTGAGGTGTCTTGGAGTTTCGCTCCTGGTCAGAGCCGTGGTCACCCTGACAGATGGGATTGCTTTGTCACGGCTCGTGAAAAGCGGGTGTCTGTCCACTAAGGACGAGGAGCTAATGTCTGGTACAACCAAGGGCCATGTTATCATGTCGTTGCCAATCTTTGGTCTTGCTTTGGGGTATCTTTTGACCTGAAAGGAGGATTGGGCCGATCAGAAAACCTGGAAGAATGGTCTTCGGTAAGTATTGTTCTGGAACATTATGCGTTGTTCCTTCGTTTCTACTCCTCTCTATGGATCAACACTCAGGTAATCCAAAAGTCCCCTCAATTTCACCAACGGTGCTGTTTTTTCCAATAATATACACACTATCCAGATGTCGGCAACCGGCTAATGCCCTTCACAACCAACTAGTTCACTTCACCCGCACGCGCAGTAGTACTGGTCTGGAATCTCGAACTCAGTTCCAGAACTCTGTGAATCCCAGCGAGATTGAGCGGTTTATTCTCCTCCTTGGCCAAACAGTGCGCCGTGCGGAGCGCGTTCTTGATCTCCCGGCCGTTCATGATGTAGTCTCTTCCCAGCGTGGCCCAGATTTCGTCGTCCTTGCCAGATAGGCTGCTGTCGCGCATCATTTTTTCCGCAAGATTGCGCCACACGTTCGCTCGTCGCTCCGCCGTCAAGGGCGGGTACTCCACGGTGACGTGGATGCGGCTCAGAAACGCCGGGTCGAAGTCCTCGGCACGGTTGGTCGTCAGAAACAGGATGCCTTGGTAGTACTCCATGAGGCGAAGGAAGACCGAGACAAAGGCGTTTTCTCGAGGTTTTCGGTCGAGCGCTTGCTCAGGAACACGTCCGCCTCGTCCAGGAGCAAGATAGCGTTCCACTCTTTCGCGATGCGGAAGGCAGCCTTAAGCGCGGCCTCCATCTCGTTGACGGTCGTGCCCAGCTCGCCGCTAGTGACTGTGTAGATGGGTCTGTGCGACTGCTCAGCGACCGACTCGGCCGTGAGCGTCTTGCCTAGGCCGGCGGGTCCCCTGGAGGAGGAGCACCAGGCCGAGACCCTTACCGGCGATGATATCGTCGAATTCCTCGGCGTCGAGACGCGAATGCTTCCGGTGCGATTCCACAAGCGCCTTGATAATCGACTCGGTGTTGGCATCCATCTCGAGCCGCCGATAAGCCTGGTTGTTCCACTTGATCTCTTCTAGCGCATCGACTCGGAACTCGGCCCACGTTTTGTCCGTGAGCGCAAAACCTTTCACGCGTCCCGGGCACAACAGCGCCTGTTCCGGCTCAAGCTCTTTGGCCGTGTGCTCCTCGACCACCGGCACACCCTTCTTATTGCTCGCCTCGGGCTCATCCTCATCCTTTTTCTTGGATGCGAAAGTACACCCTTGTTTGCCGCAGAAACGTGGCGTCAGCTCGCACTCCTCAAAGTCCATGCCAAGGTCGCTTTCGAGGTTCGGTGCAGATGACGGGTTCTGTCGAGTATACTGCGCGTAGTCAATCATGACTCGTCCAGTGATGTGGGTCTGTACCGTCGTCTGGTCAATGAGATCCTGAATCCACGCCACCCCTCTGTAGTCCATGTGAGCGCGCTGCACCACCCGCGCATACTTGCGGCCTCGTTCTATGAGCGTCTTTTGAAGGTTACCACTCTTGTGATACTGAATTGGATAAATCACGAGATCCGTTATAGGGTATGGGGCGGCCGTCATAGGCAGATTAATGGCAATGCTTCGTCGGGTGTTGCCGAATTCTCGCCCATTGAACTGGAAGATCAAGAACCTCAGTTCCAAGACCTTGCTCTTGCCGTTGTAGTTACAACTGGTAACTTTTATGCACTGGGCTGGCATCTGGGACATGTTGACCACAGCCAGGGTACCAGGCGGGAACAGTGTCCAGGTGATATCCGACGTGATCATCTTCTGAGACTCATGTTTGCTGTATTCGGATTGGATGCGTTCAAGGTCCGGATTGTTCTCGATGAATTCCAGGATCACATCCAGCTCATGTTTGGTAGAGCTCTTAGTCGCCTTCTCGCGGTGGGTTTTGATCTGTTCTTTCTGCCAAAAGAGTTGAGCGTACGGTTGCATGATGATTATGGGGTCAGCTTCGAGATTCATGCCCTCAAAGTCTTTGAAGGTATCCTTGAACGCCTGAGGAGATTTGGAGATTTAATCTCGAGATTGGAAGTGATGGGCAGACCGATTTCATTCAGCCTTCGCCTGAGCACCGCGGCATAGTCGCTGAAACGATCTTTGGCTCCGCTCTTGGGCTTTCGGAAACGACGCGTCCGTGTGACGATAGATTGTCCGGTCTGCGTTTCCATCTCCGTCACATCCATAATTTGCATAATAGTTTGGGTATCTTCGTCATCTTCGTCATCATCTCCTTCATCTAAATCGCCAGTATCAGGACTGGTGTCAGCGGATGCTGGCGCGCTCGTACCAGCATTGTCGGTAGACTGAGCTACAACATCTGCGGCCTCGATTGTTTTGTCGTTCTCTGAATCCTCTGAGGTAGTAGGCGTTTTGCCTGCGGCAGACACCTCGCTGGCTTCACGGCCTACCGACTCCCAAGCCTTATCATATTCGATTAAAGATATGTTGAAGCAATACACTGATGCTTGAGGATCTGCATTTGAAGGGGTCTGTCATGAATCATCGCAGCTTTGGGGGAGACTGAAGTTCGGATTCGACATTTTATTGGGGACACACTGACCATCGACCTAAAGAAAAGTAGGCATCCCGTCTTCTGGTGTGCTGAACGTAGACATGAGGCTGATTACAGGCTGAATTGGTGCTACGGTCATGACCTTTAAGAGAATAAACATATACTCCAATCGGATGTGCCTAGCCTGAGCTCATTTCAAGCTCGGATGTCCAAACAAGCAACTCGGGCACGCCATCAGTATCAAGCGAACCGCTTTTGAAATGTCCGAGATCTGGGTCGACATGTTAGGTCTCGTGGCAACATTAGTTCACACTAGTTCCGCATGTATTGCGAGTCCCTGTGCGGCTGAGCTTCAGAATGAGGCTGAAAGGCTCCTACAGCCAATCAGCATGTATTGTATATATTCCAATCCTTCGAAGAGGCGACTACACATCGCTGCGAATCAGGCAAACTATAGCATCGAAAGCCGTGGCCACCAATACCGAGCTCTGAAAACTACAGGCGCCGGTGTAACCGAAATGCCAAAAACCATGGCAGCCCTGTTAGTAAGAAAGGCAGCTTTCAGGCGCACCTTTTTATCCATAGCGGGAGTCCGAGCATATTTGATATCGCAGTGCATTTTCTGCTTTGAGACGTTGACTAGGATGTGTCGATGATTAGGCACAGCAAATTTTGATGTGCATTGCGAATCTTCTCTGATTGGATTCGTTGTATAACAAGTATGCGAGGTTGCAGAAGACCACTGGAGTAGCATAAAGCCCTGAATTTCATATACAGCTCGTTTGGTTATCTTGAGAACTTAGCTGTCCCCTTGATATTCGATAAAAAAAACATCCCGTACCACGACTGAGCTGCCCAGCTCCCAGGCCATGGCAAACCCGAGTCCCAATGGTGCCTCGACCTCGTGAGTGATCCCAGAATAATGCGTCAGAATACACCAGGCTTACATGTTCAGGTCTACTGCTGTAGAATCGAATTGTGGCAGCTCGAGGCGAAATTGCCGCAGGGTGGCCCCAGAGTTTCCAGTGTTACTTCCTGAGGGAGCCAGAGAAAGGCTCGGCGTGAATCTTCAAATAAAACTAGAAGATGTTCTTGCTTACGCGGAGAGACACAAGAAGCTCGAATTAGGGTTTCGCGCCGCCTACGAGCTTCGCGATCTGCCTAAATATGATGATGTGTCTATGTACGGTGCTGGGAAGAATCTAGAGAAGTCGCTTGTTCGGATTGAAGCCCGCCGTCTGATCGCAGCTGTCAATGCGAAGGAGCCTCTTCTGTTCGATAGTTCAGGAATTCTCGAGAATGCTACTAAGGAAGGCTTTCAAAGCGTGGCCAATATCTCGGATCAACTTGGTTGTAATATCTCTATCACTGTACATGACAATTCTTTGATCAAGGAGCCTGAGGTTTCATACCAACGCCGAGCTCTTCGACCGTTTGAACAACACACAAGACGTGTGAACTGATTATCAGGCGATGACCGTACTGGGCCCGAAAATCTGAGACACCGGCTGCCCGAGAAACTTGCGGAAAACAATCGAGAACTCTACTTTCTCGTTGTTAACTATGTCACCGCTGTAATAATGCGGTATCTCGCCGCATGCGCTGCATCTGAGCAATGGCTCATCATCACTCTCAGCGTGCTGGCCAAGCAGTCAATGAAGCTCGAAGTTCTCGAGAAAGACCCGCCAGCATATGCTAAAATGAGCCAGGAGGCAGAAGAAGATCTCAATGATGAGCAGGAACAACATAGGTATTTGAGCATACTGGAGAAGCCATCGTCTCTTATCTCGGACACCGACAAATTCCTCGAAATGGATCAGATTTATCACTTTGAAGAATGGTACATACGCGACACAATAAACTGGCTATTCTTGTACATGCTCTCCGCGATTGGCGGAAGCTCCCCAACCACCGACGGCGGCTCATGCTTCGAAATGAGCACCCGGGTCTACAGAACCGGCATGAGCAGTTCACCTCTGGTCATCTCCTCTGATTGGGATGGCGAATATTCAGCCTCGTCTGACGCTCAGAGAATCAGATATTGCAGGTCTGCTCTAGACATCTTGTTACTAAACACTCGTGAAATTGCTAAGCACAAGAGCCACACAAGCAGGCTCGTCCAAATTCAATGGGATTTTGAGGGCTCGAGAGATCCGGAATACCGCCCCGTAGAGCTACAGCACCAAGCTTGTACCCAACGCCAATTTTCCATCTCTTCGATGGACGATGCCCTCAGTATGATAATGCCATTGGCTCTCTGCAACGCGCATGCAGCCATTGAGGCATTCTGCATGATTACTACGACGAATATTTCGTGCGTATCGACGGGCAAGCCGCGATCTCGCGAGTATATCGACGAGCACTTCTTGGCCAAATTCTCATTCACAACCTCGGCTTACAACAAAGCCCAACAGAAAATTGGAACATCGCCGGGATACAAGAGTCTCCAAAAGGCCAACTCGCGGGAGGAGCGTCTCGTTCCTAGCTGCAGCCTCGAGTCTACCAATGAGCGTGACTGTGACTGGCCTACCTTCAAAAAGCAAATGGACACCACATCAGAGTGGAAGCTGGACGAAACGTGCGTTATCGTCGAATGCGGTCCCTATGTTTGGACCATCATGGGAATTGCTCTCTTCATCGTGATCGGCGGATTGGCGGTACCATTCAGCAGCCATGTGCGCCTAGAGGGAGTCGATCCGTTCAACATTACCACGTTTGTCTGGCTGCTTGTGGCATTTTTCGTCCTTATCGCGAAGAGCCGGTACGTCCCCAACTGGGCATGGCACGACTTTCTCCATCGACGCATCATCTGCCGGACTGTCACCGAACTAGCTAATGTCACAGCCATGGACCCTCAGCTGGTCATACACAAGCTGCTCGTCAGCGAGAACTCTTCAGTCTTGGGCACTCGTGGCCCACACAATAGCATGTTCAAGCTGCAGCGACCGAACGGCTTCTCCATCGATGTGCCTGTGAAAACACCAACTCTGTATACCAATGGCTTCGTGCTGTTCCGCTGCCTGGGAAAGGTCGACCAACATATTGTTTGCCTCGATGCTCGCCCTATCGATCTGACCAGTACATCCCTCCTCGTCGCTGAGCACCGCCCCACACAAAAGTCCTTTGGGTGCAGACTGCCCGCCCCGAGCCAGCCCGTCCCCAGCAACGGTATGAAATTGTACATGGATGTGCTGAAGCTGACTGAGCGCGAGTATGAAGGCGACCGTATCTTGGGGCTTTTCCTGGCTGGTGCTGAGTTCGGGTAATAGGTAGTCGAACCCAAACACCACTCGCGCGACATGTGGGAAAAAGAAATAGGCAGACATTGTTTGAGAGTATGATAGTACTTTGCTTTATTCTCCTCCCCACGTATTCTCCAAATAATCTCTCAAGTGTGAGCCCCAGGTCCTCGCCGCATGGAGTTTTCACATTTCCCAAGAAGGAGCACTCGCAAGGCTGACGAGGAAAAGGGGCGATATGTCCGAGATGCCCTGTTGATTATGGCGGTACGAGTTATCACTTGCGTAGAACAACCCCTCTCATGCCGAACAACCTGCGTAGAAATTTAAGAGCTGTGTCAGCTTAACAGTGAGCGCGAACCAGGCTAAGGACTGGGTAGGCAGTTTGCTGGAAGTGTGTATGCACGGTGTTGGCTGATCCAATCAATTATTTAGGCGCCAAACTTGAGGGGCACTTGGCCGCCTCGGCCCCCCTCTCGCTCATTTCGAAGCCCCGGGCCGGTCCAGACCGCATCAGCAGCCCCCTGCATGCACGCCCTAGCCCAATGATTAAATGCTACGAATGTGCACAAGGCATCAATCTGCGCATTTAACTCGGCACTTCTTTCAATTTCGGCTGGATGGCTCATTGAAAGGCCAAGCGCCGTTCAGAAATGCTCATAACACCACTAGCTGTTCTACCCCTGTCTGCCAAGTGGGGAAGAAATCCATCGAGTTCCCTCCCTTTCGGCTGTAGGGTGGTGCGACTGTGCTCACCTGGTCGCGCGACTCATCGCCCTGATTCCTCCTTGAATACCAGAAGCTATTAAAGGTCTGTCACACCAGAAACAACTTCAAGTGGGCATATACGGCAATTGCATCGTCCTGGGTAGTTCAGATTCACCCTTCCTGGTAGAAAGCCCTCACAGGAAATGTCTTGCATTTTACTTCACGTTTCAAGGTGAAAGGGTTTCTCATGGTAAGTATGTAGCCTTGACGATTGGCAATAACACCCCTCTAGTTATCTCTAGCCGAAGGCTGGTTCCTGTTTAGCCCCTTCGATACTCTTCAGGTAAGTGGGACGGTGTTTTGTATAGAACTCGACATCGATCTTGTCTCCCAGGCTGGCCTTGCCCTGGTCGAGGCCTCCCGCCTTTACGCAAGTCATTTCTGGCATAACCTCCAATTCGGTATACAGGCTAGATCCGCAATTCGAGCAGAAAAAGTGTTTGTTGATCTTTCCCGAGTCACCCACACCGTCCCAGGATGAAGGAGACCCTATCGGCACGGCAAGCGTCAGACTTGCAAGAGATTATAACTGCGACGCATGAACACTTTACCTTTGGTGACTTTAAATGAGGTTCGAGGCACTACGGCGTTTGAGGTGAATGCTCCCCCCGTCCACTTCGTTACCATTAGGATTAGTTCGAAGCAGAGAACCCAGAGAGAATGTACACACCTTCTGACAGTCAATGCAGTGACATAACGCCGTCACTTTCGGTTCTCCCTCATATTCATAGTTGATATTACCGCACATACAGCTTCCTGTAGTGACCATCGTGCCTGCGGTTATGGCCGTAAGTCCTATGTGGTTTGTGATTGCCTCCACTCGAGCTTTTGCGGATGTCATTCACGCAACGGTGATAAAATACGAGTGGAAATGGAGAAGAGGTGGGGATATCACAGCTCTTTTATCCCGAAAATCAACTCTGGCTTCCAGTAGATGATGGGGTAAAAGCATCAACACTCCAATATCAAGGAATTTGAGTTGGCCTGTTGATCCATTCACCCGTCTTGGTTATTCAATCACAGGGGGAACCGGCAAAAGAGGGACGTTTCAACCCCTCATTTAGGTGGAGTAAACACCCTCAACTTGTAGCAGACAAACTGTTCCGAAGAACCCGCACCGAGCCCGCCTCTCTATGTTTGCATGAAGATCGTATAAACCAACATCTTGCATCCACTTTCGCCTCGTTTTTCGTGCTGGGACTTTGATTAGTGCCTCTTCAACGGCACTGTAAGCACACCTTAAGCCCTAAGGAACATCAAGCCTAATATCGTTACAAGAGTACTCCGTACCTGTGAGGAGAAGGGCATTTAGCGGAACCGCAAGGCCTCGGTCAACCTTGGCAAAAGTTCACGAAGCTGGAAGGTTACCATCCCGGACAAAGGCATAGACAATGCGGCTAGTCGTAGTCATGATAGTAATCCCGGCAGACTGCAACCAAGCTCGATACTGAGGATATTTGTCGACTCAGCCGCCGAGTTGAAGCTTACCATCAAGCATACAAGGGGATACATGCCACATGGCCCCTGGCTAGTCGCATCAAAAGAAAATCCGCAACATCGGGCCGATCGAAGTCTGTGTAAGATGACACAACAATGTTGAAATTTTTGGAGACAAATAGAAGAATCAAGAGGAAATAAAAACCCGTGACGGGCCCCATGACGCAGCCTATCATAATCCGAGACCCCTGAGCTACCTCATCTCCTAGCCCCTCGATGTAATCAGCAGTTCCAAGATCAGTTCCTGGTCTCTGCGATACATAAAGACATACAGGTACCGACAAGGTGGTAGCTGGCAAGGCCAAAACCGCCTTGCACAAGAGCTATGAAGGGTGATACAGTCGCTCAGAGAACCACCTGGGTTCTTCAACATGCCCAAATCTATAGGAGAAGATCATGCCTGCGTATTGGCAGGCTCAATCTTTGCTCCTGCTTCTTCTTGTCGAGCTCCCTCAGCGATATTGTTCCATTCGCAAGTAACCAAGAATATCTCTCCGCAGTGCCACAAACGTTATAAACTGGGGCTTGTCTGGCTTCGTGTTGTTCAATGCTGCAGTTTGTATGATGATAGCACCCCGGCACCCACGCTATCTATGTACTTGACCTAGACAAAATTGAAGCTGTTAAGTATGGCCTTGAAATGACGCAGGCTGTCCTTATCCTTGATCATCACTTCGGCCTGGTCAAACCAAACCGTCTGGCACTTTCTCGCCATTTGCAGAATTCCCATCCGTGTTCAATTGCAATTCGTTCCTCTCTCGCTCCTCCTGTTCAGCGGCCTCCTTCACTTTGAGGTCTTTCAACTGTTGACAAAATTTACTGTTGGCTCTGATAGTATTACCGAACCGGATGAAGGCAAATGGAATTGCCACCATGCTTAGGCTAAGGAAAGCAAGTAAGCTGCAGGCCCAAGCAATCCCAAGGGTCTCGAACATGCGGGATGAAGCCAGCGGTAAAACAACACCGAAGACACTTCGACATGTACTCGCGATGGATTGAGCACTTGCTGCAAACGTCTCATAAGCGTCGGTCAGATAGTTGAGCAAAGCCAGGAATATCAGCAAGAAGCCAAGTCCCCACAGGACTCCAGAGCTAACAGGAGCCAACCAGTGCACGTTTTGTTTAGCACTCCAGCCAATCCAAAATAGTGAAATGACGAACATTGGCCCTCCGATGCAGGCAAGCGGTAACCTATTATACTCCTCTTGCTTGGTCCAGGGAGAATTTTGTTTCCGTGCCCTTCTCAACACTGAGTTCCACCATATATAAACAGGTGCTGCGCAGATCGCCCCAAGTCCAATTGGAAGAAAAGCCAAACCAGCGACCCCGGGAGACCATTTGTAGACTGAATCCGGTCCTTGAAAAATCTTGGGATAAGCTTGAAAGTACAGATAAAATATTCCATACGCAAGGGCACAGTAAGCGGAGACACACATGACAATAACTTCTTGAAATAACATGCGCCAAGGTCGTGTCATAACAACAGTCAAGATGTGGTGAAGACTGCGCTGCTCAAGCTCAGACTTGGAGAAGATTTCGCGATCACCAGTCTCTTCCCGAAGTTTTTGGGCTTTGCGTCTAAGCAAGACTGGTCCGTATGTCTCTGGCATCACAAGGATCAAGGGAATGCTAGCAGTCGCAAGCAAGGTGCCAAATCCAAACACCCAGCGCCAACTCTTCGCTGCGATGAATCCTGAAATAGGAGGTGCAATGACGGGACCGCCGGTTGTTGCAATCATGAACCATGTCATTGCGGACCCTCTCGTTTGCGGATCACTGTAGATATCGGCATAAAGACCTCCAACAGTTCCGATTGGGCCTGATGCTCCCAAACCTGACAGAAATCGAAAGATGAGCAGGGCCGGCCAATTGGGTGCAACAGCACAAGCCAAAGTCGATATTGTAGCTAGGAGGAAGAATCCTAGCATGACATACTTCCTCCCATGGTATTCTGAAAGTGGTGCTGCAAGCGTAGGTCCGATGGTGTATCCGGCGATGAAACAGGATATAGGTAGAGGAAATTGTATTTGACTTGTAACGTTGAAGTACTCTGTGATGGCTTGAATTGCACCGCTTGGTAATGATGACTCCAGTGTACTGTTGATAACCATCACGATGCCAGCAAAAGTAATATAGCTCTTCTTCCCGGTCGACCAGTTGTACGGATTGCTAGGATCTGTTGAGCCGAATGTCACTATCTTTCTCGAATCTCTGCTGACATTCTGCACTTGTATATTCTGGGCAAGGGCCGCAGAGTTTTCCGGAGTAAGGATCTCGTGAGGGAGAGAGGCTGCTTCACTCGACGTTAGGGTTGGGTCATAGCCTAGAAATAGTCAGCTCTTAACTCATATGGCTTTCAAAGTCTTGAAATACCCAAGGCCGACTGATCAAGCCTTTGGTTGACCTGACTGTCCTGAGTTTGGTTTTTATCTGGGTGGCTACAACTCATCCTCAAGACGTGAGGAGCGGAGGGCACTCTTGTGCGCTCTGTACCGTCAGTGATGATGCGGATGGGCGGAAGAGCGAACAAAATGTGCCTCCAAAGGCCCTACATAGTATTCAGCATGATGTACCTTGATGCATGTAGCTAGAAATGAGAACGGTCAACGAGAGCTACAGGTCAGTAGTTGGCTACCCTCCAAATCTAGACACACCTACTGATCCGCTCGGGTTTGGCTGTTCAGATCTGGGATTGAACAGCAGATCCGGCGGAAGACAGCGCCCAGCCCGGCAGCTTCAGAAAGGTATGATTGGCAAAAGCCCATGTTCACGATGCATGCTCAAACGCTGCGGTTGTCGGTTATGACGGCAAAGTTGAAATGGAGGAAAAAACAACAAGGAGGCGGCGGGAAAGTGCGAAATACGTCGTGCATTCAATTGGGAAGGAGCGAAACAGTCAACTCTATTTGGACCTCGGTTATGCCAGGGCCTTGTGGGGGGAAGCAGCATGCCAGCAACCCCAATTATGAGGTCGTCGAAGAATGGCACAAATAGCTGACTGAGCGGGGAGGTGTGTTCCTGGCAGGGTAGACGCCGATCAGGATTGGTGAGTCTCAGCATCGACTCCTCAGAGTACTGCTTCATGCAGAGAGATGTGACGGAGCTTCTTTGCCCTTGTCCAGGGGTTGCAGCCTCGGAGCTTCGACTGTTCCAAGATGTGCCCATCAAGTGAACATTCCAAATATTGGAACAGAAGTATCATACTCCAAAGCTTAGATACGGAGGCCGCAGCCTTCTCAAAGGAACCCTTACCCAACACGTAGTCTACATGTACCATGATCGAGCAAGAGACAGGCGATTTCGATCGAATGAATTTCCACGTGCTGACCGACCTACGAGGCCATCTGCAACAGATCTTTTCGGGGGGATACTCAATTGGAGTAAACTAACAAGTTCGGCGAGATGAGGCTAAATCCCGGGTGCCTCCTGTCATCCGGACTCCGTGCTCTTATCCGGGCGATTGGATGTGGAGATCATGTACAGCCATCTTCAGGGGTGCAACACGAGAGAAATGAACACTCGGGGTAGAATGCACTAGAAATCCCACAAAGAGAAAAGCCTGAGCACTTCGTAAAGAAGATTGGTTTTGGCGTACGCGCCGGAAGTCAGAATAACGCCATCATTGCAACATGCACATGTCGAAGGTGTTGCTCAAGTGAGCGAGTGCCGCTCTAAAAAGATCAAGCCTGTCGAAAGTCTGGCGACCCGAAAGTGGCTTGAACTCAAAACTATTTGTACCACCAGCGAACGTCATCCATTGAGGCTGATAAAGGACCTGATCTGATTATGATCAACCCGTAACTTTAAGAACAAAGATATCAATATGCAGCTCGAAGTTGGGCGGCCTGGTTGGCTTCAGAAATAGGCCTCGGGTGAAGAAACAACGTTGGATACGAGTACTTGGACATGGAAGTGCGAGCACGTTCTTCTTGTTACACTAACTTCAGTTACAGCTTGACACCTGAGATGTTCGGTGCCAAGATCCACATCCGCGAATGCAAGCCCCTATTCAAAAACCAAAGCCGAATATTATTAAGGAACCTTCACAGTCCCAGCCATCCTTTGGTCAACATTCCACGGCAATACTCACAACACTCGCGACGGATAAAAAACGTCGAAGCTTCTGTATCCGCATCTCCCCCTTGTTTAACCTGCACTCCAAAGGTGCTAACGTATTCACTGGCCTGATGTAGGCGAGAGCCATGTTTTGCTCTCAGAACTATGTATTTCATCCTTGCTCTGGGTCTAGCCTTATTTGTGCGGGCATCTACTGGGCTCAATAATGCATCGTGGCTATGGGGTCCATACCGACCAAACCTCTACCTTGGTATACGGCCTCAAATTCCGGAATCTCTATCAATGGGTATAATGTGGTCCAATGCGGATGACTTACCAACGATCGACAAGAGTAGGTCACTGAAAGTACCCCCTTTACTGCTACAAGGTCGCTGACCAGTAATCCTTGTCCAGCTCTTCGTCATACATGTGAGGAAAGTGACGGCATAATGAATTTTGGCTGGAAATTCTACGATGCCCGCACCGGCGGTAGTCAAGTAATAAATGATACTGGGAATCGTGTTGACATGGCCACTGATTTCCTTAAATCAGTGGACCAGGGATCCCAAGAATGGCAGCTCAGAGTTCAGGCTGTTCCAAGGTCAGGTTCAGAAGAGCGCCAGAGTACGATGCTGGTGTTCTATCTTGGTTCCGAAAGCCCAGAGTCAAAGGTTACTTGCAAGCGACATCACAGCCACAGGGTCTCGCACAGTGATATATCCTGCCAGGGAACGACGCCTACTATCGGTGCGTTCTCAGTTGATATTGGAGTCTCTGGAGCTAGAAGCGATCTTTTACAGCATCTAGTCATCAACAGCATGAATATCCCCGTGACAAAGATGTGGCAGGCTAAAGCCTTTTTCTTGGACGAACTCAAAACCCGCGGTCTGGGTGACGGGTTTATCCCGAATAATCCTGGGGAGGGCAATCTGCATTTTGTGCAGCTGATTTTTGAGGACTCGAATGAGATTGAAGTTTCCTTCAACTCTGGCAAAGAGCATCTAACCATGACTTCAACGCCACTGACCAAACGCCTGGAAGGGATCTCGGCCGGCTTCCAGAAGCAACATCGTTTGACCTACAAACCACAGCCTCCCTTTAAGGGCGCACAGTTCGTTGGATTTTCACAATATTTGCTTTCCAACTTAATGGCTGGAATTGGCTACTTATATGGAACAGACAAGGTCAGCCTCAATTCAACTTCAGAGTTCACAGATACGCAAGACGATTTCTGGATGTATGCCTCCCTTGGCGAGGAACAGAAGCTAGTCCAGGAACGAAGGCCGCGTCAACTTCTAACGTCTACCCCATCGAGACCACATCTTCCTCGTGGATACCTCTTCGATGAGGGTTTTCACCAGGAAATCATTCTTGAGTGGGATATGGAACTAGCCATGACCATGTTAGCCAGCTGGTTCGACTTGATGGATGATGATGGGTGGATAGCTCGTGAACAGATTTTAGGCCCCGAGGCACGAAGCAAGGTACTGCCATTGCTACAAGTTCAATTCCCACACTTTGCGAACCCCCCAACCCTGTTTACCGCTATCGAGAAAATAACTGAGATGCTCCAAATGGAAGCTTCTTCCCCGGAGAACTCCAAACAGTATCTCGCAGATCCCACTGAGGGAAAGCTTTGGCTGAAAGCGATATATCCAAAGCTGAAGAGACACTATGAATGGTTCCATACGACGCAAGCGGGGAACATGACCCACTATCGACATCGCAGCCGGTCTTTCCTAGGATATCGCTGGAGAGGTCGCACATCTCAGCACATCCAGACGAGTGGTCTTGGTGACTACCCACGGGCGCACCCTTCACATCTCGAAGAGCTGCATGTAGACGCATTGTCTTGGGTGGGATCAATGTCAGCTACACTGCGGAAGATTTCAGCCTTTCTCGGTGAAAGACAAGACGAGAAGACTTTTGCAAAGCACGAAGCCAGTATACAAGGAAGCCTTGATGGGCTCCACTGGTCTGCTGCGTCACAGGCGTATTGTGACACGACCATCGATGGAAAACATCAAATAGTCCACGTCTGCCACAAGGGTTATCTTTCGCTGTTCCCATTCCTGCTCGGCCATCTCAATGCTACACATCCACACCTAGAAGCAGTATTGGATTTAATGCGAAATCCAGGTGAGATCTGGACCCCTTACGGACTTCGCAGTCTAAGTCGCAGCGACAAGTACTACAGCAAAGGAGAGAATTACTGCAGAGGCTCGATCTGGGTCAACTTTAATTACATGGTCTTGAAGCGATTGCTGTCCCTTTCTGCTAAGCCTAGCCCACTTCAACAGAAGATGCGCAAATTGTACAGCGAACTTCGTACGAACATCGTCGACACTGTTTACGCGTCCTGGGTGCAGACTAGTACTGTATGGGAACAATACAATCCTGAGACAGGAAAAGGTCAAGGTACAAACGACTTCACGGGGTGGACAGCATTGGTCGCGAAGATAATGGCCATGCCAGAACTGGAGCCGAGTGTCTCATCGCACAGAAACGCAAATCCAAACAAGCTAAAGCTGAAAGAGGGGCTGAGAACCAACTTCTCCAGCAACATGCTCATTCTTTTCACTATTGCAATCCTTGTGATTTGGCTTGCCTACCGGAAGAGACTGGGGTTGATTGTGTCAAGGCTGAGAAGACCTTAGCTCATTTACTAGTGGCATTCACCGCCACACATACAACATTAGCTCTTCGTTGTCTGCAGTGCGTCTACCGGGCGTGGTGAAGATATTCTAGCTGCGATGTTCCGGCCAGGATGGATCGAGCCATGGATACTATCAAGGAGGCGGTCCGCTTCACTGAATTTGAAACGTGCTTCTTCATAGACACTAAAGTCCGGATCGGTCTCGGTCCTCAGCAAACCATTTCCTTCGAGGTGTCTGAGACGCGAATGTGCTGTGGTGTGCAAGCTTTGGTCATCTAACAAATAGTCTTTCGAACTGATTCCTATCAGTCCCGTGAACTTTGTCAATTGAAGCCAGTGCTGTTCTTCGAGAGCGCTAACCTCTCCGGGCAACACACGGTTGCCAAAGCTGGACCTTTTTGACACAACGAGAGGCGTAGGCCCGGACCACGGCCAACCGAACAAAGACATGCCCATTCCTGTGCGGGCTTCGATATGAACCGTGGCTTCGAAGAAGTCCCCGTTGTGCCGCACCAAACCGGCAGTCCTTAAATCCCTGGGGATGCCATTCGCTTGCGCATAATTTTCATCAACCCTCCAAATGGCCAAATCGCCGTCCTCGGCATCCTCGTCACTGGCCCATGACTCGCCTATGATTTTCATCCGAATGTCCCTTGCTATAGTAGTGGATCGACTCATCGGGGCCTCAACCCCGACTTGGACCGGCGCTGTTGGTGAGATGATGGATGGAGTGATACTGATGGACTTGGTGACTTGGCACTGTTGCACTGTAAGTTAATTGATCGCAGCCACCGAAGAGCTGTGTTAGGTATTGGTAGCGATGCTATTTAGGCCACGCCATGCTCTGAGGGCGATCCAAACAGTCCCTCGGTCGCTCGGGCCCTTAATACCAAGGACCCGGAACCCACCGTTGTGATGATCTCGTGTCAAAATTTACCTCATCTTCTCCAAACTCGTTCCTGACCCTCGGTATCAAATGATAATCGCACGAACAAACTTTTTTCATTAATTGGGCAACCTTCGTTGTGATGGATGAACTACTAGGTTCCATAGAGGTTCAATCAGTGCGCCAAGGTTCAAATAATCCCACGGAGCGGCGGAGGTTCAAAACTGTGGCAGCCGGTTCCTAATGGTATGCGGCTGGTACGAAGTATTGACGACATAAAGTCGTATTCGGATTTTGATCGACCTATGGTTTTTTGAAACGCAAAACGCCGACCTACGCTCATGTAGGCCCACCGAGCCACATATCCAAATATCCTAACTGCAACAGGCCATCTCATCTCGGTTTTTCTTTGACCCAATCCTTCAAGATGGAGGGACATTGCCAATGCGGACAAATCCGGTTCACGACCCCCTTGCCGGCGCCTTTGGCACTCTATATCTGCCACTGCACTGAATGTCGGCATCAGTCCTCGTCCACATACGGAATGACGGCCATCTTCCCATACTTTGAAATCAAACCACCGTATGAGGGCGCCATCGCCGTTTACAGCCGACCGAACAGCAATGGACACACGGATGGGTTCTTCTGCACCAAATGCGGATCTCGCCTAATCCATGTCGACGTGTCGCCCGACGGCAAGCCGAAAACGAAGTTGAGCGTTAAGTCGGGCTGTTTGGATGGCATTACTAAGGAAATGATGAGAAAGGCAGTCCATTGCTGGACCAAGTCGGCCGTCATGGACATTCCCATGAGCGCAGAGGCGTTCGAGGAAGAGCCTCCTGGTGGTAGCTTCGAGTCGGATTGAATAGACGCGTGACAAATTACACTATCGCGGTGGCATGCCCAGGGTATGTCACAGTCGAAGTTAACTGTTTGAACATGAATTGCACCCAGCGTCCACTCGCCGCAGCATTGCAATTGAGTGGTGCGCAGGGGGCCAGATCATGTTTGCGGTTTTGGCGCATGGAATAATCGTGGTGGCTCGGTCGGCTGCTTCTCAACAATAGTCCCTTCATTGACTTTCCTTGCTTCCACCTCTTCATTTCGTTCGTTCTCCGCAGCATCATATTCTTGTTGATGCTTATCTTTACCGCCACAACACCAACAGCACATCAAAACCCACCATTCGATTAATTGCATGACTCTCTTTCTGGACAACTTCAAATTTGTGGGTTTCGGTTGATAGTGCTGATCTTGTACAAATTTTGATTCCAATTAAACGGTTGAGGTTGGCAGCCTTCCCGGGTCAAGGCTGACGCACGCGAACGAGGTCAGTGAAATCAACGTGCACCGAAATTGCTAAGGATTCGTGAAGCCGGTCTGAGGATCTTTCTTTCAATATAATCTTTGATGAATAGACTTATTCTTCAAGAAGGGACTTGCTCAACGCGCATATATCCGTCCAAAATCGATGCCTGATCTGTCAGGGGTTGTGGCTGAGCATCGCATCTGAAACGCGAGGCCACTCAATCCCCTACAAGGCAGACAACGAATCCACACACTCCGTACACTCTTTCTAGATGACATCTCTAAGGAGGCAGTGTGCGAGCTTGAGACTTTAAATCGATATCTTCTCCAGGCGAAATAACGTGAGGATGGGAACAGTGCAGCCTCATTGGTGGGGATGCATCCGATGCCTCGGCGAGGAGATCTGGTCTTTGGCGAACCACGTCAACGTCCGACCACGAACCTCAAGAACACGGGCCCGGGTAAGCCAGCCAGGGCCTCGCAATCATCATGAGAGTAAATTTATGCAGGCAACTATTTAGTACTGTTAAGGGAGAGACTGATGGTAATGATCTCGCAGATGAGTTGCGAGAATGAGTTGGTGGCTGTAGGGATACACAGCTCAAACCTTTATTCTCGTATTCGATTTATGCCAATAATAAGTTTACAAAATCACATAGAAAGATGAAACATGGAAAGTACGGATTGAGAGAACCATTGGACCGTCCTTGGAGTCAGCCTTGCTTGACTGGGAATTCATATCTTGGCAATGTCTGGGGGCCACGCGGGCTCAGCAAAGGAGATTCGTCACGAGAAGGCTGATAGAGCAAGTGGGTGCTCCAAGGACAAGGCCGGATGTCAAACATTAAACATTAATTCCTAGGTATGTATGTATGCGTACTGAAGTGATGTCTCTAATATCTACGTTGAATGGCAAGATCATGGCGCTAACAAAGCACAAACCCCCTCATACATAGATGTAGCACAAAGGCCCACCAGTTGTGCTCATGACATCTTGATTTGCAACCGTGGGAGCAAGAGTCTTGAGGAAAATGGGGTCCGTCAATTTACCAGGAGGGCTGTTGACTGGGTCTAGAGTCGAGGTACCACCGGTAAAGGCGTTGAGACGGTTCTTTGGGTCTTGATTTTGCCATATCCACCAGGTACGATCGATCTGGGCGTGATGCAGGAAGAACGTCGGTTCACCAGGTGAAGCGAAGAGATCACCACCTGGATCACCACCAGTGGTGAAGTGTCCGGCAGTGTGAACTCCATAGAAACCAGTCGGGAAATCACCCTGCATGCGATTTTGGAAGGACCCGATATCCTTGTAGTTGGTGATCAAGTCAAATGAGTCGGAATCCTTCGTCCACCGCGAAGACACCCAGGATGAGATGTCGCGACGAAGGCATCTAGGATTGTATGCGAGTGGGTCAGGGCTGGAATAGTCAATAACTCCAGGCACAGCGAGTGTTGGAGCCACTGGGCCGAGGTTGACGACGTAGTCCTTGAAAGGCCCCGTGTTGACGCAGCCACCTCCTGAGCCAGGAGGGATGCAATTCAGTCCGGTAGGCAGAGCGTTGGTGCAGTTGTGTTCCTGGAACTGCCCATTACCGGACATACTGAAGTCACTTCCATCAAAGAGCGGTGAATTCAGAGGATCTGAGGCGTACTTTCCCCAGTTCCAGTAGGGTTGGTACCCGTCATAGCCACATTCATTTCTCAGGGCTTGCTCGAAGGCCCAAGTAAAATATCGGTGCCATGCGAGAAAGTTCGCGGTCCCATGGATAGACAACGTTTGGTTGATATGGACAGCGACAAAGTCGTCATATCGTGTCTTTGCACCAGCGGCAAATGCTGGATCTTTTGAAGGCTTGGACATCAAGCAGAGTTCAGCATCAATGTAAGCCTTTCGCTCCTTCTTGGAAAGGGTCGACCATTCTCGTCGGACTGCCGTGTTGAAGAGGTTGCAACTTCCTGCTGGTGGGTTCGTTATTTGGTAGAAGGCAAGATTGACCAGTGCTTTGGTTGCCAATAAATCAGTTTGAAGTGTTGATTCTGGGCAATAAAAGTTGCCCGATAACGAGGCCAGGTCCTCCCGTTCAACAAGCCCAATGTCCGATTTCTCCGGGGGGGCCGGGGCTGCACTGACGGTGCCAACGGCCAACACGATCGGGAAAATGTGTCGAAGCTGCATGGTGGCGGGTAGGATTGGGATGAGGTCAAAAGGCTTGGATTGAAGAATGGGAGTTGTTAATGAATGGACGTCAAGACTCTCAGATGAGACTCAACAGTAGATAAGGTGTGGCACGAAGGTCGGACCCCTTGAAGGAGGAAAAGTTCTCGATTGACTGGGATGGAGGTGGTTTAAGTACGATCCTCGAACCTTGATCGTGGTTAGACATTAGGATGGCCACGAGGCACCTAGTTCGCCACGAGGATTATGATAGGGATAGGCAAAGGTTAAAACTGTCTAGGATACGTCCAAACATATGCCGTATCATTTCGAAATTGGAACCGACCTCTGGGGTTGGATAGATCATCAAACTATGCGCCGACTATTGATCTCGCCATAGCCTGGTGCTTTACCTGTGGACTGACCGTCATAGAGTCAAATTTGGGCTAGCATTGCAGTGGAAGGATTACGATTGGCAGATATCGAGTGAATGGAGTGTGAAAGATATCCATTGCTACACTAAGGTCAGACCTCGACGAGGTATATGGAGCATGGCCACTGGGATAAATCCGTCGATCATTTCGCTTCTGGAAGTAGGGCAGCTTCTCAGCATTTCGGCAGTTGGTATTAAAGGAATCAATCAAGTCCGCGTTCCGTTATCCATCCAGATGGCGGGAGTCGCACTGTTTTGCCCATCACACTTCAAGGGGCAGAAGGCCATCAGCTTCAACACCTTTCCCCAGGTCACAGCGAAGGCCAGCCATACCGAAATTAAGAATCTATGACTTGGCAAGCGAAGTTGCGACTCGGAACATTGTCTAGGCATGGAGGATAGATCATGCAACAGCAAAAGGAGCTTCTCACCAGTGTACGAGTACGGACTACGCGGAACTGGAACATGAATAAAGAAAAGGTGGAGACGATTCCCGGAATCCATGACCATATGGCAAGGCATGAAAACCTGCCCTTGACATGGGGTTGAATGAGGTTACTGGGATCAACAATGCTAGACCCTTATGCAGTATAGCGCTAGCATCCACCTTTCTGCGCCTGTGGTTGCGTCGCAACTTTTTGGTTCCCACTTTCGGTCACGTCCTTGTGAGTGCTCTCATCCCCGTCCCTTGAATTGCTTAGATCTTTCCTTTCTCTATCTGGGTTACTCTGTGGAAAGCGTGGATCTCGACAGTGGACCGCTGAAAACACCTTGCACTGTTCAATCGACTTGCCTCAGCTACGCAATTTCCTTCGGAAAGTCGCCAGTCTGCCCACGCTGAAGACGGTTGGTAACTAACCTGAAGAGCGGGATCCCCTCCCTACTCGTAATGAGGCCATCGAGCGGGGGTCACTCAGGGACCGTAGGCGAAGTGGATCGCTCGTGTAGATGGTCAAAGTATGTTATTCCCTAGCCCCAGGGCATTGCATGGGTTGGAGCACAACTTAATAATAGGGACTACTCGAGCGCTCCGTACGTCCCTCTCTGAGTGGTCAAAACCATCCTCCTGGTTCCATCGACATGCATGCACCACTTATGGCTGGTTGAGCCTCCATAGGCACTACAGTTTTGAGATCCTAATTTTCGATCTTCGACACCCTCAATCAAACTCTACTGTTTCGTCCAAATGGAGAGAAGCATTGTGTAGGGAGGGGATGGTGACAAGAGAACGGAGTGGCGGATGAGAGCAGACTGTTCTTGTTCATCGTGGGATTGCACTCCGAGCTACTTGTTAGAGGGTACATGCATATTACCGACCCAAGCCTCTAAGAAAGTACTAAGGACCCAGGTGGCGACCGCGGAAGCCAGCCGTGCAGCGAGACCAAGATCAGATGCAACATTCCTAGTCCAAAGCGTTGAAGAAAGCATGTGTGGGAGCCAACACTTTGCCCTACTAGCTTGAAACCAGGTCTGTCTTCCCCTTGTGGCTCGTTGATCATCGAGAGGTGGCGTCCACCGTACTACATCCCTAGTTCCTAGTTGTGACCGGCGGCATATTCTATATCTAAAGAGCCTATGATCTCCTAACCAGTGTTGGAGCACTGGTGTTGCTCGAATGTTGGTTTGGTGGTAACGTTCTTTTTCACCTTCGTAAAGGTGCGCTTGGTCAAACTACAACTATGGTGATCACAGGTCTTCTGTCTTTGTCCGAGAGACAGGCCGCATCGGCTTCTCCTGAATACAAGGATGAATCATATGCAGGCAACTTACTCGCTATTCACGGAACGTTCTGCGGGGTGGCACTCCTGTCGGTGATTTTACGTCTCTATGTCAGGGTATTCATGCTCAAGAGTGTTGGAATCGATGACTATCTTATGGTTGCAGCCGCGGTCAGTACCATCCTTCTCTTCCACTCCTACCATCTCCATCCTGTAGAGGAAAGCCAGCCTCGCCGTCAAGCATTGGAAAAAAGCTGACATGTCTCAAACCTCAGGTTCTTTCCATCGCTGTTGTTGTCTGCTTCTGTGGAGAGAATGCAGCGGGCGGTCTTGGGAGGCACCCTGCCCTTGTTTCTCCGGAAGACTTCTCAAACTTTATGCACTGGCGGTATTTTCACTCATTGATCATCATGGTTGGAATCAGTTTGGTCAAGATATCCATCGCTTGCTTTCTCCGCAGATTTGTGCCCAACAAGAATTATCAGCGCTTCCTGCTTGGGTCGATCGTCTTCCTAGTTGCATTCACTTTATCCTGCGCCGGAACTTTGATATTCAACTGCGGGCTGAAGCCCTCCGCAAACTGGAATTTCGCATTGCGCGCCACTGGGGAAGCCAAATGTTTTAGCGACACGACTTTCACCAACATTGGAATCTTCAACAGCAGCGTCAACATTGCGACCGATGTGCTCTTCGCTGTGCTTCCGATTCCTATCATTTGGCGCCTCCAAACGAACCTGCGCACTAGGCTTACCCTGATCTTCATTCTGAGCTTGGGACTCTTCGCCTGCGTTTCAAGTATCGTCAAAACAGTGATTCAGGCTGGGGTACTCTCCGACCCAGACTGGACTTATCGCGATTCCTTCTTCATGTGGAACAACATCGAGTTCAATATTGGCATTTTGGCCGCTACTCTACCAACTTTGCGACCCCTATTCGCGAAGATCCTTGGTGTCACTCAGAAATTCACCTCTGGTGGTAGCCGAAGTCGTCCTACGCACTACGGTGGTGGTTACGATGCAGATGGTCTTGCATACCATAAGCACGCCAGTACGAACCCAACATCGAGGGCGACCCGATCCAAAGACTACTATCAATTCGGCTCTCGACATTCTACTGAATTGGCCGACCTGCAAAGGGGGGCGAGTACACACGCATTTAGCCGCGATCCAAACAAAACGCCCGGCGTGACGAGCACAGTGACGGTCGGAGACAATGACAGTGATAAGATCATGTTGAACGAGCCCGATTTTCATGCAGTTGGGGATGACAAGCACTGGGAATCGCCAGCATCACCACCCAGAGGAGGAATTACGAAGACCACGACAGTAAATATCTCCACATATAATTGATGGCCCGTCACGGGAATGTTCCACGAATCGCCAGCAGTATGGCAGGGTACTATGTACAGTATTTCTGGATCGAGATGAACATTGACAATGTTGCAAAGCATCTCAAATGCTACGAATTCTGGGCACCTGGAACAGCGCGAGGAGTCTAGGTGTTCGGGAAGAGACGTTCGACCAGCGCAGGGGAGAAGGGATCGACTTCCTGTACCATACAAGTCGATCTTTGTACATACTGTATGTTGCGACAACTGATAGAAAATCGCAAAATTGATACGTACCTCAACACTCCCTTGGTTCCTAACCGTCACTGGCTTGCAATTGTGTAGCCTCATGCCTTGGAAGTTTAGCAGGACCTTCTGCGCCCGGCTCTTTACAGCCCTCTGCACACCGTTTAATATCGGAACTGATTTTTGGAATGTTGGGTTGGCAAAACTCAATAATCCACCACAGCCCTCGTGTTCAGCACAAGGTCCGTCGGCCGTTCCACAGGCTTCACAATCCTGGAGCCGGGTGACATATTCTAGAATCTCAAATTTAGGCTCTAGATGACGGGGTTGCGGATGGAAAAGACCCCTTAATTTCTATCTCTATGTGCTCCATCCGTTGTTCTGTTTAATTCCTGCGCACAGTTGTAGGGAGTACCTGGTTGGAGATGTCAGCCGCCCCAAGCTACGAGTCTCCGCGGGTCTGTGTTGACTGTTCACTGTAGAGCACCGCACTGCAAAGGTTTACTGCTCATTCAGGCCTTGGATTCTTGTCACGAGAATCCCGTGGCCGCGGATTGCGTGCCGTTCGCCCGTTGCAGAAGTTGCTTCTGTACGTAGACCTTCTTGCAAACCTTCTCCTCTAGCGGCAGCCAGGGCCGCCGTTCCCCGTCAGTAATCTGTCGGTGGATCATCAATGGCATTTTCCACCCTAGATCCATAGCAAATAATCGTCGGATCCCACTCCAGGGCCCCGGGGCTAAGACTCGCCATCCTACGGCTGCCCTGAGGTTTTCCACTCATTAAGTTGTGCAACTTTTTGCGAGCTGCCAAGGGCCTGGAAAGTTACATATTTAATAGGCCCGCTCTGCTAAGCATCCCCCTGAGGTACCTGTATCGAAACCACTGGCCTGCTATACGAGACAAGCCCTCCGTACCTATGTACCTCGGAGCCTAGTGTCAGGAGATGTGGTCTCACTGAGTAGTAGTTGAGTAAGCCCAGCGTCCCACGACGATCAATTAGGCTCGAGGCTTGGCCGGACGAGTGATACCTGGAATGGTAAATGGATGTTGCAACTTTAGCGAGGATGGTCCATGCAGGAACTGGATTTTGGATGCCTCTTTAACCGAAAGTGCCATCGTTGTTTAGGCAGGGTTCGCTTAAATGCCCGACAAAGGGTTGAGCCTAGCAAAGATAAAGAGAGCCTACGCAGCCGACTCTCCACTGTCCGATGAGCCTCTTACCTTGAAGACAATCTTCTTCGGGAAAAAGCTTGAACCAGAACCGAAGGGCGTCAATTTGGTGTACAATAGTACATTCTGGAGGGATTTGGTACGATTAGTGCCTTCACAACTATGCATCCCGTGCCGGTTACGGAGTACTGCTTTGTCAATTCCCTTACCTCCCTGCTCCCGGACCCAAGGACAATACAGAGTACCATGAGTCCTCCACAGGACATGTTTCTGCCAGGTACATGTGCAGATCCACACCCTTGAGATCCATTTCTCCACTGTAATCTAGTCGTTCTCGTACTGTACAGAGGATGCTAGGCGACGTTCTGTTGCATCATGCTGGTTGTCCTAATCATTCTACGAGTAGTAGTGATTAGTGGGAGAACTCCGGCTTGAACCCTCATTTTCCTTCGACCGTAGGATCGCCATTTGTACCTTTGGGCGTGAATGATCATCCTCGGACACGCAACCAACATAACCGTAAATGTGGCTTGCCTATCCATCCTGGAGACTTGTCGTCGAGCCGACAGATAATCCATCAGGATTCGTGAAACTTGATTGATCTTATCCATCGAACTATTACCCCAACAGTGTTGCGATTCTTCATCTCACGAGCACCTGAACACACTGTGATCTGCCGATGGGTGTCGGTCCGAGCCTGCCGGATCTCGATCATTGAATACATCAAACTCGCCATGAGCTTGGGTGTTTTGAACCTAGCATTCAGGTTAGCTCTGAAACTCGGTGGACCGCCGGCCAGGGGCCTCGAGAGATTTTCTTTGTACTGTAAGTGCAACTGTTTCTGGGCTAACGTTACACCGCCATGCCCTTAATTAATCTGATCTTTTCATGATTCAATCTTGTGGATGACACGAAGGCTATGTCTTGCACGGAGATTTATCCCAATTCCTGAGTGGTTTGCTGTATGTACTCCGCACTCCGACCAGGGTCCTGCTCTCGCATGAGTCTGGGACTAGTCGGACTATGTACTCGTATGCGTACTGTTCGCAGTGTGCCTGCATCTCCCCAGCTTACTGTGGGTTCAGCGTATCATTGGCATCAGTCGGTGGGAATCGGTGGGAATCGGTGGGACTTCGTGTCGCGCTCAGGGGGTACATCGCTTGATTCAACCCGTCCCCTGAGTCGCTCGCTCGTCGTGACCTCCACTGATGCATCTAGTAGAAATGGGAGTTCTGTCGTAAGATCTGAACATGGACTGCAGGAGAGCTTGAAAATGGGTTGCAATCGAGATCGAATTTCCCAGTAATAAGCTTCAAAGAGGGATCACCGCCGTTATGCCGCTGAACACTCCCGATGCCACCCAATTGTGGACATCCCACGAGCTGCTGGAGGCACCAGCGGGAACAAATTAGGCACTTTGCAATGGACTACTGATGCACGGCCACCACAGTAACCATGTCCCTGTCGCTTTCATGCAGCTGAAATCCCAATCCGAGAATGCTGTTCGGCCTCAAGCTTTACATGTCTCCGATTCACGTGGCAACACTCTCCGAGAAACCCAGCCTCTATCCGGTGGAACTCAGTTGGCTTTAATTTGATCAGCAAGGGCAGATATTTGCATATGGTAATACAGGGACTCGTATCGTTCCGAATAGCGCCATGGACGTGACCCACGATGGGCCATAACCTCATTTCGTGCGATAAATGTCTCAACAATGTTGGCCTGCACATCCTGGGATCTCCTGCACTACTGTCTGAGGAACTCTTACGCAAGCTTCACCCCCTTACTGATCTTGCTCCCCAGGCTTGCGCTTCCAAGGTTGAGATCCTCCAAGCACGGATCATCAGCGGCTAGGTATACGCGTCGAGATTGTGACCAAGAATAGACGTTAAAGGTCTGTAATGTATGGTACATGCACATTGTGCAAACGCTCCCGTTTCCTGCGGACGTGGCCTCTTCCTCGACACTTCCTAATGACATCAAAGTTGTTCCCAGCCGGCAGCCATCCCAGCACCGTTGAGGCTCACACCGCAAGTGCATTGCTTCTCGGCCTGAGTAAGATTTGCCACCATGCCCATTATGCCCGATCGCCCTTGAATTCCATGAAGAACTGCCCGTGAAACCGCCAACTTTATGTCCCTTCCTGTGAACTCAGAAGCTCGGGATTCTCCCCTGTTGAAATGGCGAGCGATGGAGGATTTCGTTGCAAGAAGAGCCTTTCCATTCAAGAATACACTTCAGTAGAGGGGCGTCAGTTTCAAAGGACAGTTCTTCTGAAAGCTGTCACATGATCAATCAACTCCAAGGGAATGGAATCACGCGTCAAGAGAAACTGGGCACACAAATTTGCTGAGCGCTACCACCAAAACTTTGTCAAGTGAGTCGCTCAGTCAAGCGTGTATAAAGCATCTATCTGCTTGATATCACGACGATGGATCTTCTCTCTCTTCTCTCAAGAGAAAGCCAACATCTTGCTTGGGATACGCTTCCCGGGAAAACCATGATCGAGGAAGTTTATTCGAACGGCTGCTATTCTAGCCCTCGCCACCAGTTCTCCCTGCCGTGGTGAGTTGTGGGAGTACGTGCGGCTCTTTGTGGGCGACAAGGTAAGGGCCCGGGTAGGTGGCACGCTCGACAGCGGCTGCAAGGTTTGAATCCGCGCGAAGATTGTGAAGACCTCTACACAGGCCACTCATGGGGACTCGTTCAGACTCGATGCAGGAGTGACTCGTAGCTTGCCATTATCATTTCCTCATTCTCAAAGACGAGAATATGTTGCTCACCATCCCTGATGGCACAATGCACGGCAGTCCCAACGACCGACGAGACGAATGAGAGCCTGCTTCGTCCGTGTTGATATTCTCGTTCGATGAGAAGCCTCCCTACCGGCCTGGAAACTGGCTACGCAAGATAACGTGGCGCACTTCTTCACTGCCGGTGATTATTCCGCAATGCTTGATGCCGAGGTCGTTGCCTTTGCGAGCTGGATACAGGGGAGGTCGCTTGTCAATTGGCGGACGGGGATTGAGCGAGCTATTTGCGTGAGATGCTCTTCTCCATGGTTGTGACATTCTAGCCCGGCTTCGCGGAACTGTGAGACTTCCCATCTAGGTATGTACCCGTCCCAAGGAAGTTGGTAGTCTGATTGTACCTCCTAGTGTAGGTAGATCCATGGGAAGCGCGAAAAGATTTTAGCCAGTCTAGACGGGCTTTTGAGGACAATATGTATTCTTATTTTCATTTGCCCAGTCATTACATTCGTAGCGTGGGTGACAGATCAGTGCTCCAGAAGTGCCCTCCTGGCATTCATAATACATGGACACAAATATCACCGCGTTGGCAACTCTCACCAGCAATACTTCCTTACAAGTTTGCCTGCAAGGGGTCTTTGTTCGCTTGGATATCAGACTTGCTCAACATCTTGCCTCTCCGCATGAGCTCAGCGGTCTTGGACATAACAGGATCCCACTGCATGCTAGCCAGCGCAACAACCTCCTCACCCTTGGTATAGTAAGCGACGAATTTGCTGTTCTCGGGCTCGCCTTTGAGGATGAGATCGTCGTAGCCATTAACAGTGTTGCCGCAATACCGCAACTGAGTACCAAGCGCAGACCAGAAGATGGGGATGAATGGCTTGGGCTTCAGGTTGGGTTTGGCGATCAATGCACCCACCGTGCGGCCTTGATTTTGCGCCACGTTCCAGTGCTCTATCCGAACTGGCGAACCACCTCCACCTGGACCGTGGTAAGGGTAGGTGGCAATATCTCCAATGGCCCAGACATCAGAAAGACCCTTGACGGCAAAGTTCTCATCCACTGCCACGCTTCCATCCTTCTCCAGCTTGATCGCAGAGTTGTCTTGCAGGTAGTCCGTTGCAGGCCTGACACCAATGCCGAGTATGACAAGGTCCGCTTCTAGTTCTGTGCCGTCCTTCAGCTTGACCGCACCGACTGAGCTGAGCCCGACTACATTTGCAGCCTTGGAGGCTGGAACCGCGGAGTCTACACTGGCATTCATGTAAAACTTGGCCCCATTCTTCTCAAGTGATTTCTGGAAGATCTCGCCGACCTCCTTGCCCATCACACGCTCGAGTGGTGCTGCTTCCATGCCTACAATGGACACAGTGTTGTCCTTGGCAAGGGCGTTGGCGACCTCCATTCCGATAAAGCTGGAACCAACAATAACAATTTTCTTGCCTTTGTCACCAACAGCATCGACAATTTGTTGAGTGTCCTGAACTTGTCGTAGGAGGAAGATGTTGGAGAGATCTTTGAAACCAGGCAATGGCAGTTGTCTTGGCGTGCCACCACTGGCCAGGATAAGTTTGGTATAGGGATGTGACTTCCCAAGTTTTGTCTTGACTTCCTTCGAAGAGAAATCGATTGAGGTGGCAGTGTCTGATTCGAAGCTGATGCTGCCGTCGGCATACCACTGTTCAGGCTGAAGGTAGATCTTGGAGGCATCTGTGATGAGGGCTTTGGAGAGCTTGGTCCGATCTATGGGATATCCTTCGTTGGAAATGACGGTGACTTTGCCTGGATAGCCGAGTTCGCGCAGTTTCATTAGAGCACCAAATGTCCCTGATCCCCTGGGAAGTTGTTAGCCAATTGTCTTTTGTCTTCTGCAGCCAGATCGATGAGGATGGCTCACCCTCCAACAATCACAACTTTATCCTCCGAAGAGGGTTTCGTTGTAATCTTCACTTGTCGTTTCCCATCCTTGATGTCCTTCTCTATCCCCTTGACATAGACCGCGCCATTCTTTTCCTCGACATCGAAGGTGTGCAACGCAGCTGGGCCGGGGGAGTCTTCGACGTCGCCAGACTTGACGTTGAAGCATGCTATTTAATCCTTCTCATCAGCCACTTCCAGGAGATGGAGAAATCCAACTTACCTCCATGCCAGGGACAGGTCAGACGGCCTTCAGGTGTGAGGACGCCATTCTTTAGCGGCGCACCATAGTGAGTACAGTTGGCATTAACAGCGGATATCTTGCCGTCAACCTTGACGAGGAGTACTTTGCCGCCCTCAATGCCGTCGACTTCAGCTTCGACCTTGTCAAGTTCCTTGAGTTCGGCAAGAGTGCTGGGCGATTTCAAACGGAATGCTTGAGCCATGGTGTATGGAGTTTGGGTAAAAGGCCGGATTGAGGGCAAGGCGAGGAGCGGTGTTCTCGGTCTTAGTGGGCTGATAGAACCACGGCGGACGGGGGTTACTGCTAGTGGTGGTTGACAAAGACGAGCGAGAATAATCGGGCTGGGGCGGGAGAACATGAAATAGCGAAAGTGAAGAGTGTTGGAGGAGATTGAGATAGAGAGGGAGGAGGGGAGTCAGGAACTCAAGTATAGCAGGAAGCGAGGTGGGCAGAGCTATGAGTGGTTCAAGTGCGTGGCATCATATCAGATACTAAAGAGTACGACGCACGGAGTCCTGGCTGGACGATTGAGGGGGATGTACCGTGGCTATGGCTGTGATGTGATCTGGATTTGGACGCCGACGCGTAGAGGGGAAAAGAGGAAGGTGGAGAGGATGAGACCATGAAACTCCGTCTCCGGCGAGACATGCGAAGAAGCATGAGAGTGGCAGTCCGTTCCAACGGTTGATTGTATCATCATGGACATCACGGCATCATCGTTGGTACTCGACTGCAGACACCAGTATGCCTATAACTGCATCGGACTAGGCACGCCGGGCGCCATGCAGAGTACGACATATGCTATGCTATGTTGAACTGCAGCTCACCGGAATTAATGCGGGCTTGCGTCATTCCCTCCTCATGAAGATCCTCGTGGGGCGCGTTGCGAGTTCCGTGTCGCGTCCAGCCAATTACAGACAGGCGATTACATAGTCCAACAGTGTGCACATCACGCGGTAGGACCATAGATCGCTATCACATGACCAGCATCTCTGCTGTCACGTGGCCGTCGTCCTCGACAGTCTCGACATGATGCTCCCTTCACGACTTACTCCTCTTGCTCCGCTCATCAATGCGCCAATCCTCCCATCTCCTGGAATTTGTGATTGCATCCGTTGCTGGTTCCGCTCAAATTTAGCCCGATCTTCTAGTAGCGCACGCTTCTCAGCCTCCTCATCCAGCAGCGTCCCATCAATCTGTAAAGACCATTTATGTCGGGCATAGCCAGGCACCACCTCTGTATCCACCACCCGAAATTTCAGCGTTCCGTCAACAGTACTGCCACTCGCATCTGTAAAGATCCCAAGATCATTGCCGGCGTAAGAGTATTGCGTGTATTGTTCCTCATCCCCTGGCTGGTCCTGATCCCGTGTATTTTGATCATATCCGACCAGTTTAGCCTTTCTGCCTTTCTTTTTATTCCGTTTCATTTCTTCTTTCGTTGGTCCATTCCATTTCCAGTCCTCCGGTATTCGACTGCCGCCCACGGCGGTCTGGAAGTAATTGTAGCTGACCAGACCCACAAATCCCTCCGAGGTCACATTGGTCCACCCGTATAGCTCATCGCCTTTTTCAGGTCGGAACACTAGCAGTGTTGCTGTCAGCCAGACCCAAGAAACACCAAAGTCATCAGCAGTTCGAGCCAGGACATCTCCATCCGACTCCGGCGAATCAGTGCCGGGACTGAGAAGAGGAACATTGATAACTGAACTGGCTTTCGCTGAGAAAACAGGGTCTGCAAATCCCAAGACGATGCCTTTCGCAGGGGGGAAATATGTCAGAATGAGCGGTGCGAGGTGAATCGCAAGGACCGAAGAGCCAGCTGTTTCGAGAGATATCGCAGGTATTGGAACATACAGAGATATTCGTGTTGAGTAGAATGACGTCGGATCTGTCGACTCCAGTAGACCTTCAATCACATCTTCAACATCATCGCCCCCTGGAGTATCTTCGTTGGCCGCAGCCGCAGCTTCGGTAGTATCTGCTTCGTCTTCTTCCACCGCGTCCGGGAGCTCGATGTCCGCATGCACTGTAGGTTCTTCCTGCCCGCCATTTTCCGAGATTCCATTCCGCTGGTCCATCAGTTTGTTCTTTTCCCTTTTCTTCTGCTTCTTCTCCTTTTTCATCTCCTTTAGCTCATCGCTGGCCGGTGTGCCGACTCCGGTTACAGAGTCTGCGAGTTCGACGCGCTGTTTCTTGTTCTTCTTGGAAGGCTCTTTCGACTCTGCATCATGCTTTCTCTTCTTCGGCGTCGACACAGGTTCTCGGGATGCTTTCCCACCGTCAAGTTGGACCGACATCATGTGCAATGGGGCTATCGTTGTTCAAATCTCGCAGTGCGCTCTTCTCTACAAAATTCTCGAAAATGCGTCGGCACCCGGAGAAATATTTGCCCGATAAGAGGTCTTGGCACAGGCACCACTCGGTACGCCGCATTTTGAGCACGTTCCAACATCCTCAAGCACGCATAAGTGTGGCTAATAATGCATGACGGATCAATACAGCACAAAACCAGCCTCGATGGTCCCACAGGTCCCTGAAATGGGTTTGGAATATCCTGCGTTATCTGTGATACAAATACCCTAGGGCATGGCTGGTAACGATCCCTTTGTCTAAGTATGTCTCGCCGACCACACAAGAAGTCCAGAAATGGATGCCTCGAATGCAAAAACAGACATATCAGGGTATTTTTGCCGTCCAGAAAGCCCAGATCTTGCCAAAGCTCATTACCTTTTAGTGTGATGAAAGTCGCCCTGGATGTACCAATTGTCGCACGGCAGAACTACGATGCTCGTTTCTCGGGAACCACCCTACCTCAGTTGAATCAAGGCCATCCTCCCATGGCAACCAGTTGCCGACGAAGGCTTCAATCCACAATATTTCCACCAGCAGCTCACCCAGTTTATCGATAACGCCTAGTCGGAGGCCACATAACGGCCAGGATTTCTCCGGTCCTTATGTTCTAAACATGACCCACCTCCAACTGCTCAACAATCTTTCCAGCAAAGAATTCCTGTCCATGGAGGCCGATGATCAAGTCAGTATCATGTCCTCCGTCATCTTCGCCAGGTATATTCTGCCAACACCTTATCTTATCCATGAAGCACTCGCCCTCTCTGCGCTGCACATGAGCACGAAAAGCCCTGAAAGCCAAGGATTTTATCGCCAGTATGCCACTGGCCTTCAAACCCGCGCTTTGGCACTATTCAACGACAGCATCCCGGTCTTAGACCTCAATTCCACCAATTGCACACCAATGTTTTTATTCGCTTCACTGATTGCCGCTCATCTCCTGTGCGACACTCTTCATCACGAAAAGGCCAACCTTGACCATTTCATTGAAAAATTCACAAATTGTTTAACGATTCATCATGGGATTCTAGCCATCTCAAGCCAGTGCTGGGACCTCCTCCGGGAGACTGAACTCGGCCCGCGCTTGACTCTTGGGGCAGAGCTTATGCGGGCAAAGGATGACTGTGGGTCGGACTGCTCTGCACTCAACGAAATGCTTGATGCCGCAGATATAAGTCCAGAATCGTACAATGTGTATCGGAAGGCGACATCAGAGCTTCAAAAAGTCTTCGATGCTGAGCGTGCATATCCTGCGAGCCAATTTGACAGCCAATTGGTGTCTGCTTGGCCGATCAGCGTTTCCTCCGAGTATATAGACCTACTCAGGCAACAAACGCCTCAATCTCTCATTATTCTCGCATACTATGCAGTATTACTGCATCGGTCCCGACACTCGTGGCTCTATGGAGAAGAAGGTGGGCGCTTTCTTATTGAATCCATCTGTGGACGTCTTGAGGCCACTTGGCACGACTGGCTGAAGTTTCCAAAATCTGTTTTGTTGGCATATCCAGCTACTTGAAACACAGAAACGGCTTCGAAAACTAGTGCCCTTTTCTAAGTTCTGATCCACTTGCAACTGGGAGCTTCGCGTTCTCTTTTACAACGCATGGTGGGCGAAGTAAAAGCGGCAACGTAACTTTGCAGCTCTTAAATGTTTCTGCCTATCCACCAGTCTTACTATTCAGAAACCCAAAACAATGCAGAGATGTCTTGCTTACACACAGATGGGCACTCCATTGTCGAAAGTGGATCAAACCCTCCTGGTGTTCGAATACGCGTACATTAAACCCAAAACGGACGGCTAGGGGGATGCGCGGAAACTGGTTGCCCCTGCGAGGGCTATGGGCCAACCCTCTTGGTCAGGGTATACAATGACTTCTTCGATGACAACTTCTTCAATAATGCTGGAGCCTGCACTTACAGGTATATAATCTCTCTGTTTGTTCTGTGAGAGACGTTGATTTCAAATCTGACTTGTTATTCCCGATACAAGCTAGCTCAAGCCAATCCTTGGTTTCTAAACTCCTAACGAGACTTGACCATGGCCCAACTCAAACCTCTCGAAGGAGGAGATTATTACCTGTGGAAATATCTCCCATCCCTTCCAGCATCCATCATATTCATCGTCTTATTCACAGCTCTCACTATCGCGATATGCTGGCGAATGGCAAGGACAAGATCCTGGTTTTGCATTCCGTTCGCGATTGGTGGATTATGTATGTTGGAAATATCTGTTTCGAAGAAGCTACAAGGATTCGCAGCTAACGACCACTAAACTATAGTCGAGATCATTGGATATGTGACCCGTACCTACGCGCGAGACCACACAGACAAGATTCCACCCTATGCCGTCCAGAATACTGGAATTCTTCTCGCACCTGTTTTCTTCGCTGCGTCGATATACATGGTTCTGGGTCGGACCATTCGAGCTGTACACGGTGAACGCTTCTCTATTGTACGACCAACGTGGTCAACTAAGATATTAGTAACCGGTGACATCCTCTCATTACTAGTGCAAGCTGGAGGTGCAGGCTTGATGGTGTCATCAAAAAATCGAGACATGGGCGAGTACATAGTCATTGGCGGGCTGTTCATCCAACTTGGCGTTTTTGGCTTCTTCATTATTTACACCGCCGTCTTCCACAACAGGATGAAGAAGTATGATACAGCAGAATCTTCCCACCAGGGATTCGTTCCGTGGAGAAAGATGGTGAGCATGCTATATGCTTGTAGCGTTCTTATTGTCATCCGTTCGGTCTTCCGAGTTATTGAATACATCATGGGCCAGGACGCATATCTACTCTCGCACGAGTGGACAATGTATGTCTTTGACGCCGTGCTGATGTGGGCCGTCATGGTCATCTTCTTCGTCTGGTTCCCTCAAGGACTGCAGCCTAAGAAGGTTGATAGCATTGACATGGTTGGCCCAAGTCTTGCATCTGATGATGACCCGAAGGCCTAATGGAAGGGGGCTTTCCCTTTAACACTGCGGTGGAACTTTGCATCAAAGAAGCCTCGAGTACCGCTTCGACAATGGGCGGATTTCCTGATTGGGAGCCTGAAACCTCTGCGAGTTACGCGAGTTAAGGAAATCACCGAGCGCGAACTACTGATGCTTCTGGACGTTTGAAGACATCTCTGCCGCCATAAGAGCATACATTATAAGCTGTTTATTCTGGATGACCAATCGCACGGAAGAGCCTATCGCCCATCTCAACAGGCGCCCTTGTGAATCGCTTGACAGTGGGCCCATCTCGATATCATAGAATGGAAGACAATCATGGTCGCTTATCACTAGAAGTTTTATACGGGCTAAGTGGCCCTCACCTCTGTGGCTTCCTTTGACTTTTCAAAACCAATGAAACCGTCAACCGGCCTCGATCCCATATCTCATTTGCAACTAAATTGAGAAGCTATCCACATACAACAATGAATGCGGCGAGACGGAGATCTTCCGCTTGGTTTTGTACCCGCACCAACTGGGCTAAGGACTGCGCATCTTAATTTGGCTTTTTCGATGACAACCCAAGTCTTAGCTCTTGCACTTGATTCAGGTCCGAATGACAATTTTGGCTTGCCCAAAATGGAGTTTTCGAAGCAAGAGAGCGCCAAAGATGATTACCTGGAGAGGGACATGTGGCGGGCCTCAACTGATTCGTGTGTACAGACACTGGTGGCGAGCCTGTCATCAGCGCACCTATAAAAGACGAGACTAGGAACACCTCCATTCAATGACAGGTTATCCGGGGCCGTGGAAGAAAGAGACGAGATGCACCGCCACGAGCAACTCGAAGCTTGAAACGCCGACAAAAACCAGTGATGCGAGCGATCATGCTGAAGGCTCTAGTTGAAGTCTAGTTGGAGAAAAGTGCAGACCTGAAAGCATCGCAGGGTATGAAAGTTCTATGGGACATAGCTTTTTGGCCATCGACAATCCAGCATTTCGCCCGACTCGGGCATTGTAGAGCAGCATCTCAAGGCCGTCGCGCCGCCCGTGGGTACTAGTTAAGTGGCTGATAGGGAACCTTCAACTCTGGATCTGACAGTATGAATCAATCAACCGTCCACACATTCTTTCATCCATCATTTGGCCTCGAAGTCCTCCATTTCGAATCATCCACTTCAGCGGAGACAATATGAATCTGCTCGGAAAACCCTCGTGTATCGAGTACAGTGTGCCCAATCAGTAGCGCGAATACTCATCTCTGCGCTCGTAGCCGCCTCCACCTCCACCACCATAGCCGCCTCCCTGACCGCTTCCGTACCCACCTCCACCTCCACCAGAACCATACCCACGGCTCTCCCCTCCACGCCCATATTTCTTCTTCTTATCGTCATCACTATCCTCGTCATCGCTCTTCTTCTTGCGATGCTGCTTGTAGCGCTTATGATCGTCGTCCTCGTCATCATCATCCGAGTCTTTCTTGCTGCGCCGAGCGTATCCGCCTCCTCGGTTCTCGTCGTCGGAGTCGTCGTCCTTCTTGCCGTATTTCTTCTTGTATTTCTTCTCGTCGTCCGAGTCGTCTTTGCTGCCTCGTCGACCCTGCTGTCCGCCGTAGCCGCCGGAGGCGCCGTAGCTGCTTTCTTGCTGTCGGCCACCGCCATAGCTGGACTCTACCTGTCGACTACCGTAGCCGCTGCCTCCAGTGCTATAGCTTGAATCTTGTTGGCCCCCGTAGCTCGACTGTGCTTGGCGGGCGTGACTTGATTCCTGCTGGCGACCACCATATGATGACTCTTCGTGGCGTCCATAGCCGCTGCCACCACCAGAGCTGTAGCTAGACTCTTGCTGACGGCCGTAGTCACCACCTGACAAGCCATCACCTCGGCTGCCATAGCTCTGCGATCCGCCATAGCGTGATGATGCCGATTCGTGCTGTTGGCGGCCGCCACCATAACCGCCCGAGGGCTGATTATCGTTGTCACGTTGATTGCGTCCATAGGGTACAGAGCTGAATTCCTGTTGACGTCCATGTGAGCTTCGATCATTGTCATCGCCATAACGCCTGGTGGATTAGATTAGCTCCCATGCTCCTATACGGAAATTGACAGAGCAACACTCACCGAGTCTCCTCGCGATACTGCCCGCCGCTCATTCGCTCCTGATGATGGACTTCACTTTGCATGTGACTTCCAAAGCTGCTTTGCTCATAGCGGTTGTACTCCTCGTGGCGTTTTTCGCCGCCTGGCCCGGTTGTGCGAGTATACTGCGCTTGGCCATATCGATCTCCGGATGAGGAGTGGCCAACCTGAGTGACAGTCTCGGTGCGCGAACCATCTCGTCCGTAGGTATCACGCTTGAAGGTCTCTGTGTCTTGGCCCAAGCCACCTCCAAGGATGTCGCCACCAACTGCGCTGGCGATGCCACCGACGAGTGAGCCTAGAACACCACCACCCACAGCAGCACCAGCAGCCTGGCCGATTTGACTAGCCACTTGGTTTGATTGCCGCGCCCCTTGGCTGCTGCCACCGCCACCGATGTTGAAGTTGGCCATGCCAAGCGGGCGATTGCTACCGTGGCCATGGTCCTGGACTCCTTCTTTGTGGTTCTTTCCAGTTTCGACACCACGTCGACTGAGCTGGTCGCGCAAGCCATCCTTCTCACGCTGACTCTTCTCTCCCCACCATTGCTCAACGACACCAAACATGAGGCGACGGCCATCGCTAGCACCATCCTGCCCACGATCGCGAAGAGCAGGGTGATGAAGAATGCCCGCGATGATCCGATTTAGAGTACGATCAATATCGATGTTGTCGTCGTCCCAAGCCGCAACGATCTGTGGAACAACCCACGCAACAGTCTGACGGGCGACTTTGCCGGCGGGCTCATTGAGTATGTTGGAAAAGTGATCTTTGGAAAGCATCGAGTGAGTCGGATCCGAAGAGTTGTCATCATTGAAGACAATATGCTGCTTATCCTTGCTGGATTGGATGATTTCGTTCGATCCGGTGTTGAGTTCATTCTTGACCTGGTTGATGATCGGAAGCAGATATGGAGCAAGTAGGGAAAAGACAAACTTGTTGACTTCCTCCTGAAGTGACTCGAGGAGGTCGGGCAAGATTGGAATCTTCTCGATAGTTTCGGTGATTGATTGCATGATCTCGTCATGCCATTCGATAATAGGATAGATCTGCTTCTGAACATCATTGAGATAATTGGCCCATTCCTCTGGCTGTCTTGGTGAAATGCGGGTGTTTTGCATTTGGTGGGCAGCGGCATTTTGTTTCAGCTCGTCTGCTTTGCCCGCCTCGTCTTTCCCGCCAAAAACTCCGTCTGGAATCTTGTTGAGGAGATCTTGAAGCACGCTATTGTCTTGTCTCCCATTCTGATACTGATTCAAGGTGCCCTCGAGTTCTTCGATTTCACTTTGAGTTGCCTTGTCGTCGAATTCGCCACAGACCGAATGAAGGAAATCAACGCCGCCGAAGGTTCCTGTAACAATTGGAAAGACAGGGCCGCGGACCCCATCAAGCTGGATCTCAGTCCGGCGGCCAACATGTGGGAAGACATTTCGCTCGCCCATTTCGATCAAAGCCAGCTCGACATAGTTGGAGTGCGCAGCGTAATCTTCCAGACAATGGGATGCAGTTCCCAGAAGCCGGAGCGCTTCATAGAGATCCTTCTTGTTGTTATTTCTAGAGTAGCGGCGACCCAGCTCAATCGACTGGCCAAGGAGACGTCTCACCAGCCCGGCGGATGTATCGATACCGGCACGTTCGTTGGCAATGTAGTTCTTAAGTCCAGTCTGTGGATCAACAGACAACTCACGTCGCTCATCGATGGGTCCTCGTAGACGACGATCATATTGTCGGGCATCCTCATTGTCTGCATAATCTTTGGGGTTGCTATGATGGTTAGGTCAGATCTGTTCGTTTGTCCAGGGTGCTCTCAATCACTTACTCAATATGTTCTTCGGGGCGGTAGCAGCCAAGCCTCTGAGTTGTCACTTCGAATTCACCAGAGCCGTAGCCAAATGACAAAAATCCTAGTACCCAGAGCAAGATACGGATGGCTTCGGCGCTGACGTATTTGACGGTGCCGACATCTACAGCCTGAGAGTAGTCTCGAAGCCAATTGCCAAAATATACCTTGTTGAATCAGCTCAAATTACTTTTTACCAAAAACAGAATTCAGGGAACATACTCTCTTGACATCAAGCTTTGTGAACTTTTTACCGCCCATAGCTCGAGCCGCAACGAGCGTAAGCAAAGTGTCCTCGAGGTCGCCATGGCGCCAGTTCTGGCCCTCGATTTTCGAGGTCGAACCAATATTCCCAGCACCGAAGGCATGAGCAGGTCTTGCCAGCAATATGATGCCAATGGCACATAGAAGAAAGATGTTGGATGTTGTTGGCGCCATATCTGGTGGGGTTAGCGGGGTATTCTTAGCCCCTGGTGATTGTAGGGTTACCGAAAAGTCAGCTTCAGAACAAGGGGAACGTTTGGGTTTAGAGGTAGCTATGAGAAGTAGCTATAAAGATCAGTATTCAGAAGTAGACTGAGAGAGATGAAGTTGATCAAGGAGTCAACGTGAGTTCATGAATCGGGTGATGAGGGCAAGGTGAGGTTGATGTCATTGTGTTTGAATGTTTCATGTCTGTGATTCGGCCCTGTTTCACATGCTGCTTTCGACCAATCATGGTCCGATAAGGACATTGTGGGTCTTGGCGTGCCAAGCTATGCCAAGTCTCCCCTTTGCAAAAGGCACGTGCGGTCATTGACGGCGGACGCAGCCTCGCACGTGAGCCCCAAGTCTTGCCCCGACCCCTTCAGCCTTATTCCGAATTCCGGCACCGTTTCGTTGATGACCGGCCCGTTTCTACAAATTGTGTAGAGGTGCGAAACACGCAAAACGGAGCGATGTGCGCCTCTGACTGCCTCCTGTGGCTCTTTCATTCGACCGATTGCACGTGGTACTATGCGTGCCTCCAGCTACCCATGTGTCCACGTTGACGGCATCACACGGATGAAGACTCAGAGTTCCTGCCAGAGGATGATGAGATCATGGGCGATTCAGCCCCTGCCCGGTGCGTCTCTATGCGCTATCAACAGTGAATCTACGTCGCACTTGGCACTTTCTTGCCCCACGTATCTGTTGTGACATAATTACCCTTTTTATCACGTTCGCTTGGTCAACCCATGCGCTTGTCCTCAGAGTGGACTTCCATTATCAACCGGTCTATCACAAATAGTCCTCTACGAATACGCCGGACGCGAAATTGAAAGTTATGGTGATTGTATTGGAGCAATCTGGCGCTATTGTAACAATGTAAGATTCAAGGTGATAGGTTTTACTTCAATACTTTAAATACCTTTATTCTTCACAAACATGTTCCTTCGTTTCTCAGACCACATCAAGCTCCAATACCAAGCCGATCAAGATGAAGTACAGCCTATTCTCTGCTCTATGTTTCGCAGCCTTGTCGCGAAGCACTCCCGTCAAACCCACCAAATCATGCAAGGAGTACACGATTCCTCTTAAAGTCATCTCCGAGAACCTTAAATGGGCTCTCGGCGAATTCGAAAGCAATGAAGACATGGTTGAGTTCAGCGCTGCCTCCGGGCGACGAGATGCCAGCACTACTTTTCACCCGTTTACCCTCCCTACGCTATCAGAAACCGCGATATATACTATCTCCGGGACATATTGTGAGCCGGTTGGTGAAGGGGACGGAACAGTCATATTGGCCACGCATGGGGCCGGTTATGATAGAAAGTAAGTGAAAGCCTGATAAACGTGTAAAAATTAACCATGGCGCAAGTTACTAGGACCCCAAAATCCGACGTGAGAACTACAGTTATGTGGACTACGCCATTTCGCAAGGTCATTCAATCTTCTACTACGACAGACTGGGAACAGGCAAGTCTGATATGTATGTTTCCCTCTTTGGGCATCATTCTCACTCCTGAATATTAACTTTGTGCAGAATATCCGGCTATGTTGCGCAAATATCAATGCAAGCCTCCATCCTGGCCGAACTTATTCCACTCGTTCGCTCCGGCAAATTTTCATCTCCGCCTTCCAAACTCGTCCTTCTGGGCCACAGCCTTGGAAGTGTAGTATCCAATACCGTCCTGAACTCGCATCCAGAAATGGTTGATGCCACGATCCTCACCGGCATTGCATACAATACGAGCTCGACCATTCCCAACCAGGCTAAACAGCTACGCCTTGCAAAGCTACAGAATCCAACAAAATGGGAAACACTAGACGGATATGCGGTTTGGATGCACATTTATTCCAATAATCAAGAGTATGATTTGAGTTATAGTTCTCAAGCCGTGTCTGACAAAGTGTCCAGTTTTTTCAAGGTCCCGTACTATGAGCGAGATGTCGTGCAGTATGCACAGGACAACCAAGCGCCGGCCGCCCTGTTGGAAAACCTGAGTATCAGAACTTCTAATGTATCTTCTCCTGGCTTTACCGGCCCTGTCATGGTAAGTCTCACCCTCTTCGACCTTTGAAACAATAAACATGACCGTACATCGAGACTGACTTGCTCCTTCAGATCATGAGGTCAGAACCCTGCAAGGACCCGCGTGAATGCCTCTAGCTAATGTCAAAACAGCGGCGAATACGATTTCATAGCTTGCAATGGCTACTGTCCAGGATTCTTGGACGCTCAGACCCGTGAAGCGTTCACTAATGTGCCAGCGAACAGACTGGTTACCTACTCGCATCCGAATAGTGGACATGCAATCAATCTTTCGCGGTCGAGTGGTCTTGCTCAGAGTGTGGGCTGATTCATTGAAAAAAACACAGTTGAATGCGACAGGGTCTTTCCAGGGCATCGACAATTTCCTGAGCGAGAACGTCATCTGATCATGCGTGGGAATTTGTTGTCCTGGAGATTGACAGCTTACCAGATTGTAGAGCTGGACTGGCTAAACTTGCATTTAAAGTTCAACTCTAATCCTCTGGGGTCGGACCCTGAAGTGGATTGAGCTGGTGATTATACTTCGGACTTTGCCACGTTTGGAGGTGATGCCTTAATACGCGTTGGTATCATCGCTATAGAGCGCTTTCTTTCCCTTGAAGTAGATAACTAATAAATCCATTTTCCCTAGTACGCCAATTGTGAGTGCAAAGTATGTCTGTTGACAACATTAATTGCATGCAGGTAGAAACCTCAAGTGCGTGTACACGCATGTCGAAACATTGCATTCTCCTATTTAACAGCCGCACACATCAATTTCAGGAGCCAAGCATCTCCTGTGTATCCATCGCAGTAGTCTCGAAACTGTTCGAGGGCGGCCGTATCGATAGGTGCATCCAAAGACGAAGAACGGTCGCTAGAGCCGTCGCTGATGGTTCCTGGGCCGTATGAATCATGTTTCGGCAATATATCTTCCGTGATGGTTGTCCCGTTGATGATCCAGCCGGAGTACCTAGGGAAAGCTTCTTTGGGAGGGTCCTGTGGCCCAATTTCTCCTAGTTTGAGTCCACCGCTTATGCTTGTTGGATTTTCAGTGCTGCCTTCGATGCAGAATTCCGAGGTGAAAACATTATCTTTCCTGCCTTTGAACGCAATTTCCGCAACCCGGTTCCAGAGCACGGTCTGATCCTGGAACATCTCGGGGGTCCACCAGATTCGGCAATCGGAGGCTTCGTAGAGGAAGTGCAGAGGCGTTTCTGTCTCATCGCCCATTCGGTAGGCATTCATTCCATTCACATACACTCCAAATCGTTGAGTAGCCACGGTCGTCCACGACTCAAACATTGGATCTGCTAGTGAATTGTCTTTTGAGAGTTCATTGGCATAGGTTGTTGGCCAGTCCCTGAGAAAACTGTGGTCGAAAAGCCTACTACCTTTGACGCCGCCGACTGTTTGCATAGGTCCAGCCTGGGCCCTACCACCTATGGAAATACTCATGAGCCCGAACTTGCTTTTGAGATTTTCAACAAGGATAGAGCATGAAGATGCGCATGTCCTACACATTAAACAATTAGTAGTGGTTCGAGATAGCGTAAAGCAGAATGTCACAGGTCCTCTGACAAATATCTTCTCTCAGAAAATTCAAGCTGAACGTACCCGTCTGTCAGAATTACCATGTTCTCAGGAGCAAAAGGCCTCTTGGCTTCTGGGTTGGCAAGGGTTATGTCAAAGGCCGATTTATCAAGAATCGTCCAATCGTTATTCGTGTAGTTCTCTTGAAGAAATGCTGTGAAGTTTCCAGGGCCGGACTCAAATGGACCGTAGAAATCTTCGAGGTTTTCAAATTTTTTATTATCCGGGGTCTGGATTGGTTGCCATGCAAATGGGGAGAAGTTCCACTCCGCCTGGATTTCAGCTTCATCCAGGCCTGTAGTTGGATCTTTGTTTTGAGCCTCGGTGGTGTTGACGCTGGAACTCATCACCATCGCGTGCATGACGCCTGATGCACGGAGGTTACTCTTGGTATCCGGGTTGGTGTCGGGAAACAATTGTACCAGAGTATCGAGAGCTAGGAAAACTGTGCCACCCCCATTCATGGTTAGGTCGATGATGAGCTTGTCCTTCCCTGCTTCAGTAGATTGCTCCAAAACTTGTCCTACCGCTTGCTGAAATTTGGTTTCCGTATCAGACTGGTCTGGATCAAAGCCCAAAATAGCAAGAACGGCAACCTTGTCTGCAACATCGCCATCCCAGTATCCTTGAACACTGTTAGATTCATCATATACATTTGGCGACGGGTTCGACGGCAGTGTAATCTCTCGTTTGGACAGTCTCATCTTTCGCTTTGCCGGCACTTCCTCAGGTTCTTCCACCACGACACAGAACTGTTTATAAATGTCATCTGCACTTGTTATGTCGGTGAGGTTTTTGTTGATGGTGACCACTGTAGGATAGTTTTGTACAGTGCCATTTTCAAATTCAACCGTAGTCTCAGACCCCGGGTATGAAGTAGGCATGGTAAAAGTGTCGTACGAGCCGTAAAACTTGCAATTGTACAAAGCGTCAGGGTCCTGCGAAGTACCAGTTAACGAGTCTAATTCAAGGTATTGTTGAACATCGATGCCGTTGATGGTGGCAATTGCGGAATATTGAGCATCTTCAATTAGTTGTGGGACGTTGTTTTCATCCACGTAGAATCTATCCCCTTTTCGGTTTGTCAGTAGTCAAATTCCAAGCTTTCTTGCTTAATGATACAAAACGAAATGGTAAAGTGGTAGGTATTTGCGGGGCTTCTGAAGACATATCCCGTCCAGACTACCCTTCGGTATACATATCATTTGGCAAGGGAATACTCAAATTGTGCTTACCAAAAAGATAAACCGAGGGAGTTTCAATGCCGTCTTCCGATAGCGAGATTAGGGAGCCCATCTGTCTGTAAAATGAGAAAACTCCCAACAGGTCACCGTTGATTCCGAAATGGTCGTCTTTCCCCAAGGTTGACAGTAGGAACAAATCGAGCTGCATGTCATATTCATTCGAGTACTCGTCGTTTTCAACTTTCGAATATATTGAGTCCATGGTCTTCGCGAGGTCTAAGGCGGGCCATAGATAACCTGATGGAGGAGTAGCCGTATAGTCAAGAGTACTGTGAACCTCGAGAAAGCCTCTTAGACTCCTCAGCGCTTCGAGTGCTGGTTCTTTATAAAGAGGGACGGATCTGAGACAGTTGTAGGCAACTTCAGGCGCGAGATCCTCCCCTATGCCTTACTCAGCAAGAAGTGCAGAAACGTAGTATCTGAAAGTACTTGCCATTGATATATGTCAATGCTGCCTGTGCACATGGATCATCGTTAGTTTGTCTCGAATGGATCGCGCCGCTTATTACTAATGTGACCAGCCCGAGAAAAAAGAGCACCAAAGGGAGGAACCGCAACATGGTTAATTAGCCGAACTTGGCTGACTCTTTCTAGATATGTTCTAGAAAAACGTTTAGTATGTCTGCTGATGACTATTCGGTGCGTATTCTCCAAAAAGAACAAAAACGCCCTGTTGCTGCAGAGTAAGATAGAGTAGAACAGAACTACATCTTGAGTTTTATGATGGGGAGGAAGGATTTCCTGGTATGTCCCAATTCCCATTTGGCCTCATGCCAGGATGAAACGAAATCCTTCAGCCATGAGACGCCAAGGCACGAAGGCATTCTCTAATCAGCCAGAGTTTCACCACCTTGGGGCTCTAGGATTCTAACGACAGAGCCGCAATCCATCGATAACGATCTCGACGGAGTATCAGGCTCTTTTGGAGGGACGAGGGAATTGATCTACGCACAGGATCTCGTTGTTCAGAATATAAGTACGATGTGTCAAGGCGCTCTGACTACTACAAGGGTCTCCTTGCTGGAGCTTAGAAACTTCGAGGATGTTTCAAGAAGGATTCCACGTGCCAAGTTAACAAGCACCATTGCCAAGATTTTATGCGAGGCTGAGGCGAAATCCGAAGGCTAATTCTTCGGCCATGTATCCGTACAGTCCAATTCTGCGGCCTTCAAAGTAAGGCGGGACATCCTGTGCTGTCACCGTTTTTATGTTTAAAGCTTGTGAATTAGACTTATTACAAGACGGAGTATGGATAGAATCTACAGCAGATCGTTCTATATCGTTGCTCATGTCGTGTTGGCAATTGTCAACATTTTTAAGGTATAAATGCTTAAAGGGCTGGGCGCCCCGTAAAACTACACACATATAGGTGGCATCCCCTGCCGATTCTCTACAATCTTCATAAAAATTTTTGTCCTTGCGCATCATCCACGTCGAAGGAGCTTCGATAGCGCCTTGATGCTCTATGGTTAGAGAACTCTCCGAGCTCAGATGACCCGATTCTGTTCAACTTCCGCAAAAAGACACGATCCAGACACCGAATCAAGTACGGGGAGTGAGATCCTACATTCATGTGGAAGCGACATGGTCCCGTCCGTCGGAATAAGGGGTTCGAAATATGTTGGGAAGACTGAAAGTGAATCTCGCGGGTATACGGGAAAGCTATCACATTGGTAATGCGGAAATGAGCATGCGTGGCACGGGGGAAATCCGACATCCCCTCACACATGGCCGGCATTGCCGGCGTCGTACTCTGTCAAAATGCTCCGAATTATTTACTTCGCTAACAAAGCGAGGAGATAATGCGCGTGAGAGCGAGGGCTTTCGGTCAGCAAGCCCCTTCCTAGGTAAGGATAGGCTGTGCCGGCTTATAATCATAGTTAGGATCCTATACATAAGCCTGGATCTAAATATAGACTTACATAGGTTCGGCATTGTTAAGTATCCGGGAAACTCTGGAATTTGCGGCCTTTTATGGCGTATGACCCCTGTCACGACTGCTTCCGATGGGGGAAATACGGGGGAGCCTCGAGGCTCTGAAAGAGGGAAAGGCCCAGGGGAGGGTTGTTCTCGATCTCCAATAGCTGCATTGGACAAGGGACTAACTAACCACGCCAACGTCAACAACAGCGAATACAATTCATTCTTAGTATCTGTGAACCCTCATACAGAGCAAAGAGCTAAACATTAGTGGACCCCTATCAGGAGCGCCAAGAGCAAGGCGACGGAACATATTTAGGCGAGTTTTGTGTCAACCCAAGGGTGGAAAGAGACCGCTTCCATAGCATGTTGAATGCTTGACATGTTTTGACCGTTTGCTTAGGCCAGTCCATTCGAGTGGCTCTCCGACAATGTATTAGTTCATTCGCGTGAGAAAAGCATTTTGTAGAGTATTTATTCGATATTGTATGATATCCTAAGTCCGACATTGAGTCTCAAGCTCCCTGCTGAACTGGCTTTGGCCTAATCAGGAACTTTTGATCCCAGGGACTCGCCGCTCCCCGATCTTTCTGTCTCATCATCTTATCTGTCATACTTGAATCTATCTCAATATCATACAGTTGATACAATCGGGTGAGCGTCAAATGAATGCCAATATCTGCGAGATGTTTACCGATGCAATTCCGAGGGCCATGGCCGAATGGCTTCGACATCGCTCTCATATCTGAGTTGACATCTAGCCATCTCTCCGGGACAAACTCAAGTGGACTAGGGAAGAATTTGGGATCACGATGGGTCGAGTAGGCAACGGTTGCCACGACAACACCTTCGGGGATAAATTTCCCCCCGATCCTCTTCCCGGGCGAGACTCTTGGAAATCCTACGTTGAATGGGCCCCACAGTCTTAGGGTCTCCTCAATGCATGCATTTAGATATGGCTAGTTTGGTTAGCTGATAGAATAAGGAAGCATTGGCTGGGGCGATCAACTCACTAAATTCGAGGCTTGTTCATATGTTGGTGCCCGGTCATGGTTGGGGAACGCGGTGCGAATTTCCTCGAGCAACTTCTTTTTCACTTTTGGTCTCCGTCCAGTTTCCCACAAGAGATACATGGAAGTGATAGCGGTCGTATCGCTCCCGGCAAGCAAGAAAATGATAGTATTCTCTACCAGGTCTTCGAAACAGAGTCTGCTGCCTCCAGTTTCTGCATCTCTAGCATCAATCAAGTTCCGTAGAAAGGTACCCTTGGCAAAACTGTCCCCCTCCTTCTCGATTTGTGCCTGGAAATTACGTACGCTCTGCTGGACGAACTTTACAAGTTTTCCGAGCCTCCCGTACGCTTCCTGAATGCTTGGGATTGGGACGTATCTCAGCAAGGGGAAGAATGACTGGACAGGGATAACCACAAAACTATGAAGAAAAGTTCAATTAGTCCCGTGCAATAAAAGATAAATATTCGGCATTAATAGATAGTAAGATAGACTTACAAGCAGTCCATGTCAGCATGGCTGATCTCGCCACGTCCAGATAGAGCATTAAGAGAGAAAGCATGTGAGAGTAAGCGGCGAACTCTGGCATGCTCAACCTTGCTCGTCGTGTTGAATACACTAGTAGCACCTGTTGCGGTCATCTGATCGTAGAAACCAGGCTCCTTCAGACACGGATTAGAGCTCTGGCCGTAGATATCCACCCACGACTCCATGTCAGCAAAGAAGAGTTGGTTTGTCGCGACTCTGACCGGGCTGCCATATTTCTGAATCATATCGTTTTGCCAGTGGCATCGGTTCATCTTGAACATTTCGACCATTGGAAAGATATCGGTGAACCTGGCCAGAAATGGGCCTGGGTACTTGGAAAGAGGGTGAAACCATATCCTGTAAATAATGACACACACTACATAAGTCACCAGAAGTACCCATACTGCTGTGATTATGTTTTGCGGCCGATGCTCGTAGTGTGCTGTAAAGATATCCATAGCGAAGCCAGATTAACCGTAAGGTTGATTTGGAAGCACGTCTTTCCTCCCAAATACTCCGGGATGACAACCCTTGTCTCTGATATAAGCTGTTTGTGGAAGAGTCTGGGGAATTAATCACGAACTGTTTCCGCTCACTGGGTCCACAATGAGGGGAATGCTTCCAGGAAGACCCGGTACACCCGCGAGACTTACCTGGTTGCGTGGATTAGCGATTGGTGGGATTGGCGCATGGTATGGCGTGTACGGAAGGGACTTGTCTCGTCTTCTCGTATTCTATCTAGAGGAGTGCAATCTGAAATCTTTACGTGTCGCTTTTTCTCAACGGATTCAGCGCTTAATATATCTCAAAACTCCAAGGCTATCTCAATGTAACTACCCTACTCGGTCGGCACATTAGCCCTATTGCCACTTGGCTTTGGCCTCACGGGCTTAACTAGACCGATCTCGCCCATACCTCCGAACAAAGCATCCACAGCCATAGATACTACTCTAGCCAACGGTGTAAACTATGAGAGTTCTACGGGACCCCTGAGCGTAGCAGCTTACACCCAATACACGACTATTTTACTAGGTACCTAGAGAAGGCTTTATGATTACACTCACTGTACAGGAAGCACCACGTAAACAGGTATTAAGGCCGCTTCGGTGTCATTAACGCCCGTAAACCCAACCTTCGTAATGAAATTGCCGGTGTTAGAGTTCAAGGTTTCTCGACATAGCGTCCATCAACAGGGTCGTGCGAGCTATCGTTGTAGTGCTACTGTACTGGCCTAGGTACTGTAGTATGCATACCCTCGAGCTTTAGTTGTGTCTTCGGCAAAGGGAACGCTATATTGTAAACACGTGGATACGAATCTTAAACCGATGGTGAACTCCAAGGGTCTAGCTTTTAATTTATTGAAGACTCGTGTACAGATTTTGGTAACGGTTAACAAAGGTGGTGAATGGAGAAGCCGGTGCCCGCCGAGCAAGTACACGACCCGAGTCTAGTGCGGACCGACAAGATTTTTGTTTTCATTATTCACTTTCTACGAGTTGAGAGCTCGCTATAGCTACCCCCCTCATGACTCCGGCCGGTCTACTGGCAGCATTGGCAGACCAATGGTGGGCTAATTTAGTTCTAGAAAGAGAAAATGTCTCTGCCAAAGCGCTCTAATAGATACTAACGATATTTTAGTAGTAGATAATACTCCGTATAGGCAAGGTCGACGTCTACTCGCCAATGTCTTATTTGTCAAGGGCACTTCGAGGTTTACAGGGTATATTAGAAAATTACGTCTATCTCTTAATATATCGACTACTAGTAGCGACTCCTCTTTTTCGACGCTTCATCCTCTAAGCACGACTTTGCCACTCCAGCTCCTTTCATTCCAGAACGTTGGCTCATGATCCACGCACCGCCAACCATCGGAGAGATGTTTTACAACAGTTCCAATTTTCACCTCGTAATTGCCTTGGGGAAAAAGTATGGGACCTCTAGTTTAAAACGAGCCTTGCCGTCTTTCAAGGCACTATTGAAAGTTCTTTTTAGCCTCGCATATGTCTAAATGCGCGCCTGACACTAGTTTGCATGCTTTGGAATTTCAACCTGGAACTGATACCGGACAGTGATAACTAGTTTCAACAGAAGACATTATCCTTCTAAGACAAGGGTCCATTGACTGCAACATTGAAACGTGTCTAGAGAAGTGACAACGCATATGATGCGTGAGATTACACTGATACCCTCCATACGAGACCTCTGCTTTTGTCATGGCCTCGGCACATATTGAGCATTTTTCATAGGCAACATCACGAATACTTTGTGAAAGGACTTAACAGCCTCGCTATTTGATACATTATAGAATGCTTCACTTTGTTCTTAAGCGATGCTGTCTTGTGCAGCATTGGTCTGGACATAACTCCATGACAAGGTGGTTCACAGTCCATCTCCTTAGCAACATTGATCGTGGTTTCTACACTATATCCAAGTCCTCCGAAAGTTTTCCAGCACGAAATCGGCTGTCTCTTGAGAAACTAAGCCAGCTTCAGCGGCTTAACTGGACCAGCCCAAGCCCGAAGTCTGGAACCATATAGCTGGATAAGTGCAACTACACCAAATGCAGCGACCACGACCACAGCTTGTAATCCAAAGCTGAGAGCGTAACCTTCCTTTTCCGCCCAGGACTCCACAAAGTATGGAACGGCAAACCCTGCTCCTACTCGAGCCATGTTGATGAGCGCGGACACCTCACCAGAAGCTGACGGATAACAGTCCAAGGCAAATGCCACTGTAGCAACCGAAGTAACCATCAACCCAAAAACGTCCATACCCCAACCAAACACAATACCAGCTACACTGAGTTTGTGTTGTAGTGTGACCCCAACAATAACCAGGCCAGGGACCATGAACACCAGGCCGACGTAAGTTGCCCAGAGTCGTACTTCGGGGACAAAGTACCCCTTGGAGCGCTTGCTGTATACTCTGACGATAAAATCATTGAAGAAATGGCCAAAGAGTTCGCCAAGGAGGACGCCCGCCAGAGGCGAGAAGAAGACGAAGCCCACAGACACTGGTGGTAGGCCGTATCCACCCGCAGCACTAGGTGTGCCAAGCAAGATAACAGAGGAAAGGTAAAGCCCGATCATCCACATGAAAATTGCTGCATAGAATAGCATGGTCAACATTATGACCGGCTTGAGAAACACCTCAAAAAGGCGCAAGTATGAGCTCGCAATGGTTGAAAAGTAGTTGGAGTGGTGCATGAGCTGCCAAACGCCAATAACTCTGAGCAAACGATTGACATGGCCCTTTCCACGAGGAGGCTGTTGGTCGACCGGGACCATACGGTTGTAATAACTTTCGTCTCCGAAAGCGAGGATCATGCAAAGCAAGGCCGCCGCCCAGGCGAACACACACCAGAAGATAGTGTGCCATTCTGCCGTCTCACCAATGATGAAGTTGGCAAACATAGGAGCCAGGAACGGCGAGCTTATATATATCGCATACCAGATGCCAATTTTCCGCGCATGCTCGTGAAAAAAGAAGCAGTCTTCGATGAAAGCGAGGCCGATTGTCTGTCCTGTACTCTGCGTTATCCCCTTCAGTATGCGCATGGCGTAGTGGGTTGGGAAATTAGGCGCCAGGACACCTCCCAGGGTGAAGAACAAGCCGAGAACGCTGGACCAAAAGAGGACAGGAATTCTTCCCCAAGCATTGAGTAGGGGCATCCAGACGATTCCTGAAACACCGCACATAACCGCGGCGAGGGAGTTGGCATGGTTGGCGGTAGCAGGCGAAATTACCCATTCCGTGCCCTGGAGGAAGACAACCGCAACGCCGGAACCGGCCCCAAAGTCGCCAGCAAAAGAGCCAAATGAGATCAAAAGCAGTGCCATGTGTTTCTTGAAGGAGCTCCAATTAAGAGGATCATCTGGGTCCTCAGATGGTTGGGGCACCAGTATAGTCTGTGATTTTCAGCAACCTCAGAAATCACAACCAGAGTCTTTAGTCACCTACACGACCATCTTTGGCAAGCTTGAGGTTTGGATCGATATTCTTCTCATTGCGGGTGCTGATCGTCAGCAGGATCTCGCTGTTATGTTGCTCAATCTGCAAACGTTAGACTGAATCTTTGGAAATCGACAACCTTGTTACCTCGCTCACGCTATGTGGGACCGGCTCCTCGACTCGCTCTTCACTGTGAGGCGAGACTACCTTGTCCGCCATGGCTCAGACGTGGTTTGGGTCAAGTGAGTACTCTTGCTCGATGAAAAAAAGTTTGTTCCCAGAGTGTGAACACATAAAATTGGTCAAGAAGGAGTATCGAAAGCCCTTGAGTAAACTGTCATCCAAATGAGGCCTTTTATACGAGAAAACCTAGCTCAAATTCCGTTAGGAAGGACATGCTTGGATGAGCTTAATGAAAGTCGAGCCCTCAAGCAATCTCACCTCCGTTCAATATTGCTAAATCCGGTATCTCGTCTGGTCTCTGTCCATGCACAAGCCGTCCACGGGGAAGACAAATGGATGGAAAGTGGCACGGCAGGTATCCGGGGGGCCCAACCTCCCTTCAGAGCTCAGCCTGCAAACGATGTCCAAGATTTGTTCAATTCTCCGCCCTCGCCCATACTTGCAAGTCAGTAGCTAGGTTAACTCACCATTGCGCTGATTGATCACACCTAATTCCTGGGGAGATTAAGCATTGGGGGGCAAATCCGCGGCTTGGAACCACGTATGCAGATATCCGCGGCAGTCGGCTCCACAAAGCCAAAAGCCTTCGGACAAGGCGGCGGAATGAGGTAAACAGAGTCCCGGGGGAGATGATTTCACACCCGCAAGCCCGATACCCGCCGAGCCGCTTTGGCATTGCAGCCACGGCACCTCGCTCTTGTAAGTGAATAGCGGAAACTTCAATGAAGAATGCTTGTGGTTAACTATGCAGGCACTGCACTACCCTGTCACCAAAGTAGTTGATTATCAAACCACCCGTGATCTATGGACTTCTCCCAACAAACCATTTTAGAGCGAGAACATGCCGTCCTACTACTCTAAGAACAAATCCTCACCGTTTGTTGAGGGAGGAATATTCTGCAGCTTTAACGTCAAGGGTATCTACAAGAGAGTCTGCAAGAGAGACTGCTCCAGAGAATGAACGCGCAGGGCATACAGGAGAAATTCCTACGATGAACAGAGGCATTCTGCTCGAAATGCACAGCAACCGTCTCAATCAAAGGCCAGTCCTCCGAAGTCCGCACCACAGGTCGGTCTGGCTCAAGGCTCTCCTTTACTTCCCCAATCCTATTCTCGATTTCCTTGTTCAAATGCGTAATTACTCGTTTTTGTGCAGCTAAACCGTAGAGGCTTGCCTTGGCAGCAGCTATAATCTGTCCAGCCGTTGTCAACACGTCAATAGAGCGTTTCAAGCTGGTCAAATTGTTGTCGTCCCCTGCAGGACATACAGTACGAGTCCCTGACCTTTGCAGTAAAGATGCCGCTGCCACGCTGGCTTGGTCGCAATATATGCTATCAAGTCATCTTCTCAGCAAGAAGAACGAGGCTGCGATTTACGAATGCCTAGTCGCCTTCAAGCGGTGGCTTATTGGAAGCATGAAGCTCACCCTCCGTGCTCACCGAGCAGCAATTGCCCTCTCTCTTTCAGAATGAACCGATCTCACTGTTTGACTACTTTTGAATTAGTGTTATAGACCATTGGCCTTAACAAAGTTCTGGATGTGCTCATATGCCTTGAGTGCCGAATAGTGGAAGTTCAATCCGTGCCCCGTCTCTGGAGCAAGATACCAGCTGGACCCGTTGCTCACTGCCGGATAAAACTTGTCCTTGGCGGCAGCTGCATTGTTGTATGGCAACAAACAATTCCCGTGACAATTTGGCAGGTCATTCTCTCCATTTACCACATCAATATGGCCGGTAAAGTTTGGAGAGAATGAAGAGATCCCGATCGTCAAGAACTAACCATCTGTGAGGCCTTGTTTGGTTGCTTCACCCAGATTGAGGAGTGCCGAGTCTAACCCTGGTTCCCTGAAGAAGAAATATTGGTTTCCCTCGATAGAATTGGCGGTGAAGTATCCATTAGGTAGTCCTGCAAACCGGAGAAGCTGATTCTGTGAGGCGATCGTCAAATCTAGACCTGAAAAGGCGATGAGTACACCACTTTCGTCTGTTGAAAACCCGGTCAAGACTGCTGCGTCAAGGCCACACCCGTCACGAAGTGGGCTTGCACGTGAGGTCCATTCGACTCACCTTCCCTGGAGCGGTCGGGCACAGGCCTAGTGAACCAAAACCCTGTTTTTCAAAGCAGATGTGACCCATTTATTACACGTAAGGCTACATTGTATCGAAAAATCGTACTAGATGGCCAGGCAATAGCCCCACCCACAAGGCTTTATTTATCATCAGCAGAAGTGAGGCGTGTCGCGAGTCTCACGATATTAAGAGGAATTCTTGGATCTATAAAAGCTCAGACTGATGAAATAGACGGGTTGGAAACACATTAGGGAAACGAGAGAATGCTCTGCAACGATAAATACGAGTATCGAGGCGGAATTGGAAGAGATAGGTTGCTAGCAGATGATACTATACGTATTGACCAACACCAGCTTTTTCTGTAAATAGGACGCACCGACTCCTCAGTCGTGGATTGGTAAAACATGAAAAGGATTTACAAGGTATCACTGGAAGATCCCGCAGAGTTCGTCATGGTTGCTTTATAGCAATTGCCCTCTCGAGGCACTCTGGTAGCCTTGCGACTCCACGTCAAAAGGTTGACCTTCAATATGCCACACTTCCTCACCGTCCACCCATTCATCCTCTTCAACAATAACTTTGACTTTTATTCCCCACCCTTCCTTTCCGCCAACCCAGTTCTTCCGTTTCCCCACCTTTTGAATGACATGCAAAAGGTCTTCCAATACAGGCTTCCGCATTAATGGATCGTTAGGAACTTTGGGAACGGAGAACTTCAATTCTATTCCGTTCTTGTTGCCGTGCCTTCCTAAACCTGCGACCCATTGAGCAGAGATTTTTACTCGAGGCTCTCCCTCCTCCATAACCCCAGTAGGATACACCCTCGCTACTGTCATCGCTACCTTACCGATGTAGCGAGTCCACCAGACTTCCTCAGGCGTGAGTATGTCGCTGAGTGCTGTCTTGTAATCAGCCTCACGGGGAGGTAATTCACCTTCGAATCGCTCCTCAAACATGAGAGCCAGAAGAGCTCGATCGGAGTGTGAGACTCCATGTGCTGAAGCTAAGATCCCAGTTGTAGTGCTGGACAGAGCAGCGCTCGAAGAGGATTCTTTTGACACGTCTGAGTATTCGAAAAATACGTTGGCCAATGAGCGGATGATGTCAGTCGAGATTGACCTAGGGAATGATCTCGGCTCATTGCCCATCGAAATTGGAATGGCGGATAGCAATAGATCACCCAAGGCCATAGCTGATGGCCTCGCGTATCGCGCAGTAGCGACTTGAAGTGGGTGTTCCCTCCGAGTATGAATTGGTAGCTCCTGAAATAGGACGCCCTCACGTACTCCACCTTGACAGAACTGTGCCTCCTTGATACCGAATGGAATGGCCTCGGAGAGAACGTTGACCAAAAATGCCACGGCCGGGACTTGAGCTCGTCTTCTATCGGAGATGCGGAAGATTTTATTCGCCGTGTGTGCAATGTGTTTCAGCTCCTCGGTGCTTTCGAAATGAACTTTGTCCGCCTTGTAGCCGTTGATGATTGAAATGGGATAATGGTGGCCATGCACTTGGCTTTGGTAAAGCAGGAGGTATCCCCAACCCCGGAAGCCGCCACCACAGAGATAAAGTTGAAATCCTCCGTAAAGTCTGGCGATGTCAATTAATTCTTGTGGTATCTCCAAATTGCGATACGCGTCCAAAAACTTCTTCTTCATGTCTTCCCGAAGTTTGGCAAGTGCTTTATCGGCCTCCTCCTTTGACTTCCCGGCTTTGATGTCATCCAATATGCGAGTCATTGCAGCCGCTCCGTACGGGAAACTAAAGGCTCCTGCTGGGCTTGTTTGGACCTGGCCCTCACGAGAGACCATCCAGCTGATCTGGGTGCTTCCCCCACCAAGGTCCATCACGAGACCGCCGACGTATGTAAAGCTGCTAGCTATACCCATTGCACCAATTTTGCCCTCTTCGCCCTTCGGGAGTACCTCAACGGTCAAGCCAGTTTCCTTTTTGATTGCAGCAATAAATTCAGCCGAGTTCAACGCCTCACGAGTTGCCTCGGTGGCAATGATACGGATTTGATTTTCCGGGACCTCAAAATCACCGCAGATAATCTTGAAACGCAGGAATGAAGCAATAACAGCACGAGTAACAGAATCTGGAATGGGGATTCGTTTCCCTTTCAGGTCGAACTGGGCGTCATAGAGTGAGATTGCTGACCTGTGGACGTGAAGAGTCGGTAGTATTCGTGATGTAGGTGGCGATAGATCTGATATGGAAAACCGGATCCCATTGCTGTCGCACCATTGAAGTTAGCAGCCTTGCAGTTCTAAGACCTGAATACCATGCGCAAAGAAACAGTATAAGAGGAGGCAACATTGCAGTCGGCATAGGATGCTCTACCTTCCCATATCAACTAGAGCGCGAAGATACGGTCTCCGGCCTTCCATTCTGCTGGTGGAGATCTGTGTCATTTTCTTACTATGTGAAAGCCAGTATCGGTGATTGAACAAAAAACAAGAGTACGTGAGCTTAAGAGACAGTCCGCACAGGAAGTGGATAATCGAGTCTCTCTCTCATTGAGCTGAATGTTGGTCAACATTTAGCAGTTTTCTTCGACTAAAGCTTTCGCCATTCTCTGGCCATGCTTGGTTTCAGCTGGCAAAACTAGGCGACTCGTACTTTAACCCATACGGTCTATCTCCAATCACATCCAGTAGAACACCTTCTTGGCCTGGTCAGGGAGTATTGACGAGAACGGTCCAATTGGACTTCACCGGAACCCTCAATCAGTTGTGAGTGTTGCTTTTCGGTTATCCTAGGTGCGCAAAGACCGTCCTGGGGACTGTGCACTTCAGCTGACAGGGCAATAGAGCGAACCCCTCACCAATTACCAATGCTTCGACATTATTAATACGAGGGTTAAGAGTATGTTGTGGCAGCACACCGAAAGAGCCTACAAAAACATGTGCAGCTGCGGAGCAGTCGTGCTAAATGGTCAAATTGCCGGTTCCACAATGTCCAACAATCGTCGGCGACCCCTCTTCGTTCATCTTTGCAAAGTGACTGCCGTCCCTTAGATGGCTACTATCATGAAGCATTTTGAACCTTCGGTTCTGCAGGCACGCCCCTAGGGAAGTTAGATTCTGGACAACTACAACAACAACAACAACAACCAAGGACTGGAAACCGGACGGTACTTACGACTCTGCACTACCGAGCGATCTCCTTTCGCGGTCACGACTCCTTCCCGATGTGAAAGCATAGGCTCCCTTATTCGATCAGCTATTTGGGTCCTGAATATGCGGAGGAAGTGGTACTTACCAGACATCCGCTCGCCAACCAAAACATGCCCCCTACAAATGAAAAGGCCAACGTGGTTCGCCAGTTTGCGCAGTAAGTTGTGGTAACAATGCCCGGAGTTAGACGGCCAATGGGAACTGTACGCCACCAGCCTCCCCAATAATAACCCCAGTCATGCCATAGCCAGTATGAATTGCATCCATCACCAGCGGTGAGCTGTTTTGTAGATCTTAGCAAGCGGAAAGAAAACGAGCCATTCGGCCCGTCGACCATTTTCGAAGACTTACGTTGGTCAGCAGCCCGAAGCAGACCATCCAGCAGATGAAAAGGGCAAAGTCGAGAGGGAATGCCGCAAAGGCGTGTTTGAACGGGGGCAAGAGGACAAGTGAGAAGAAGATACTGATCCCGGCCAATGCCACCGCATAGACTAGTCGTGAGTTGTAGCGCGCGTTCGCATCGTCTACCAGATGCAAGTAGTATCCCCCGATGCCACACACAACAGCCGCGCAGATGAGCTCCACACCGCGCAGGATCACGTTGCAAACTTTCGACCCAGTACCCATGTTACTTGAGGGAGAGAAAGATTGACTATCGTAGTAGTGTTGAGTTCAACTTGGCTCACAGAGAGGTGGACTTGTCACGTTCAGGGCTAGCAAACAATACTGCTGTAGGATTGAAAACGACAGCGGGGGCGCGGGGGGATATCTTTCTTTATAGGGGGGCACGTCTGGAGTATGTCACGCAAATACTTGCGTTCAATGACGGTGATAGGTCTACTGCTGCCAGGTTGGTGGATATTGAACTTGTGGACTGTGCTCTGCTGAATTGAACTCTATAATGAATACCTTGCTCAAGGAGGGCCAGACAATCCAATGGTCACATAGGCAACTGCTACCAAGGCGTTAGAACGGCGTTGGAACTAGTAATGCACGGACGACCCTGTGTTGATCTTGAGAGGTTTTCTCGTCCCTGCCACATGTGTTCAGGTAAGCCCTCCGGATATACCTCCAGGAGCTATACGAAGTAATCCCTGTCCTCGAAGGGAGGAGACACCCAATACATGTGACCTACTGACCACCCGGCACCGGGCACCGGGCACCGGGCACATACTTTGTAGAGAACAGCCTTCAGCGGTTGGCTTGGCAGAGGAGGTCCCACTCAATGTTCAGTGGTTCAGTTGTAGTCGCAGTTGCACGAGTTGTGACAATCTTTCCCCGACGGTAAGCCGACTTCTTGGAATCACGCCACTATAACCGTCAACATCGTCTGCAATTAGGTTTAAATTGGGTCCTTGAATATTCAGCTCCCGTACTCGGGATAAATCTAAGGTAATGAATGGGTAATGTGGCTTATTTATTAGCACCAGACCACCTTTGACTGAGATGACTCTCCCCAAGTTAAGCGAGGCGACGCGATGCGCGAGCCTCCACACGCTAATCAGGGAGCTCGGCCTGTACGACTAGGCCGAATTGGACCCGCAGCCGGTCCGAGATGGCCGCTCAGTAAACGAAGCGGCATGATCGATTGACGACTCAGCTTCCTTGCGCTTTGCCGTCATCCATTCCCCCAACGGTGTCCAGATCTCAAGTTTCTCCGCCGGCGTCAATGTAGCTGCCAAACCACTGGTGGAAGTGGCTACGAATGTCTTCGCACCGGGCCATAATACGTCTTTGCCAGCCAAGACCCTTCCCAGCTGCATTTCTTCATCCTGCCACCCCCAATGGAAGCTGGGATCTTTGAACCTGTGCTCTCCTTTCTTCATTATCCAGATTGCCTCCCAAATACTCTTGCCCACGATCACCGCTGCTTGCGGACGGAATTCGGCAATCTTCTTATCAAGAATAGCAGCACCTTCTTGCATCTCTTGCCTTGTCAAGCCATCACCACTTCGCGTGGGCCGAGCGCAAATGTTGGTGTTCCCAATCTGATACAGGTCCATCAAATCCCTCGTCTCAGGAGGCAAGTGCTTCTTCGGCGTGATCCCACTGGCATGAAGGATATGCCAGAACCGATTTGATGGATGCGCATAGGCATGCCCAGTTGCGGCTGTCATGAGTCCAGGATTGAGCCCGATCATCACCAGCGTTAGCCCAGGGCGCAGACTATCCACGAGGTTGCTGACAGGGTTATGTGGGTCTTTTGCAGATCGGTCCTTGGTCGTACTCCGCTTCTTCTTTGGCCTTGGAGCTGCAGCCTCAGGCGTGGGTAAATGGATGCTCGCTTGTTCTCTACTTGTGCCGGTCTCAGCAGCATTTGAGCTTTGTCGCCGTCGCTTTGAACTGGATCGGGGGTCGGAAGCAGACCCAGGGACCACGCCGCTCCCATGGGCCGTAGGAGAGGTTGCGAAGCGGGGAGATCTTCGTGGCGGGAACATAGATCTAGGATCCGAGTATTCGAATTTCCTGAGATGTGATCTGAAGAAGTCTAGGCTATCATGAGCATGTTGTTCGAGATCACACCAGGCTCCAGGCTCCAGGCTCCAGGCTTTCACAGCATACCTTGAGTCTCCTTCGACAGTGTGTCTGAGTCACTGGCGCCAGACTCACCGGTTTCACTACCCCGGTTATCCATTATTCGTCATTCCGCTACTCTTTGATCGTAGGAAGGGCCGGCGAGCTCGCCAGGTAGCTGCTACTCAATAATCATAGCTTGGAGCGCTATGAGGCCGTCAAAATGGCACTAGCATCGCTTCGTGGGATACATATTGCTGCACCGCAGGAGGCACCACGCCTTTGTCGATACGAGTGTGGTTGTGCTCAGACCGATGCCAAGGCCGCACCAGCCGGGAAGGGTTTAGCGTAGGTCGAATGGTCCTGTCTCACGGAAACGGCGATCCGACACATGTGACTTTGGCTCCTTCCCTCCTTCCATGGATTCCACCGCCTCGAGGACGACGTCTTACTCCTGCATGCAACACTTTGGCACATCCAGTTCCATACCATCTAGGTGCTAATTCGAAGTGCGACGTTGCGGCCGCCTGCTGAATCAATATGTAAAGTCTGCGCTCAATTCTCGCGTGCTCTGGATCGGTAGCGTTGAAGCCCGAAATGGGCACAAGTGCTCTGACATTCGTGCAGCGTGGACCGCAGTCAGAGTCTTCTTGGGCAGCCCAAGTCGCGATAGTCCGGGATCGTAGTCCGCTCCATAGCCAAAAATTATGAGTGCCATCTCCCTCGTCAATCAGTAATCCACTTTCCGTAATGAAAGTGGAAGTTTTGGGTGGATCGCAGATTGTGGTAGATGTTGCAAGTCTCGTAGACCGGGTCTCTAAAGACTCGTCTGTGGCATAGTCGAGGAGGAAAATCAATGATTGCCAGGTACCAAGGTCCTCAGTAGGCCGCTTTTGGAAGAAAAGGTCCTCGGGACATTTCTCTAATTCGGCCTGTGTTGGATCCTCAATCCATTGAATCGTAGCTTCGCCTACGCGCCCGTACGCATTGGAAATCATCTCTTGCGTGCTACCACTGGATACGAATGCAGCCACAGGACTGTTGGGTTTGAACTGTACCTCGGAAAAGTCCGTGACGGACACCTTACCTATTGAGGTATGTGTTCAGCAAGATAATTAGAAAGTAGTAGTTCTCGAAAGAGCAAGGCTTCCATACCTTGTTCTGAAACATAAAGAGAGACATCCGAAACCCCAGGAGCAACAATCAACCCAAGTATGGCCACAATAACCTGCATAGTGAGATTCAAGATTAGGGAGACCGCACAGTACCATTGGACCTGAGTCGGAAGTTTCTGGCCTTTCTTTCGACCCGCACACAGCAACTATGTGCTGGTAATCGTGCTTTCACACCTCATGACCATATCAAACTGCTTTAGATCAAAGTATCGCGACGAGAGGAGCTGCCACTGAATGTTTTGGCCGAAACCCTTGAATGCAGAGCTGTGTTGTGCACCGAGTAGTAGCGATAGACCTATGTTTAGCACATTGAAGGCTTGTACGTCGGTGGACTTAAGAATCTCCTTTCGTGAGTAGTATACATAAAGACTAGCTAATACAGCACAGAGGGCTGAGGTGATGGCGACCTGCTAAAGTCTGCTAATAAAGACTCTCCAGCACTGTTTCCTTCTGTTGAACACTCGACAGGTATTCGAGGGATAAGGTGTTGTAGCTGTTCTTTTGCGCGGCTTGTGTTCCCACGGTTCCACAATGGACACGTTGGATATCAGAGGCGTCAGCTTTTCCATTTTTTCAGCTTTTGCTTGAAGATTTGAGGTGGGGGACAGTTTTGCATAGATATACCCATCCAGACGGAACGAATACGAGAGCTCGACTACTGGACTGATAAACGAAGGCCACCAACCTCAGCTGCCAAGGCTGGATTGACCTTGGGCCAGCTACCATTCAGACTGTGCCGCACACATAAGTGTTTGCTGTGGTTCTAAGCCGGTAAGAGATTATTGATCTGGATGTGCATAGATTCCGGACGCACGATGTATATCCAAAGTGAAACCCAGTGGCAGAGGCCGTGGACAAGAAAGGCTTCAATTGTTTCTGCATTTGACAGTCAGGCCGGGCCGTTCACATGCGCTCCATGAAGGAAACCGTATCGAGCTGGCATTTCCACAGAATGGAGCGTCGCTTGATCCCTATTTGGGTCCTTTAGATGTCATGAGCCCTTTAGTTGAGCTGATTTAGGATCCTTCTGGGCCTCTTTCCTCCGAGCCCGGTTTCTGCATGTTTGAATAAAGAAGCCGCAGCAAGCCGGTCTTCCTGTTCACAATATCAAGTGTGCCTTGGTCTCTTTTTGAGCTCTTCCTGAGCCTTGAAGGGGACTCCTTTGGGCCCTTGTATGCTGGCCGAGCGGCCCAGGCCCCTCACATGCTTCAACGCAAACCGCGAAAAGCTGGCCCTTTCACAGCATGGGGTTCCCTTTTCGTGAACCCTTTTCTGTGCTCCGTCCCACACCCCTTTGGGCCCTTTGCATGCGCGGATTCATGGCACTTTGAACCCTTCCACTGACCTAACTTAAACTCCCTTTGACCCTTCCTAAGCCCTGATCCAGACTCTTCTCACCACTGTATCCTGATTCAGACCCCTTTGAACCCTTCTCCGCCGGCCGAGCCTCCGATTTGTCCTGTTTCTCGGCGTGCTCGGCAAATAGCGGAAAGTCTCGGCAAGGCTGCACTACAGTGTGAAAGCTAGGGGAGGGTCGGGGCGAGGGTCCATAGGTCCATGAGTATATAAAGACCTCTTCCACCCCAAGGAAAGAATCCAAAGTATCATTCGCAAACTAGTGTCCGGCTCGATCGCTTCCTGATTTCCTTCCTGCAGAAGTGTGGCGTGTGCATTTTCTGCAGTGACCTTTTGTCCTTGGACGTCTCACATGTCTTATGCCGTGCTGTCCGCGCCCAGTCATGTCCGAGCCGCAACGTTTCAGCCGCGTCCAAACATCTCCACAAGCCGCAAACACTTCACCCAGCAAGCAGAAACAGCCGGAAGCGACTCATTGCTTCCAGCACTTGCTCGACAACGAGCTTGGCACGTTTTGAACAGTGAGTTTGCCTCTTGCCTCGGCGAGTTTGCACGCACTGCTAGCTCACTAGCCCACGATCCCTTGCCTATAAATATCTGCTCCCCACCCCAACCTTCCTCTTTCTTTCTTTCTTTCTTTTCTTCTCCCAATATATATAATCAAACAGCTCCGCTGACGGTGGTCAGTGTCTCTCCCATGTCCTCGGAAGGACATGGGCAGAGCTCTTTCCTTGTGCGAGTGTGTGTGCGTGAGACAAAGGGTATGTCTGTGTTCGCTCTCTTTGCCTTTCGGCTTCTTCCTTTTGCGTCTTGCCTCAAACCTTTGAGGACCGAGCTGATAGACGTGAAAACAGGACTGTGAGGGTTGCGGTTCATTGAGCCGCACTCAGACAAAAAAGTGGTAAAGCGGCCATAACAGCATCGAGGTACGATGTCTCATCCACCCAGCGGATCTCGGACCTACCTGATCCGATCGCCTTTTGATACTGACACTGACATCTCTGATAGAGTCCGGTCTCCTAGGCCACGACGGAGGCTCGCTGCAGCTCTCACAGCCCACCCTAAGCTCCCGTGGCCCGGGGTCGAGAACAACCTCGCTGCTGGTGTTGGTCCACCAACACCATCAAAGCCCCCAGGTCCACGTGATATGGGGCTTGGCAGGCTCGAGGCTGAACAATGGCATGGAGGCGAGAAGGTATGATACCAACATGATCGATTTGAAAACAGAGCAGATGGCTAACGGGGTGTCGAACAGTGGCAGTCTGACAAAAATCTGCCTCACACTCGGTACGACTGAGACTGCGAGGTCCTGGACTGCCTCAGCTCGTCGGCTTTGCCTCGCCCTCCGTCTCTGATGTTCTCGGTGCCTCCCATTCACATCGACGTGCACTTCACGACTGTACAGTGAATGGGCGTCACAGGCAGCTTGCGTTAGCGCACACGCACTCGCACATTTAGTTTTGGTCTCTCGGTCTCTCTTCCCCCCTCCTCTGCTTTCTTCTCTTGCCATCAACAACAATCATCAACAGCATTGCGTTCCTTTCTTGCTTTCTTGTTCTCTCTCTCTTTCCCCTAGAACGTCAAAGCAGCACAATGATTCCAAGAAGAAACAGAGGCGCCCAAGAGGTGGGCAGTCAAGGTAAATCCCCATTCCAACCGATCTCATTCCAACCCCGCCTCAGGCAAACCAAGCTAACCAGATCCACAGCGCAAAGCGCACCAAGCTACCCTGAGCAACTGGCTCTCATAGATACATTCAGAGCACGCATCTACCCAGGTGTGGCCGGTCGTTCCCTGATGGGGACGTACTTGGAGCAAGCAAACTGGAATCTTGAGAACGCCGTTGCCGCGTGGAGAGCAGGGCGTGCTGCTTTGATTGGCCGTCCCCCTCCCCCTCCTCCTTCTCCTCGCCCTGCTGCCTTGCGTGCTGAGGTGCGTGGCTTTGGGTCTGAATCACAGAACAGCAGAGGACAAATCTTCCTCAGATTCAGAAACCCAAATACCCGCACTCAAGCCCCTTCACCAGTACCAAGCCCAGCGGGAGCAGCTGTGCCAAACACATCCTCTAGAGGTGTGCTTCGTCTGAGAGCATCAGAAGGAGCCGCTTCAGGATGGGCAGCTGCTCCCGGACAAGAAAGCAGCGGCACTCAAGCGAGCAAAGCGGAGACAGCCATGAGTGCCAAGGGCGAGAAGAGGGGTGAAGTGCTCATCCCATTCAACGACAACTTCGAGCAAGAGCGCCGCGACGCGGCTCTTGCGTTGAGACTTCACCTCGAGGAGAGGACGGGGGAGAGGGGCGTGATGAGCCCTGCAGAGGCCGTGTTGTTGTTGCACCAACACAACTGGGACCTCACTCAGGCATCCACAAGCTTCACAACACTGCAGCATGCGAGGACAGGCCTGGCTCGTACCTACGACCAGATGAGAATCCCAGTACAGCGGGAGATCGCGCCTGTCGCTCAACAAATCTCAGCCATGCAGCAGAACGAGCGACTGGCTGAGCTCGTCAACCTCACGGGGCGCAATGACTGGTACTCATTGAGAGTGGCATTGCAGAAGAGAAACTGGAACCTCGTCGCCACAGTCTCACGGTGGTATACTCACGGCATTCTCCCAGTGGAAGCCCCCGCGGCCGTTGCCCCATATGGTGGCGTAAGAATGGATGTTAACCTGAGACCTCTACCACTGCCAAGCAGAGAGTCAACCATGTCGACTGCGAGAGAACAAGGATGGGCCGCCGAGCCAGAAGCGTTCGAGGTGCTAAGTGGAGAGCAAGGTTCAAGCAGCTCATCAGATTCAGAAGTCGGCCCTTCATTGCTCAAGCAGAAGCGCAAGCGACCACACGGCTTCATGGTCAATTCCACACGTACTACAGCCAAGAAAGGAATGAGAAACGACCAGAAGTTTCTCATCGAGTACATCTCTCGCGGCAGATACTGGTTCAATCGGTTTGAACGACAAGAAACCTTCAGATGGCCCGATGTCAATTTCTCGGAGCAGGCCCATGGCCACTATCCCAACCCAGACACCAGCAAGCTCGTCGACTTCGACTGGAACAACCAGCAACACTTGCACTGGCTCAACAATTGGCGCCGCCAGAATATCCAACGGGCCACCGGCCTTCAGACCCGCGAGCAAGCCCAGCGATGGCTGCCGGAAGAGCTGGATTTCCTTTATGCCTTGTCCGAAGAGCTGCTCCAAGAGCAACTTCGAAGCAACCCCAACAAGACAGAAGACCAGCTACTGCCACTCAAAGTCGTGATGGACAAGAAGGTCGAATGGACCAGGCGGATGAATGACAAGTTTGCAGGCACGATGCAGGCCGGCTCTTCTGAACCCCGACGAAACCGCGAGCCATCTGCTCTGATGACTCAGCGCAGTCGCACCAGATCCATTGTCGAACGCTTCAAAGTCAGGCCAGATGAAGCATACTTTGCCAAGGTGGAGAGGAAGGAGAAACGAGCCAAGGCGGCCGTGGAAGCTGTTCAGAAAGGTGTCAAGCGCCGTCGCGAGGAAGAAGACTCCGACAAAGAAGGCAAACTCGAGTCCGACTCAGAGGACAAAGACAAAGAAGCCAGGACCAGTAAGGGCGGAGATGACTAAGCGGGGCCGGCCATTGTGAGCCAGGACGAACCCTTCAGTGGGGACGGAGGAGGCAGAAAACTAAGGGCCGGCCATATTGAGCCAGGACAGGACGGGAGAGATCCGAGAAACATTGTCGTCGACAGAGCGAGCGACCTGCTCCTTGATTCTGATCAAGTGGAAGCCACATAGATAGAAAATCACAAAAACAAAAACAAAAACAAAAAACCTATCTTGTTCAGTTCCTCTTTCGTTGTAGATCTCATCCATGTCATTTGTGAACAAGTCGGACTTGATCGATCCTAGCCACAGACCAATGGGGCTTTTGGGACTTCCGTCGACGTTGAAAAGGCCGAGCTCGGATTCGACTCGCCGTTGATACTAGGACGTCGCTGTTGGCGATTGTCATCAGCATCAGGTTCGTCAGTTCTCTGGATGGCTTTCACATCAAACTCAGAGGTTTCTACTGTTACTTGTGAGATCTCCTTGCTCTTTTCCTTTTTCTTCTTGGTGAGTGTCAATGCTCCAATTCTAATGGCGTCTTCGGGTAATGGCCTGATGTGCGGTTGGCAGACCCACCAAGGGCGCTTGTAGGCGGCGATTACCTTTTCCGTTGCTGTCAGTTCGGACCCAAAGGCAACAGCCGCAGGAGCAGGCAACTGCCCAGCCGGCGAAGAGTCTGGCACAGAATGACGATGACGCTGCTGCTGGTGGGAGCTGTAGTCATCCATCCCTTGCGCTATCGCCTGCTCCACCATGGCCAGAATGCGCTCGAAAGAATCGAAATCCCCCAACCTAGTCTTTGCCAGAGCATCTCGAATGTCAGTATGAATCGACAGCATAGGTCTCAGCAACTGGAAGAGGTGGCCCTGCATGTATTTGATACTTGGGTCATTGTGCAACCGGGAATTGGCTTCCCCTTTTCGTTTCTTGGTTTTCTTTGGTTGGCCTTCTTGGTCAGAACCATCCTGTGGAGGGAGGCGATGCGAAAAATCAGGCTTGGTAGAATCGCTGGTGATGTACAACGGTGGACGGTTGGGTGGATCTTTTTCAAGACTGTATTTGTAGATGATATCCAGATACCTGCGAAACACTGCGTCAATCCGATAGCCATTTCTACCATCTTCCTCTGGCCCGTACCAGTACTCCCTGGGATTGTACTCTGTGGGTGGTTTGGCGAAGATGGTTGGATCTGACAGGTTTCCTTCTGCGCTCATGATACCATCAGCTCCTGTTGCAGCAAGGCAGGTTTCTAGATCGCTCGAGTTCAAGATGTTTCCATTGGCAAAGAGGACTGTTTCTGGTGGCAGGTTGTCTCTCAGATATCGTATCATCTTCCAGTCTGCTACGCCGGTATTATGTCCCTTCTGCTCTCTCCGCCGCCCGTGAACAGTGAGAATGCTTGCCCCTGCAGAAAGAATCATTTTTGCGTAGTCCAACGTCTTCTCCCGCGTTTCCAGAACCCTCATCTTCGCAGTCACAGGGACTCGTAGTTCATGGTGTAGCTTGTTGATCAATTTGTAAATCGTATCCCAATCCTCCTGCAAGAAGGCGCCATAATGGCCAGCCCTTGCGATCCCTTGGGGACATCCCAAGTTCAAGTCCACCGCGTCGCAATACGGAGCCACATACTGCGCTGCATCTAGCAACTCATCAGGTTTATTCGCACAGAACTGCACGAACAAAGGTCTATCGATCACTGGGTTCCCATCGAGCCATGCAGCCGCAGAAGATTTCTCCTTTGAAGCCAATCCTTCTCTCGTAGGCTGAAAGAATTGATCTCTGAACTTGGGGTTGTCTGCAAAGAGACGAGCATGAATCATTGGCGAATAAGCCAGCAGTGATTTTGATCGCTCTTCATCAAGGTAGGACCGCGTGAGGAGTCTCCATGCCTGGAGAAGTGTCAATATACGTTCGAAAGGAGCGTTCGTGGTATGGAGGGAGGACGGACGAACTCTGAGCGATCGACCATAGGCGCGACGACCATCCTGGGGCTACCGATGCTCTCATAGAATGCTCTGCCTGTTAGCTTGCCAGCAGAAGTGTGGCCTTCGCCGTTCGCCATCGCTTGCGCCATTGCTCTTGAGAAGAAAGACTCTCTTCGAATGTGCTGAAAGATGTTCGAGGTCGCGACAACAGTGTTCCTGAACATGAAGACTAGTTGCCCAAGCCTGGAAGTCCGAGGGAGCAGTTCACCGCCTGGTGATATCACAAAGAAGTATCATCGTATGCTAGCGGCCTCGCTTTGTGGTTGTAACCAAGTTGATGGTTCTGGAGTGAGTTGAAGACCAGAAAAAGTTGTGTTCGGAATGCGCCAATGTTTCGCCGTAGGCTTCATCTAATAAAATCTAATCTAATCAGCCCCATATAGGTACAGTCCATAGATGACGTACTGTATTTATGTTCTGCACTGCGCTACTACGCCATCTCAAATCCATCTCACAACTCGCTAGTCAGCGACAATGATTGATCTTCCCAACTTCCATATGTGAGCGCACGGCAACAGTATATCTACCAACTGGTGCTATATAACATCACAGAGTATGTTCTATGCAAGAGGCTTTTTGCCCGTTGCGATAATCGCTGTCCAATCCCACAGCACGGGACCGCCATTGTATTTCTTCGCGACATAGTCCACAGCCGCATCCCCAGCAATCTTCTCATATTTCTCAATCTGCTCCTTGGTCCAAAATTTCTCGATAGACTTGTTGAGGGAGTAAGGAATCATTTCACGGATGGCGTCTATGGAATCAATGCGGCTGGTGTTCCAGGCGGCCTCCACCTTAATGTCCTCGAAGCCGTGCATCTGAAAATGTGCCTTGACGTCCGTGACGTTGTCCCAGGGCTCGTCCGTATTTGCATATGCTTTGATCAGCACGGAGTCCTCGGGCAGCGGTGGAATCTCTGGGTTCGTGGCAAGCCCTGCGCGGAAGTCCTCACACCACGGCACCTTCTGCCAGGTGGTGAAGGCGAGCGTACCGCCTGGTTGAAGGATACGATAACATTCTCGCAGACCTGCAAACGGGTCGGGGAGAAGCATAGGCCCGAAGCTGAAGAATATATGTGAGAATGATGATGTTGGAAATTTTGTGTCCTGACGTCTGGTTTAGCAACGCTCATGCTGACCTGATCAAGAGAAACAAGCCAAGGTTACACCTTACCTGCGCGTCCGCTTTGATGGCTTCCACCTGTTTCCAGCCCGATGCAGCAATATGCTCCTTCACACCGTCGATCATCATATCTGAAATGTCTGCGCAGGTGAGGAACAGCCTTGCCTTTTGCTCCTCCGTAAGTGACCCCATGATCTTATCCGTCACAGTGCCTGCACCGCATGCATTATCCAATACCTTGAGGCTTGTATCAGCTGAAGGTGGAAATTGAGCTTGACGCAGAAGCTGTTCGGCGAAAGGGCCCATTAGGTTGGCCGCCTGTGGTCGGAGTTTCTTGAAAAACGCCATGTCGACTTCTCTTGAGTTGCCTGGTGCTCTTTTCGGTATTTCAAAACAAGACAATTGAGTAGGATGCAGTTTTTAGGATCGACACACCCACAGGCGATTTATAAATCTATTGTCTGGGAGCTGGTAGCCTACCATACAACCCTGTCTGTGGAGAAAACTTGAATGTGTCCGTAGAACCCCTCCAAGCAGGTTCGCGGATCTTCAAAAATATCTCAAGCGCATAATTCATAGTCTCCGAGTCCAAATGAAATGATATTGTTTTCAGCATGAAGTATTCTTGGGCCGTGAACCATTATGTGCCCGAGACTAAGAAACTCTCCAACTAGTAATTCATTTTCCCATCTCGCAACGGAGACATTCATTCGGCGAATAAAGTGTCCGATTCGACTGTAGGCCCCAATCAAATGCTTATCCAAATGTCCATGCTTCACTGGCGAACTTCACCAATAGGCAGATGTTCTAAAGTTACTGCCATGTGAGAGACACGGAGAATAGTGTAGCAAAAGATCCAAATCGAGGTGCCAGTCAGGTAGGTTCGCGATCACGACATTCCTAAAGTCCTATGACAATCCCTGCGAGACAGATCTCCGATTCCTCGCACTCGCTTTCCACGGCATATGAATGACTATTAGAGGGCTGACACGTCAAGCACACACTTCATGCTCCCAACAGCATCATTGAGTCCTTTGAAGGCCATTGCGTCAGCAACACCGGGCTTTCTCAATGTCAAATCTGTCCCATTGGAGAATTCGATATGGTGCTTGCATATGTCATCTCTGCACGTCCATCCAGCTGTTAGCCTCTGTTTTCAATGGAAATTCCTGCGCAGAGTTGGAGGATTTTGAGGAGAAAGAAATATGACGGCTTCTAAAAAGAGACTCACGTGTAAAAGGCACACGTACAACCATCATCTGGCCCAAGAGCGCTGAGTGACTGGTTCTAAGGGAACATGTACGTCAGTTCTATCTAGCTTCGCGAACGATCAAGCCTTGACACATAATCTCTTTGCTTACTCCACCCCGTATCAATGAGCACAAGTCATACATACCCACGATCCAGTGAAGGTCAAGCACTCGCCAGACTTGGGAAAACGGTGCATACAAGGGTTTTCCCATAGACGATTAATACAGGCAAATACCTGGACACATCTTAGCGGCTCACTTCAAGGGAAGTATGAATCGAGGAACGCACCCCACAGGTGTTAGGACCAGACGTTGCCTCAGGTGGACGTTCTGTTGCGACCACTGAGATCACAGATGTCCATGATATTGTGATTGATGCCGTAGCGGTCGCATTCGTTGGTGCATGAGTTGATGCCATCTCTTCTTGGTTGCACGGAAACGGATCAAGAGGGGACGCCAGAATGGCCGCCGAGGTGGCCAGGCCAGAAACTACCAGTCTCGAGGGTCTCATTTCGAAGCGGTTCTGTTGAAGCAGGAAGAAGACGCCTGTTGCCTTCGTGGAGAGCAGAAGAAGCACCTGTGAAGCTTTATCATGTTTTCTGCGGCGGCAGTGAGGACCAACTTGTGCGCCTTCGAAGCTGTCGCAGTTATGATCCCCTTCGTTACAAGTAACGGGATGGGGCAATCATGTGTTTGAAAGGCAGACAGCCGACGGCGTCCCTGCATCGCATCGGTGACAAATTACTCCTTCTGGTTTCCTGGAATGTCCAGGATTTCTGAATTTCAAAGTGGTCAACGCCGATCCATGCTCAATCAATTTGCAGGGCCGATAAACTCAGGCTCATGCCCACAGTCCTTCTCATATGCTTCTGACCACGGAATATGCTGATAAATGCGAAGGCATCATCAGTGGAGCACTCATCTTGTCAACTCCACACCACCCTCTTCGGAGCGGACATTGTTTCCTGCCAGGCTACTCATGCCACTGCCAAATATTGTGTCGATCCGCTGGTCCCTGTCCCAGACAACAACCTCGGATCCTCCACTTGGGTCCACGCGTTTGAAGTATTTAATACGATGCTGCGGGATCCATTCCTCGTCTGTGACCTCTGTGACCCAATTGCTTGCGGGTGTCTCCTTGATTCCGTCAAATCTCTCGAGATAGCCAACCTTAAACCGGGAAATGTCAAGATCTCCGTCCCATTGAAGACGGTGGAGAACATCTATTGGACATATCAGCACACGAGGAAACTTTGACTATGCAACATGGTTATTGCACATACCTTGGGCGGATCTCATTTTCGGGGTCGGTGTGCTGTTTGAATTGGGCACGTTGCCATCCTTCCCGCGCCTCCGTTTAGTGTAACGTTCGAAATCTCGGACTTTTTTGGACTCCTCCATGTCCGCCTGCTGATTTTCTTGATCAATCTCTTGGAGGTGGCTCTCTGCAATCACCCTCAAACGGCTGATACTATCCGAAGCAATTTCCGGTAAGCGTGAGGTATGTCCCTCGGTCTCCGCCATGGATCTTGCAGTCAGCAAGTTGCGAGTTTGTTGTCGTTCGGGTATGATGGATGATTCTCCTTTAATCAGAATCCAGGAAGATCTCGGCTTGTGTGGCCTGAGTGCCCGATGATAGGCACGTGATATAATACTTGGATGTCGTACACGAAAAGCTCGCGTACGGTTTGAGAGTATTACGTTTGGTCGCGGGTTCAATTCTGCTCCTTTCCGCCCTGCATTTATGCATTCTCGAACCTGTGGCGCAGATTTCATCGGAATCCCACTAGTCAATGGCACTGCCTGGGTGGAAACAAGGATGACAAGGATGACTCACTGATGTCGCGCCTACGGATCTTTAGCTCAGTAAAGTGCAACTGCATTGATGTCATTTATCTTCATTGGAACATAATGAACGAGTATTTGGTGCAGAGTATCTTCTTGGTGAAATTAAGAATGATAGACTTGACTCATGGAGAGTCATCTTGATGGAGGATGCTACTGCAGGAACGTTTTGAATGTGCCAACTAAATCACCTGGTTAGTCAGTCAGTAACTTTATATTATCATTAGTTAAAGATAATTCCAACACGGGATGTGGCCAGGGCACGATAATAAGGCAGCCTATGAAATCCACACCTGCCAATCAGGAAACCCTTATAATCAGGGCGGTCCGTGTTCAATGAGCTAGCATAGAGTAGACAATTGAAGTATCCAAACAAAGTATTTTTGCCATGATACAAACTGCATCGCACAAAGCTGGTGGAGGAATAGTGGTGCTGTCTGATCACCACACCTTGCCCTTGCCAGAGTGAGACTGTGGGCCTGTCGATTCGTGCCACATCATCCTCAGACAAAACTATTTCATTCAGGACGCTCGCTGTCATGCTCGTCCTGTCTGCGGAATACAATCCAAATGAAGCTGGTGGCGTTGATCAAAGCGTAGTGCTTTTTTTTTTGCAAATTTCTCAATCTAGTGGGTCAGGTGCTATGAATCGCCGAATCGGAGGTAGCAACCATGATTCTGCGGTATCCCGTATGACGACACTATACTATGTATTGACTCTGATCATCTAGGCACACATACGGAGAATTCGATCGAACGGCCCACGGGCATCGTCTGTTTCCGAGCACTTCGTAGTTGTGGAGCTGGGACCTAGTCAGCAGCAAGGTCGCAAGCGTACATGCCTCTTCTGTGAGACAGCCTAAATCATGCTCAAGCTGCTAGACAATGAGGAGTAACAGAAGTCAGTCAGGTGACAGAAGTGAAAAAGTGGCATGGTAGCGCAAGAAGCAGGATGCTTTGAAAACGTGATTGTATGATAGTAGGCAAGCCCAGTGTCAAGACGCCTGAGGATAGCCCGTTATTCACCAAAGGAGTATGAACCGAATGTTTCTGTTGTCGATCAACTGTAATTTCTGCCAGAGCCAAGCTAAAAAAAAATAAATAAAAAAAAGATCGGAGAAAGGAGGCATCAAGCCAGCAATTCAACAAAATAAGCCAGTCTACGATGTTGTGTGGTATGCGTCAAAATAAACCGGAACGCCTTACGAGCCCAGGTGTCAATGCATCTTACTGCGGTCGTTGCGGGAAGTGGAACCACAGCCGATAAAGAAAAGGCCCATCCATCCCTTGCCCTACAACGTCAGACAATGAGAAAGATAGGACCAGGTACGTCTTGTTCTGGAACTCGCTAGAAAGTTGCAGGACGAAATGGACGATTTATTGTCGCAGGAGATCAATTTGACTGCTTTGGTGTTCTTTCGTCTGACGGGCATGTGCCACAAGGGCATTCGCCGTGATATTGGAGTTCAACTTTAGAAGGGGTAATGAGAGGGGAGACTGCATTGCCACTGTGGCGCTTCGGCGGTAGAGATAGTTTGAGTCAGCAGAATGCTGTTCCATCGACTGTTGATCTGCAAACCTGCGTCTTTGTGCAAGCTCTGCAGCAGGAATGTCACTGGTCCAATTCGCCCGAACAAGATGATAAAGCTGCTGAGCACTGAGTTCAGGAACAGGCAGGGTTTCGAGGACAGATGAAAACACTCTCCAACGTTTCGGAGAGCTTTGGAGTTCGTTCAAAAGCCACCCATTAATGAAATCTGTGGGGTCAATTGGTGTTGTACCGGTCAATGTTGGTCGGATCTCGTCCAAATACTCGCTGATTTGAACGGGCCCTGTTGGCCATCGTGGGAAGATTGGATCTCCGGAATCTAGTTTTACGTCTTGCTGGGAGGTCGATTCCAATGAAACCGTGTACTCCTGAAGGCTGGTCTCTCTCCCAACGCGTAGTTTCGAAGCGTCTTCCGCCGAGAAGTTGTTAATATCTTCATCCGAGAGATATTGTCGTAATGAGTTCAGAACGGTCTCGGCGGCGCGCAATTCGTTACTTAAGGCTTCATTCTGAAGGTCAAACGATTCAAGGAAGTCAAGTGAGTCTTCGTCAAGACTCAAACCAAAATGCTCTCGCGCTTCTTTGTCGGATAGGATCTGTTCACGCTCGGAATTCAAGTCGATGAGTTTCTCGCGTAAGGCGTCAACATCACCGGTTTGGGACAGGAATCGTAGAAGTGCCGGAGAATGCTGAGTGTCTTCCAGAGGAATCTCATCATGACCTTGGGACGAACTAAGGGTATGCAGTAGGAATGCATCGCTCGGTTCACTCTTGTGAGCATCTGCATCTAGGAGCTTATCTAAGTATCTGGTCGAGAGCCAAAGGGCTTGGACAAGGGCATTCTCCTCTTCCCCGTACTGGTCGTCTGCTGTTTGGAAGGCTCCGAACTGAACATCGCGGATGTGCTTGAAGTCTGCATCTGCCAGTTGTTTGAAATCTTTGTGCAGCTCATCCGGAAGGCTAGTGGTCCCGACGAACTCAGTCAACCCCAGCATAAACTTTTCAAGAGATTGCATGAAACCGGTCAAGCTTGTGGATAGAGGAGCTCTAACATCATTCATCTTCAGTGTCCGTTGCATCACATCTTGATGTGTATGCTGTAATAGATGTAACACTGGAGCGATGTTTTGGTTAGCAGTAGCAGGTCCTAAAGTTTCCATGGGCAGTCGACCCGATTCCAACGGCTCAGATCGCTGCTGTTCCAGAGGAATAGATTCGTCATTTCCACCCTCGAGGTTTCGATCTGGATTGTCACTGGCCCTTGAACGCAATTCTGTGGGAGAAGTTGCTGCGTTTGCCGCAACTGCTGCTGGGGGCATATTGCAATCGTCCTCCTCGTCCTGGGCTTGCAAGTTTCGTTTCACCTTCACCCATCCTGTCGACAGTCGATCGTCCGTTGCTGACGGTTCTATCGATGGTTCTCCTCTTTTATCTTGGTTCTCCCAGAGCTTGGATGGTCGTCCCTTGAGAGTTGGCCAATTTGTGATGACCTCCCTGATTCGCAGGCGTTCCCTAGAGAATCTGATTTTAGCACGCACAAAACTCAGTTCGCGGTGGTCACTTGGGAAGATAAACAATGTGCACGTACTCTCCCACCAAAGTCTTGGACCAGCGTGACCCTGATCCGAGAGACCGACTGCCATTGAGAAAGGACCAAAAATGCATGCATGCATGCCCAAAGAGATGATGAAGAGCAGCTCTCGATTTACGAGCGGTCTCCGCAATCGAAAACCGCCAAAACAGCCTCGGGGTGAGTGGGAGAGCGAGAATACTTGTAACAGCGTGCAGACCCAGTTCACCTCCAAGCCTGGAACTACCGTGTAAGTTTTATCACTCCAGAGCTTGTTATCCCACGCTTGCCCTCATGATACGAAAGAACCTGATCAATGAGAGATTAACAGATTAGCAGAAGTTGCGAACTGGCCACCAAAGCACCGGGGTCTATGTTGGTTTCAGGGCTTCGTTAGTGTGCCAGAGTGGCAGCAGCTGGTTGGAAAGCCGGGTCATCTTAGGCATCCCACCCCGTTTATTATTCTAGGGAGCCCCATATAACAATAGGGTGCAAACCGGGACAAAACCAAAGCAGACCTGGGTGGCACCGCCAACTTCCGCATTCCATGGGCCAGGAGGAGCTCCACGAAAGGCAGTCCAGGGAGCCTCCCCTGCCGCGCCGTCCCGTGTTGGTGCGCACGGACTTCCAGCAGAGATCAACCCACTGGTTCGTTGGGAGCATGAAGCTGAGAATGCTGCGGAAGCCCGAACGTAGCCAAGCAAGCTTGACGATACATCTGCTTGGTAATTCGTGGCACTCTCTCATCCCCTACGAGTCCTGGTAAGTCCATCACGATGATGATGGCACCCCCCTCCTCGGGCCTAGAGCTGCAGCCCGTCGCGAGAAACTTCAGACTCCAGCAACCCTGGATATGGGACTTTGACCATGTGGACATTGCTCTAGCTTTCAATGCCGAGGGGGTTCCCTCCTGGCTAGGTTCATGAAGTGAACGGCGCTACCCCCGGGGTAGTCTCACATGAACAAGCGCACTTATAGTGTTGATGGACCTCCCATCGTTGCTCATCTATGTTGCTCCTTCAGTCTCGTTCGGGATCCAGCCTTCGCCGTGATGTGAATTGAGTGACCATGTCTAATCATGGCGATGCGCAACGCAGGAGATATCCCACAACCGCGGATGACCGTCAGCCTTATCAATCTCGTCATGCGGGGTCTCGTAAGTATGGACCCGCCACGCCATGGACATACTGACGTTAGGAAGGAAGGGTAGAGAGTGACAGACCAGCTTTGCCGCAAAATGATGACTATGATGCACATGAGCGCGCAGAGTATACATGCCCCCTGTTCAGCACAGAAGCTTTTATCTCCTTACTGACAGCCACAAGAGATACTCCACGCTCCTCAGAGCTTCCAGTCTACCGGAACCCAATATTCCGTCGCGGATCTGAGCCGTGCGTCACAAACTGGCCCATTCCCTGTTTCTACAACTGATTTCTTTAAAGGAGAACTGACGATTACGCTATAAGAGCTCCTTCGCAAAGTGGCACAAGATTGCGAGATGGAGAATTTGGTGACGACCACCGAACGGCCGCTGCCTGGACCCATGACAATCGACAGCAGTCCCCCGAAAGGGTCATTATTCGCACATCTCGGGCAGCTTCAGGCAGAGCACCGTCATCATACCACTACCAGGCTCGAAGTCCAAGAAATCCCCAGGAAGACCCCAATGAAAGAGTAAGCGTTGCAAACCAAGACCCTCTCCTTTCCAGGACACGGCGTTTGTCATATTCCCAAGACTCGGAATATCCTTACACCTCGAGTGCTCCTCATGGTCAACACAACAAGAGAGCTGTGCATTACGATGATAGTCCCAACCAGCATGGCCTTGCGATCGGGCAACGAGTGCATGAGGTAGACGCCACGCATGAGAACGCCATTGCTTCTGGCTTCCACGATATCCAGAAGAATCATCCAGGACAACCCGCAGCTCACCAAGTTTCTTCAGCCAGTATCACCTCGACCAGCGGAGCAGCACCTGGCACCAGCGTCCAGACACCAATCTCCCTACAGACATCCAATCATTTAATTTCAGCGCGGGCAGCTGAGAGCTCTTTTCGTAGCTCCCTATCTCCACGCCTACAGCAGTTTGCAAACATTCTCCGAAATGATTGGACAGCTCTCGAAATATACGTTACGAAGGATCCCACGATCCTTGATGCTGAGCAACAGCAATTTCTGAAAGAAGCTGTCCAAGCATTCTCCATTGGAAAGGACGCATACGCCAACCAATGCATCCACCGAGTTGCACTCTTACAGCAAGTGGAAGATTGTTCGTTCAAGGAGGCTCTCAAGGAAATTCAGAACATTGGAGAAAGGAAGTCAGTGGCAAAAGATTTCCTTGAAGCATATGATCGGATACAAAAAGCAGCAAAGAAGAGAGCTAAAGCCATGCCTGCTCCAGCTGCTGGTCAGTGTCGTGACAGCCAACAGCCTTTAATGGCGGGAGTCGCCCACCCGAGCCCTCTAGATCTCCAATCAGCATTCCCAGTAAATCAGATAAGTTCAGTACAAAGAGGCGATTCATCAAGTCATCAGGAGAACAGTTTTGTAACGAGACATGAGCAGCACACACCAGCTGCAAATAGCTCCGCCACCTATCATCGGGGCTCACAGTCTTCCAATGTGGAGCACCAAGACGGCCTTGGACATCGTGGTGCAAGAACCTATCAATATGTGGTTCGTACACGAGACTCCCCATTTTCCGCAGGTTCTCCTCCCAGTTCGGGGCCCTTAAGCCAAGCCAACTATAAGCCCAACGATATCAATCCGCCCAACTACCCAGGCCCTCGCGGCCCAGCGATTCTACCCTCAGTCCAACCAGACTCCCCAGATGACGTGGAAGCCAGCACACCTGTCCAACACCATCGACAAAGCGGTAGCGTCGCATCTATCACAGAGTTTTCAGTCACTGGCGATAACACTTTCCCACTCCCCTCGGGCAAACAAGGCCAGCTCGATTCGAGGTTTCAACCCCGCCCTCATTCGTTCTATAAGGTGGGAAAAGTGTTCGCCGTCCTATGGCATGTACCCGGGAGCACCGATCCTCCAAAAGGCCACATTAGTGAGAAGCGGGTCCTTACGGTTGGTAAATATAACGAGCCAATTTACAGCACCATTCGAAGGATGGTCGTTGTTCGTGAGGGGCATGGCTATTGTGTGTGCATTCAGATCAATACGTACGGCGGTAGAGGGTTGAAGAAATTCAGCCGCACTCCAGGAGAGATTGATAATCATTCGATAATCCACATGGCCGACGCCCCATCCTCTTACATCAAGGACGAGCCGAGGTCTAGCAAGAAGCCAATCGCAGTGGAGAGAGCAACCCAATATCAAAAGCTCGAACCTGAGAGCAGGCTATGTTACTCTCAACCTTCTACAGTGCAGCACAATGTCAAAGCGATGCCCGTAGGCCAAGTGACACCAAAGTGTCTCCCTTGGCTGGTCCATTATTATAAGCAAGCAAATGGTTAGACAGAGTGCCCGGGCTTCGGAGAAGATTCTGATCCAGGCCTCGTTCAGTCGAACCAGGGTATTACGAAACCACCGTACGTTTATCAAAAGTTGTGCTTCTTTCGACAAGCACTTTGCCAGCATGGCTATATACGTTTGCATAGCAGGAGGAATTATGCGGTCTCGTCGTAAGCATTCCGCAGCCGAGCCAACATTCAGCACATCTTATCCCACAACAGACCCGAACTGTTGAATTACGGATGATGACATCCGGATCCGAAAGGTAACGCATTATGAGTTTACACAAACCACGATCCATGGATGAACGGGGTGGCTCTACATAGTTGTAAGTGATTGAGGTCGACCTTTGCGTTTGGGCCGTACTCGATCGAACAACGGAAGGAGGGCGTGTTTTTGCTTGGAGTCTAGGGTTCATTTCATCTCCCTTGCGGCAACGGCGGTTTTGCGAAACGGTCGAGCAATCCAACACGGGGCTAGCTTATAATTTGCTTGAATCTGTGCTTCACCCTCCGAAGATTTTCAGGTTAAAGGCGGAACGGCCCAGAGTTTGCCCTTCGTCTGACAGCTAGTCATGCATCGCCTGTTACGCAAGAACCCAGAAACATGGTTTCGCAAAGCTAGGTTTCTTGGTAATTGTCAAATGATCACTTGGAAGGGCCACTTGGTTGATCAGGTATAGCCAATGGCCACTGCCAACGTGAATCATTTTGCATTGCATATTCGAGTGCATCGAGTGCACTCGCACAAGCATACCAGGCCATTTTCAAGGTATGATGAAGAACAGGCTCCACGCGGAGCCTCATGCGGGGTTTTTGGATCTGCTGGCTGGTTCAGTAGAGTTGAGGACGTGATAGTGTTTAGAGCTGAAAGATACGGAGGGGACGGTGATTGGTAAGTTCTATCTGCAAGTCGACGAGCTGAGTAGGGACTGCAGTTTCGATGACCAATGGAATGGCCGATGGTTGGCGATATCCCTGTGGCCTCTACATCATACCACCTTGAAGGTGGTGGATGGGTCGAAGATGGTGGGCAGCTCACTTCCGGAGGATCGGTCGCGGGACCACACTATGTAAACTCACCCTTGCACTCCTCCATGAGTGTCGAACACTGCCAAAGAACCACGTAAGAGGCTGCTGAAAGCGCAGTAAGGGCGCTGTGGAGGTGTGCCATCGAGCGATCCTCCAAACCATTCGGCCAATCGACGAACTAATCGTTCCCAGTGTGCTCGAAATATTCGTGGCCGACAACAAGGCCAAAATCCAGAAGACCAGACTTTCCGTGATGGAAATGGTCATCGTGGTACAGAGTACATTTCCAAGCCAGATCGGCCACTGGTGGACTCCTCAAACTTCCCACGGCTATTGGCGGTCTCTGGGGCACGTCCTCCAGAAATTTTGGCATTCAGTGGGGGTCGTTCACACGGCCAGGGTTAAGTAACCATCTGCATATTGCACACTTGGTGTCTTGGTAGCCAGAAAGGCTGCATGCAGGCTATCGTGGCACCCCGGAACTCGACCCTAAGCTGCCCTTGGACATTTGAAACATTGGTTTTCCAATCGGTCGGAGAACCCCAAGATCCTTTGCAGGCAGCTGCAGGATGGAATGCATCTCACGCTTCAGGCTTGGTACAGAAGTGCTTCCGAACCCAGCATTGCTCTCGGAAGGCATTGTTTCAGAATGTCGGAAGCGAAGAATCAGTCTCGCTCTCAATGCGGGCTGCTCGCGGGCCTTTCAGGAAGTGACGAAAAGCATTTCCTTAGCGTAAGCCTTCTTGACGCGGCGTGCGTGCTTCAAAGGCCTTCGTAATGTATATATCGGTACCCTGGTAAACCTTGCAGAGGCGCTCTGGCCCAGTAGTAGTGCTCACTCGGAAAGATTCGTCGATTGGCAAGCAAGCAACCTTGGGCAACACAGAAGTGCTCCATGATCGCCAATCCCAGGTTATGGCATTCGGGCTTTCTGAAGCTCATTAGCTCACCAGACAGGCAATCCCAGCGAATCTAGAGGATTGATGGCGGTGAGCAGTCTGTCTGTTTCCGAGGGCAAGGGACTTTACCCAGCTCGGACGGACAGCGTCCAAGTGATCAATCACCCCTCTGCTTGCCCTTTTGGGAAGCATGCGTATTTCTCATCACATGGCCAGGAAACCCTTTGATTGAGACAGATGGCTGAAGGAACTTCTGGTACATATCATGAATACGTCACCGTGGCTTGCGCCCATGTAATCTGGATGGGAGCCTATGTACGAAGTATGCGGAGGACGGTACGCTATTCTGCCTGGAGCGAGCCAAAACAATCCAATCCATTGGTCCTTCCGACCGATTCGCAGAGGAATCGCTGTTTTTCACGATGCACCATGTCCTCCAATGGCGAGCAAAAGGGCTTCCTACTATATCTTATGGCTAGCTGTCGGTATCACATCACAAGGACACTGGCTTTGGCACGGGCACATTTTGAGTCCTTGCCAGACGCACCTCTTCCGCCCTCCAATGGAGCGCAGACCGGCGAGTCGCATTTCCCAGCAGGTACTGGGCGACCCCATCCTAACCCGATGATTGGCTTTCCGAATGCTGTTTCCCGGATAACGGCATCCAAAAGGACATAATGCTAAAGTGGTCCGTCAGCCCGGGGTGGGAATCACCAAGCCTAACTTCTAAATCTATTCTGGGCTGGTTGGACTAACAACTACTCGTAACGCTTTCGAAAGGGAGGATAGGGCCATCGTGAGGCTTGCCTTGCTTCCCCTGATTCGATGGGGACTTGCTTCGACAGCAAGCGTCATTCCAAAGGGGAACATTACCACCTTCGGATGTGAGCTGCGCACCCTTAGGACCAGTTTTCTCGTGTTCAGTACTAGTGCTTTCAAGTCGGTTGGTTAGGCTGTTCGAATTTACGATGCACTCAGTAGTCCAAGTCAAGTAGGAAGATCCCAGAGCCGCTGCGTCGGAACGCCGCGGAGACGGCCATATAATGTCGCTATGCTCTTTAGGAGAGATACATGCAGTCAAAGTATAAATGACGAAGGAGAACAGTGGTCCAAAATTGGGGCCAAGTATAAATGATGAGGAACAAGAAATCAAGCCGAGGGACGGCCAGCTTACTCGTAAGCGGCAGATCACAGGGCACCTGAGTAAGGCGGCCGGTGGCCCGAGTTCGAGACCACTTCTCCAGTGTGGTTGCTAGGGCTGGGTACGTACTTGTCCACACTTTGGCTACCTCCTAATTCATATCGAAGCACCGGCGTGACCAAAAACCGGAAAAGGAGTCTTATGCAATAGTCTGTTCCAGTCACCCACAGAACGCGCCTGTTCCGCTGTTCGGGGAAGGAAGCATAAAATGACGGACGTCTCAAGCTGTTGCCGTGAACATAAAAGGGCAGCAAGACCCATCTAAGCGAGACAAGCCGACTTCTCTTTGGCAAGACAGCCATGCCACACTGGTTGGAATGCCAACTTCATGAACGCACGGCGCGTCACGGAAGCGTCCATGCCTTAGCTTCGCCAATGTTGGGAAGAGGGGCTTGGGTCTTGATCATGCCGGTGGCACAGCAGAGACGCTGTACGGACGCACGTCGAGTCTGCAGTACTTCGATGGAGTCCACAATGTTCGCCACAGGAATGCATCACATCGAGGGAGACGGCTGAACACTCTTTCGTCTTGTATGCCTTCTTGCCATTCGAATTGGGAGCTTGTCGTGCAGCTCAAAGGGGGGTATCAGTACTGAGGATCGAAAATCGAAAAATCGAAGGACTCGGAGTCGGACATCCTCAGCGGCCTAGCTTTGACGAGTCGGGTGATCTAGATGTCGATCTTTCCATCCATTAGAGACTCGAAAGCCGCATTAGTATTGGGAAACGTCTTCGACCCCAGACCCGTGGACGTGTAGTATAACAAACTATAACGGAAGAGTAAGAGTCCAGCGTACCCTTACGTACCCAGCCCTGTGCACTGCGGCGCCCTGCCAGGCTGTGAGGTTGCGGCATCCATCCTCCTTGGAACGGATAGGCCAGTGGTGAGATCTCAGCCTTGTCCTCCAAAGAAAGTACCGTTTCAACAGCCGGCGTTTCTTGCGGGATTGGAAGCTTAGTCGCCCTGTCCTGAGTCCTGAGTCCGACTAGACCGCCCATCAGAGATCACTCACTTGAATCTAAATTATTCACGACGTCTGACGTGGCTTGGGCTTGTGGGACGACTATTCGATTCTGGTCTAGCGGACGCCTTCTTCCCAAAAAGACAGTTTGTAAGGTGTTCCCCTCTTCCGCTCCGCGCACTATCTTTGCCAAGGCCCTAACTAAGGGGTTTCCCACACACATTTGGTGGGTCGAGGATTTCAAATTCAGTTCTGTTTCTGGGGAGAAGAAATCAGAAACCCACACCTAAACCAGTCACTTGCAGTCTCCGGCTCCTCTCCCCCCCGTCGATGCGATGCGCCAGCGGACCGTGCAGAGGGGCCGATTAGGCTCATGCACCTGGTTGTTTTGGATGATTCCTGCATAACGCTGGTCCCGGGCTTTTGGTTTCGCTAATGCGATCCGCAAACTTTATATCAATGTATGTGGATTCAAGATTGACACCCATGGCATCAATCTCTGGATATTGCTCATGGACAGGAGCAGACCACGATGTAGAACGAACCCCCTGTGCCCATTCTGAGCCTTGAGCCATCGTGTGGAAAGAAGACCAGGTCTGATCTGATTACTGTTTCCAGCCGTGTTGCAATCTCTATCGTCCGAGCACGACACTACTCTATAGAGAGACACAATCCCAACTTTTAAACCGTGCATTTTGCTGCTAGGGGTATAATGGTTAGCACAGCATTTGGCACGTGTAGTTCCTTCCCATGCAGATAATAATAATATAAGCTGAATGTCGCTCAAGTGCGTCGCCGGACTCCAGCAAACTCCAGAAAGATACGTCCAGCAGAACGGTACCATAACCATAACCGCGATCCAGATTAGAGATTTCCCAAGAGATACACTAAGTACCTTAGACGTGTACTCAAGTCTTGTGATAACAAAAGAATTATGCATGTGTGGGTGATAATACATAGTAGAGAAAGGGGCAAGGGTGATGCAAGAAGTTAAGAACTCGGTAGAGGCTCCGGTGTACGTGCCAGATCAAAAAATGCTTGAGGCTGTCATGTGTTGTAAGGTCGAGCGGTGGAACAAGGGCAACGGTTGGTGTGGTTCCCAAGTCTTATTGCTCCATTGTTAGTACATTGTCGATCAAGATGCTGTGGGGCGAATGTTATCGGCTGATGTTGTGGCGAGCGTACAGAACGAAACAATTCAGCTGGTCTTTATCTTTTGACGAATGGTCCAATTGCAAGTGGACTGACTACCTGGATACGCTTAGAGAGTTCTTGGGTAGTCATCTCTTGGTCGCCACGATCCACTCAGTACGGATCTGGTCACAGTACGAGCCATCTGCCGCAGAGAGTGCCCCCTCTTTCGCGAAGTCGCTGACTTTCTCGGGGTCAATATCGCGTCAACTTGTGCACCCACTGACCAGCGTGATGTGTTCTGTTTCCTATCCTTCTCGTCCAGCGCACTGCCAACGGTGAGTAGAGACAATGGGCCAGGATGTCCTGGTAGCTTGCTCTGCAGCCTCCGCACGCTGATGGTGAGATCCTTGTCAAACCATGACTGCAGCAGCCTTTTCCTTAGTGATTGGTTATTAGGTGGAAATACATCATCGAGGTAGTGAATGTAGATGAACCGAGAAAATGAGAGCCATGAAGCCTGCAGGCATTTCAAGAGCCAGAATGATACATACGCGTATAGAATTTCCCTGCGGGTGCGCATGATGTCCAAGGTCATGGACATCCAATTTCTGGTGTGCTTCGGGTAGGAGATCGTGGTTGAAACTGGCCACAGATCCCTTGCAAGGGCTTCATATGTCTCCCATTGCGTCTCCAAGTCCTCTTCATCATCAATGACCAGTTCCGTTGGCCGATTATTTGTGCTGACTGTGGCGAATTGGTCCGTGTGAAAGAACGCTCGCGACATCCGAGGGACTTGTGCTTCCAGTTGTTTACAGACAATAGTTTCGGCTTGGATATCCGCCAGTTCTTTCTGAAGCAGGGCACATGTCTGCGGGTATTTCTCAAGGTATTCTTGCGAAAAGGTGTCGAGAGGGACACCGACGGCCAACCGTTTGTGAGCGTCCTCCTGCAAGCTGGCATAATCTGCTTGAATCTGAGACAGCTGGTTCTGCGCGTGTGCCTCTCGAACCAAGAGTCTCGAAAGCCGACCTGCCACCGCAGCCATGGGTCGATCTTCCGACGCATTTGGACCTGCAACAAGACTTTCCATGTACGGCGGCACCTCTCCAGAAGTGCCGATGTCTTTTCCCGCTTCCATTGTTTGTTGTCCATCCCCTCTCGGATCCAGCCTCAGACTATGACTAGCCAGCTCTTGCACTGTCTCCGTGTGCATGAACTCCAAGGGCATGAGGACTTCCTCTCTTATTTTTGATTGAAGGGGGATGGGTGATGGCACACGGGCAATATCTGGATTTTGCACCTCAGGTTCTAAAGATTGGCCTTCGCCTCCATGAAGAATGCCAGCGAGATCCCCATGCATTGTATCTGCCTCTGATTCACTCAGCTCAATGGGCCATCGAACCTGTTCGTACAAAGAAATTTCATTCTGCTTCAAGGTCCACTCGGCAGGGTCCAATTCATTCTGGATGCTATCAAAGGAAACTTCTTGGTCTTCCACCTCTTTCACATGGCGTTTGATGTCCAATACGTGGCCAGATATCTTTCTACAAAGTTCCGCAGGCAGGGTCTCGCCCTCAAGGACTTTCAGCAGGCTGGATGTGGCAGCGGACAGTTGAGGGATTGTTGTTTTTCTGCGCTGGTGCACCTCTCGCGCCGTGTTGCGCAGTCTCTGGACAAGGCGCCTGTGGTGATCGATATACCGGAGAGTATGCCGCAAAGAAATGGCAACATCTGGTGCATTTGTGGGTTGTCTTTGCCGTTCGGATCTCTTGGGGCGCTTAGGCCGTGTTGATGGCATCTCGTGATGAACAGGTTCAGGGGCATGTCGCGCAGAGGGCTGGCCGATACTTTTCACGGCAGTATCATAGTTATAGTCTTTTCGCGGGGTGCAACTGCTATTCAACGTGAAGACTGACTGCTGGAGGTTGTTCGGGCCTGGGTCGGTCGAGTGGCTGTGAGCGATACCACGCGTATCATTTTGAGACCAGGAGGAGGAAGAGGAGACAGAGTCTACGGCGGGTGACTCGGGCCTAACCACGTCAGCACACAAGCCATCACAATCAAGCTGAGAATCGTCGTACTGAAACCCGTAGTGCGACAAGGGCCTAGGATTCTGGGGCGACTGATCAAGAGCGGACGTCGCCATAGCGGAAGGGCAGCCATAGAACCTGACTTGGGCAGTGGGAAACAAGGAAATCCGCCGCCTCAGGCCAATCCAACTCAGGAGACGGGAATGGATAGAGCGTGATGGAAGGCGGGGAGAGGCATTAATTTCAAAATGTGGCAGTGTGCACAATGATACTGTAATGGTGTGAAGGAGACCCAATCACCAGATCCTGGTGTGGAAAGACTGGCAGTCCACGGAGGAGTGCATACTCGTAGGCCCTTCCGTGCTCACTGCTGCAGTGCTCGGTGCTCCGTAGGCACAGCCGACGAGCAGATGGACGCCCCCACCCCCAAGATCCACTCAATTACGGGCTGGATCCCGGCCACTGAGGCCCCCAACCCTCACCTGCAGATCTAGCGTACCGACCCCGGAACATGGTAGGCCCGGGCCGGCGAGTCAGTCGCCTGGGCAGATGCTTCAGCGCCTGTCTCATGTGGAGCTGGCCAGGCTAGTCCCAGATGGTAAAAACCACTGTCTGACGAAAACACCATCCTGTCCCTGCCCCTGCACCTCCTCCTGCGCCAACGAAAACGAGCATCTTCCTCTCTTTCGACCTCCTCCGCCGAGCCCAGCGTACCCAGCCAACCATTGACCCTGCTTTGAATTGCAGCATTCGCATGGTATTGGGCATCGCTTAGCGCTGGACATGTGCATCGACTCTCCCTCCACGTCCTGCGGATGCCATGTCTCCAGTCTGTGGACCCAGCATCCATGCAAGACTGCCCAACTCTCATGCATCTCTAGTGATGCGATACAATTGGAGCACTGGAGCATTGCCCTCCATACGAAATGCCGACTAGATGGCCGTGCGCCGTGGCCTTAACAACGGCCCATATGGCGAGCTGCCACATAGCGAAACCACACTTTCGTCCACCTACCCGCCCATCAGACCATCAATGGATCATGGCCGCTCCAGCTCCATCTAAATGACGGTAGTGGATGATGGTGATGCGGCTCAGCTAACTACTACTGGAGTACAAAACCTTCCTTTTGGAATTTCCGTTCCAATGGTTTGACTTCCACCTTCTGGTTTCCCAGGCTTTCAATCGGCTCCATCCGTGGCAATCCGCCGCCGCCGCCGCCTCCATGACCGCCAGCCATGGCCTCCATGAAGCCACTCACCGAATATCACAAATACTCAGATGGCGTGGTAAAACGCAAGTGTCTTAGCAAAGAGGATGGTCAGTCGATCTCAGATGGCCTCCAGAATCACAAACCACTGATGTCCATTGTGGCCTTAGGACACGTTTACTGGCACAGACAGGGTACCAATGAGTACCAAAGATTTCGTTCTGACAAGGACACTTGGCCAAACACGAAGCCGAGAAGCGTTCCCGAAGAGCAGCGCCGTGGCAGTCGAACCAACGAGAGAGCTTCACGATTCAACGTCAGAGAGAAGTCGGCGTCGGCGAGTGAGCGAACAGCCAGGTAGGGATTTGGGCCCCACTTGAGTTCGATGAAGCATAATCCAAAACCCTCAAGCCTTGTCCGCGAATCCTATGCTGACCATTTTGGACCAGTCCCTACCGTCATTCTCGGGTGCATGAGCAAACGTCTTCACCACCCAGAGGCTACGAGGCGCGACCTCAGCAACAAGAAAGGTATGCGCGGGATCCACCATCTCATGGGCCAAGTCATGCCAAGTCACGTTCACCATCGCCAGATCGACAGTACGCAAGGTATGTGGCTTTACTACCCGTCCGTCACAGGTTGAGCATTCTCATTATCATTCTGCCTCGCTTCTCAATCCCGCTTCTAATGAGCATGGACTAGTGCGGATCTTGTCAGTCGTCCTCAACAGCCACCTCGTCGACTGTTTGATGCGCATGCCGGTAGTTCTATTGGTCGCCATTCAGTATCTGCGCTCGGATTACCTGAGGATGTGCTCGACTTCATCACCATCCCCTTGAATGACTTCAAAACATGCTCAGTGTTTATTTCGCGAAATCGGAACTTTGTTCCGTCTACTCCGCTCAGCTGGCTCGATGATGCTGCACTTGAAGCAATGATAAGTAGAAACGTCCCTCTCGGGTCTCGATGCATACAGCGGCGTGTTATCCTTAACCAGTGCAAGGGTACTCCGGAATCCCAATGGCAACCCTGGTTAAAGCTGCTTATTGAGAATAACCCAAGGGCCCTCAAACCGTTCTTTGAGACTTGTAATCGTGTTTCGGCCACCTTACAGAATAAGTTGGAATCGCAGCCAGCCTCTGATCATCATGGTGCAGGAACTCTTCCAATTTCGAGCGTTAAGCCCCCGACCATGTCGACATATCCGCAAATGGCTCCTTCGGCTACTATCACGTCTACTAGAGAAACTGTGAACATTCCTAAATACCCCATATCTTCTAGCCCATTTACTTCAACTGAGGCTGGGCTATCTGCAAACTCTCCACCCAAAGGCATGGTCTCAACATGGCACCCAATTCCGTCTCCCAATGAGGAAGCCTTCTACCCTCATGGCAGTGTTAATTCCCGACCTAAAGGCACAAGCCCCATTGGCCAAACGTGGCAATCAAATCAAGCTGCCGGCGAGCCTCCTCAAGCACCTGGTTTCCCTGGCTCCGAGTCAGAAGAGATGCTCCCATCAGAAAAAGCCTTCAGTCCCTCCCATCATAGCAACAACGTACGCCAGCCAAACATCCCTTACTCAAGTGAACAAATCTCTTCAGAGCATTATTCAAGACGGCCACTTCGACATAGTCCTCCCGGTCGGGGAGAAGGCTTCCCTTCAATTCCTACGAACTCAAATCAGCCACAAATATCTAGTGAATCGATATTCCACCCACCTCTCCCCTCCCGGGCGCCGCGAGGAAGCTTGCAACCTGGCTCCCATCCCCAAAGCCAGGGTGGCCCAGAGCGCAGAACAGCTCCAGAACAGGAGGATGACCTTGCATCCATGGCATCTATTCCATCTACAACCATCGCTGGGAGAGCTACTCGGATCAGCGCAAGTCAATTCGGAGATCCAGAGAGTTTAGACCCCAAATACAGGATGCAGAACGGAAAGAAATTTTTCGTTCAGGGACGTGTTTTCGCAATGATGTACCCAGAACCCAAGGGAGAACACCGGGGTATCGATACCGGCCCTGATGATTCAAGGTCTGTCATTACAGGGCGTAGAGGAGAAAAGATCTTCAGCCATATCAAAAGATTTGTTGTGATAAAACCTCGCACAGGGCACTGTCTGTGTGTGCCGATAAATTCGTATCGAAAAAATGGGGTCGGTAAGAAAGGGCTGCCACGGGATGAGAGAAGCGCGCATGCCATTATCTATGATAGTCGGAGAGACCCGCCTGACGCGATAATTCCGGGAGAAGAGGATCTCGTCAAGAATCCTATCGCCGTGAACATCATGAGTAACAGTGACACACTGGAACCGACAAGCAGGGTCCACTTCGGGAAGATATATACTATTGAATGGAACGTCAAGGTCTTTGGCATTGGACATATTGCTAAGGAATCACTAGACGACGTTCGTACTTATTGGCGTGACGAGCTGATATAGTGATCCTGTCGATCACGGCCGAGGCCCACCGGCCAAGTTTCTTAACGTTGTGGACCCTCCTTACGACTGACCGCCTAAGTTGGTCAACAAATCTTGCTTCGCCATAAGTCTACACGAATACGTCAGTCCACCTTGGGCTTGGGATAGTGACTTTCCATGCCGCCCGCACTCACCTTCGTGGTTAAAATAATCGCAAGACAGGCATCGCAGCAGCCTGGATAGAAGCTCACTTTTGATGCGCAGGCCGAGCCTTCATGACCTCTCTGGGTGAGCTGGCTTGCGGTTCTTCTCTGCTACACTTTTCTTTGGTTTCAACATGGACACACCCCTTTGTTGTTAGCCTCGCAAAATCTGATTGGTAATTATTTGGGCGGAAGTAGCGACGACGGAAACACTGGGCATGGCTGCTTGCCAATCAATGGGAGCCTATCTCAATGTTACTGCACTATAGAACCGCCGAGTCCGCTCCCTGCCATTCATTCCTGTCCTACTTGGCTCCCGACACGGCGGAGATGGGAACAATACCGGTTTCTGCACACTAAATTGGGCCCTGGGGGCGTTCCCACGCCGGTCATCCCTTTTTGGTTTCGACTGACCGCGATTTTTACCGACAAAGCTTGGTGGGGAAGCGTGAATGGATGAGCTATTTGTTTTTTTCCCCTTGAATCAAATTGACCAGTGATCGCATTTCAGGATTTAGCACGAAGATACTTTTTATCCAATACTTTAACGAATCTCATTTGACAACCGCACAAACAAGAAGAAAAGGAATCTGTTTTCTGTGTTGCTAGTTGCCTCGACTAGAGTATTGGAGCTGTCACACCGCTCTTCGACTTCCCAAATATCCACTAGCACAGGCATGGGATATTTTGCCAGACAATGCCTACTGGTCCTGAGTAAGAGCTGGTTTTCATCATGTGCCGAGTGCAATGCCAGGACGGGACGATCATTTGCTTCTTCCATCTTCTTTCTTCAACACACAAGCCGGGCGTCAACAATCCAGCCCAACCAGACGAAGCTTCGAGGGCACCTGCAATATCCGTGAGCTTATTGGGCAATTACTTCCGCCCAGGTCACGAGACGCCAACGCTTTACTCTCGCCGTTGAGCCAATATCACCACCACTTTTACGTGTCTGTTTGTTAGTGGAGCCGCCTCCCTTCTCTAGTGGTTGTCACCGTTGCTTGTTCTCTTGATCATGTTTGCTCGAGGACCCATCGAATTATATTCCCATGAGCCACTAATCGCACCACGGTAGCTCGTTCCTGGAACTACTCATCGCCACCAGCAAGCCCGTCTCTCATGGCCTGACGTGGAGATTCACAAGGTTAGTTCATACCAGTCCTCAGACTCGCACCAAGACGCCCTTGGAACTGGTACATGCCCCAGCCAGTGACACCTACATACCAGGGGATGCCTAGCGCATAAAGTACCTAGGTACGTATCGAACCAGCCGGCACAGTCAATGGGAACATTGAACCAACTCCACAGGATTCTGAAACAGGGGGCCGTGGTACACTCCTGGAAAGTCGGGACGAAAGGGCAACCAAAGGGACTGCTTGGTGCGAAGGCGAAACCAACCATGCATAGCATCATGATTCAAGCACATTACACCCTGCAACCCACGGCATCCATGCAGCGCACGCCATGCCTGCACTCTTATTTACTTCCACCGCCAGGGAAACTTGGACTAGGACTAAGCGCGGTGGCCTAGCCCGGTAAGCTGCAAAGGGTCTAATCGATGCGGGTTTGGGCCTTAGTGTCATATAAATACCATAGTGAGGCGACCACTCGGCAGTAGAACGGCAGTGCCAATCCCTGAGCCCTCCATTTCCTCGCTCGGAGTAGCTAACTGCTCACGTTGAGGCATGGATATATAGTACGTACCAAGTCACCAATCTGTCAAAGGTTCCAGAACTAACGCTTATGACTCGGTATATCGGCTGTCACGTCCTTCCTCTCTCAGGAGCCTTGAGCTCGGATACGGATGTCGCGATAGGCTACTGAGTACTGGACTGTACGTACGGTACTGACTACCAAACTTTTAAGGAGCGCCACAGCTATCCTTGGGTCCGCACAATGGACCAAGGACGGAGTACCTCGTACCACGCACGCCTTCTCCGTACCGCTGCGTTCTGTACTCGGTATTCTAAACGTAGTACAGTGTTAGCAGCCACGCCTTCAAAGCTCGGCCTGGCGTGTCTTACGTGGCCCCCAATGGAGCGACCTATTTTTGGGTTGCGAGGAGACTCAAGAGGGCAAGGGGAGGAAAGGCCGACAGGTATGTAAGCGTAGCGTGTACTTCTTGCTCGTACGAAAAAGTCCTACCTAACATTCAGAGTGGCTTTGCCCGACACAAGTACCATGTATCACTGCATTACTACATACATAGTACGTTATTGGGCCGCGCTGACAGCTTTTCCAACGAGTCAGTCGTTTGTTTCTAACTGGTGAGAGTGGGAGGACATCTACGCTGCTAATTTTGACCGGTCGAATTGAATCATCATTCGTTACCGACTGCATGCTTCAGTCCTGGAGATTAGATTCTGTTGTCGAATACAGAGTACTTTTCATTTCATTTTCATGTCCCGGAGAATTTGCGATGAACATCTGCCTTTCCTTCCTGCGTTCATTTCATGGCGTTCATTCATTCATTAAAACCCAACGGAAGTGCGGCTTGCCGAGGACATCATTGCCCGGAATGTCTGTGTATGTTTGAATTTGCTTTTTCGAGCGGCCCATGTCTTCATCTGTTAGGCCTGTAACTGCATGCTGCGTTGTTCCGAGACATACTGGAGACAGCCTGGCTCGAAATTGGAACAACCAATGTCCGTACAGCCGCTGTGCCGAGAACCAGGATGTCGGCTGCCGGGCGTCAAACATTGAGAATTAGGCCGGGCGCATCCAGGTCATATGCCGTGATTTTCATCAACAAGTCTCCACAAGGGCATCTTGTCGAGGAGTACGTTGATGGTGCTGTGGTGGTAAGGCGACCCAAAAGGCGACAGACCGTGCTGAATATCCGAAACGACTTTGAGTCTTTGCGTTAGCTGGCTGATGTTGAGTGGATGTTGCATTAAATAAGGCAACCGAGAACCCGATGCCCGAGATGATACCGAGTACACGTGGGACTCTGATGTGAAAAGTCTTCTCAAAAACGATATTCCCAAGCTCCGAACGCCTGCCGCACTAAGCAAACCAAGAAATCGCTCATTCGATGTGTCGTGAGAGCCAACCTTCACAACATGTCGTCCTTCAACTCGCCATCAATGCTACCTTCAGTTGCTCCACGGCCACCCCCCAACTCACTGACTTCAGCACTCTCCCAGCAAATGCTGGTTAAGTCGAGTTGCCAACGCTGGAATTGCTCCTCGAGGAATTCGATGGTCAACGGCTTTTGCCAGGATTTGAAGGCTGATTCTGATTCTGGATCCTTGAGCATAGTTTCGTAGGGCTTGAAGTGCACCCGGTGATGAGAGATATTGTGCCAAGCATCGTCCATGTCAATGTGAAGTTGTGAGCCAGAGAAGAGCTCGAATCTGATATGGGGTCAGCACCACCTCCAGACTCATAATCATCTGGGGAAGCGTGAAGGGCATGAGCTATTAAAAATGTGGGGATGGGAGTGGCGTAGGCTGAATTCAAGCTATTACCCGAAATTCGAGTCTTGCCGATGGACTTACCCAATATAAACACCAGTGGCACTTCCCAGACTGATGATCTTTGCGCCAGGGGACGTCTTGACCAGGTGGTAGATTTCACAATAAGGAAGCAGGTCCTGATGCCCTGGTTGATTTGGGAACAATGGAAATTTCAACTGCCTGACGTGAGGGAGTGTTTCCACCAGCGATATCAGAAGGGTAGCTACATACAAAATGAAGGTCTCTGGTCTTGTTTTCCTCGTTCTTGACGTCCCAGAAATGACGAAGGACAATTTGATCGGTTCGAGAGAGATTACCCACCGATCTTGAAGGAAGAGCTGTCACAGGGTAGTTTGATGGAGGTCGATTAGCGAAATCAAAGCTGGAACTTGTGTTGACCGAGACGGGTCGAGAATGATGAGAATGAGAGTCGTGCTGAGATGAAGCGGTCGCCCCGTTAGGCATCATTGCAGCGTGGCTAAGAGGCGGTGTGTATGAAGTGGGCGGCGATTGTGGCAAGCGATCTCGCTCGGTTCGGTCGTTACGGTCGTTGTGAACAGATCCAGATCGGGAAAATCGGCGCATGTTGAATAGCGATGGCATATTATGATGAGAAGGAAGCGAGCAAGAAGAGAAACAATTATCAATTGAAGGAAGGCTGGGTGTCTTAGGCAGTCTTGAGCGAAGCAGTCTGGATCGGGCCAAGCGAGTGATGGGAAATCAAGGAAATTTAGTGTGCTGCCTCGTAGAATTGAATTAAGAAATCATGGAGGTTGGAAGTTCGACTTCGAGATGTGGCGCTGGATGTGGATGGACAAAGATGGAGAAACGGTGAATCATGATTTGACATGTGATTCGTTCGGATCGGAAAATAGTGCCCGGAGGGGGGCGGAGTGGCTGTCTTTCCTTTCCGCATTGAGCCCTTGGTGCTTTCCTCCTCCTCCTCGAGTCTCTGACGCGCCTGCCAGATCAACACTAACTTTATCCGGACTCCGTCGTCGTAATTCCTCCGTAGTTCCTCGTCGTAGACTCTTTTTCTAAATCCATCCTCCAACCTCCCGAATCATCTGTACGGAGTACCAATTCCTTCTGTTTCCTGCGTACATCGAGCCTATCCCTAACCTGCCAGTTGCAGGCTGCCGTCGGTGCTGGGAGCCTGTAATTCAGCTTCGCCCTGCCGACGGAAGACCTACAGTAAGAAGATACTTCAGGCCGGAGTAGCCATTCTTCAAAAGCAGAGAGATGCTTAAGATGCGCATGTCCAGAAATCGCTACGTACATTCATGATAAATTAGGAGGTGCCTCTCTGATTTGCAGATCCCCAGTAACCTACACACCTGATTATCGGGAATCATGTCCGTTCTGTCTACTTGAATGAAAACCAAAGACTGTGAAAAGGCCATTGCCATCCCATCATTGTCAAACTAAACCTCGCCTCTCATCTCTGTGGCTTGAGAGGAATGAGTTTCTCCGTACCGTGTCATTGTACCATCCTTGGAATGACGGTGAGCCTTAACTAAATGAGTCTCTCTGAATGATGGACAAGGCATGAGGCACTCCGTACACGGATGTATATGAAATTGGGAGATCCACAAGTCGAGCTTGGAATAAGTCACATATTTTGAGCAAGTGTACAGTACGCAGTACGGAGTACAGAGTATGGCCGATTGCGGAACTCCTATCGCCAGTCGAGCCAATTTTATTCCGACGCATCTTCATTTGGAAAGTTGGACTCTACTCGGCTAGCTCGTGGCTCGGACCAGATCCCTTAGTACCAATCACAGTGGACCTTGGCTCTTGGCCAGAAGAATTGCTGGAGCCTGAGCGCGGCTTTTCTCCCACAGCAATCAGCACAGCGAATAATCTTCAAAGATGCACAGCCTGACGGTTGACAGCTTTCATTGTCTGTCGGCAAACCCTCTCCGTGATTGGTGCCCTTGATCTTCTCAGCCTTGTCTACCCACGGATGAATATGCCCCGGTTTGCGGTTGATCAACATTAGGATGCAGTCACACTGCATACATATAGAGCTCCTAAGTTTCCACAACATGACCAAGATGCCAAACGCACATCACATTCATCCTCCCCGCTCAACATCATGGCAAATTCTTCCAGCGCCAAAGCAACCTCCTTACGAGTCGGAGTCTTGCTTATTCCTCCGGTTCAACTTCTCGATGCATCTCCCATTGATTTATTCGGCATGTGCAGTCCAGAATATCTCCAGGCCACATCCCTTCCAAAACCTATTCTCGACCTTGCAATTCCTGTCTCGATCCATTACATCTCCGCTTCTGGCCCTGGCACTACCGCTGAGCTTACGGCGAATGCATTCATCAGCGTAACGGCGTCTTTATCCTCTCCAGAAGTTCAACCAGGCGAGCTAGATACACTTCTAATACCTGGTCCAGATCCACGTCTCCTCCCAGATGACCACTACTTAGACTTCATTCGTGCACATGAAAAGGCTAGCAAGACTGATATTCTGGTTATCTGCACTGGAAGCTTTGCAGCAGGATATGCTGGGATTCTAAATGGCAAGCGAGTTTCAGGGCCAAGAGGCCTCCTGCCTGACTTGAAGAAGAAATTTCCTCAGGCAAGATACGTGGAACGGAGATATGAGACCGATGGAAGATTATGGTCTGCTGGTATGATCCTCCTTTGTCGCCTTCTTGAATTCCAGTTACTGTTGACTTCTGACCTTTCTCTTTCCCGTCCATTGTACGATACACGGCCCGTTACTGATATCTCTCTTCACTTCTGATAGGTGGCATCACAAATGGGCTTGACCTCGCCGCAGCATACTTACACTACAAAGTCCAAACAGAGCTAGCGGACGTGGTATGTGCCATGGCAGAAGTCGGTGACCGTGGACAGGACTATGATACTGGAAAAGCGGGTAATTTGCTATGGTGGATATGGTTGATTCTGAGGTCTGCGGTAAAGGGGAGCAAAGCCGAGAAAACGAAGAAAGTATAACCACATATGACAGTGGCATTTACACTGTGTCGGTTCTATCGGCGTACGTTTAAGACCCACTAACAATACACCATTCATAGCAAAGCACCGAGAAACGACACGCCAGATATTGGATGTCGTATTCGCATCAAGTCATACACCATCCCCACCCTATCCATCCGGGATTGGCATCATTTTCCAACGTCGAGAAAACATCCAGATATGTACGCCAATGCAGATACAAGTCATTCATTCAAGCTTACGGTTCAACACTAACAATTCTCCTCGTGATAGTTGCAAAGGACAAAGGAACAGGCTGCCATAGGTCATGCCTTTGACAAGTGGCTTAGATGCATGACCTCCGCCCGCCTCGGGTCGGTATCAATAGGGCAACTACATGTGGACAAATACACCGATCAATATTTTGACAAAAACCTACGAATTGAAACGGTGAACGCTCGATGTGCAGTGGGAAAAAAAAAAGAAAGTATCCAAATCGCGGTGTTTGATTGTTCTGCAATGGTGTTATCTTCCTTGCAACTTGAAGCTACGTTCGGGCAGTCCGGCGATCACCCACTTCGACTACGGAGTGTCCGACCCAATTCAATTCTCCATCCTGGCATATTTCCACGCCCCACAGCCCCAAGCACAGCCCTTTATGTCTTCACTTCTTGCTTGTCGTCTTGCACGTCCTCATCTTCTTTCTTGCCTCTCTTTTCCTCATCCACGTCCACGAAGTTAGGGTCGCGAATTTTCCTGTCGAAAGATGGAACCACTGTGTATGGCACGTTGGCGCCGTATCGCAATGAGACTGCTAATTGTGTCTATCTCGAGATCAGGCAACACTAAGGCCTGGCGATCATCAGGCAAATGCCGTCCATGTAAGCTCCGAAGGTCAAAGGTGCCGGGGCGAGAGGAGATGCCAAAAGAGGTGGTGGTGGTGGTGTTGCTTCTGTCATCGTCGGTCTTCTTGTTCTTCTCGTCATCAGCCATTTGGGTTGCTGGTATATTGACGATCTGTATGTGTGTCGTTGTACGGTTGGGATATTAAGAACAAGGCTCGAATCTCAGTCAAGAAGGTATGGCATGGTCTTTCGGGTGAATTCCCTGCTGGTCCCGAAGTTCGATTGTGGTCGAGGAGCGTTTCAACTGATCTGAAAGAATGGGCGGTAGAACGAGTTCGCCGTTGTCTGTGATTGACACGGCTGTCCTTTCAGCGCGCTCGTTCACTCGTCAACAGGTGTCTGTGATTGTCTGGCGCGTTCACCTCGACGATGCCCCTCGCCTCTTGGTCAACGCCAACGGCAAACCGCGGTTAAGGACGCAGGAATTCATGACTTTCTTTCGTCAAGACGACTAGCCGGCCTCGATAAGAGTAGTCGGGGTCTTCTAGATTTTGCCATTGTTTTGGCCCAGCAGCACCAGTATCACATCGCACACAATCATCGCCCGAATTCCCTGCCCTGATTCATCACCACTGATGATCACCATTGATGGTGGAATACGCCCCCTTGAGCCCTCAGCCGGAAATGGACTCGATCGGATATCAACGAAGACACGGGCAGGAAACCCAATCAATAGGCACTCGACATCTAGATATCTGGGCAGAGTACATCTCCATTGCCTCGTCAAGCTATCGTCTACAAGTTGCATTTCCGTATCTGTAAGCGGGGCGAGCCGCCAACACCATCAAACTGCCCCTACAAGCATCGCAGGCCCAGCCTAAGGAGCGGCACTTCAAAAGCGAAAGGGATATAATTCTATCAGAGAGGATCAGAATGTCAAGAAACGCAGCGGTTGTGTTTTGATATATTTTGAATATTCTGTGGAGATATCTCTGTTCACCCACTGCTCACCATCTTGGTCTGGAGCTCCGATCCGCACCACTGTTGCTCTCGATACCTCTCAGGATTTCCCCTTATTTCCGGCACAGCCATGTATCAATCGAATACTGAGAGTGATGGGGTGTTTAAGTAAGCTTCCGGCTTTTGCCGTAGCAGGAATCTGAGCAGGCCATTTCGCAAAAAGCCACCACACAGAGCGAACATCTGGAATGCCTAAATGGCCGAGGTTTCCTTCCGTTCGTCGCGAAAACTCCAGCTCGGCTGCTTCGACGGTTGTCGATCTCTTGGGCAGCATGTGACAATGGAGACAATAAATGCTCCACTAAGGTAGATTGAGGGCTCGGATTGATGTTTTCAAGATTCAGATCGATATTCGGATTAACAGGAGGAGCCACAGCAGGAGGAATGATCGGAGGGTTTGGGGCCAAGCTGTGGTTCCTCCTCTCGATCGGAACACCGATCCACCAATGTTTTCTTGCTGATATTCCCTTCAAATTGTCCATATTTAGACAGTCCCTAGGTTGCAAATGAGGCGATGGAAACACGCTTGCTCTTCTCCGGTTTCTCGTGTACCCTCGGTCCCAGGTAAGAAATATTCGCTCGCCTTCTGGGTTTCTTTCATGTCTTTGTCGAGTTCACCAGCAGATATTCCATCCAGAGCGGCACTCAGTCCACCTCTGGGCTTAACTTCTGCAACGAACAAGTCAACATTCATCAGAGGCACATTCGCGCCTCCGGCCACCAATTAGGATCTCAAATGATCCAGCTGTTGTGGCAGGAATATCTGCGAAGCATTTCATGGATGATCTCCTTCTGCAGCTTTGCTGGTGGCGAAGGAACGATTGGTAATGCTTCCAATTGCAAAACATCGTTGAGGTGGCCCACTAGGATATCGAATTTGGCTATGCAATCCTGCTGTTCTGCGAAGGTCTCGTTGAGTGCGTCTCAGTCTTGGACCGCCGAATGTGGAATACGACCATGACCTTTCCCCCCAAATCTCCCCTTGACCATGTCGGCCATCTCTGCCTCGATGGTGTCTACCCCATGTATGTGGTAGACGACCACGGCTTCCCTTGCCCCGGGCGATGAGCCCGTCCCACGCCCTGCACCATGGCCCGCCCCTCAGACCCCTCGACCCCCGTATGGGGCACGATGGCCAAATGGTTTGAAGCACTGCAATTTCCAGCGCCCCGTGTACTCTGAGTCAGTGTGGTGAAGGACTGGAGACTCCTCTGAAAACGCTGGCTCCCAGGGCCCGCAGTATGCAGGATCCCAAAGGCATATCCAGCGCCCATCGGATCCCAGTCCTCCACCTTCGACTCCCACGGAAGGCCCTCAATGGAGCAAGAAAAGCGACAAGGTTTGCGCATTGCAAATTCCACCTCGCTGCATCTTCTGAGTCGATTTGGAATCAAAGGACTTTCGAGGTAGTGCAATCCCACACTTCTCGCGATATCAGTGGGGAAGTCCAGTGTGGCAGAGAGCGATCCACTCGCTCGACTGGGCGAGGAATCTGTGCTTGTATTTCCAGGCTGTCTGAACGAAGGAGCACTCGCCGATTGCAAACCAGTGATTGGCTGCAGCCGAATTTCCGGTGTCATTGCAGCCGCAGGATTAGACACTAGTTAGGCGAAGTTCAGACGGAGAGCGTTGAGGTAGTCTAGGTCGGCCGCCGGAATGGATCACGGGAGTGCTGGTATCAGCTGGCGTTGGTGGGATGTAGGTACCCTGTCGACCCCGTCTTGCTGAATACTCCTTGGGCTCGACACGAAGTTTGCGCCTTTGAAAGTCCTTGTTCCGCCAATGCGATGATCGCTTGGTGGCACTGCCTCGCTGCAACACTTCGTTCTCGCTGCCACTCCGACCTTGAACGGTTCAATCGTCTTGGACGCTTTCCTGCTGTTCGTAGCGTCTGCGTAAGTGATGCCAGACCCGCCACAGGCTTCCAGAAATTACTCCACCATGTTCTCAAATAGAAGAATGACGGCCAAATATGCCCTACATATGCAGAGCAATATTTATCGCCGCATTCTTCTTGTGCATGCGTAGATACAGGACACTGAGAACAAAGGAGAATGTGGCTACAGCCATCACACACCACGAGGTTGAACCAGGCCCGTAGGCCGCCCGATTGGGCTCGAGATGATTTGATTTATATATATCCCAGACGTCGCTGGGATGAACCTGCAACACCGGCCCTATAATTTGGGCTGGTGAGAGGGAGGGACAGGAGCTATGAGCTTCTACTGGACCCCAAAAGTTGAAAACCTTCAGATGTGTGGCTCTGCCCAACGCACATAATCGACCACATTTGAGGAGAGGAACGTTGAAGAAGGAATGGTGTCAGACCTGCATGGCGATCCTGTTGCTGTAACCAGGCAACAAACAACTGAAGGGAGAACTTGGTGCCCCGGGGATATGGCACTCCGATATCTGTGGCACCATGTCAACCTCGAACGAGAGTTGAGAGTCCACCTGGCCAGTGTGGGCTTCGGAGCCTCCAACGAAGCGCCTCAGAGGAATATGAACTGCCGAATATGCGCCTCCAACCACCAAGTTCTCATTTTCCAGCTGCTTTCGACGGCAGGACTCTTAGGTGAGAAACCTGGTGAGTATTTGCGGAAGTCAGACTCGTCGGCTTCTTCCACGCCAGGAGAGTTGTGGTGAGGATAAGCGGTATTGAGTCTGGATGATTGAATTCAGGTGACTGACGGAGTGAATTGAATAGCGGAGGAAGTGACCTCTTGTAGTGGCCTGGATCATCATTGTTGGAGGCATCTTCTCTGTGGAAGATAGGCATCTCTTTTGGCTGAGAAAAAACATGGACCGCCATTGATGGGCAATACATCGCCAGCAGAGCCACCCTCGTGATGCACCTGAGCGAATGGCAATATGCTGTACCAGAGCCATGTTGTTGGCTCGAACGAGAGAGAGAAAGGAAAGCAGCCCTCAATTGATTTATGAAGCTTGTTCCAGAGCCATCCGAATGTTGTGGTGATTTCCTCAACACATGCTGTTAACAGACATTCATGGATGTATGCGGGACGAGAACATATGCTTGTGCTCGAGTGACTTGATGGACACGTGCAATTTTTCAAGTGTGCCCAGTGGAGCAAAGGGCAATTTGGAGACCCTGAAGCGGGCTTTGTCCTTGGTTGTCAAAGAGAGGAGGCCACGATGAGGATTGTCCACCAGCAGGAAGGCGCTTCCAAGGCTGCATCGAGATTGGCTGAGGCAAATTCGGGCGAGTGTTGAGTATCTGGATGACTGCGTGCTCATACCCTTAGTGGAGCAGCATGCAAAGGCCAAGAAACCAAACATATTGTGCGAGATGATGCAAGTGAGGGATCCCAAAGAGGGTTTGTCGACGAGGGGAGTCTGCTCAAGCTGCATCTACATCGTCCAAAGAGGATCTGCTCGCAGTTAGCCTTGGTGTGCCTCGATAAGCACAGTGGTCTACTGACCTCATCAACAGGCTACGCGGTCACGCCATTCTGGTATGGCAACCAAAGAGTACGACAAAGTACAACCAGCTTAACCCTTTGGAAGCTGTTGATGTCTTGTTTGGGACGTTTTCTTCAGTGTTCATGGGGCCAGGCCGAGCCGATCTAACACCAAAGAGAGTCTGGACTTGTGTTCCTATGTTATCACGCTGGTCAGCACAAAACATGGATGAAAGGGGTTCTGGATACTGACGATTTCTGACAGAGATGAAGGCGATGAGGAGAGAGGAGTGTTCATGCTTTCACTGTGTGGTACAAGATGGTGAGGTGGGATGAACCAGTCTGTGGTCAGAGTCTGTGTGGATAACTTTGCCGTATCGGTAAGTGCCACTGCAGTTGACTGATGAGAGCAGCCAAAGTCAAGATCGGCACGTACCATGAGCGACAAGAGATTTGAGCTCCAGCGCCAACGAGGAGAATTGGGTAGAGATTGCACCAAGAGATGAGCTGCCATGAGCCGACCTGCAGGAGAGGTTCTGTGTGGGAGCTTTGTCAGTTAGGGCAAGTCAAGGCTTGAGATCAATCCAAGTCAAGATCGGTGCGCACCTTGAACGAACGGCCATGAGTTCCAGCAGCACTGAGAGCGCAGCTTGTATCAGAAGTCCAGTCTGTGGGTCATGATGGGCATAGGCATATCTGTGGGTCGACACCTTGTGTGCGGAGTCTTGTCAGTTAGGGTAAGTTCAAGGTCCAACAAGGTCGAGATCGGTACGCACCGTGAACGACGTCGACAAATGAACTCCCGCGGCGACATCAACGCAAGGCATGCACAGAATCGTTGTTGCTGTCAAGGAAGGCAATGAGATAAAGAAAGAAGATAAAAGGATGTCGTTGACAGTCCAAGTTGATGGCAGAAGATGACTTGTGAAATATCTTTGGGAAGGAAGAAAGTACCAGGTTGTGTGGGCGGCGAGCTTCCTTATATACCTGGCGGAAAGTCCAGGCACCTGTGGTCACGGGATTTAAAGGCGGCAAGGAGGTAAGTGGCGACGGGAAGATGATGGATTAACTACGGGATTTATGCAAGATCGAGCGGTCTGGGAAAGACTGGCGACGTCCTTTTGGCCTGTTCGGGTAGCGAGGCTCCCACGAGGCTGCATTACCTTAGATCGGCGGCCTGGGCTACTACGGTGGGCAAGGCTAAGCAAACGCGTGGGAATTCGTGATGTCTAATGTCTGGAAACTACCATGATTCCACTGCCATTCTGCATGCTGACTCTGGAAGACTGGGTAGGAAAGGTAGGGGCACGGAAGACATTGGCGTGCGACTAACGAGCAACTCCAGAACCAGACTGGGAATTTGAACTGCCCAGCACATGCAAAAACGCCTCATGGAGGCTCGTTTCTATCAGTTGTCTTCCAGCTACAGCCTACAGTGCAACGCAAGTCATGCCAGGACCAGAGCAGGAAGAAGCGTGGATGTTTTGTGGACGTTTTTGTGATTTTCTCTGCCTCAATAACTAACTGAAGGACCATTCCCATCTCCAATAGTCTTGCTTGTCGCCACGCCAGCACAGTCCATTGTGAACGGATGCACTGCTTCCCCCCTTTCCCTATGGAAGAGGTGAAAGGTGTCTATACACCATACAGACCCGTCGACAAATGGAAGTGGCTTCGGCCTGGGCGCACCGCCTTGCGATGGCTTGATAGGCTAGAAGACAGACACATATTAGCATATCTCACCACAGGATATTGTTTTGGAGCGGGCTCACTTGCACCACAAAGATGGCTCAACCATCTTTCTATCAACACCCACCGAGCCACCGCCATGCGATGGCTTGATAGGCTAGAAAAGAGACAGATATTAGCATATTTGACATTTCACCACAGGCTATATCGTGTTTGGGCCGGCTCACTTGCGCCACAGAGATGGCTCAACCATCTTTCTATCAACGCCCACCGCCATGCGATGGCTTGATAGGCTAGAAGACAGACAAATGTTAGCACATATTACCGCAGGCTATACTGTGTCGGGACCGGCTCGCTTACGCCACAAAGAATGGCTAAACCATCTTTCTGTCAACGCCCACCGCCATGCGATGGCTTGATAGGCTAAAAGACAGATAGGTATTAGCACATTTCACCACAGGATATTGTATTGGGGCAGGCTCGCGTACGCCACAAAGAATGGCCAACCCATCTTTTTGTCGATGCCCACGGGGTAGACTATCCAGATTTACTGGTTGGTGGCACTCTGCAAGCGCCACCCGGAACTGGAATGCGGTCCAGCTATGGTGACGAAACAGGACCAATACTGGATGCCTGGGCGATCCACTGGTCCTGCTGCCGGAGGAGAAGAGTCAGTACAAGAATGTGTTTGAGACAGTTGATGATGACATACCTTGGCTCCACCTAGCGAAGGTAGTGTATTTTTATATATAGGTGAGAAGGAGATCACCGAAGAAGTTCCTGGTGTCTTATGTTGAGATCGGTGTTTGTCGTTGTTTGAACGGCGATCAGTCGATCTAGCTTTTCACTTGTCAGCCCTCATATGTTGAAAACGCTCAGGGAATGGGATGGAAGAGTTCATACCTGTGATTCAAGAAGTACGAGTAACCTACGAGGTCAACTCGTGACTGTTTGTTCCTCCCTTGAAATTTGGGCGTGAGCCCTCAGTTGCCGTATTTCGAGTTCGATTTGAAATGGAGTGTGATGGTGATGATGCTGCTGCCAATACCTTCAAAGGCGATGAAAGGAAAGTGTTTGAGAGCTGAGCTCCAAGGGCAAGGAGGAAATACACAAAGCAGACGAACCGGCCTGTGCCGATCTGCGTGAGTTGGGAGGAAAGAAAGGTGAGGTTCTGGATCTCAGCTCCCACAACGACGAGCTTTATAGCCAGTCACTAGTCACGATTGCCAGGCAGACACGAGATCACCGGATTAATACTTTAGCCGACAAGGCGGTGACAACGTCTACCATTCAAGCTGGCTTGAGAGGATGCGGCATTACTTCACCGCGCGCGACCAGGCTGGACAGGCAGTCGCCGGCGGAAAAGGCTCCGAGCGTCTTTCGGGCTGGAGGAATGAGTTGACGGACTTGATACGCTTGGAACCAGTGATTTCGATATTGGCATTTACATCTCCATGTTGAGCACAGGCGTATTAAAAGACGCCTACGATCCACCGTCTTTTCTCAATCCAAGATAAGAATCAACAGCAAAGATCGCTACGCAAACATCTCAAATGGAACAACTGGCAACAAAGTGATGACTGTTCTATCCAAGTAGACCCAACAAACGGAGAATCAAGCGCCCCGTTCAGCACAATACCTCTTGACCTCCTTGTCCAGCTTCTCGTTCTGGATCGCCACATTCTGCATGATCTCGCGGACGACCTTGACCTCGCCCTGACTCTCCGCATTAGACTCAACCGCCTCCTTCAACCCACTGTCTGCATACACAGACTGCATGAGATCCATGACAGCAAACAGCTGATTTGGCAGCCAGGTGACAATGGGACTCCCGCCCGTCGCGGTCGGATGCGACGAGCGCTTGATGATGTATTCTCGAGCGAAAAGCCAATGGCGCCAGCGAAAGCTGCGGACATGTTCGAGCAGCTTAAGGTATAGAGTTGGTAGGATGAAGTCTTTAGTGGGTTCCGAGCTCCGTGCTGCTGCTGGGCGAGAGCAGTATTTCCGCACGCCGAGCTCGGCGGATTTACTCATGACCCACGCGAGGAAGTCGCGGTGGGGTTTGGGGCGGTAGGATCGGAAATCGCGCAGGATTTCTGTGAGCGGGTTGTTGGGCATGGGAATTTCGAGGATGTGGTCGAGCAGCGGGATGATGCTGTCATTGGCGCCGGATTCACCGCGGAAGTAGAGCGGTTTCGAGTCGCCGTAGCGTGTGCCCTCGTAGATGACGCCGTTAGGGAACATGGATTGGTTGGTGATGCCGAAGATGAAGGTGCGGTAGGAGATGTAGTCCTTGGGAAGGGAGTGGCTCCACATTTGCTCCATGTGGGCTTCGATGGTTTCCATTGCGTCGAGCATGGTCTGGAACGCTGAAGCTGCGGCGCTAATATCATCTGGATTGTTCTCAATGGCTGCCAGAAGCGACGTGGCACCGTCGATCAGTGGACCAGTGGCTTGTACCATGTGCACGTGAGTGAGGATGAAGCCTGCTTCTGAGCTTTTCGGGTCGAGGCCGAGCTCGAAGGCGCGGATGAGGCGGATGTTGTTGTAGATGCTTGGTCCGACTTCTGGCGATACCATGCTGTAGTTGTACAGAGCATATGATGCTGCATAGGACATGAAAGGAGGGATATCGAGGCTTGGGAACATTAGTTGCAGAGCAAGACGGGGGCGTATGAGACGACTCACATATCGGCAGCCTTCACCAAGGGTGAGGCGATACATCGAGGTAGGACGGATCTTCCGAGTCCATACATTCCAGCACTACTGTCATTCGACCATGTCTCCCAGCAAGGCTCCAACAGATAGGCACTAGCCAAGAAGCTGTAGTCACGGAACAATGCTGTAATTGCCTCGAGGTCATAGTCACCCCCTGGGGCAACGCGTAGCTTGTCCATTTCAGATGTCAGGTCGGGCAGCTTCCCAGAGTCAATCAGTGGCCCGAGTTTGAATGTGGCAAGTAGGCCAGGTGAGCCATCTAATTTGACAATTGGCATGTCCTCAACGACGGCAGTGACCTGGTCGAATGCCTCCGGTAGACGGATCAGCGGGGGCCGACATGGGAGAAACCCGGTCTTAGTAGTGATTGTGAAAGGATCAGTTGACGGGGTTAATGTTGTTGCATCTGAGTTGAGATGTGGGAATAGGGCAGACAGTGGTGGCAGCGGGGGGGAGTCCTCGAGGTATGTCATGGTGAAAAGACTGCGGCAGTGACCAAGAAGTATTAGTCTATGCTGGATCCGCCGATGCTGGGGTACCTGGCCAGAGATCTAGACAATGCAAGCAGAGCAAGAATGACCGAGATGGGTTACCCGATGCTTAACGACTATAAGATTGGACGTGCTGGTTCTTCTGGGATCCGATCCTGAGAAAAGGAGATCCATCCTAAGCTCAAGGGTGCCCCAGCCGTATAAATGATCGATGGCCGGAATTAAAACCGGCCAATGATCAGCCAAGTTGGCGCAATTGATAGGAGAAGAGCGTTCATCCTTCGACACATTGGGACTAATATTGAGACCAGAGCCACAACTTGGCTTGCACCAAGCCTCAAAGGAGATGCTCTTATGTCACCGTTTCAACTCAACGTTTGGTAGCACAGTGTACCGTGGAATGGCAGCCTTGTCTTGGCACGATCTGCGTCGTCGGTGTTTCTCAATATCATGATGTGCCATACCTTTGAAATGGCATGTTCGTATGCCGAGTCTCTAGGAGCAACATCGCCACAATTTGGGTATATCGTGGAGTTGGCGGTGTGTCGATGGCGGCGAGGGTGGGTGTGTATCAAGAATGGCAGCAGCCACCATCGAGTTGAAGGGCGCAAATAGGCAGGAAAACATTGGGAGCTGATGTAAAAGTCAAGGAGAAGCCCACCGGTGCCCCTCCTTCGCGCTCTTAATTTTAAGTAATCGATTGCATCGAGGCCGGAATTTGATACGCATCGTTATGAGGAATGCGAGGAGGTTAAATGTTGAGCTCGACTGTGATTCGCCTGGCCGGAATTGATGCGGCCTCGCACGTGACCTCACCAACGAGGCTAGCGTTTGAGATAGAAAGCCTCAGATTCTAGGAGATCTGGCTTATTATATATTGGTGGCGAATGGAGGAGCCGGTATTCTTCGGAATATACTCCGATGGAACCAGGGGCCAGCCCAATAGATATTTTTGGACTCTCCCATCTGATGTGACAGCTTCCAACAAGGTTGATGGTCAAACCTGTTCGAAATCTAGGAGGGATTCCCCATTCAAATGGGAAGCTTCAAAGATGTCACTTGCATAAAGACCACGAACAGCACATTCACCAATAAATTGATATCTGAGTGGTGCTTGTGACAGCGATCTCGTCTGGTCCGTCCCATGAACCTCCGTGCCATAGCTATGGTCGGCCGCGGACCGGGCTTCCGCTCGCATTGTTACTCCCGTAATCACTGGCATCATGATCATATAAGGGCCGCGGGGCATATAAGACTCGACCCCCACGAAAAGCGCATAACCAGTCTCCAGTCTCCACGGCGGCAGAGGTGCGAATAGGTTCGCATTGTATCTTGGAGTCCAGATCGTTCTGACTAAGATTCTCTGAGGAACCTTGACTCTTGGAACGATGCCGAATCTGCACTAGTTTAGGACTATTTGTAGTCAGTGACGCGACTGACTGTGAAAACTGGGTTCCCAAAGTTGGCTTCCTGGACCTGACCTGCTTCCGCGCGATGGAGTCTGCTATGAGATATGTGCTTGCCCATGAGCCGGGACGCGTGGCTACGTAGCCGAGACGGAAACGTTGCACAATCATGGTGGAACCTGAATCCGGTTCGAAGGAAGAGGCAGTCGCATTCAACTTGTACACCGGAGCTTCGACGATTTCTGACATTGGCGAAGCCGGTGAACAGCGAAATGTTTCCTCGTCAAAGGCGGATTCTGAGCCAAGAACTGTTGGCTCGGTGAGCACCAGTGGCCGTAAAGGTGAGTTGTTGTCGCCAGTCTGATAACCACAAGGGCCATCCGTCAGCTCTTGAATTTCCCTTATAAATGCCGGCAGCACTCAGAAGGGCCAGGTCGCTCTCCTTCTCGAGGCAACATCTGAATGCACTCAGGTAGGGTTCAACAAGGACTGTCTCCCGCGACGATGACTTGTCCAGTGATCCTAGATCCCTAGCCATGGATTTAAGATCTGCCATCAAATCCGGGAGCAACCCCAAGATAACATACATAGCATATAGCATCTTCAGGCTTCGTGCTGGTCTAAGTCCCGTGAGCATCAGCAAGTTGCTTCATTTGAGCTGGCCCTTATTCACTTCACTCCTAAATGTTCATGATGTTTCCGAAAGATCCGTCGGAGCCGTACAAGAGACTTGAACTGCGAAGTTTTGAGGCGTAAGAAGTAGCAGGATGTGAGATCGGCCCATGTCATTTTGGTAGTGCCGGTACCTAACCAGACAATGACTCTGGATGCCGACGAGCAAATGGCCCCATTTGTCTGATTTGACTATCAATTCATCCTGCTTGTTCTGTAATGGGCAGATCCTTGGCACCCAACCACATTTCATCAGACCACCTACTCGTAGATTACGGGGTCCTCGAGAACGAACAACCTAATTGCCATGTACCGTTTGATCGTAGAGAGTGGGCGAAGGCCGCGTTAACCTACGCGTTTCCTGAGCCAATAGCTGAGCGTCACTGAGCCCTCCCTGGGCACTCCCTGAGAGCCAAGCCAGGGGCCAAATTGGGCACCCTAGCAATCGGCTACACCCGCCTCTCGACTGGCGTCAGGGCACCTGGCAGATCCCCTATGGAGGACGGTACGGCCTCCCCTTCAGGACTCACCGAGAAGCGAGTGTGCCTCGCTGCAGGGGCTTTCGTGAAGATCCAGCCCAGTACGGAGGACCCACAGGCTCCTTGGTCGAGCATTCTACGGAGTACGGAGTACCTCGTCCAGCTTGACCAGTCGGTAGTCCCCACAGCCACAAGGGCTGCGGGTTAGCGCCGTGGTGCCTGGACCCGTCATGTTCCGGGCGCTTCTCGTGTCCACGCGGCGACCGGCTTACGCGGCTCAAGTCAACGGAACGCCCATGCCGTTTACCCTGTTCTGACCTCAAGACCCCGTTCGACATTTGCCTTTCGATATGTACTTCTGTCCACCACTCTACTACACGACGTATTTTTCATCCTTCAAATCCCATCTGTGGGATGCTTTCACGAGTAAATCTACAGTGCATACTCTGTCGACGATCCATCTGGCCGTGAAATCCGCCTGCTCCCCCCTCGCTGTAACCTTGATCCAACACCCCTGTCGGCGCTCACAATAGTCGTATCAAGATATGCGGTTTCACCCTGTGGCTACCTCTACTCCACATCTTTAGGGGCTGGAAGGCCAGCACACGGCGAGGGCTGGCTAGCATGCTCACATGGACGAATCTCGACCGCAGCACTCTTATCGTTGGCCGTGACTCAAGCTCGATGAGCAAGGAGTCTGCCCAAAGATTTGGCTCTTTACCACACCACACGTATGCACTATCTGAAACTAGGAGCTTGTGCCTTACTAGTACTTCACCTTGCGGCTTAGTGGGAAGGAGGCCGAGATGTACATAATGCCTCGCCAGACAATCTTTGCTTGGCAATTCTCTCTCCCATTCGCCTCGTCGCCTGAAGTGCAGGCTCTGGGCAACCACACACATATGGTCGGCTGAGTTTGGACATTTCAGTATTGCGTGGTGTGACGGGCCTACCTGTCATCCTTTCCTCGAGTATCCTCGTCCACCCACCGTGCAATCATGCCCACCGACACAGTCAGGCCCACCCGCGCAGAAGCAAAAGAACATATCGATTCATTCTGGACGAGACGCCACATCGCCAGAGACGCCATCGATATTGAGAAAGACATCAATCTTCGCGACCTTTCCAATGGACTGCAAATGTAGTTCCGCGCATCATCACCTCGGAGACTCCTGCTAACCAAATTTGCAGCCTATCTGATGGCCTCTACGGTGATCTCACTCACTTTTTCTGGGAATTGCTCCAGAACGCGGATGACAGTAGATATAGTACAACACCCCGCGTCGAATTCGTCCTGACCAGCCATTCTCTGACTTACGAGACCAACGAAATCGGCTTCAACAGGGCTGATGTGGAGTCGCTGTGTGCAGTGGGCTGCAGTTCAAAGACCGGTCAGAATGATACGATTGGGGAAAAGGGCATTGGCTTTAAGTCAATTTTCAAAATTACAGACGTCGTCACTATTCACTCAGGTGTATATTCTTTTAAACTGGACACGCGACCTCCTCTCGGCAACGTCGGCATGGTTCTGCCCATTTGGCTGGATAAAATACGAGACTTCCCTGGGACATCAATCACCCTGCAGTTCAAGGCCGACCTTGACGTGTCCAAGTTGCGCCAACACCTAGCCTCATTTGATTTCACCTTCCTACTATTTACCCGAAATATTAAAGTGATCAATTTGAAGGTCTTCACTGGACAGTCGTTTGAGAAGCTTGGACGGCTCGAACACTTGGCGCCTGGGGGTGAAAGAATAGAGATAAAGATCGACGGCCGTCCCGATACGACGATGGACTATGTCATATTCCGACCTAAGTACCACGGCATGCCTCCACGTCAACCTGGCGCTCAGGTTCAACCCGGCAGCGATAAAACGGAAATTGTGCTTGCATTTCCTCACCGTAATCACAAACCGCTTGCCGAAGGCCAAAAAACCTATGCATACCTACCAGTCAATTCCTTTGGATTTCAGGTAGGACCATTACCGCTCTTGCAAAACGATTCGATCCTAATAGCGGCGTAGTTTATTATTCATGCTGATTTTATCTTGACTGCTAATCGCAAAGGTATTGATAGTGACCGAGGATGGAATATATCCCTCCAGAGGTGTTTGCCTAAAGCGCTCTGCTCTGCTTTTGAACAGTTGGCAAAATCGACGGAATCTAATATGAAGTTTAGTTGGCCCGAATATTTGGGCTCTCTGGGGGTTATTCACGATTCGTTTATGAGAGAAGTTGCTGCCTCCACTATCGAGCAACTGCGATCGAAGCAACTGATTCGAACAGAGTTGCAAGACGGTGTTTTCCTGGCGCCTCAGGATTGTCTGACTGCATTAGATGAGTTTCGTGACGCCGCTGGCGGACTTCTTATCACCGAGGGCACATACGCACAGCGGGTGAGATCGAATGGCTACTCTGACAACTCGGCAACGATCCTTTCAATACTGGGTGTCACTCCGTTTAACATCTCGCACTTCGTGGAGCTGCTAGCCCAATATATTTCAGCGAATATGTCAAGTTTCTCATCAAAGGTAACAGCATGGCAGTCCCGCGTCGCGAGACTTCTCTGCAATCATTTCTCGAACGGACACTATCAGCCCTACTCACCCGTATTCCAAGCCTTCAAAGCTCTGCGGATCATCCCGCTGGATGACGGCTCATGGGCATCTGGTGCTTCTTGCGCAACTAAGAAGGTCTTTATGGATCAGGGTCGCCGCATCACCCTTCCCACTGGCCTCCACTTTTGCTTCGTTCAGGCGTCGGCTGCCGATGATCGCGACCGCAGGCAGCTCTACCGACTGCTAGGTGTCAAACCATGTGATGAGACAGAGATATGCAAGATGATACTCGATTCCCATGCAACAATGGTGGGTAGGTCACCTTTGGAAATCCTCATCTCGCATGCGGTGTACATCTTCCGCGCTCGCTACCAACCTCAATATGGCCACTCACTCCGCCTACGCCTCCTTGACTCCAATAATACTATTCGATACCGGGAGAGAGTCCATCTTCCTTTTGGGACACAAGGAAAAGCTCTCAGACGGCTTTTTGCAGACGACTTTTCTGGTATCATTTGGCTACATCCAGACTACGAAGAGAGAGTAACGGAAGGCGAGAGACAAAACTGGTTCCAATTCTTATGCTCCGTAGAAGGAGTGTGCCGGTTACCTCCTCTTCATTCAGGTGGACGACTCTCTGATGCAATGAGGCATATCCTGATAAGAAATGGATCAACGGAATTTCTCTGGCTTCTGAAGACGCAATATCGTTCGGGCTATGGTAACACGTTTGGAGACTTGCCCACCTGGGAAGCTCAAAGACTCACAGTGGATATCAGCAACATTGAGGTAAGCACCGATCAAGGTGTGCAGAAACTGTGCGAGACGATATTGCCGTCTTTGTCGTCTGTCAGCCTAGGTCTTCTCCCTGTTCTTCAGCTGGTTGATCCACAAAACACGGACTGGAGCTTCCTCCGCAAATTTGGAGTACAGACTGAGCTCTCGCCGGACTATTTTGTGAAACAGCTCCGGGCTTTGAAAGAAAGCAATGACCAGAGACGAGCGATAACAACGGCTACAATTGTTTACAAAGCCATCGCAGCATATCCAGCCTTAGACAGCTCAAAATTGTGAGTTCAACTCTTTTTGGATGTGGTAGCTGCTCACAGCGATGAACCAGGGCGAGTTTCCATACCGAAAGTTTGATATACGTCGACCCCGGCAGGTGGGTTTCGCCACAGCAGTGTGTCTGGAGGGCCTCATTTCCCTGCACGAAGGTGCCTGTTCTCTCCAGACTCTATCGCGGGTGTGACAATCTTTTCCAGGCCCTTTTGAAAGTAAGAGATGCAGGACTTGATGATTTAATCTCGGAGCTTGAAGGCATGGAGTCAACACGAGAGCTTGACCGAACCAGGCTTTTACGCCAGAATATGTTGCCTGCCCTGGACTCCTTCCTAGGCAAGACTTCCCTGTCAATGACTCAAAGACGACGATTGCTTCCGCTTCACATTTTTCCAGTTACTCAAGGTGAATCTAATGATCCTACCCAAGCTGCACAGTTACTCCGAGCCGAAGATACCTTCTGGATTGCGGACTTGAACTTTCTAAAATCCAAGTTCGAGGGATTCTTGCCATTACTTGATGTAGGTGGAAAACTCTTCAAATCCTCAATGCACAACGTTTTCGGGAAGTTGTCGATGGACTCCAAGCGTTTGTCTCAGAGCGTCCGGAAAGAAGAGAACCAACCAAACCAAGGTAATATATCCGCAGTACCGGATCCTGCGCTTAGAAATAGGCTCCGAAGGCAGAGTCGATACATTATTAGGTAAGTACTTTGTACTCTCTATGGCATAGATTTATGTCTAACAGGAGTAAGCATTATATGTCATGAGAATAAACTTAATCAGCGAGCCGACCAGGTGGCAACAATGCTTAGTAATATTAGGGTCTTTCGAGTTCCAGACATAACTATTAGGCGATACGTTCTTGATGCCAGTGTGAAGAGGTACGGCCGCGACGATAAGGGACAGGTTCTCTTGGACAACGTAGGTGGAGAACTACATATTAAGATCCGGCGAGATTCAGAGATCATGGACATTATCGTCCCATTATCAGATCGTTTCGCAGAACGCTTTGACTTAGGGAACGCTAGTCGCGGACTTCTTGTGAAAGTCCTCACGACTGAGAAAGTCGAGCAATTCATCGAAGAACTCGAAAGAGCAGGTGTCAAGACAGATCCAACAACCGTCGTTGAAATTATGGCTGAAGACAGCCTAGACGAAGATTCCCATGACGATACCCTTACTGAAGATCCTAACGACAACCTCGAATTGGCTTTCAAAAAATTGCAGATAAGCAAAGGGAGGACTGGTAGCTGTTCAGACGAAGATTCTTTGGGATCACAGCAACGAAGGCCATCACAAACGCCAAGCTCACAGGGACGACGAGTACGCAATGATGCAGCGGTCTCCTTGCCATTCTCATTGAGAAGACGGCCGGGCCAGGCTGCCTCCAGTGGGGCAAGATCCGATGCTATCGCTACAAACGGGGAGACTGCTACAGACGAGAATATTGTGCGCTTGACTGCAAGCCTGACTAACGCAAAGCTGTCTGACACCACTCATGAGGTCTTCCGTAACTAGGTTACACCTCCTTCAGGAGCAGTGCCCAGCAAGTCTTCAGTGCCCGTCTTCGGCATGGCTACCGCCTTCGAATTCACTTTCAATTCACCTTCTCCCCAGCCTCTTGTGAATAACCCAGATGCCAGCGGGAGCAGTTCATCGGGGCCAAATACGTTAGCAACGTCGCGCCATATTGCCGAAAACTCGTCAGGGGCCCAAGCAGACTCGGATGCGCCACACTCTTCTCCGAACCATTTACAAAGTGCATTTAAAACCCCAACAAAGGCGTTTCGACCGTCGAATCATCCCTGGTCGTCTGGACGACCTCCAAGGAGCAGCTATGGTGGAAACAGCTTTGTCGCTGAGGAGTCCTCTGAAGCCGTACCACATGAGATTGGATTTGCTGGAGAACACCTGGTGAGTATTGACGACCACCCACAGTATCAAACCAACTTTCTAACAGACAAAAACTTAGGTATACAAGTTTCTGGAAGACAAGCTGTCACCATTTTTCACGCCAGAGAACTGGACTAGTAGAGCTCGAGCGAAAGCCTTTCCAAATCCATTCAGCGATGACTTTCGCGAGAAGGACTTTGCCGATTTCACCTACGTCGACACCGACGGACGCTTACGGATGTATTTGAGCGAGCAGGTCCCGAACTTTGAGGGTTCAACCGGTCAGCAGAACAACATCACCTACCACTTGGAGGTCAAGTCTACCTTAGGTAGCTTACACAACCCGGCACTCCTGAGTAATAACCAAATCTCCATGGCGAAGAAGTATTCAGGGCGATTTTCGACACCGGCTACCCAGACCGATGCGTACATCCTGGTTAGAGTCTACGGGCTTGGTTCGAACCCCCCTCAACCGCAGTTGTGCCTGTTCCCTGATCCTTGGAATCTTATCTGCCAGGATTCTCTGCTTATCGAAGGCGAAGCTGGGATTTATGTGCGACCGAAAGTCGCCTGATAATACTACCTGTGTACCTGGAATCGGGAGTGCTATGTTGCAAGGAAATTTAGGCACCAACGTTAGCGCAGCGGTTCGCAATGTTTACAGGGGCTTAATCTGCTGAGAGGCAGGATAACCAATCACTTGATGGCTAGATTAGACCCTAGGCCCCTCTGTGTGATGCTCAGGGGTACAATTAGTTAACCCCCTCACAAAAAGGAGCTGTAAACCTCGGGATTCTGAGGTATTTCAGTACGGTTCGAGAGGAATATGAACAGAGCTGATCGTCTTCACTCAGTTTGGGCGATGGGAGATTTAACCCCCCTCCTCCTCCTGACTGTCACGTGAATCAGAGTTGTGAGGTAATGATAATCGACAGCCTTGCTCCCTTCTTGTATTTCTATCCCAGACTCGGATATGCCTCTCGCCTAAAGCAGATGAGAGCCCAGTCTCTTGGGCATCTGAATGGCAGGTTCGTGACAGGCTGACTCTTCTTCACTTCTTTCCTTCGAATCTGTAAAATTTCGATGAGAGGATCAATTTGTCAAGCAGTTTTGACTTGATGAGATTGTCCTACACGCCATAGATGTTTGCAAATTGAGCAAGTCTATGAGTGTAGATTGATGGAGTGTCGTCCGCTGGAACGAATCTTCCGCTGGCGTTGCCATACTCCTGATAACACCGACAATGAACTCAGCGCTCAATGTATAAGGGTCGCGAGTCTCCTAATGTCCAGCGGGGCTCTTCATCTATCCATACTCCTTCTCCCGCAGAATGCTTGCTGTTTTCCTTGCACCGAATGCACCACGATTCTATCTTCGCAGGGAGGAAGAAACTGGGATGCTTCTCTATTCGCATACACTTGGTCCAGAGCTCATCCCCTCTCCTCGCCGGTTGACGGTTTTGTAATTCCTCTGTGGGCATTTCCCGTTGCATATCTGCTGATTTCCCACGGATCAAAGCAACATTAGAGCTAGCAGGCTTCCTAGGTCTTAATTTGCCATCGCAGCAACGGCACCTCCCTTCTTTAGCGATATAGAATCCGGGCCGTCTTGTAGACCATCTTGTATTTTGACCTTCACTGACTACCGAATTGCAATAGTGACAACAGGTTTCCATTGATTGGCCGTCGAATCGACTGTGATAAAGGTCCTGAGATTTTCCCTTTACTCTGCCCAAAACAAGAGTCTGCTGTAACATCATATACCTGAGCATATCCCGAAGCAAAAAGGTGGATGGCTCGCACTTATCGGCATGTATGATGTCTCGAATACTTTTGCAATATCCGAAGTGCTATGAATGCGGGACTCGTAGAAAAAGATCTGTTCCTGGCCTTTGAACCATTCCTGAACAACTTCTGGAAAGTCGGAGGGATCGTTCCATTGCTCATCGTAATCCTCATCGATAGGCCGCAGTGCTGACGGAAGCAAGCGCCTGAGGTTGTTGTTACTGTACGAATTTGAGATGAAATAGCAACCCCAAACTTCTTCACCAGTCGCACTAGAAGCTCGATTTTTTCCCTCTTTGTTCACGTATTGAAAAGTGCCAAAGGCTCCTTTCAAGGTCGGACCTAGTGCTCTGATCTCAAGCTGTTGCCGTATGTTAGAACTATGCCTGCACTTCTTTTCCAAAAAGTAATTCTTGATGCACGGCGTCCCGTCTTGAGCTATCTTCGTAGCCGTTGCGGTTATCGAGTCCTGCAGACGAGCAATATCACTTCCCACAGTTTCATAAAAGAGCCGTTGTGGGTGGCAACCAAACAGAATAGCTTCGCGATATCTGTACGTCCCATCTTGATTTCTAAAATTAGACTCGTGCACTCTGAAAAGAAAGACGTCGCTCAAGGCACCCCATAATGGTAAGACAATAATAGCCCGTCGCTGACGAACTCTCTTTTGTACTTGGATTCCATACACCATCTCCACTTTGGCTGTTACAGAAGCACAGATACCCTGTGTCCAATCCATGTGACAATCAATAAATTCTTGGGGATACGTCTCGTAGCTTTCAGATTTCTCGGATCGCCTATGGAGGTCATCGAATATAAGGGTATCCTCTTTCTTGAAAGCGTTTCCCATAAGCATTGCGATACAGCCATTTAATGGGTCGTCGGTTTCTCTATCAACAAGATTCAGAGTCGAGTATGAGGGCTGATTAATATACTGCATAGCTCCGCTATTGAGCTTCCCGGAGGGGCATACAAAATCATCTTGAGGTGGTGAGTCTAAACCCAAGTCTTTCCAGATCTTGATCTCTCTGGATCTCAAAAGAATGTTTAAGAGTTTGAATAGGTTTTGGAATTTCTGATATAATATTGGCAATTTCCCTTCCTTCTTCCGAGCCAGCATACTTGATAGATCTCGGCCATCCATTCCATCGAGATGTGGTCGAAGGCTGAGAACCAATTCCTCGTGTTCTGTGAGAAGGCCGCAGGTAGATGGGGGAGGCAGGATCAGATCGCCTAAGACACGAAACTTTGCAGTACCTTTCAAAAGTCTAGGATTCCTCAAAGCCGAGTCTTCAGATCCTGTTGTGCCATCCACTGTGTCAGATTTGGGATTTAAACCCATTTTGCCAAATTCATGCAAAGGTTGGGATTCTCAGGAAACTGCGACGGCAAGGCATACTGTGAAGGTAGAGAGCGCTCCAGGGTCTGTGGATTGCAATTATCGAAGAGGCCAAGCTAGAAGAGAGGTGGAACGAAAATATTGGCTTTCACGCGGGAATGTAGACGTAAGAGAGTTCGTTCGTCAAGACAAGGCTGTGGCTCACAAGGCGACGGTTGGCCTATGATAGAACCAGAAAAGGGCTGTTCGGGGCACCATATTCAGCATCATATTCCGCTCGCATCATATTCGGGTCTACCTCAGCACAAGCATCTTGGCACCGAAATTTGTATGGTGACTATTGTATCTCCCACCTGACCTTGCTGTTGCCGATTTTGTATGGTGGTTCCATAAACTTCAGCCTTATACACTTCCTGAGATTCTGCAATATCGCCTTGCTTTTTTGCTTCCTGATATTTCCTGCTATGAACCCTTCTCCTGTTCTCTCCACCAGGTTTTGGCAGAGTAGTAGAAGTCGGCGGTTCATATTCTTCGCGCTTCCATGACTCTGAGACTTCTAGAATAGAAATTGAATGATAAAGCCATTAGAGTCACATAAAATAAGCGTGCCCTAAAGTCATTAAAATTACTCATTGATCTCCATATAGTCGTAGCCAGGATTTCCCGAATACACTCCCATTTTATGCGCCTAGTGAACAGCTCTCCTAAGTTTGCAAACCTCGTAAGCTGGGCTGTACACGTAGCGTCTACGGAGGCTGACTGGTCTCGGCGTCGGATTGGTGATCAATCGTCGTATGAGCCGAGAAGTTCTAACACTTGCACACTGCATTCACTGTGATTTCTCTCGATACCCTGAACTGTTGCAGTCAGGCTGAGCTTCATTCAAATCCTTGTGTCACGGTTACAATGCTTACAGTGTTGGTGTACACCTCGCAGGTGTTGGCATTGATGAATTGTGAAGACGAGGGAACATTGACGTTATAACGGCACGGCAAATGAAGAATGAGAGCGCTCTTGAAGTGTATGGATTGCATATGAATGAAGAGACGAAAGTGGGAGGAAAAGAAGAGAAGTACTTGCGATGTGCGCTTGTGCGATAATACACCTGTCCTTCCAGGCATACCTTTTCTATCGCGCTGCGAATACGCGCGTAAGTTTATCAACATACTCGGCTATACTATCTGACTGATCCTGTGGTGCCATCGTGTTGGTGTTCGGGTCCGTGACAAAAGGTGGTGGGCTTGTGCGGTGCAAGACAAGCTTAGGGCGACGCCAAGATTGGTCAAGTGACCCACGTGAAAGAGGGGTCATATATTCTTTAAGCAAACTTTTGTTTAAATATCTCATTTCCGACACTTTGGCCGAGCGGTTAAGGCGTCTGCCTGCTAGCAAATTTGTTTAGCAGATCCATTCGTGGGCGCAGGTTCGGTAAGTTGATTTATACTATCTGTTATATCTTAAACTGACATCCAAAGAATCCTGCAGGTGTCGAGTTGAAATTTCTTTTTTTGCTGGAGCGCTATTTTCCTCTTCCCTTTTCCAATTTATGGCCTGCCCACGTACCAAGGCTTGGCAATCGCCAGTAGATACTACAGTACTTGTAGTTAGCACTTGCGTGCTTGTCCACGCACTAATTGAACCACTTCAATCGTCTCTCGAGTCTCTATGCCTCCCAAATATTGTGAGCTATTAAGGTTCTTGGTCTGTTAGATTGAACCAACGCCAACACAGGCTTGATCACTATGCACGGTCCGACATGTTATTCTTACTTATCCTAATATAATGTGGCCGAAGGGGCTGGCCAGAAGGCTCTTTATCTTGTCGATGCTGTGCCACTGCCAAGCCACCCATGTTTGAGAGCCAAAGCCGCAGCACTGATAATTACAGCGGACCGGGACGTTAGATGCGTAGGTCTCACTTGCTTTGGGCATGGAGTGTTCCCGAATAATACTACTAGACACTCCTGCTTGCAGAGCTGTGATATTACTTCGTACTTAATGTTACCATTCCAAGTAAGATCCCTCGAGCGCTTGAGTGTGTAGCTGATCCACTGTTCCCATCGTAAGGTGTGATATGTACGTATGTACGCAGTCGATGTCCTGATGATGACGATGCTGCTGCCTCTGAAAACTTAGTCCGGGGGATAGGTCGCGATGTCCCCTTCAAAAATCCGGGCCCAACTCTCAGTCTAGCTTTACGAACCGCGAAATCCATTAGGGATCATCAATGCGGCGACCTGAGTGATACCTCTTTCAGTTGCCAGTAGATTGTATGCCGCCGCTGCATTTCCCGTGTCCATGACATCTACCCTGATCCCTAGTGCCTCAGACAAATATTTCCTGGTTTCCTTGCCCAACATCCATAATTTGCGCCCTGTGCCTATAAGGAGGAGATCTGGCTTCGGGTAGACCAGTTCCAACACTCCCAGCGAAGATGGCGGAAGATTGATGATTCCTCTCTTGTCAAGGAGCTTGCCGAAGCCTGCTGTCTCCTTTCCTGCTCTGCTATCCCAAGGAGTCCACACAAATGCCTCGCCATCAAGCAAGAGCAATCCCAAGCCACCGGCAGTCTGCTGACCGTTATTGAGGTGGAATCCATCGCTTGTGCATGCGTCAATGCTGTTCGCTGGCGTGACCGCACCGGCATTTGCAAAGATGTCCATCTTGGAGAAATCTGTTTGTGTATCTTCCTCCGAGACCGGGCCCCGGTCGTGTGTTTTTGGAGCCCGAGGATTGATCCGAGGCGGATCTGGACGAGCAGGAGTGTGTGGAGATCGTGATTGAGGTCGAGGAGCGGCGGCGTAGAGACGTGCGGAAGTATTCAACGTTCGAGATGGGTGTAGTAACATCGTTATGGGCGCAGCGTTCGCGACGCAGATATTTTGATAGCGTGAGGGCTGGCATGCTACCCGCAGTGCGCGGAGGAGATCTGCCGATGGCGGGCGCATTGTATTGCTCTGAGAAATAGTTCTAGTAGAAGTGCAGCGGCTTTGGGGAGGCTGAGGAAGGTAATGGGGCTCCCAATTCTTCTCCTGAGTGTTGTTGAGCGGAAGATCAGCTTGTTCTTCAAATGGAATGGAGTCGTCTTCCCATTGATGGAAACTCCCCGATAATCAAGAAGCAGTTGGCGTCAAGGACGAAAAGAGACAACTTCATGAAGACACGAAATTGCGAGACATGACTTCATCGTGCAGTGTAGCAAAGTGGTCCACCGTGTTCGAACAAAGGATTGGTCGAGTGGAGCATTAGTGAGTGAGGTGCAAGGCTGTCGTTTGAAGTGGGCTGTCTTCTGATGCCATTCTTCAATCTCAAAACAAAGAACCATATCCGGCCTTCTACGGGGATACAGTGGGTTAATTTGTGTCGTGCTGGCAGATCTCCCTAGGAATCACCCTGCCGATGACGGTAGCTATCTGCAAAAGCGTGTCCGGGTTATGAGTCACCTCAGTGGGCCCCCATTTCTCAGGGACGTCCATCATTGCTTCAGGTTCTATGCTATCTTTCTCAGCCTGTGACTGGCCTGGAACAGCTTGCTGGCTCGTCCTCCCGCTCATCCAGCCATCCCAGACATTCAGCAGGATGGATAATTCGCTGGTACACCTTTCCTGGACACACGAAACGGGTTTCCAGCTTTCCACCAATCCAGATCAAATCCCTCTTTCAGATCTGAATGATTTGTTCTCCGACATGCCTTGGGCAAAGCCCTTGCCGGAAGCGGAACTGCAAAGTCTAGTCCGCCAATCCCTCTGTTTCGCAATGTACGAAATCCACGAATCAAGTCGCAAACTTATCGGCATATCACGTTGGATCAGCGATTTTGTGACTGTGGCATATCTGACAGATGTTTATCTCCTTCCGGCATACCGTTCGTGTGGTTTGGGAAAATGGATGATGAGTTGTGTTGACGAGACTTTTCGCTCAATGGAGCATTTCCGCGGCATGATTTTGATTGTAAATCATGGTAGTGGGGAGGAATCTCTATACAGAAAGTATCTCGGCATGGAAGATCTGGAAAGTCCAGCGATCTTGTTGGATCGCAAAGGTCGTGGATCGGCGAGATAACCAGTGGAATTGGTCACCTCCGTGATTGCATGATCTTAGCGCCATGTTTCCTAATTACATCCTCCATTTTCTTCCTGACCTGGGTGCAACCATCGACTCCAGTTGCCAGCATGCTCTCCATCTTGTTGTTTGGCCCACCGATAGATATTCTTGATTCCATTATTAGGACCGAGACCTTGTCTTCCTCACCCTGCCTGCCTGCAACGGTTGCTAGTGATAGGAAGGGCAATTCTTGCTCTTCGGCAATGTTGAGATCCAGAATAGGTTCCGGTCTTGACGAGTAATCGTCTGCTGGAGTTATGCTTCCACTGGAGATAGCGGCAAGAATAGAAGGCATAGGAATGCCGGCATCAACCAAGGCCAGGCTCGCAGCGTTGAGGCATGCCGCAAGGAGAGCACCATCCAAACTCAGAACATGGAGGGATATGGAAATCGTAGAACGAGGATAGAGGTGATTGAACAGGTGGCTCTGGAATGCCTGGGAAATTGTGGTCTGGAGTTCTTGAGTCCGCTTGTCGTTTCTATTTCGTCTTCTCCGATCCATTTGTGCAAAGGGAGCGAGATTGATTTCGGTCTCAACTGTGGCATTGGCATTATCTCGTCCTCGACTATATCACAATCACAATTTAGCGTGAAGATCCAAGCCTTCAATTGTATCATAGATCATACCCTTCTCTTGGCCCAGTCACTGTACAAACTACCACGGTGTTCCCCATCGTCAGTAAACTACTGCCATCACTTGCCGTTTGCGTGGATATTGAGGCAGTGATCCTGCGCAGTTCGTTCCACCGTCGGCCATCCTGGCGCAGGAGGGTCTGTGAGTAAGTGGAAATGGAATCGAGGGGCATTGTGAGGGCACTGCTAGAGTAGGCTGTCAGACCATGTAGCAGCCAGACTCAGAGCATGGCAGATGTGAGGTTTGATGGGAACAAAATTGAACTGCGGTCCCGTGCTCTGGTGGAATTTTCGCGTTCTTGGGGACGTGACGCGCAAACGCGGCGGCGTCATTCGCTCCTTCCACTTTGCCCGCCTTTGCCCCCCGCACTTTCCATTCTCAACGCATCCCTCTACCATCCCCTCCATGCGCCCAATACTCCCTCCACTGTGCAGCCACAATGGCTTTTACTGACAGCCCTGAAGACGAAGACGAAGACCTTGACCAGGCCCGCATCAAGGTCGGGTCTCGCTCCAAAGTGGATCATAGTCACATCCAGAGGCATGCGGCAGAAGCCAGTATGCGGCGATATCGATCATCATCCGCTACTAATTCCGTCCTCTCCGAAGTGCCAACTGCAGTGAAGAGAAAACGCAGGTCACTAGATATCACCGAGGCTTCGGAGAGAGTGACTTGGGATACCTCCGAGTTCAGCGACGATGAGAATAAACTGCAGGAAAGACAAAAGCAGAGAAAGTCGGCAGCCAAGAAGAATGCTCTGAAATCTGCACGGAGAGCCAGGGCAATCGAAAACGAAATCAACCCTCGCCCTCGTCCAAGGGCCACCGGCGCAACTACTGGAGTTGGCAGACGAGCTACCAAGAGGAAACAGCCCAAAGTCAGAGGGTATGGTAATGAGTCCAACCCTGATGAAGATTTAATGGAGTGGACAGTACCCGAATATGTTCGAACGCGACGAGCAAAATTCGATGAGCGCACTGATAAACTCAAAGCCGGTGGACTGCATCTTCCCCCTTCATATGAAGATGTCTACTTTTCTGACGATGAACGCCTGCAGCATCTCGAAGAGCGACCAGATTTCCCTCCAGATACCGCTTGCAGCCCGTACAAGGATATTGAACTCCCTTATTCTCTTGGTTTAATACCTGCCTCTATTGCTCAATTCCTCAGGGACTATCAAGTTGCCGGTACGGCCTTTTTGCACGAACTTTTTGTCTATCAAAAGGGAGGTATCCTCGGCGATGACATGGGCTTGGGAAAGACGGTTCAAGTCATTGCATTTCTCACTGCCGCTTACGGAAAGACTGGAGACGAGCGTGATCAAAAAAGAATGAGGAAGATGCGAAAGGCTAGCAGGTGGTACCCAAGAACACTTGTCATTTGTCCTGGCACTCTAATGCAGAATTGGAGAGACGAATTTCAGCGCTGGGGCTGGTGGCAAACTGACCTCTATCACGGCGGGAAGAGACGTGACGTCTTTGAGATAGCTCAAGCTGGAATGCTTGAGGTCATGATCACCACCTACCGCACCTATTCTACAAACAAGGAGGAGATCAATATGATTCAGTGGGACTGCGTAGTGGCTGACGAATGTCACAATTTCAAAGAGATGAAATCCGACACCGCCAAATCGATCAACGCAGTCAATGCACTTTGTCGTATCGGTCTTACCGGTACCGCGATCCAGAACAAATACGAAGAATTCTGGACCCTCCTCAATTGGACCAATCCCGGAAAGTTAGGTCCCGTCTCCACCTGGAAGACTCAAGTTTGTGAGCCGTTGAAGCTGGGTCAAAGTCACAGTGCCACCAATTATCAACTAGCCAGAGCCCGTAAAACTGCAACCATGCTTAGGGACAATCTGCTACCCCAGTTCTTCTTACGACGAACCAAAACAATAATACAGGATCAATTACCCAAGAAATCTGATCGTGTTGTCTTCTGTCCTTTGACCAGCACGCAGGCCCGAGCATACCAGAACTTCCTTGAAAGTGACATCGTTGAACACATCAAGAATAGTGGTGACATCTGTGAGTGTGGAAGTAAGAAAAAGGCTGGTTGGTGTTGTCATGCCAATCTCGACGATGGAACGCGATGGCAAGATTACGTCTTCCCGGCCATAAATAACCTCCATCATCTATCAAACCATATAGGTCTCTTGATCCCCAGTAGCAGTGCTACTCAGGATAAACAGGCCAAAGACCTGGAAACACTTCAAATTGCTATGCCAGAAGAGTGGCGCGACATCTTTCAAAGTCGAGACAGCATACTACACACTGCTAATCCTGAGTACTGTGGAAAGTGGAAGATACTGAAGAAGCTGTTGAAATTCTGGCATGATCAGGGTAACAACAAAGTCTTGGTATTTTCACACAGCGTTCGCCTGCTCAAAATGCTTCAAAATCTGTTCATTAGCACAAAGTACAACGTTACTTACCTTGACGGCGAGATGGCGTATGAGGCCCGCTATGCAGCTGTCAATGAGTTCAACACTGATCCTTCACAATTCGTCTTTTTGATCAGCACGAAAGCTGGAGGTGTTGGACTCAATATCACTGCTGCCAATAAAGTCGTTGTAGTAGATCCTAATTGGAATCCAAGCTACGACCTGCAGGCACAAGATCGTGCATACAGATTTGGCCAGAAACGGGACGTGGAAGTTTTTCGCCTGATAAGCCAGGGCACTCTAGAGGAAATCATATATGCCCGTCAAATTTACAAGCAGCAACAAGCTAATATTGGATACAACGCCACATCCGAGCGAAGATACTTCCAAGGTGTTCAAGACCGCAAAGACCAGAAAGGCGAAATATTTGGCCTCAAAAACCTTTTTGCGTATCAGAACGAGCACACTGTTCTTCGAGATATTGTAAACAAAACAAACGTTGCGGAATCCAAGGCCAACGTTCGTGTTGCTGCTGGTAATCTCCACCAAGCAGAAGAAGCGGACTCTCAAGGCGATGAGAATGTTGAGGAGGAAGACACTTTGGACGATCGCATCAAACGAGAGGAAGCTGCTGAGCGTGCAGCAATGGCTGAACTTGAGGCAGAGATCACGGGCGAAGCTGTTAAGCGACGATCGAACTCTAAAGCGCCGTTTCAGCCCGATGAGACTGCTGTGCATAAACATGACCCCATTAGAGCAATACTGTCCTCTGTGGGTGTTTCTTATACACATGAGAATAGCGAAGTTATAGGCTCTTCGAAAGTTGAAGCCTTTTTGTCAAAGCGGGCGGCAGAAGCTGCCGAGACTAATCAAAGATGGGGTACACAAGAACAATTGGCCAAAGTCTTTCAAGACGAATCGCAATCTCAGTCAGACAGCTTTGTTTACAAGTTAAACAACTACCCAGATGGCGTTGTTACCCCGGACAGTGGAAGACGATACATTTACCACCCACCGGAATCAGTGATGAAGCGCCAATTCTGCAGCATGGCCAGGTGGGCTGGCCACGGGAACGACGTGGTGAGCTTCGCTTTGCGCGTGGAGAATTGGACACAGGCGCAGAGAAGGGAGTGCCTTGACCGATTTTACCACTATCGAAGAGATTTTTTGGATGGTCTGGTGAAGGAAGATGTCGAGATCAAACCTGAAGTCAGACCGGAGGTGAAAGAAGAGCCTCTAGGGAAGACTGAAGTCAAAGAAGAAATCGGGGGGCAGCCCAGGATGAAGCATGAGGTGGTAAATGACAGTGATGTGGAAACTGCAAGTGAGGATGAAGACGATGAGCTGTGATCTGAACTGCACGGACCTGGTATACATACAGGAACAGTCGTTTGCACAAAGAATCATCGTGTATGACTTACGATATTACGACCTTTTGATACCCCAATGCATAGAAGTACGGAAGCTTTGGTGATGTGATGGAGGGTTTCCCATTTCTTTCGAGACAGCAAACGGTTCGACCCATGCCTGCGAGAGAGCCCTCTCGATCTTTTACTCTGTCAGGGGGGAATTGAACACTGTCTGCACATTCTATCCAGCCATGCAAACCTTGGAATGCAATGAACGCCCAGTGTTCTATTTCGCTGTGATGATCGGTGCATACTAATCAGATTTTCCTCCTCAATTACAAGCTTTCCCCAATCATTGACACGAGACACTGCCACTGCTAGACTTCGTCACTGGCAACTGGCCAAAGAACGTAGGCGGCGCCAAACACTCGTCAACGAATATGTATTAGTAATCCCGACTATTCGCTGAACAGAGATGAGTAAACAACTTCCCAATGCCACAGGAAATTAGAACAACAACCACCGTCGTACCATCGGGACAATTATTGCTCCGTCTATGTCACCCACGACTGGTAACCCTTTGTGTGGTGTACGAGATATTTTAGGTGCGCCGTCGAGACGTGGCTCGTTACAAGGCTACACCTGGTCCGCGGATGCAGCGGTTCACAGCTGTTGACAGAGCAGAATTACTTGCCACCAAGATCAACAACATATATGATATCGAGCTTCGAGGAAGTACAAATGGATCAGCACTCCCGCAGCCGTTGCGAGGAGCGTAGTCCACCTTGGAAATAACACCAGTCACTGAAACGTTCTATCAACAACACAGCTAAAGATGACTTCACCCCTAAAGCGCTCGATTCTCATCACAGGGTTCGCATATCCCCTCCATCAAACCTTCACCCCTGCATCCCCTTCTCCTTGAAATACTTCGAAACTAACCTCCCTCAACAATCCAGCTGCTCGCCCGGCTCCGCAGGGCACGCGTACGCGCTTGAATTCACGCATCGCGGCCTCCGAGTCTTCGCGACCGCACGGTCAACCGAGTCTCTCTCGCAACTCGAGGCGAAGGGGATCGAGACGCTTCCGCTGGACGTCAGCAGCACAGAGAGCATTGCTGCGCTGAAGGCCGAGATTGCGAGGCGCACGGGTGGGAAGTTGGACATCCTGTTTAACAATGCCGGGACTAGTACGTGATCCAGAAATCCTGTCCTGGGCGTATAGGTTAGATGTACACTTCGGGTGGGGGAGAGACCACTAATCACCAGCTCGAACAGTGTACGAGGCCCCGGCAGTGGAAGCAGACACTCGCCGCGTACGCGCAATGTTCGATAGCAACGTATTCGGGCTGTTCGACATGACGCAGGCGTTTCTCCCCTTGCTTCTCGCCTCCGTCTCGTCCTCGCAACCTCACGGCCCTCCCACGATCATCAACACATCATCGATCGTCGCGCGCGTGCCGTTCCTCTTCTCCGCTCAATACAACGCCACCAAGGCTGCCGTGGCCTCGTACTCCGACACATTGCGCCTCGAAGTCGCGCCGCTGGGGATCAAAGTCGTGACACTGTTCATGGGTGAAGTGTCTACCGGGCTGATGTCGCCTACTAACATCGCCTTCGGGCCCGACAGCCTCTACATCGCCGCGGAGGCGGGTGTGCAGGAGCGGAGTCGGCAGCACGCGGCCAAGAGCATGAGGCCGGAGGAGCTGGCCAGGCAGGTAGTGGGCCAGGTTCTGGCGAAGCCGGGGATGGGAAAGGCGGAGTTTGTCTGGAAGGGCACCAATGCGACGTTGGTATGGCTGCTGAATGCGCTCGGCTTCAGGAAGATCTTTGATAATACCGTCGAGGCCGGGGTTGGGCTGAGCCAGGGTTCGGTAAAGAAGGAGATATTCGAGAAGGGCCAGCGGAGCGTCAAGCCGGAGTGAGATCCTGTGTCATGTTTCGAGCGGCTAGGGAGTGTGTGTAGGTGGATAGGATTGTATCGAATAAATACTCAGAGTTCCGCACCGTTGCACCCACAGCGATCTACTAATATACCACGGTCATGCGGTGTCTTGCTGACCAACGGAGTTTCTCATGCCTTTCTTCAGTTGTATTTGAGAAGGAAAAGGGGCAATGTTTAGGCCAATCATCCTCACAGGGAATTCAGTTATTTCATGTCTGGCTCACTCTTCAATAACGATTCAATTGCTATCACACGTTGCACATGGCACTCCCATTTGTCTTCCCCACTTATGCTGTTTTCGGTCCCGTCTCCAGAGTCCGACTGCTCCCAATTTTCATAATTCTACATTAGCCATGTGTATCCTGCCCATTTCTTTCTTCTCCAATCAAGCAAAGGCATCCTCCCGATCTGCCCAAATATCCTCCAACTCGTTGAAACTGCTGAAATGCACGGGACGATGTAGGTCGTCATAGAAACGGCGTGGTGTGTCGATCTTGACATAGATGGGTCTCTTTTCGACGGAAGAGAAGCTGGCGCCCATGAAGCTGTAGTTCCAGGTGTCAGTTTCGGGAACCAGGAAGAAGCCCCGGATCTTGTCGGAAAGGAGGAGTTGGGTCCTGACACCGAAAGAAGTCGAGAATCCGGATGGGTTGTCAGACTGTGTGTCTTTGTTCGATGCTCCCCAGGTGTATCCTTCAGGAGTAAGCGACCAGGATGATAGTGACACTGATCCTGGCGTAAACGACACAGCCAAAGTAATGGTCTTCTTGTCCCATGACGGATGTTGAGCCATCAATCGTGAATGCATGGTGACATCTGCTGCAGGCATGTATGATGTTTCGTTACCCGAAGCTGTGTGAATGATACCAAGTGGCTCCATCGATTTGAGATATTCATGTTGAGGCAGTTGATGAGGAAGTTGAACTTCACGCGTACTACCCACTTGCGGGACCATGACAATAGTTCGGATCTCCTTAACCTGCTCATTGTCTGGAGGGGAAGATCCGTAAAGATAGCCAGCGGTTTGGACACGAAGATCAGCAATTGTGATGAATCTCTTCAAGATATTTTTCGGTAGGATGTAGGTGTAAGAATCTTCAGCCTCTTGAACGTCATCGCTCGAGATGTATATATTGTTTGCTCGGGTTCTGAGATTGGAAGTCGCGATAGCCCGAGTTCTCCATTCCGTCTTTGACGCAAATGACTGTTGTTCGTACTGCGAAGTAGTTGTTACAATGATCTCCTCTCCTCTCACATTCTGAGTCTTGGTTGTTACTGCGGTCAGTTGTTGTTGCTCTTCCTGTTGCTTCTCAATTTCTGCAGCTTGTTGTCGTTGCATGGAAGGTGCCGAAATCTCCATACCCAGGATGATATCGCGTATCTCGCTATTGGTGAGTGACTGCACATTCACATTGTTCTTCTTTCCATAGTCGTTCAGGATGAGATCTCGAAGTTGGACCTCAACTTTGACCCAGTCCTCATCGGACAGACTTGGCCAAATATGATGAGCTTGCGTGATGACCGTCTTATCTGGTCGCAGTAGCAATTTAGTCTTGTCGGTATTGACATGAAGTGCACGCAAGATTAAAACCAGTCGAGAAAATGCGGTATACGACGAGATAGTCTTCAACCATTCATCGTATAAGTTGAACAGTACCATCTGCGGTTCCTTTGCTTGGAGAATCATGTCTGCAAGCTTCTCGACTTTCATTGCGGCTTGGAAGGGTAGTTGAAGCTCTGAAGCTCTGATGGAAATGTTGGGGAAGTCCAGCAGATGGACTTCCAAGGGATCCAACAAGCCCTTTCGAGTGACAATTAGTTGTTTAGGCTGCTCTTCAACGGGCAAAGATCTGATAAGGGCAGCGACTTCTTCTGCTGTTTTCCACTTCGCCAATTGGCCAAGACGTTTCTGTCCGGCCCAGACACTGGTGTGAATAATCTTAAGAAAGAGTTGACCGCTCTTCGGGTTGAAAATGAAAATTGCACCATTGATAGGTTTCGTTGTCAAATTGCCCTCGAATGTTTTGTGAATCGTGACTCGGTAAACATTCGTATCATCAATGAACAATTGCGTTACATTGCTAAAAAGCTCGGAATAATTCTGGGAGTTCAAGAATTCTTGCGTACTTTCAGAAGCGTACAGTTGTAAGCCCTTTCTGATACGTTCCCGAAGCACATAAAGTGCAGGATTGGCCTTCATGACCTTGGCCATGGCTTGTTGAACCAGGGCCTTGAGACCGGGGAAGTATTGACCGTATGCGGAATAGAGGTTGTAGGCTAGATCGATTCCAATCATAAGGCCAGTCGCTGAGGGGTAGATACTCATGCTATCAGTTGTGTAGTCTAAGTATTTGGCTCTGACATAGCGTTCAATGTCATGAGAATCATAGTCTCCATACCGTAATTGAACATCAATCCAGAATTTGTTTGTCGTTGTTGCTTCAATCTGGTCCTTGGTATCAAAGAGGAGGGATGGTCGAGTGACGTTCCATTTATGACTGGCAAATAGAAGGATGTCTGCACATGAGCTATTCATCTTGTACGATTTTCTGGGATGGATCGTCTCTTTCTGTACAGTCTCTATACCTAGCTGCTCAAGCTCCTGATCGAAGACCTGACAAAGATCCATGACTACAGATTCATGGATCTTTTGCCACAAATGAGCTCGGAAAATCTGGATTAGAGAGATTTTGAGTGTTGGGATTTTGCCGTGCAAGAAGATACCTGTCAGATCGAGCTGAACCTGGAAACCGACGTACACATTCGCCCTAAGTATGGTTAGCAAACGAGTCATTCGTTGAGGGTAAGGGAAGCTTGCCTGTTGATTGTGGGACTCCACCAAAGTGTGAATCGGCGGTTAGGAATCTGATTAAGACCAGAGCGCTGGGCGTTGGTGAGCTTCTTGAACTTCATGGACTCTTCAAACCCGCTGTTGTGGAGCACCAGATAGTCATGTCGCAAGTACAACTGGTCCTTATCCACTCGGAACCCGGCCCATTTCGTAGCCTCGGTCTCTAGAGAGATGTCCTTTATCATGAACCTGAAATTTTTTGGAATATCGTGCTCTACTGTTTGCTTGTGGCTTCGAAACAAACGATACTTAGCTCTGTCCTCTGGGAGGAGGGAGGCAAAATCACTTGCTGTCATTTCGACCGTGTTGAATCGCTTAGCCACTGACCCTTCAGTAACAGCAGGAACCTCCAGGTGCAGAACGAGTATGTGATTTGGTGTCACAACGAGGTCCTCCTTGCCAGACCCGATCTTGATCCGATACAAGCGATCTTTGCCTTTCACAACGTTGAACGCACGACGAGAACCACCATCGGGGCCCAGAAGAAGATCTCCTTCCTCTACATCCTCCACGGCAACTTTGGAGCCATCATAACGTAGCAGCATGGTACCATTTGCCAGACAAGCTCTCTCCCAGAACAGGCCCTCCCAGGATGGAAAAGCGGTCGCCTTGAACAAAGTATGTTCAAGAATAGTTTCAACACCGCCCAGCGCTTGAATAACATCGGTTCGGTAGGCGTTCAAATTCCATAGTTTGCCGTCATGACGTTGGCTGGTCCACCAGAAGGGGTTGCTTTTCATGAGCTGGTACTGTTTGAATTCTGTTCGAGCTCTGAAACCCTTATCAAAGCTGAGTGTGCTCCGATCTTTTTGGAACAGAGTGTTGATTCGAGGCAAGCCGCGGTCCCAGCTATCTTCAAGATCTTCAAGGGTCAGTCTGCGGTTCTGCTGGTTCGCCTCCAGTCGCTTCTGCGAGTATTCCGTCCAAACTCGCTGCGAATCGATGAATTCAGCTTCCCAAGGAATAATGTAACGGAAAATGTTTGGAATTAGAGTCTCTTCGTCATGTGTCATTCCTGAGCGGTAATGTGTAACGCCAGTATCTGTCTGCTTCGACCATCGCTTATCGCTTGTCGGGATCAAAATATGAGAGCCAGAAATCATACCCAAGCCACCAAGTTCTTTGGGTGTATAGAAGACGGCGGGCGGGAAACGAGAAGGCATTTTTGAGTTCAGTCCAATCTTGACGCGAGTTTGAATCTTCGTCTCACATTTGACAATCGTATCCAGAAGATTGACTGTCGAGACGGCGGCTTCACGGTAGTACGTGAAAAGAGCAATCAGTGTCGTATTCCACTTATTGGCAATCTTGGTGAATGTGGTGGAGCCAGAAGACATTAGAATCTGTCTTATACGATTGTTGAATTTCTGGATATCTTCTTCGGTGACTTGGAGGAATGCAAATGCCGTCCGTTCCTTGGTCTCATTGTTGGCAAGAGCCCAAACACTGTCCTTGATCGGGAATTCATCGTTCTGATTCCGATTTTTTGGCAAGATGCGGACCTCAAAACCACACATGGAGAATAACAAGTTCGGATTGTCACGAGAATAGACACTGGCGAAAGTATCATCCCATTCAATTGTAGTGATTGAACGAGGTAAGCGGTTCTTCATATCCCAGAACACAGCCCGACCAAGGTTCACATCATGTCTCATTAACCTCATCCTGGAATCTCGAGGCCAGCATTTCTTGTTCCGATAGCCAATGACATTTTCAAAATTCGGGTCTGGCTGTTCAGTCAAAAATCGTTGGATTAGATCCTTTGATTCATCGGCGGTAAACCTGAAGAATACCCAGATCTTATCAATGTATCTGGTATATAGTCGGATTGGATGTCTTGTCTCCGTTTCACGGTCTCGGAATTGCAAGAAATCGTTCGGACTTTGTGGAGGCCCTGCTAGCTCGCTAGCTCGTTGTAGACCCAAAAGCAGCAGGTCAATAACCAAGCCATAATATTGGAAAACAAAGCCTGAAAATTGTAGGCCACGAATCATACCGTAGCTGTTGGTGTGATTCATATCCTTGTAGTTCAACTGCACATTGTTCTTCGATGTGATGTAGTCAGCCAGATTGTGATCCATGATTAGTCGAAGGAGTCGGTTGAGTAGTGTCAAATCGATCTTCTCATAGACTTTCGATAGTTGCGTTTCGATCATGACATTGCACTCGCCGTCTGCAGTCTCCCAAACATTGGTCAGGTTGTTGATTCCTTGGGCCCATTTGTAGACCAATAGAGGTGGCACCTCGGAGTCAGAAGGCTTGACCCAAGATGGAAATAGATGTCGAGTATCGGCCTGATACCAGAGGTACTGATCAAGATACGCATCTGTTATCTTTTCGATGGGTTCGATATCATACACAGGATTGATGGAATTATAATTGTCGTTCATGTCAATACCGACTTCCTTGAAAGCTCGCTGGGTAAGAAGGAAACGCTTGATTCGTGCCAATGTAGTGCCGGGGGAATCATATGCCTGCTCAATTAATGCTAGCTCTTCACGCTGGCTCTGATTCAATCGACCTTTGACGGAATATGCTTCTCGTAGTCTTTCGAGAGCCAGAATAAGGATTTTGGTGTCATGCTTGTACGAGACACTAGGGAAGGGAATGGGCGAGAACTTTCGAGATTCGAGCCAATGGACGGTTGTCGTATAAATGGCAACAGCCTCTTCAGATGAGACATAGGGACCGTCTTTCATATAGTTGTGCTGTCTCTCTTGCTCTGATTTCAACCATAATCTTGTCAACCGACCGAGGTTTTTCTTCGCTACGGTCTTGTCAACAGTGGCTCCTCTTCTGATTCGTTCTCGGTTGTAGTGAGCCACAGAAATCCACCAGTCAGCCTTGCTCTTGACGTATCTGAGAATGATGTTCTCAATTGGTGCAGGCAAACCAGGAACTTTCCAGGGAATGTTACTCTTCCAACATCTCCAAGCTTCTGACAAGTGTTGAAGAACAGTGTTGACTTTGTTCTGTCGAATACCTTCGGGCATCATGTCCATCAAGTCAGCCATGACAGAAGCTCGTAGCTCGAGGTCGAAATGTGACTCGACTCGCTGTTTAGTTACGGTCTTCGCAACGCCCTTGCTGTGTCGCCCTTCAAATTGTCTTGATAGCAGATTACCAAGCCATCTTTCGAGGAGAGGAATGATACCTCTCATGAAGAACAACCATACTCTCCAAGCAGGAGCCCAAAATCCACAACCAGGACCTTTGCCCACAGAACCGGAGTTGAATCGATAGTAAATGAGATGCTTTAGATCTTTGCAAGATCGAATCTGGTGCATGAGCTTGTACTTGTATCGATACATTCCGGTTAGTTGACCGACATGGTTGAAAGCATACAAGATACCATCCGCAAGCTGGAACGCGTCGATATTCCCAAGTCTGTATTGAACTTGGGCATCAACGATAAGCTTGGTGAGCCTGAGGATTTCACGCATCAAGTGGAAAGCGTTGCCAAATCTCGATTTCTTGCGCTCTTTTGTGGTCAATGTTTTCACAGGTTTAAGATTGAAATTGTAGTCCAAGTGCAGATATGTCAAATTCTTCCGATGGATGAGGAGGTTCAGCATGTTGAAGCCTTGTCGGCAAACCTGTAGACCCGCCTCAACCCAATCGATGGTGGTTTGCTGGAAGAATTTGGTTGATTTCAAAGTTTTGAGAAGATCTTGCTTGCTTTGTGCTTTGGGTTTCTTTTTATGCAGCTCATTGAGGACGAAACTCTTTAACAGCTTCTGGTATGATACTCGGACCTTGACTGGCTGTCCAGTTGGGCAATGTTCAAGATACCACTGCTTCACCAAAGGAACATCTTGCGCTCGAACCATTTTACCAGATCGTCGGTCAAAGGGGAATGGTGCCCACCATAACATAATTGCAGATGCTGTCTCACTTGTGTACAACTCTTCATCGGCGAGGAAAGGTTCCACATTGCCGGGAAGCTCAAACTCATCATCTTCGTCATTACCTACTCCAAAGATTTTGTCTTCGTGACTGACACTGATGTTCTTTGGAGCAACAGACCTCGAGGAAATTGGATTGATAACAGGATCGAAGTTAAAAGCAGGTAAGTTTGCGTCTGATCGCACGTACACAACCTGTGGGTGAGAATACCAGGAGATTTTGACACTTCTTGGTAGAGAGTTGTACAGATATGGGAAGGCCACCCTGTATTCTGTTCTGATGGGTGCTCGGAAGATAATTCGGTCAATAGCGTTAAACTCGCCAAAATCCTCGTCGTTTGGATCAATGTCCTTGTAGAGTGGTTCGAATCGAGGCCCTCCGGGAATGGCGACGTTTAAGGCTTTTGCAGTAAAGAAACTCGACCTATCGAACATGTGGAAGTAGTTCTTATCGACGACATCACTCAACAGTTGACTAGATAGTCTGTAAAGTGTTGCCATCTGGGGAGGAGTCAAGTTCCAGGTTCTGTAACTTGGACCATTGACATGGGGTGTATCCAACAATGGTCGATGCTCGTAGAACCATTCATAAACGGGTCCGTCTTCCTCCTCATCCAATTCCATCTGAATTGGTTCAAGTGGTTCAACATCTTCGATATTCTCCGACCAAGACAAAGGAGGCTCCTCGTCATCAAAGGGCGGAAAACGCATGCGTTTGAAATGTCTGCGATCACTCTTCTCCCGTCGCATCGTAACCCACATTGTAGCCCATTGCGCATGAAAGACTGGTTCGATAACTCGGGGTATTTCGTTCACCAGAGTCAAGCACCCGTTGACATGGTAGAGAACCTTGACCTCTCTTGCACTCTCCCATGGCATTGGCATATTCTCAAGGAGTTTGAGGACCGCGTGAGGCATGTATTTCAACGCGCCAAGGTAACTCCGCTTATCACTGCTGAATTTCTTCTGACTGACGTCTCCAATGTCCTTGACAATCTTCCGCAAGTGCTCGGGGGGCATGTCTGCCTTTTGAGTTTCGACAAATCCGCCCTTTCGCTTTTCGCCATATCGATTTCGTTGGGTTCGTAGCCATTCTTTCTTCTTTTGGGCGAACTTTGCAACCTGAGGATCGATAGGTGGGCGATAGCCCGGCGGAGGAGGAGCCATACCAGGTGGAGGGGGAGGGCCAGCGCCCCAACCCGGGGGTGGTGGAGGAGGAATCAAAGCCATGGCGTCGCTATGGACAGGTGGGTGGCTGTCGTGATAAAGAGGATGAATTGACGGACTCAGGTATTGCAGGTATTGAGGTGTCTTACCATTTGCGGGGAATCACTTGTCTTCAGCATAAGACTGAAGAAAATTGATCCTCGATGCACCTGGAATTCAGTATACCACCCAGCAGAACCAAATCTCTTGAAAAGCAAATCGAGAGTGTGATGGTTTGTGTCGCACCTTTGCCTGCGAAGAACGAGTCGAGATTTACCGAGTGGGAAAGGTTTCTACGTGATTCAGAGCGGGATGTCACGTGCCTATATCATGGCTCCGGATAGATATTAATCCGTAGTACGTTGCCGTTGGAAGAGCGCCTCCCTGGCATGTGATGACCCTTTCTCAAAGATACTCGCAACGTCGATGGAATTACTGCCTTCTTCGTCCACTAAATAAAAGCGGCCTACCAGGCTGTCGCCCAACATGTCTCGTGGACAAGAACCCCTTCTCGCACGCCCAGACTCCCCTGGCTCCTCCGCTCGAGACATCGAAGAAGAAGATGCTCTCTTAACCGGCCAACCTACGAATCGAACGCCCAACAAAGCCCAGAAATGGAAGGAAATCGGTCTCTTTCTGTGGGCTCTTCTGGCAACTATTGCTGTTGTCATCCTGGCTGTCATATACCAACACGAGACGTCAATACCTCGCTCTGACCCGAAGCAAGGCGGCGGTTGGGGTCCAGATGGGAAGCCAACAGGGAAGCGGAACATGATCTTCATGGTATCCGATGGTATGGGACCGACATCTCTATCGCTGACGAGAAGTTGGAGACAATACACCAGTGGGCTTCCTATGGATGATGTCTTGGTGCTGGACAAGCATCATATCGGCACTTCAAGGACTCGCAGTTCCAGCAGTCTAATCACGGATTCAGCCGCTGGCGCAACCGCCTTCTCCTGTGCCTTCAAGAGTTATAACGGTGCTATCTCAGTGCTACCTGATCACACTCCATGTGGTACGGTTCTGGAAGCTGCAAAAAGAGCAGGTTACATGACAGGGCTAGTGGTAACAACAAGAATCACGGATGCGACACCAGCATGCTTCGCAGCTCATGCCAATCGCAGAGAATATGAGGATCTCATTGCGGAACAAATGGTCGGACATTATCCTTTGGGGCGCGTTGTCGATCTGCTCATTGGTGGAGGGCGATGTCACTTCCTCCCCAACACAACCGAGGGGTCTTGTCGAGCTGACTCAACAGATGTTGTTGCTCTGGCCAAAGACAAATATGGCTTCAACTACATCGACAACAGAAAAGACTTTGACAAGTTGACGTCTGAAGGTGATGTCAAGCTACCTTTACTGGCTCTTCTGGCGTCAACAGACATCCCGTACGAGATTGACCGAGTCCATGTTTCTGAAGTTTACCCCAGCGAGGCTGAAATGGCCCGTCTAGCCTTGAATGCTTTGAAGGCTGCTACCAAAGACTCCGACAAGGGTTTTTTCATCATGATTGAAGGTTCTCGTATTGATCACGCTGGCCACGGCAATGACCCCGCAGCTCAAGTTCATGAGGTGCTCGCCCACGACGAAGCCTTCGCGTCTGTACTGGACTTCCTCGAAGATGACGACACTCCAGGGGTGCTTGTCTCGACTTCAGACCATGAGACGGGCGGCCTCGCGACAGCTCGACAGCTGCACGAGACATACCCTATCTACCGATGGTTTCCAGGAGTTCTAGCCAATGCTTCGCATTCTGGGGAGCATTTGGCGCGAGAGTGGCATGAATACCTCGGGGACTCATCAGAGACAGTATCCCGGGAAGACAAGATAGCCAAGGTTTCCGAGCTCATCAGCGCTGGGCTGGGCATTCAAGATTACACGCGAGAAGAGCTCGACGCAGTTATCGACGCCAAACCGATCTGGCCACCAAGCTACCTATTCGCAGATATGATCTCACGTCGGGCCCAAATCGGCTGGTCTACACATGGACACAGTGCGGTGGATGTCAACATCTATGCATCGAACCGCGACCATGCACCTGGATTGGTAGGGAATCACGAAAACATCGAAGTCGGACAATTCATTGCGAACTACCTCGACCTGGATCTCGAGCCGATCACCAAAGAACTCCGAGAAAAGAAAGTCAAGACCAGCTCCGTCGACGGCAAGATCGAGGAATGGGGTGAATGGATGGGTCCGGTCGGGTTGGCAAACAACGAGAACGGACAGCTCGTGCACCTGGATGACTATCACGGTGATTTCAAGCACAGGAAACGGGAGGAGGAGATGGATTGCAACTGCGGAATGGAGCATTAGACCGAGCAAGAGGAGAGTTCAGCATGGATCTCAAGATATCCCCAAGCATTCTCATGGCGTTTGGAAATCGATGGGCTATTTGATCGGTCGGCTTCTCTTCTTTTCTGTTCCTTGTTACTCGACTGGTGGTGATATCAATGAATGAAGACGGGAAAGCATCTGTATACATGGAGAGAGTCAAGGCGTCCTGGATCCGAACAGCGGGCAGAATTTCTGGTCGGGTCCACCTTGCAAGCTGAGTAGTTTTTGTCTAGTGAACGTACCTCATCGCTCTCGTTTCCGCTATGCAGGCCCCGCTCCCTGGTCGAGATTGGAGGTCGAGATATCCCTAGAACGCAACGTTATTCTTCTGCCTGGGGCTCGTCAACGACGATGGCTCAAAAGACGCATGATTTAACCTGCGAGTACTAGCCTAGTAGTACTGTATAGAAAGGACGGCTTATGTACCTGGTCAACAACCGTCACCATCCACCCCATGCCATCCCATCAGGCAACTCTATTACTCGGATGAAGAGTCTGTCTCTCATACAAACACCGACAGGACTCGGCGCGCATGCCATACGAAAGGGAAAGCTCCAATGCCCCAAGAACTCTACAGTACTCTCTCTACCCGGAGGGGAACCGACCTTCCCCAGCCGGCGGCACAGGACGCCCACCCAATGTCTCGGCCGTCGGAACAATCGCCAGCGAGAGGGGATGCCTACAGTGCAATCCTGCATCTGCGGCACTCTCTCCATGCTCATCTCCACCTCGGTCTTGGGATGGGATGAAGCTAGACGAGGGGCGTTTGGTTCGATTTCGCCCATCATTACCCCGCGCGCGTTGGGGGGGTGGTCGGGTTGGTTCGCAATAAAACAGCGATTAGATTACCCACCTCCTACTGACAAACGACCAACAGCTATGGGCAATTGCGAGGAATTTGCTGTTAGGGAGGGCATGGACGCAACGCACGGGAACGGGTCCGGTGGAACTCGTACTCGTTGTGGTTTCGGTGGTAGCAGCACGAACAGAGTGACCGATGGTTGCCGTTGTTCTCCCAACGTCTCCGTAATTACCACACGCCTTGTGAATAGTTGCTCCTCTATGTACTCCAACTTTTGCTCAATCGACTTCTTTGTCCCTCTGTTGCTTTGTTTTCCATTTCCTTTCCTTTCTAAGAAAGCACAGTTTGTCGCAGGACAATTAGACCTCACCACACACTCCACCACCTCCCTCCCTCGATCCACGAAGAGCCAATTCAATTAGCGGAACAATGGCGGCCGTCCTAAAGAACTCCAACACCCTCCTCAAAGCCCTAAACACCGGGTCAGGCACCTCCTTCGGCGCGTGGCAGATGCTCCCGGGAACACATCTTTCTCGAGCAATTGCCAGATCCGGCTATGATTGGATATGTATAGACACAGAACACGGAAACATTGCAGGTCAGTCGATTCTGGGAGGGGACCTCCCGTCTCTGTCTCGGGAGAGAGCAACGCGAGCTGATGAGAAGACTTGTTTGACAGACAACGAGATGCACGAGTCGGTGCATGCCATCGCGTCCGTCGGGGTGTCACCGATCGTGCGAATCCCCGCAAATGAAGGTTGGATGGTCAAGCGTGCACTTGACGCCGGTGCACATGGGATTATTGTTCCACTGTTGTACAGCGTTGAGGATGCGCAGAGACTAGTCCAGAGCGCCAAATTCCCGCCGACTGGAAAGAGAGGGTTTGGCAGTCCGTTCTCCATGGGCGCCTTCGACATCAAGGGTGATCTCTCGGGGTTCGATTATATGAAGAATGCCAACGATCACCTTCTAACGATTGTGCAAATTGAGACGAAGGAGGCACTGGATGTGGTGAGTAGATGAGCGGCTGTGGAATGTCTTGGCTGGGGGAGGACAGGAACGAGGAATGAGAAATGCTGACTCTCTCATTTTCTTGTGCACAACAGGTTGAGAAAATTGCACAGGTGCCTGGCATCGACGTCCTCTTCATTGGGCCCTGGGATCTCGGCAATAACATCGGACATCCAGTGACAGGCGAGTTCTCGCCCGAACTGCAGAGCGCAATCGCCAGAATCTTGAAAGCGGCACAAGATGCAGGCAAGAAGTCGGGGATATACTGCCCCAACGGCGACTTTGCCAGAAGATATGCCGATCAAGGCTTCCAAATGGTGGGTGGCGGCTGACATGATACGGTATTCGCTAACCATCTGGCACAGATTTCCGTGGTGAACGACATGACCGCCATTCCCGTGTATTTCGCCGAGTCGTTATCCAAGGCCAAGGGCTCGTATGGCCATGCTGCCGCACAAGCGGTGAAAGGAGCGGCATACGGAGCTGCAAATCTTGTGACAGGGCAACAAAAGGAATAGATGTAATAAACCCCAAAACCAAACCCCCGATTCACCACCGCTTCAAAGGAATAAACAGTGTCAAGACCCGTTCTTCTCGACTTGAGCCACCGCAGCCTCGATTTCATCCACCGTGAAGCGATGCATTAGTTTCTTGGCCGCATCCAAGCCTGTAGTCTGCCCCTGTTCCAGCGCCCCGTCGATGTGTAGAACGGGGACATCGAAGTCGTAAACATCGCGCCAATTCTGCTGTCCGGGGCCAGAGATATCGATCTCGGAGTAGTCAATGCCCGCTCTCCGGTTCTGAAACTCCTGAATGCGTGTTTTCGCCGTGTCGCAGAGCCCACAGTTTGCACGCGTGAATAATGTCAGGCGAGTGCCGGCGCGGAGTCGGACGAGAGTCGCTCTCATCTTGCACGAACCGTTAGCTGTTGAGACTGAATGAAAGACTGTTTCGAGTGCTACTGATTGAGCGCGTAACTGTTGGTCGATCGATTGATTCAAAGGACAGGCATGACTTTGGGATAGCCTGCTGCATGATATGTCCTAATGGGCGGAAATGGGCTGGCTGGCTGCTTGCTGCTTTAGTGTTACATATGTACCGAATGCTCGATTCCAACGCCGCTTTACGTCTGCCTCTCCCCATTCCACAACCCACTGCAGCCGTTCCTGATCATCGATCACCTGGATCCAGGGTACAGGAGGTAGATTAACTCACTCACATATGGTATGGAGTAGAAAGAACGGCGACCGAAGAGCCCAGGCTGAAATAGGAAGGACGTTCCCCCGTACCACATACACCCGCACACAGAGATAGAGATAGCGAGAGTTCGAATGAGGGCATCTAGACGCTATTGGGCGACCGTCGATAAGCTCAATCACTAAGCATTGAAGCCACATGCGGGCACGTTGCCTTTAACGAGGCTTAAGCCGAGTAAGCACACTTGACGGCGAGGAAAAGTGGGTCGGGGCGTATCAATACGGAGGATGTACAGAGTACTGGTAAGTTGGAAAGTGGTACACAGATAATGTAGCGGTATCCACCCCACCAACGTTCAAGGTTTGGATACTACCTCGCCTCGCACCCCCCCCTCGTCCACAAGGATCTGGGTCTGGGTCTGGGTCGGGGGAGAAAGTAGAGCCAGCTTTTTTGGCCTCTCTATCTTTCTCGTTCTCTCGTTCTCTTTTTTTCATCACCAAACTCTAGTCCTGGTGCTCTCCTATCAATCGTTTCGATACGGTACATACCATCTTGAGGGCGGGCTTGAGTTTCTCTTCTCGCTTTGACGAGACGACGACATTCCAACCATGGCGACGACATATGACGAAGAGAAGGCAGCTGATGGCCATGGCGCCAACCACCACCAGCCACCAACACCCGTCCACAATGAGAAAGACTTACACAGCATCCCCATCAACGACGACAGCAACGAGGCCTCATCAAGCGGCAAAGCGTCACCAAGAATGCTGTACAACGCGAGGCCGATGCAGCACAACGACGGGGTCATCTCGCGGCTCCGGCGGTTCGAGGCGCGCATGGACGCCAGACTCGGGATCGAAAGCGAGGCGATCGAGCGCAAACGGCCACAGGACAAACGCGCGGTGAAGTGGCACGAGGAGCTGACGATGGCGTTGCTCTGGGCGTCCGGGACGATGAACACGTCGTGCTTCGCGACCGGCTTCCTCGGGTGGGAGTTCGGGCTCTCGCTCAAGCAGGCGATCCTGATCACCATCTTCGGCTCGCTGCTGGGCGGCTGCGTGACCGGGTACGCGGCGACGTTCGGGGCGGCGACGGGCCTGCGCCAGATCAGTGTCACGCGCTACAGCTTCGGCTGGTGGCCGAACAAGCTGATCGCCGCGCTGAACGCCGTGCAGCAGGTCGGCTGGGCCGCCGTGAGCTGCATCACGGGCGGGCTGGCCCTGACCGCCGTGGCGGACGGGCACGTCTCGCTGGTGGTCGGCATTGTCGTGATCGCCGTGGTCGCGCTGGCGATCAGCTTCGTCGGCCTGAACGCCATCTTGGTGTACGAGCGCTACGCCTGGCTGATCTACTTCGTCATCTTCATGATCATCTTCGGCGAGACGGGAAAGTACGCGGACAACACCACGCCGGCGTCGGTCACCGGCGCCACGCTCTCAGGCACCGTGCTCTCGCTCCTGGCCATCACCTACGGCAGCTCCGCGAGCTGGTGCACCATGGCCAGCGACTACTACGTGCACTACCCGACCAACGTGTCGCGCGTCAAGGTCTTCCTGATGACAACGTTCGGCATCGCGATCCCGACCTCGATCGGCATGCTCGCGGGCTGCGTCGTCGCCAGCTCGCTGAACAACCGGGCCGACTGGAAAGACGCGTACGAGAACGAGGGGCTCGGCTTCCTCATCCAGGACATGCTGCATCCGCGCGGCTTCGCGAAGCTGCTGCTGACCCTGCTCGTCCTCTCGGGCATCAACACGAACATCATCAGCATCTACTCCAGCGCCATCTCGTGCCAGCAGTTTTGCCGCCCGTTCGCACGGGTCCCGCGCTTCATCTGGACGTTTCTTTGCTTCGCCGCCATCCTGGGGCTCGCCCTCGGCGGCCGCCAGAAGCTGAACACCTACTTGCAGAACTTCCTGTCCCTGCTCGGATACTGGTGCACCAGCTACTTCGTGATCCTGTTCAGCGAGCACGTCGTGTTCCGCAAGGGCAGCTTCGAGAACTACGATCTCGAGGGCTGGAATGATCCCGCCCGGCTGCCCTTGGGGATTGCCGCGGCCACAGCGTTTGGTCTCGCCATAATTGCCTGGGTCATGGGTATGGTGGAGACCTGGTATGTCGGCCCACTGGGGAAGTTGATCGGTGATTATGGTGGCGACGTGGCCAACGAGTTTGCCTTTGTCGTGACTGCCCTAGTCTATCTGCCTGCCAGGTACGTAGAGTTGAGGGTCTTTGGGAGATGAGATATACCCGGCGGAAACTGTGCTTGCATACATGCGTACGTACCCCAGGGCGTACACCATGTGTACATATAATGAATACATATATACAATTAGTAGGCTTCAGTTTCCCAACGAAAAGACCAAATAGAATCCTGAACTGGGAAGGCGTCACACTGCATTATAGATTGCCCTTTTCCTGCTCTTTCTATTCAAGCACACGCCATATAATGACTACACAAGCAGCTCTCTAAAGGGCAACGGAATATATGTCGCTGCTCATGGGGACACCCACCCTGCTACTACCAACTTGCCCTCAGCTTATTGGCTCATTGAGATTTCACTTTGATCTCACTCCATCGTCAGATCGGATCGGATTATGTATATCACATCGCATCACATCTCACAGCAGGAAAACTGAGATCGGAAATTAGGGGGAATTTTTGGATTGAGTACATAAAGGCTCAGCTCAAAGATCAATGCTCATGCTCCAATGATCATGCTCCGCTGTTCAGCTATGCATGGCCTGGATATGGCCCAGGGGCACGCCAATGGGGGGGGGGGTTTATCATCTGAGTCGTAATTCACGCAAATTGCGGGCGGTTGCTCTTATCCAAGGAGCTTCAAGTAAGTCCCTTGGCTACTCTTGCTCCTTGGCCTCGCGAGCAAGCTGCTTCTTGGCTCTACGCAGAGCAGCGCGCTTTTGAGTCTTCGTGAGCCCCGTCTGGATGACCGTCGAGGCGGCCGTGGCTCCCCCGGCTTCAGCCTCGGAGTCGCGCGTGATGGTGATGGTAGGCAGCGCTGTAGCGTGACCAGAAGCAGAACCAACTGGACGAGCAGGAGTTGGTCCGCCTTTGTGAGCAACGTTGTGGATATCTTTGGCGTTCCCCTCTTCCTTGCCTTTGCCCCTGTCCTCTGCCCGCTCGTTGTCACCATTGCCATATTCTTTCGCCTTTCCCTTGCCTTTGCCGGCCTTTGTATCCCCATCGCCATGGTCAATACCAGCACCAACACCAGCACCACCAAGATTCATCTCACGAAGAATGTCCGCGACGTCCAGGGGACCATTCTCGCCAAAGAGCTCGTCCAAACCATCGATGGGGTAGCCCGCATCTACAAGTGCATTGATGGTGAATTTGATAGCATCTTTCTTGGCGGCTTCGGTGACTGCAGTGGCGGCCGGGCGAGGTGCTTGTGTTCCGTGACGGGCCTGTTCGGCGTCGTCGGCCATGTGGGTCTGACGTGCGTTGCTCACAGAGTTTTCGGCGTCGTATTCAGGTACATCGTTGACCTCATTCGCTTTCTTGGCCATTTCAAGGCGGCTCTTCATGGTGATCGGGTTGCGCTCGCGGTTGAATGCGGAGAAGGGGGAGCAGAGGTAGCACTTGTCTCGATCTGTTCCGACCAAAAGGATGGTGGTTTAGCGTTTTGGTTTCATGCGGAGGGGGGGGGTACAATGAAAAGAGGATGTTTGCTTACCGATTGCCTTCTGGTGGCTTTGAGGATTGTGGACTTCCACTCGTACCAACGGCTTGCTTGTTGTCTTTGGAGCTGGAGCTGGAGCTGGAATTTACACCAGTGCGTCAGATCAGCGGTTTTTTGTGGGGTGGAAGGAGATCAGAAGCGGTACGCATCAATGAAAGTGAAAGGAATAAGCTGAACGACAAGCCATAAAGGAAAACTTACCAACTCTGGCCGGGGGATGACAATCACACAAGTTGTCAATGATCAGATTAGCCACGGCAGGGAGCTTGGCTACTTTCTTGAGTGTGCGCTTCACGTGTTTTGGAAGATCGTAGGCGCCGTTGATGTACAAGCCGCAGACCTCAATGAAGCCAATGACCCAGGGAGCCTTTTTGCCCGGCCAGAAACCTTTGTAGGTGCCCAACTTGCGGTCATACGCTTTGGTGGCTTGGTTGAGAATATGCTTGCAGAGGAGGCGGACCGTGGTGTTTTCGTCTTCCAAGGAAGAGAACAAGACGACGAAGGCTGGATCAGGTCGCTGGGCGAGTTCCTCCGGGCTGATCCTGGGGATGGTGCCTTGGCCGGCGTTGATTCTGACTTCTATGCCCGGGAGATGACCTAGGCAGATCGGGTCGATCAAGTAGTCAATGACTCGGATGTCGATGCCCCAGAGATGCCCGTGTGGCGCGCGGTCGTCGGGGATCTTGAAGGCAGAGGTGAACAGCTGAAGAAACTGGTTGAAGAGCTGCTTGCGTTGGTGCTTGCATGGTGTGAGGTAGCGAAGGCCTCGCGCGAGAAGGTAGTCCTCATACGCACTGTCTGGAGGCCGGCTCGACGGCTCGCCTTCATTTGCGACGGGTTCTGCCATTGCTGTGGCGTGAGAGCGTCGTCGATCTGGGTGGTACGTTGATGAGATCGAACTCTGCCAACCGCAGATCGCGCGATATTGTCCTGATTCATTGTGAATGCCAAGTACAAGTCATTCACTGCCTGCTGAACTTCACTTCACTTTCTGCCGAACAAAAGTGAGTACACCGCATCGCTGTTGTATAAGATATCGCCAAGATCAAGACGCCTAAGGCAATAGACCGAAGTGGTCGAAGTAAAGCTGGCTTAGCGCGACACCCACATGTGGTGCAGCCTTGTACACATCACTTCAGCCTTGCAATCCCTGTCTGCTAGCAGATCACCACAAGGATCAGCCCCAGGCCATGCACGTCTCAGAAAACACATAAACATGGTGCCAGATTCACTAACGTATGGGCGTAAGTAAAGCTTGTCACTCTGCGAATGCAAATTCATTGACCAAGCCACCGGACCGGAATGCAGCGCTCGAGTCTGGCCGTGGAGTAAGTAGTATTTGGCGCATTTTATTCTCTGACGCTCAAGTCATCAGCACACCTATTCTGAGATCGCTGTACTCGTAGCCACTGAAGCACGGGCATTAAATACCTGCCGAATATCCAATCCACAGCCTGATCACAACCAAAATCATCCACCTCATACTCCAATAAGCCAAAATCGCAGTAGAAAGTTCCTGGTGCGGTTATCTATATATGGCAAAACGGTCATCATCAAAAACTGAAAGATTCAAAGAATTCCAATTTCGCCATCATCACATAATCTATCCACTGATTGTGCAGATGGAAAAGGGCAAGGAAATTCATGACGTAAACCTCAAAAACACTCCATCCCAACCAAACACAAACATATGGGATATCGTTCGTGACCAAAGTTCAAATCTAAAACCTCCATCATAATCGCTGTGGGATTTGATGTCCAACAAACAAGACAAAAGGCTGCAAACAAGACATGTCGTAATGGGTTCGGCCCAGTGGTTCCGATGTGGACCAAAGTCGAAGGGTTAATTCCCACCCAAAAACATGGAGTTTTGCCCCGGATTCGAAAAGTCAATACCGGAGCCACTGGCATAGCCATCGTTGAGATCGTCTTCATAATATTCTCCCCCACTAGAGCCATCGAAACTGGCTCTGCCCATTCCACCGACATCACTGAGATCTCCAGGGTCGTCACTGGTGGGAACTTGGGACCAGTCAATATTTTGAAGGGCCGGGTATTGGGCCAAGAGGGCTGCAGGGAGGGAAAACCCTCCCGTACCAGTAGTAGGATCCATTCCAACCATAAGTGGCTGCGGAACCGGTTGGAGTCCACCTTGCATGAAATGAGCGGCCTGTTGCTGATGTTGCTGTTGTTCCATCATTGCCCTGTTCTGCCGCTCCTGCCTCTCCTCTTCCAGAAGCGGCTTGATGCACACCCTGCCTGCTTCAGAACGGAAATGCCGGCCGAGCGCGTCGGCTCTCGCAAATCTACGACCGCAGCCCCAATGTGACCCAGGTGATGAGCGAAGTTCGCCCTTGCAGACAAACTTTTTCTCACCACTGTGGAGTCCCTCGTGGCGCTTGCGATCGTGTTGTCTTGCAAACGCCTTGCCACAAACGGTGCACACGAATGGTCGTTCATCGGTGTGTGTACGTAAATGGGAGCGTAAATTGTATGCCCGAGTGAAGCGTTTCGGGCAAAGTGTGCATTGAAACGTTGCCGGGTGTTTCTGTACCCTTGTGCTCGTGCCAGGCGGTGCATTCGGCCTATTGGGATCTGCAAGGTCAAGAATATAATCTCTGCTTTGACTGACGGCAGAGGTGGACGCGCGTCGATTTTTCTCGACCCGACCAGAAGCCACGCCGGGTCCTGGGGATGATTCACGAGATACGGAGCCCCTCTCCCTGTCCGGCGATCGTGATTGCACTGCGAGAGTCGAAGAAGCACTGGTTGATTGTAGACCTGGAGACGCAGACCTGGAAAAGGGTCGGGTAAAGGTGGAGTCGGATTTACTACGATTACGGCCTCCTGAAAGGCATCAGTCAGATATTGATGCTATCACAAGTTGTCACATATAGACTTACTACCGAGGTTATTAGGAGGGCTCAAGGCACCTTCGGTACCTTCAACTTGTGGTCCGAAGCTTTGCTGTCTTGAGACCGGTGCGGGTTCAATGTTTATGGTAGGTGGTTCAAACAAATCGGCCTGTCCAATATCGGAAGCAACCGAAGTATTGCGCATATGGTTGCTTGGAAGAATGGGGGGTTGCACGAAGCTCGATTGATTCGAGTAGACTTCTGAAACAGGAACGCCTAGTGGTTGGCTCAAAGTCAGGTCAGGGTTCATGCCGATTCCGGTCTGTTGATTGTCGGTCATATGAGGCATCAGTCTAGGAGATCGATAGGAAGTCTGCTCTGTCAGGGTGAAGCTCTCCAGGCCAAAGGCATTACTAGTGTCCGGTTGAGCAGGGAGGTAGGGCGAGTGGCTGACGTCTTGTAATTCCGAGTGAGCGAGATAAGGAGAATGTTGAGCGGATGGGATATCGGAATGGTCAGAAGTTGCTCTGCGATGTTGTTGGAAGTTTGCACCACTGTAGGCATCTCCATAGGCGCTGGAAGGATCCAAAGACACATGTCTAGAATGCTGAGGAGTGTAAAACTGTTGGCCGTTGGTTGAAGCAGGAGAATCAGGCCGTGAGCTATGGTTTTCGGGAGGGAAAAGATTTGGTGATTGATGATCTTGTGGAGAAGAGACTTTGCTCAGCTCAGCGGGATTGATGTTGGGCTGAGGGCTGACATCGTAGGCGTTGTTCAGGGAGTAGCCCTGCTGGAAACTGTTGTTCATGTCCTCGCTCTGATACATGTAGTTGTTTGTGTAGTTCGGATCCAGAGCGTGTCCCCCGAACTGGTTATCAGAGTAGAGGTTCTGCTGGTAATTGGTATTATTATAGAAGTTGGGGTCAGCAGAGTTTTGTTGTAGGCCTCCTTGTTGATGCTGCTGCTGCTGCTGCTGCTGTTGTTGTTGTTGTTGTTGTTGTTGCTGGTGGACGAAGGGGTTGCTGAACAGCTGGGGAGCGGTGTTGAATTTCCCGGTGGTCAAGGCTTGCTGGACGGAAGGATCAATGCCTTGGACGAGGGAAGCGGAATAGTGGTTAGGAGAAGGTTGAGGACTGATGTGTTGAGCATTACCCCTCGAAGGGGATCTGCCTCGATTGTTATCCATCGTTTTGACACAATGTTTCTGGGAAGCGCCTCAGACAGGCGTACGGCCCAAAGAAGATATGACGAGGTGGGAAGAGATGGGTCCCACAGGTCGAATCGGGAGTCGGACCAGCAAGATAGGGAGCGATTGTGGCTCAATTGGCGGAAAGAGGATTCGTGAAGAGTGTAGGTCTGTATTTAGCCTATGGCACAGCGGGTTAGCCATGTGGTTGCGTGCATCAGGTTGGATTGGTCATACTCAGCCGCGGAGTGAGGCTATGCTCTGAGACGTGGGCTTATAAAAGTCGCTTGACGCGCAGAGGGTGCAGTCGAATCAATTGACGAATTTCGAGAGCACGATGACGTCCAAGCACCGTCCAATATCGATGGCAGATGCCGGATACGATTGCGCAAGGGTGCAAAAGCTGAGCAGGGAGAGATGGTGAGGTGGTGAGGTGGTGAGGTGGTTGTGGTGTGGGATGAGGCAGTGGGTGTGGTGACGGGTGCAGCAATCTGTGGAAGGCGAAGACCAGAGGCAACGCAGCGTGATGAATTGGAAGGTATAAGATGCGGAGTTGCGTCCTGGAGATGAATCTGATGGAGGGAAAGCAGGTCAGTGGCGGCGGCGATATAATGAGTTGAGGGTAAGTCAGTCGGTTGGGTTGGGTAGTGAGATATCGATCGCATGCGACAAAAAGGTGAATTGAAAGGCGCGATTTCTTGCGGGCGCAGGTGCGGGTGCGGGCGAGCGTGAGCGTCAGAGGAAAGGAGGGCTGAACTGGTGCTCCGTAGGGCGGCAGGAGCGACGATCGCAGGTTGCAGGTTGCAGGTCGCAGGTCGTGACTGCGGTATGTGTAAGTACGAGGATGCAAGTTAGGTAGGTGCGAGGCGGGTCAAGACGTCAAAAGTGCAAGCGCAAGTGCAGCTGCGAGGCAAGTGCCAGTGTAAACGTCAGGCGAGGAGGAAAGTGGACGTTACTGTACTCGTACTCGTAAGTTGGGCTCCGGATAACTTGAACCTGGAAGAACTCGAAACGTCAGTTTGAGCCCGAGGGGTGCTTCTAAGTAGCGAATCTAGCAGCCACCTACTCCGTACTGTGCGCCAGTATTGGGCATCTGGTTAGCCTGCTAATGTCCCGAGTCCCCTGTGGTTGTTAGTTAAATCCAAGTGGTGGGAAGATTCGGTATTTCAAGCATTGTGAATGACGCGCTGTATTGTCCCAGTGCCCACCGTACGCCATAATTACCCACGCGCCGTACGAGTACAGAGTACGGAATACAGCCTTTGCACCTGCCACTACGCAATGCCAACTCTACCACGTTCCTGGGCTCTTCCTGCCCTTCCACCCGCTCGAGTTGATGCCCAACTTGAAGCCGGTAAACAGTCGGGGCACCGAGAACGGCACAGAAGCAGACACCAGGATTTCCTGCCAGCTATCCGTACTCGGTATGGCCAACCATGTTCCAGTTCTGTCTTCTGGACTTGAGGGTTTTCGAATTGCCCGGCCTGATCTCTTGAACCAACGAATCGTTCTCAAGAAGTCATGCCTGGGAGCCTTTTGGACCCCACCGGCGTCGACTTCAACTTCGACTTCAGCTTTCAGTCTTCACCTTGTAGACCAATGACACTTCTGGATTCCATGATACCATCATCCAACGTCTCTGCTTGAACCTCTAAGCATCCGTTCAATGGACATTACATTTCTTTTTCAGATCAGGCACTCCGTAGAATGAAATCAGCAGTCAGTTGCTTGCCTGACCAATTCACCTCTCTTCACGCAGATCTCATGCCCGAATCCACCACCGCTGCTGAGTGTTGTTGCCTTGCAGGCCCTCGCTAATTAGTCACCCACGGAGGACTCGTATGTACATACAAGGACGAGGACTCGTAGGTGCAGTTAGTCGCTAGTTCGGCGCCGCTGTCCTGTCCATACGAGTATGTCTTAGATGCACCGCAGTCCCCGGTACTCCATACGCGGACACATGTCTGCGGTGTCCCTCTGTCGCATGTGCCACAATCACCACCATCGCCTTATGCCTAATTCCTCAAGGTTCGCATTGTCCTGCACCGTGCCTGGAGATCATGACGTGTCCATCCCTGGTCTCTCACCAATCTCCTTTTCCCTTCGCGTATTTCCCTGTCTAATCCAATACCAGGAACGCCTCAGTTCCGGGATAACTACTGTATACTCCATTTTGGTGGCTGTGCTGTCCAATCCACATCCCATGCCAGGCACCAGAACGAGTAGTCGACACTCCGTACCATGTCATGATATCACCAGTAGCTAGCCGATCAAGGCTGCACGGCACATTCCTAACGTTTTGTTCATTACTGCCGACCTTCTGTTGTTGTGGGGGTTTTTCTATGTTACAGAAAACAGAAAACAATGGTGGTCCAGGACTCGGTAATGTCCATCGTCAATTCCCCTCCCTTGCTTTCCTATCCCCTTTTACAGTCGAACCTGCACTTTTTCTAATCTCTCCTTGTTTTTCTGCTGCACTGTAAAGCACGAAAAATTCTCTCGCCCGTGCCGTTGCCTGTCCTTTCCATTCCTTGCCAGTGAACGCCTTGCTCGCCAGCTGAAAATGCTCCCAAAGAAAACACCCGCTGCTCTGGGACAAAATGAGATAGATTGCACGGTGCCAACACACGTAGCCGCATACAAGTGATCGTGATTCATCAGGGTGTGACTGCCTTTCTCGACTGCCAGCTTCTGTATATGAATGATCCATCCCTTGGCTTTTCGGGACACGCAATCAAGGCCGTGTACGAACGCGATCGACAGGGGTGAAAATTAGATAGTAGTCGTAAAGCAGGAGCCTTGGTTGTTCGTTTCTCCCCTGCCTTGGGTGAGAAGGCCAACATTCTATCATCGGTGCTCCTGACGGCCGCAATAATACGAGCCACAATGCACCAAAAGTGACCAAAACTCAACCACAGCAAAACACCTTCATCAGCTTTTGCAAAAACCCGGGCTGTGGCTCTTGCTGGGGGTTGGAACGGCCCTGGCTGTTCTGCAACGCTCCAGTGGCCGGACTCGATCGAGGCCCTTGTCCCACAAGGTTGGCATTGCTATTCTGGAACTGCGCTTGTGTGCTTGCCGGAGGCGTGTTCACGTCCAGTTGTCCTGCGAGACCGCTGCCTCTCTTCGGTATGTTGCCCCCGGCGGCGCCGCTTGTGCGATCGCGAGCGCTCTTCCCCAGGGCTACCACTCCTGGCTTTGCTGGTGATCCCGGGGGCGGGGGCTGCGCTGCGTTTAAACGATCGGTCGGGATAGCCGCCCGATCTCGTGCTGGTCGTTGACCTTCTTGTCCGCGGACAGCGGAGTTGCCATGTAGTGCTCGAGCCGACTCGTTGGCTGGAGCATTGACATTGTGCAGGTGGAGGTTCGACGGGTGATTCTTGACCGCTTCCCATCCTCGTCCACCGTTGAGCTTCATCCAGTCGTACTCACCGTCCTCCACTTCTCCAGTGTTCTTCAGCGCCTGCGTGAACAGGTCTCGCAGAAAATCGTAGTCAGGCGTGTCCTCAAAGCCCAAATTCCGCACGTAACTGAGATACTTGTTGAACTCCTCTGCAAAGCTAGTTAGCCTCCCAAAGCTCAACCAATAACTGCAATAGCAAAATGCAAACCCACCTGGAAAGCCTTCACAGAGATCCTTGATGGCGGTAGTTTGTTTCTTTTCTCCAATCTTTTCGTATTTCTGCTTGTTTGTAGCGGCCTTTAGCCCCTGCCATGGTAGACCACCCCTCAAGAAGTACATGAAGACGTGGCCCAATGCTTCTAGATCATCACGACGTGACTGCTCTCGCCCCAGATGCGTGTTGATACTCATGTATCGTGCAGTGCCCGACAGTGATTTGCGTTCGCGATATGGAATATGTTGCTTCGTCTTCGGGTCGCGGTACTGTTTCGCCATGCCGAAGTCAATGACATGAATAACATTAGCAGTCTTCGAATTAGGACGTCCAATGATGAAGTTGTCGGGCTTGATGTCACGGTAGATCAAGTTCTTTTCGTGGATTGTTTGAACTCTAGACAACTGCAAAACCAATCAGCGGGGTGAGTTACCACGATCAAGGCATTGCCAGCTTACCATCTGCTTTGCAACCATCACCACTGTCTTGATGGAAAATCGTCTATTGCAATGATCGAAAAGATCCTCCAGGCTCGGGCCCAGCAAGTCAATCACCAGGATATTGTGTAATCCTTCCTGGCCAAAGTAGTAGACATTCGGGATGCCGGCTGTGACAGTGTTAGAAGGACAAGTTGCTGGACAACAGACGTAAGATGGCACTCACGGCAGCCGACCAAAATCTTGTAGGTTCTGTATTCATCACGAAGCTGTGGAGCATCGCTCTTTCTTGGTTCCTGGAGGAGTGTCAATAGGTGCCCGTGGTATGGGCAACTGGTGGACTCACGAATTTGATAGCGACCTGTTGATTATTGAGGAGATTTGTGCCCTCGAAGATTACGCCAAAGGATCCCTCTCCTATCTTCTTTCCGACGCGGTAATGAACACCAACAACATTCGAGGAGGACGACGCCATGACTGCGATGCCGAGACGAGGGGAGCAAGCAATGCAAGCTGGTAGCAAGAATCGATGAGATCAAGGGTCAGTGTAAGGGCGTCGGCCAAGACGGTGGCAGCGTGACAATAAGATTCGGGCGTCAGGCGGACGGGCCTCCGGGCTTCTGTAAGAGCTGCTGTCAGCAAGTGCAGGATATGGAATCAGAGATGGGAGAATGTGGGAGGTGCATACCAGACCAGGAGGTCAGGCAACAACAAGTATCATGCGCAGACGGTGGTTCTTGGAAATTAATGTCGAGGATAAAAGGTGGGAGGTGGTGAGTCGTGAGTCGTGACAAAGACAAATCGGCGAGGTTGTGGTTGTTGTGTCGGGAGGTGCAAGCGAGGCGAACTCCTGCCAAGGCGAGACAACGGGATCTTAGGAAGGCACAGGCGCAACCGGAGTGCCTCCGGTGCTTGTACTGTACAAGTACGGAGTACGAAGTGCTGGAGGTACCAAAGTATCAACGAGACCCGTGCTCGTGTCCTTCGAGTGGGCCCAGGCAAGGACAGCACCAATAACTATCTATCTGTAGACTTGAAAGATGCTCCAAATGATAAAGCCAAAGTGGAAGTTTGTACTCGTAAATGTGACCTCCCTGTGGATGGGCTGGGTTCTTACCTGGGGGGGTGAGGGAGATCGGTGAGAGGACGCGGCTGGGAAAAAAAAGAATGGACAGGCGAGCGTACGGGGTTCAACAGCGTACAGTTGCGACTCTAGGGCGGGCGCAGTCCAATGGCCTGGGAGACGACGCAACGACGGAACAACAGAACAACAGAACACTGGCACGAGGCGGCATCCGGGTAGAGAGGCAACCTGCAAAGCCACTCGCGAAACAGACCGGGGAGAAGGGCCATGGATTTTCCGGGCTAGCTAATGAAGGGACGCTAATTGCTCTCTGGACAAGCCTGGGTGCTAGGATCCCATCCAGAAAGCCCCGTCCCACCTCCAGGCACCGCTTCGCGCTTACTCGTAGCTGTCCTCAGACACCGCGACCCACCACCCAGCAATCTGCCACCGCCTTGTCCAGGCTGCCACTGTGGAGGAGAGCCAGGCCCTAAACACCTAAGAAATGACCTCTAAAGGCCAACAATGGGCCACAAACACCGCCTGGGCTGCTCTACGAGTACCTGCCACCTTACCGCGCCACATTGACGCCCACAACAATTCAAATTCGTCATGTTCGTCATGTTCGTCATCTATCATGTTGGGTCAGCCAACCGGCAATGCAGAGGCATACATCTAATCAAGTGCTTCCATAAATCAGATACTGTTCATGCATCGCTGCACTTTCTGGCACCCGATTTGCGTACGAGTACTGTAGGCGCTGTAGGATCGACCCGCCCGGTAGGATAATTAATGCCTGATATCGAAATGGGTCGTCAACAACTGACAGCGTTACACAGCAGCTCCTCCAATGGCTGCCCGTCTTGAATTATCTTCCCATCAAAAAACCCCAGTGGAACACGTCAATCTGCTAACGCAAAGAATGGGCAGGGACGCAGAACCCAATGCAAGTGTCGTCCGGGGCAAACTTTTCAATTGCTCCACCCCGAGCTACAATCTAGCTGGTCCATTTGGGGGCGCCTCGGGGCCTTGTCGTTCCTAATCGGTGTGAGCCCTCCGTGAATCTTCATCTCGACGCTTTGTTTCGTTGCAATATAATTAATGATGGGCGGGAAACAGGGAGCTTGAGAGCTTGAGAGGTTGCAGCTTCCCAGTCCACCTCCAGAGCCCCTTGAAGAACATCCATCATCCCTTTTGAGCCACACAAAATGCAGGCACCATGCAGCCAAGCCGTAGTGCGAACTTTACCCACACCGTATCGCCTCGAGACTTTGTGGTATCCTAAGGATGAGAATCCCCCGATCATGCTTCGCTAACCTATACAAGCAAATAATGACCTGTAACCTGCTAACCGCCGAAGACTCCAGACTCCAGACTCTAGACTCCATCTTGGTTCTGACCGCTCTCCGTCGCGTTTCTCTTCATCTGCCCTTCAGGAAGACTTCAATATTCCCACCGAATGGTCCACTGCTTTCGCTTGAACGGCACCTTTTGTGAGCAGCGGAGGGCTTTCCTGTGCAGTCGACTGGCTTCGACGAACCCGGGTCACGTTTCGCAATGGTGAAGGTGTTGCTGGTTGGAAGCCTGTGCTTCGATCTCGTGGCGTACTTGGCCCCAAGGTTGAACTGCTCTCGCGTTTGAAAAGACCGCCAAGATGGAGACTCCGACTCTTCTTGACTTGTTTTTCGTTTGGAAGGCCCATCTTTTGATTGGTATCGCGCGGTTGGAGAGCTACACCTTCCGTTCGAGGCAACGTCGATGCTCGTGATCCGTGTCGATGTCCTTTGTCTGCTGCTGCAGCCACTCTGGCTAACCTGCCTTTGCTGAAGAGGCTCAAAGCGCTGCTGCTCTTCTTCAATGAAACACCTAGCGATGAATTATGTTTCTTCTCCTTCACAAACACCCGTGTTGGAGTTGTATCAATTGCGACAGCCTTGCGCGGCTGTAGCTTGGCGTTCTTGCTGGATGGTGGTGTCTCACGTGCATATTGGCTCAGGTCCCCCAGCGAAGGCGAGTATATCGGAGCATCCTCTAGGCTGATACACTCGCTGCCATCTTCGCTCATCTGACTGGGTGTTTCTGCTCTCTGGGGCTTCATGGCCAATGTGGATTTCGGACTCGGTGGGTGCATTCGAAGGGGATGGACCCCCTTTGGATGACCCTCCACTGGTTTCGAAGGTATGTATCCATTGTGCTCCGGTGAGTAAACAATAGGCTCAGGTGCAATCTTGCGCCCGGCGAGTATGCCGTTTGTCGACGGATTTCCTCCCCGTAAGGGTATGACTACGTGCGGCTTGGCCCTTTTAGTGGTATCTGACTTATGCAAGGAAGACGTGCTAGCGAAGGTTGCTTTTTCATGTTCTGTTTGACTGAGCTCTTGATGACCATTGTTGTCAGAGATTCCCTTCTTGATATTGAAAAAGGACGACTTAGATCTCAAGAAGGATGCATTGTGTGGAAGAGGAGAGTGAAAGTCAAGTTTATCCACTGCGCTGGCAAACGATCTGGTCAACGAACCGAAAGCCGAGTCGCCATCGCCCTGTATGGTATGGCTTCTCATTGCATCCATGTCGTTGAGCCTTCCCAGAAGAGGCGGATCTTGCTGTGAGCTCAAGAGATTGGGGGCGTTATTTACTGATTTGCGTCGAATATGACTGCCCCATGCAAATCCTTTCATCTTGCCCCTGTAGTGGCCCAGAGTTTCCACTCTATATCGCGGATCCGCTCGGATACTTGACGTATTTTGGACGATTGGGTCGCCAGATGCGGGAGGACAGCTTTGTGGCAGCAAAGCATTCTCCTTCCAGTTGCTCAATGAGGAAGGTTTGATCCTCGCTCTGAGAGCATTGCCCAGACTGAACATGCGTCCGCCTCTGAATGTTCGGCCGGCTGGTGAGGCACCTTCCTTGCCGGGCTGGGCTCTCTCGAAATGAGAGTCATGTCCAGAAGTGGAAGACTTGTCGACAGAGGTCCGAGCGACCCAATCCACTTGCGAATCCCAAGTGGATTGCGAGAATGCAGCCTCTGATATCTCTCCACAATGAACACACTCGGTTCGAGCAATTTCAACATTTGTGGTACTGGTCAGTGTAGGAGCTGAAATGACGCTTCTCCCAACTGTGGAGGTGCTAGAGGCCTTTGGAAGCTGGGTGGAGACGCTGCGAGGGCAACTTGGGCCTTGCGAGAATGGTTTCTGAAGGGAAGACCACGACAATGGACGCAGTATCTGGCTGACCTTTTGCCGAGCTGACAGCGCACGAGCAGTGATCGTTGAGGACGCAAACCGCCCAGGGATCTGACCATTATTCTCTTGATGTGTTGGACATGCTGGTTTCGAGGAGACATGTGAATGAAACTTGGTAGCGTGTGGACTTGGAGAAGAAGGAGGTTGATTGTGAGGATCGCAGTTGTAGGAAAGGCTGGACACGGCGCGTTCGTGCAGCTCATCCCTGGAGGGAATTCGAGCCGCTCAACATGACAGTCAGTCACAGTGACTTTACGGGCGAGGGATCTCACCTTGTCTCGAACCTGCACGGCTAAACGACCGAATTGTATCAAAGGAAAATATGGAGAATGAACCTCTGCTCTGATTGCGTCTGTGTCCTGCCATTGTGAGAGTGCTTGAGATGGATCCAGCGATAATACTCCTTGCCTGGTACAGGAACGGGAACAGATCAGTGAAAGCAGAAGAGAGAGCACTTGACTGTCTCAGAAAGAATGAAGCAACGACAGCATTCTGTACTCCCGACTGCTCTAGGATCTTGTCTCTGTGATGGTATTGAGGTCTGCCAGGGGAAGGGACGACCAAGCTGGACCAAAGCGCGTATCATCTTGGGGGAAGGTGCATCCAACAGTTGGATTTGTTGTCAAGACTCGCTAGGGGGGAGGCTGTCTTTCAAAGCGCGCTCCTTCCTACTTGATCGCTGCTTTTCTTTGTCTGCACGTGTGCACTAGACAGACGTGGCTGATTCTCTGATTCTCCCTGGGAGTACAGGTACCCAGGTACCTTTCCCAGTATGGCTGTCCGAGGAGACCTTCGTGTTTGGGGATACCATGGCCATCATCCATCCCTACGAAGGTACGTACCTAAGTACTCCGGACGTAAGTTATGTATGAGGAGGCCACGGCCTGGAAAGAATAGGCATAGAGATCTCGTATCTCCCTTCATGGCTGATGCCAAAGTTACCTTAGGTACTTCACCCCATGATGCCAAGCGTTCCAGGGCAAGATAGAGAACATTGCCAAATAGAATTACTATTGCAACACGGACCTCTGGGTGCCTCCCTCCGGGCCAAGAGTTGATCACGTGCTGATGAGCGCCAAAGCAGGAGGAATGTCTCCAGCATCAATCAAATACACGAGTATGACGAGGGGTTCAATGTGGGGCTGGGGACGGCGCAATGATGGATTCGCGGGCTATTCCGCCAAATCGGTAAGAGCGCCTTGATTATTACAGTACGGAGTATCTCCAACTGCCTTGCTGTACACTGGGTATAGAAAATGACCAACTACCGCGGCTATTACTGGTGGGCAACTGGGCACCCACTGGGCCCGGCATTCAATCTTTCCCGCAAATTGGCCGATGCCATTTGCTCGACTTCTCGAGTTCCTCAAGAACCTCACCATTATCTTCAGATTGCAGGTGCATTTCTCTAGCACCAGATTGTCAAATCGCTTGGGGAGCCAGCTTTAGCAAGATGCCATACTCTCTCAAAGGCCGTAATGTGCTGGTGACAGGAGGTTCGAGGTACAATTCTTGAACCGCATATCATCATTGATCATCCGCAGTTGACCTTGGAATATAGAGGACTCGGCGCCTTGATAGCCGAGAAATTTGCCGCAGAAGGCGCCAACGTCGTGGTCAATTATGTGACCAGCAAGGAGAGAGCAGTCGAGGTTGCTGAGAAGATCAAGACTGACTATGGAGTCAAGGCTCATGTTCTTCAAGCTGTGAGTCCTGCTTGCATGACCACTGTTAATACAAATAGGTGCTAACATAATCCGAAGGACATTGGCGTCATTGCAGAATCCCAGAAGCTAGTCAAAGACACCGTGGAGCTGCTTGGAGGCCTCGATGTGATCATCAACAATGCTGGCTGGACAAGGTTCGCAACCTTTGGCGATATCAACGATCTCAGTCATGATGAGTGGAATAAAGTTTGAATAGCACACCAGCCCTTCTCACCTTCTCAGATGCTGATCCATGTCAGTGCTGGTCGACCAATGTCATGTCCCACTTGGTACTGCTTCAAGAAGCCGCTCCCATATTCAATGCCAACCCTGACGGCGGTGTCTTTCTCATCTCCTCCTCGGTCGCTGTTTGTTCCATGGATCACTTGTCTCAGACAATGCTAAGCATCGTACTAGGGCATCACCACTGGTGGAAGCAGCATGGGATATGCTGTCACCAAAGCCGCCGGACTCCATCTCATGAAATGCATGGCTTTTACTCAAGGGCCAAAGATTCGACTAAATGCCGTCTTGCCAGGTCTGCTGCTGACAGAATGGGTGAGCACTTTGCCTGTGAACCACGTGGAACCAACGAGTTTGACATTCTCCGCTCAGGGACAGAAATATGGCGAAGACAGGATTAAAGCCAACATCAACATGACAGCTCTGAAGCATGAGGTTTGCGTTATCCCTCGCGTTCTAGACTCCGGCTCTGACATTAGACTAGACATATCTTGATGATTGTGCCGACGCATTTATCGCATCAGCAAAGAACACTTCACAGACAGGGCAACAGATTGTCGTTGGTAGGTCACATTCCAGGCATGATGAAAGTCACCCGCTTACGTTGCAAGATGCTGGCCTCGTCATCAAGTAGCCGTAGTTCATTTTACAGGGTTGGATAAGAAAGGGGGTGTCCAAACAGCCACAACTGGTACGGACCAATTTTCACCGGATCAGGTCGAAATAGGTTTGCGTGGAATGCAGCACTGGCCGCCTTATCCTGTCTCTTCGAAGGGATCGTAATATCCGGAATTACCAGCTGACTAGGTCTACCGGGCTGGTCTGGGGTGACATTGACAATCAGGGGATTCGTTAATATGCCCGAGTCAATCTCTTCATCAGCCAATGCATATGGCAGGCCCTTTGGGATAGTTAACAATTCATCTTGTATTTCCGACGGCACATCATGTCCGGTAGGCAGTCGTAAAGTTTTCCCAACTTTCATGGTGAGTTCTTCGACGCTCCCCAAAGGTTTAGCTCCCACAAGGAGGTTAGACCGGCCAGTTGCGCGATTTCGCCGGAGGATAGCGTCTCTGCTCATGGTTTGAAAATCGATGGCCTGTGTCATTCTTGTAAACTTTGGAGCCGGCATAATTCCTGACTCGTCGAGCGTCGATGGCACGGCCTCATAGGGTGGAACATAAAGCTTGTTCCTGATTACGTCGATGAGCAGCTCCGAGCCCATTGGTGCCAGAATCTTGGTCAGATCATTAGGGGAGATATTATCCTTGTCAGGTATTTGCAATCCAGGATACGGTGTTTGAGCGAGCACAATGCCCCCGTCAAACTTGGTAGGGTGCAACGTCTGAACAGACACACCTGTGTGTGTGAGGCCATTCATAATTGCCCAGCGAATTGGTGCCGCGCCTCGCAGATTTGGTAACATTGACGGATGAACATTTAGTCCGCCATATGTTGCGCCATTGATGATTCGCATTGGGATCAGTAGCCCAAATGACACGGCAACAATCAGATTGATCTCGGAGTTGAAGCTTGAATCATACACTGGGGGTTGCCAGCCAGTGAAAGTATCGATTTTATGGACCGGTAGTTCTAGATTCTCAGCAAAATCCCCAAGGGGAGTCTTGCTGAGTATTTTGTTGCCGCGGCCAATATACTTGTCCTTCCTGGTGACCACATCGATAGAGAGTATAATGCTGTCCGCGGACTTCGATTCCTCATGGAGAGCTTTGAGAGACGCTGTACTGAACGTGTCCGATCCACAGAATAGAATTCGCAAGGGAGCGGAATGTTTCTCGTTCGCAATTGAGGATATCCAACGTACCGTCTGTTGTTGAACGCGGGTCGAGGTCAATTTGCGCGACCAAGTGGCAGCTATCCTTCTCGGCAACCAGGAGAGAGGCGGCCTCATTTGCCCTTCCTTTCACGATAAGCTTATTCCAAATGATAGCTGTCCTGATCAATAGGCCGAAGAAAAGTTGAAAAGGGAGAAATAATATATTGCCAAAATGGGTATAGCAAGCCAGAGCACGACACTAGCCTCAATGAGGACGCAAGCGGCTCATGACGAAATATCCTTATCCCGTATCTACTCTATTTGGTTTTGTTGCTAATCTTAAACCACGGCCACTTCGCACAATGCCTCGGTTCGCTCCCTGGTAGTGTCCACCACAGAGACCATGAACTAGATGGTGATTCCGATTTCAACCTTAGTCAACTACTCGGCGAACCTAACGAGTATCCCAGCCTTTGGGAGGGTGTTAAAACGCATGTTCTTCCGAGCTCAGGGGAAACACTGAATTCAATTCCCTATTCATAGTATTTCAGATTCCCTAAGCCTGCCACTCAGGGATTCGTGAACAACATTACCCCGCAACCTCGTCATCAGCGATTTCAATCCTGGCAAACATCTTGCAATTTGTCACCCACTGTACTCCGTACTCCCTACCCAAAGTCGAAGGCCTTACCAACTAGACTTGCATAGAGCTCAAGACCAAGGTCCAGCACAAGAACTGTCCTTCGGGACAAGAAGAACCTCCTTTGAACACCTCAATTATGGCTGAACCGACAAAGCCAACAGAATCCAAGCCGCCTGACGTGGCCGTTGAGGACGACTCTGATCCAGACTTTGATGACCTTGACGGTAAGCACCATTCTGAGGATGATCATTTCACATGGTGCCGGTCGCAATATTTATGACTGAACAGATGTGCTCGACCAATTCTCCGCCGCGACCTCCTCGCAACCAATGGCTGCCGCGACCAAATCTCCCCAGGAGCCCATACCCTCATCATCTGGACCCGGCAGGCCAACGACAGAAACCACCGCTGCCACCGCGGCTCCAGCGCTTCCTCCAGACATTCCCATCCCACCAGGCCCCAAGCCCAACGAGTCCGAAGATGAGTTCCTCGAACGGCTAACGGCTGAGATGTCGAGTGTCATGTCGAAATTTTCCATGGACCCCGCCGCGTCGGCTGCCTCACCCGAAGACATTGCTAAGATGGGCCAGGAGCTAGAAGAGTTTACACAGAGGATGGAAGCTCAAGGCGTTCAGCCGGAGGACATGCTCAAGGCCATCCTGGGTGAGGACGCCGGGAACAAGGTGGTCGACGTTGCCGAGCAGGAGCGCGACCGTCGAGAGTCGCAGTCGAAGTCAAGAAGCCCCGAGAAGTCGCGGGCGAACGATGAGACATCCTCAACACAGCCATCAAGCTCCAAACCCAAGTCCGGCTCGAAATCCAAAGCCAAATCACAGGCTAAACCGGCCGACTCGTTCGAAGACACGATCCGCAAGACAATGGCGCGAATGGAATCCTCCTCAGCCGCCGCATCAGGCGCCACGCAGAAATCCGCCGCCAAATCGGAGGAAGACATGCTCGCCGAAATGCTTCGCGCCCTAGACTCGGAAGGTGGCGGCGGCGCAGGCGGTAGCGCCGGATCTGAGGGCGACCTGTCGAAGATGTTCCTGGGGATGATGGAGCAGTTGACGAACAAAGAAATGCTGTACGAGCCGATGAAAGAGCTGTCGACCAAATACCCGACGTGGCTGGACGAGAACAAACCGCCGGCATCGAAGCTGGCACCGGCGGAGTACGAGCGCTTCACGCGGCAGCGCGTCATCGTGGACGAGATCGTGGCCAAGTTCGAGGAGAAAGGCTACAGCGATGACAACCCGCAGTGCCGCGAGTTCATCTGGGAGAAAATGCAGCAGATGCAGGGCGAGGGTGCGCCGCCGGAGGATCTCGTTGCGAATCCCTTCCCCGGAATGGGCATGCCGGGGCTCGGCTTGGGCGATGGGCCGGACGGCATGGAGGATGGCTGTCCGACACAATGATATGTAGGCCAGTTATAGAATTGTATACGCGCCGTGGCATGGGCTGCCAGAGTTCACGTCTGGACTTTTGCTCCCTTGCTTCGACTTTCCTCCTCACATAGCTTCTATAGATGTCGACGTGGCTTGACGAAACAGATCAATACAAGAAGCCCGAGCAATGATTCCAAGATTGAAACATGAAACATGAAGCGTGGGACGATTCAGCAATCATTGGTAGATCATAGAGACCGCTGGTAAAGCAGCATCTGCTCATTTTGATTTTGATTTCGATTAATACTAGGTTTTCTAGCGCGAGGCTCCGACACTGGTTCAGCAACACTGCGAGATATACACTTCCATTGACTAGTACGGCTCTTTTCCTTCACAGTGAATCCAGCGTGCATGGGCAACGATCATGACAAATCCATTCTGGAATCAAACGGCTGTTGGTGGTCTCGAGTACAACCCTGGGCGTGTCGCTGTTGGGATTGATTTGGTGTAGGGTGAGCATTCTGAACTTGAGATGGTCCGTGATCAAAAGAATGGGTTTGATCCTGACACAAGATCTCCATGAAGAGCGCGTCGTACTCGTCTCCATCGATATCATCGGCAAGAAACTCTTGGCTGTTATTCCTTGATTGCAACTCCCTGAGGTTCGATGCCAACTCAGTTTGGTCAATGTCGTGGTCCTGAGGAGGTGACATCTGAGCTTGATCCGCTGAGTCCTGCATCATCTCAGCATCAATTTCGAGATCGACGTCTATTTCCGGGTCGACAGATTGCTCCAAGAGTGCTCGTCTCTGCATCTCATGCTCCCACAGCCTCCGCTCTTTGACAAAGTCCATTCTCAGAACCTGGTCGCCCGTGTTGTCCGCACGGCTGTCGTCTCGTCGCCGTCTGATCCTGTCTAAGAATTGCGATTTATTCTTCTCCCTGCCATCAGCAGCATGACGGGCAAGGCTAGCTGCGGGGCTAGCACTGCGGGCACGAGATTCCCACTGTGATAGGGGTTTGTTTGCAGATGTCGAGGTTTGTGCGTCGAAGGCAAAAGTGAACGAAGGAGATGTCAGAGCCGATTGCTGATCAAGACCTGGTTGAGGTTGAACTTGAGAATTCGAGGAAGAGTCAGGCGGAGTGACCAGTTGAGACGTGTTCCAATTGACATCTCTGGGTTTGGCGGCTGGAGTCTGCAAAAGGTTGGGCTCGATTGCAGGCTCGGTGCTATTCTGGTTTTCCTTGGTCTCCACACCTCCAAATTTGCTGGCTAGTGGTGATGAGTTCAACAGAGGTGCCTGTGTTGATGTGCCATTTCTCTGTCCCGAATGTGACATTAAGTTTGCATTCCTTGAGGTGCGCAATGGTGAGGGTGTCTGTGGCGTGTAGGAGGAGAAACGAGGACGATTGGCGGCGAAGAAAAGGCTGGGTTGGGGCGGCGACAGCGAGAACATTGCTCAGTATCACAGACGTTAAGCAGGACTTCTTTTAGACCTCGAGTTGGAACACTGTCGTGCAAGCATGAAGGGACGAGCACAGGTATGTCGTTTGTGCGCCAGAATGGGTGTCATGTAATGGAACTCGACCTGGAGGACGCGGGACGCGGATGAAGTCGCGAAAATGGCTTGCCGCGTCCATAATTCACTAGTCCTCTTCCGCTCATTAAATAGTTGTCTTGGCATATCACGTGCTACCGCCATGGGGGTACGCGGCCTCACGCGCTAACTTTAGGCATAGCTACAGCTGTCTCGCGATGCGATGAGTGTCTATTGTTATGATGTAGGTGGAGTCGGTGGCTTTCAACGTGGGTACGAGCATACGCAATTATGACCAGATGCAGAGTCAGATGCCTGAGAAGAATGCGATTATCCAGGAACAGAATTGTGAGCACGTGTCTTAGGGACAATCGGCTTTGTCGGGTTGGACAATTGAAGGAGGATTCGGGCCGTTCTCATGCAGGTACAGAAAAATTTGGGTTGGGAAATGCTCGCAATTATCAAAACCCAGGACGCCTGAGACGGGGTAGCAAGAACTATGTATTATACTACCATAACCGATCTTGTCTCCACTTCATGCAATAACGCTCCAGCAATATGGCGTCTCTGACGATGATGCATCTGTAAGATTCCATCAAAGAGCTGATGCTGCAAATGGGAGAAACGAGTCCTACTCGTTGAAGAGGCCTAGTTTGCACCAACATTTTGCCTGTACACAATCATGGCGTTCGTAATGCTCTAAAATCCAAATTATGGACCTGAGATGGGTGTGCCAACCTCGGACCTGGAGGCTGGAAGATAACAGTCGCTCGACTTAAAAATTGGATGCTGTGTTGACTGGACCCGGTTGATGATATTGATCAAGGGTCGACCGGAAGGGAGTGTTGTCAGAACCAGTGGTTGCACTGAGCTTATCTTGATTGAGATTGGGATCGTAGAGGTCATCGTCATGGAGATTCTTCTTCTTCCCCCAGATGCGCCAGGCAGTGTAGGCCAATCCAGCAAGCAATAGAGCACCGCCAATACCACCAACCACTCCTCCGATGGTCTTCTTGGACGTCTCGCTGAGGCCACCAGACCCACCACCATTGCCGTCTCCGCCGGTCAGAGAAGCTGGGTCTACACTTGTGGTGACTGGTACCACACTGCTGCCGGTGCTTGTGACTTGATATGTGCTTCCATCACTAATGGTAGTAAATGTCGTGATGACCTCTTGAGTGGCACTGGTCGTGATCAAAGTCAAATCTGGTGTCCGTGTCTCTGTGGCGACGGTAGATGTTTCCACCTCAGTAGTGGTAACACTTCCTTCTGAATTGGTTGGCGTACGGGTGGATGTTGTGACGATCACTGTAGTGGATGGAGTGATTGATGTGGTGATGGTCGACGACTCGGTCACCACACTCGGGGTAGTCGAGGGAGTAGGTGTTGGCGAAGAGGTGGGCGGCGTAGATGTGTCTGAGCTGGTGTCACTGCTCGTACCACCCGTGGACAAATTGACGGTCTGTCGTTTAAAGAGCGCAATTGCATCGTCTAAAGGGTCGGCGGATGCCGCGGATGCGAAGAGCAAGCCGGCGAAGAGGATCTGAAGTTTGTGCATGATGAAATTATGATATGTTACTGATGGAAATGGTCAAAGGAAGAAGGATGTGGAAAAACTCGAGTGGATTGTTGGGAGGCGGAAAAGGTTGGACTCGCTCGGGAGTTGCAGTATGTACGGCACGGAGGCGTGGATGTGGATCGAATGTTTGAAGGCAGTGCAAGCGAGCGTTGTCGGGTGGTAGGGGTTGATGCAACGAACGAAAGCGTCACCAGCCGCAACGATTGAAAAGAGTAGAGACAGATGGATTGGGTAAAAGGGTGTAGCAGAATGAGTAGAATGAAGTCGACAGAGGAGATGAGACAAGAGAAGACAAAGAAGGTGGACAGGAATAGCGTGACGAGGAGGAGGAGGAGGAGAGGAGGAGACCAACTACGGAATAATTATGGAAGTGGAAGAAGAAACCAGGCACAGAACAAAGAGATTTTCCTGTGACAGGCGACAGGCGACATGCTGTGGCATCGGCAGGTTTTGGACTGCCACCCTGCCGAGGACCAAGTTTTAGGTGGGCGGTGGTATCCTTCTAGGCGGAGTGGCACCTAGAAGTTACGGGTCTTCCCACCTAAATCTTAGTAGTGGCTGATCTTCGGGTGGCCGCGGCAGTGGTCTGAGCAGCAGGAACCGGCCGTCTAACTTCAGTGGTTCATGCCTGTTGGCCCTTGGGCGGTCATGGCCTATGAGCAAGCCCCCGTCGGCACCCACACAGCCCCGGCTACCCCCAGGCTTAAGCGAGACGAGTGAAATTTCCATTTGATGGGCCGGTGCCACTGGCTTGTGACGCTTGGAAAGGTGACACTTGAGAGGGCAGCCTTGGCACGAACCCTTGTTTCAGAAGGTGCAGACACCCACCCACTCACGCCTTCCTCCTGCTCTCGCTTCCTCGTGATCTGCTAATAATCATCAACGAGTGACGTACCACGTACCACCTTGCAGCAGTAGCAGCAACAGCGGCGTTGGTGCAACACCACCTCGCCAGTCTCTACAAATGACGTGCAGTCGATTCCAGAGACTAGGAGTCACTTGCGTCCAGTCTAGCACGACCCATTATGGTGTCCTTCGATTTGAGTCCTGCGAGAAATAATGGCCTCCATCGGGAGGAAAGCATGTGAACGCACAAGTTGAGTGATTTTAGTTACCGTCCTACACTGATTACTCGCCATACAAGACTCATCCATAAGCCGCACCACCACCAGCACCACCACTAATTCTCAAATTTGTCGACCTATGCTCGAACGGGACAACCCCGCTTATGGTAATCACCTAATCGCTGACCGTGCTGGAACTGCGTATATCTTTAGTAGTTCGCTTCTATATCAGCCAGAAGTTCGATTTGCGATGGCTTCCAGCCCAACTCCTTTTGTGTCTTCTCGCTGGATGTGGGTTGGTCCAATGCGAGGAGGTGTGCCATTATACCCATCGTTTCTGCCGCTTCATTGGGAGGTATACTTTTGACTGCGAGCTGGAAACGCTTGCCGATTGCCGTCATTATGTCCTTGGTCGGTATTGCTTGTTCAGCAACAGCATTGTAAGTCGAGCCAAACGCGCCCTTTTCCAGCGCAAGGCGGAATACCACCGCTGCGTCCTTTTTATGGACAGCAGGCCATCGCTCTGAGCCATCACCAATGTATGGGGCATAGCCAATTTTCCGCGCTATGCCGATGAGCATTGGAACAAAACCCCAATCTCCAGTCCCATGGACAACTGGTGCTAGACGGACGACTGAGCCTCGTACTTGCTTCTCCTTTGAAAGTTGGTAAACCAAATCAGCCGATAAATAACGAATCGCCATAGGGTTGTCGCGTTCAGGGTCCGTATCTTCGGTCGCCAGCTTCCCATTGCATATCGCCAATGTCCCTGAAGCAATGATGAGAGGTTTTCCTGTCCCAGTCATAGCTTCACCCATAGCCCCAATGGCTGCCCTATCGATGTTGACGCATCTCGCAAAGTCGCTGAAGTCATGCACGAAGGCTAGGTGGATGACGCCGTCTGTGGAACGAGCACCGCTTTTCAAGCTCTCGAGGTCTTCCAAATCACCTTGGTGAACTTCGGCCCCGGCCTTGGTCAGTGCCTCCGCGTTGGCAGCGCTACGAGAAAGTCCAAGGACTTGATGGCCATGGTCAAGGAGTTCTTTGACGAGAACACGGCCAATCAAGCCAGCACCCCCCGTTACGAAAACACGCATTCTGTTCGCAGGGTCTCGAATTCTGACTTAAGTCGGTAAAGATAACTCGGTCAAAGGGCCAAGATGAAGTTGCTGACATAGAAATAAGCGAGGCTCAGAGGTTCATCTTATTATGAGACTGATTTCCTTCCGCAATCTCAACTTTCGTCCGAAAGAGGTTGAAACCGCTTGTGGGCTGCGCATATCGGAGGGCTTATTGGGTATACACGCTATGTATCAGATGAGGCACGAACCGCTCAGGGTCTTAAAGTCCGTCAAACGCCATTGTCGCTGATTAAGCCACCATGTACGACACCTCAACATGTCCATATCCAATGTTCGAGGCTATCACCAAATTGGTTGTACGATGAGATTTGTCAGCAGAATATCACCTTTTCTCGGACGAATGCGCGCATAGAATTCGACGTATGATGCTGATGTTGATGTTGATGTCTAGGTTCATTTGAGGACTTCGTCGCTTCGGAATGGGACATGCAAGTTCGGCCCGACCGTGAGACTAATCAAACCTCGTCTTGCTTCCCCTCTACCATGATGAATAAAACCCTTCTGTTCTAGCTTACGACGCTTCCGATGATGTTTTCCCAGACATTTTTCTGGGAGTTCTCACTCACCTAATCGTCAAGTTCCCTAGAAATAAGAAAATTGTGCCGTTAGTTTGCAACAGATAGGACTGAAAGAACGACAATTGAATGATTGCTTGGAAGCCTAGTTTTGGGCAAGGATGGAGACACGGTAGTGGCAGAGCCAGCTCGAGGATGCAACGCAATGCATTGATGCCAAGGCTTCCGCGATCAAGAACATAAATCCAAACATATGTCCTAGAATATTGACGGCGTCTCCAAATAGCTGTCATTCTATGCAACCCATGTTAGTAGTGGAGTGATTTCTCCATCTCCACACTCAGCCTTGTCGGACTCGGACTAAGTTCGGATGCTCCCCGAGCTGTGAACAGTAGTACCGAGAGAGCCGCCGATGTCTTGGCCAGCTACAGCAAAGGAGGATAGGGATCGGCAATTTGCTAGCTGGTGTTTTCTTAGAGTCCTCTATCATGCCAGCTTTGTTCTTGTGGAAAGCTTTCAGCCTCGCATAAAAGTGCTTTGCAGAAAATTCACGTGAGCTGTCCACGGTCAACAAGGTGCTCCATCATAAGGAAGGTCTTACTTTTGGATCCGATCAAAGAATTGGGCCTGGATCTCATTTTTCTTAGATGCCATGCTATGCCGGTTTATGTCTATTGCAAACACGTGAGAAAGATTGCTGGGGTTGCTCAAATTGTGTGGAGAACTGGGTTCAACATGAGTGTGGCCCGGCTGGGGAGAAAAGGGGTAACCAGGCGAGGCTGAGAGGCACGTGATCTCCCCTGTCGTTCAAGAGATCAAGAGCCAGGACCTACAAATTACAGTTGGCTGTCGATACAAAAGATTTCCACATTGACAGGCAAGTAATACGCATAGACGACTCCTGGTATCACTCCGTATAACCTATTTTGGAATGTATATGTGGGGGAAGCCGATGTATCCATTGATCATCTCAAGGGGAAACGGAGATTGGCAGGTCCTCGGCTTTGGGGAACATCTGGCGCGATGAACGAGCTAGCCAACTAGCTTTTGATATGCTAAAATAGTGAGTAGTGGGCGGGCTGATGTATGACCAGCCGTGCGGCGTCCTGCAACAACGCCTTGGTTGAATACCAATTGACTCCCCTTCGCTCATCTTCGTACTCCCCACTGATCGCGCTCTGCAGCAAGTTTCCGAACTTTCCGAACTTGATTTTACGCCATGCTTTAACGTTACAACACGGATTTCTCTTCACGGTAGTCGTCGTCTTCCGCTTCACGGCCCTGCTTGCCAATCCGACTTCTCAACCCCATTTTACAGCAGGCGAAGCACGACTAGAGCCGCAGCAAAAACTGCCTCCAAAAGTTTAAACTAGAAAAGCAACACCTGCAAGTAATGCCAATACTCCCAAAAAGCTCGCGCTCTTGTCTACAGCAGTAATTCCTGCAGCGTTGTTTGTAGAAGAGCTGCCTGAAGAGCCGTTGGTGCTGGTCGACGACGAGCTGCTTCCGGAGCCTGTTGCGGTTGCTGTTGCTGATGAATCACCAGATGAAGAGCTGCCACTAGCTCCTGGGGGGGGAGGACTTGGGTCTGATGGGTCCTCTGGAGCCTTGTATACGGCATCGCTGGTAGGAAATTCGCCGGTGGTGGAGAGGCGTGGGCCGCCGTCCGCCCCTGCGGCGCCGGTGTATTTCACTGAGGTAGTTGTTGTGAGGCCTGGAGTTGAGGTGCGATGTCAGTATTCCTTGTCAAAGGCGATACAAAGTCTGCCAGCTCATGTAGAACACGCTTCTCGAAAATGCAGACAAGAAAAGGAGGGGGCAGGATTGACTCACCATCACTCTCAAGGAGCGTATACAAGATCTCAATCTCCGCTGCCTCGGGCGAGACATGACCAGAAAGAGTCCAGCCCCACTCGTCACCCTCCTTGTAGCCCGAGTTTGGCCAGATATCACCTCCTTCGCGGCAATCTGTTCCAGGCCAGTAGAAGTAGTTGCTGGAGGGAACCTCGCCAATGAACGTGCCGGTCAGGTCATATCCATCACCACTCTTAGTTGCACCTAGCTCCCAATGCTGCAGCTCGGTGTACCACCTGTCGGAGCTGGATTGGACCTCGATAGCGATGTCTGCACCACTGGCGCTAGGGAACCAGATGTAGTAAGGGTTTTTGTCGTACGCAACACGCGTGAGGCTGTCATTCCCCGGAACGGTGACGCCGCCGATGGCGAAAGCGTTTTTCATCGTCTTGAACACTGTCGTGTCGTTGCAGTCTCCGCCGCCGTGCGTGATGCTGGTGGTACCGTTGTACCATGCGAGGTATGGCTCCATGGCGGATTCGATCCATGGATCGCAGTTCCAGAAGTTTTGCCCCGCGTATCCGAAAGCAACGAACGAACCTATGGAGAATAGTCAGAACGGTTCGGAGAAGCAGTCCTTCCGTTGTTGCCCTTACTTCCACATCCCTCTTGGGCCACCACCGTGGTCAAAACACCCGCTAGGGCAAGGATGGATCTACTCTTTGGGAATGCCATATCCCAGAATCTAAATGAATGTGTCTATCAAGATTGGCTCTTCAAGAAGGAGATGTATAACAAATGCTGACAAATGTGTCCTGATTTGAAGAAGAGCATGCATGCTTCGGAAACTGAAGCAGGTTAATATACGCCCTTTAACCTAGCCATACCACCTCCCCTTCTCTTGGATTATTCACACAAGGCGTATTTCCCCCAAATTGTCGCTGAGGAGGCGGCATCTATTGCGGAGGGCTTGACATGGCACCCAGCCCGCTTGAAGGGACCACGGGCCACTGGCCAGGCGCATGGTGCTTGGGTCCGATCTAGAATTCCCACTCCCCTGTCCTATCTTCGGTAGCGATAACAGACAATTCGGCTTGCAGAAATACAGCAAAGAAGCTTTCCCATAAACTCGGAGTTAAGCTGGGTTGCTTGATTCGCGTGGTTGGGATTCCGCCTCGTATTCCTGCGATCTCAATCTCCCTCCGCCGGCCTTGGCACTGTTTGGATACGAACCTCAGCTCCCGACATTCTGGACCTTATTCGCTTATGGAAACCTTTTAGCTTCGATAGGCTCCCGCTATCTGCTTGGGTTTTTGGATCTTGAGGCCGAGGCCGGGACCGGGACGTGAAAGTAGAGACAGTTCAAGGCAAACTTCTGTGGTTCCTCCTTTCATTCGCCCACTGCCCCAACACTTACCGTGTGGGCTGCAACGACTGGTTTTGGCCATGGTTGGCGCAATGCGCGTTGAAATGTCGATGCCGTGTCAAAAAGACTGCTATACGAAGCGAGGCCGAGACTCCCTACGGCGTCGAGTCTGAATCCAGGAACAAGATCTATTACCACGAGATCTCGTGTTCGTCCATATGGCGGGCAGTACTTTTACATCTTGCCAACGATTGGAGACATGATATTCAGGTGCCAGGGTAGTGATTGCCATGAACCGATGGGCAAGCAAATGCTGCAACATATGCTGATCTGATCTGCTTGTCGTCTGAAAGGTGGGTCAACAGCCAGAGCGTGTTTTGACTTTTTAAACACCGTCAGCCATCGGCCCTGCGAGGCTTAGCCCACTCTTAATACCTCTGCTTATTCACTCTAGTGGCGTTGATACGTCTTGATGTGTTCAGGTGAGAGGAAGTAGAGGAAGCAGGACTATCGATGAGAACAGCACGCTCAGTGGGAGTGTTTGCACTTGTCCCGCTATCCTGGCGTATTTTCCATGTCAGTGACCTCAAGTCTCGAAGGATAGGAGGAGAATTGCTGCACGAACAAGTGTTGAGGTGGACGCAAGGTGAAGCATGAGAGAAGCCAAGTGAACGCCCTCTGTCAAATCCCGGACGAACTCACATACATGGTATTGCGATCATGAATGCCAGGACCAGGGCAGATCTGGCACCGCAAGCCTGGGCCGCCTTGAGAGTTTTCAGCACATATCCTATCAACGCACACCATCCATATTAGCGTATACAGACTCCCCAGGGGTCCAATCAGATACACTGGGGAACATCAGCCCCTTGTGCTACTGGCGTTAGGGCAGAGTCGCGCCGTGTCCTGCCATTTTGAGTAGTTGTGGACATGGCCAAGGGACTTTTGACACCATACAGTGGCTGAGCTGCAGCGCTTTTGCTGCAACTTAAGTAAGAGTCAGGACTGTAGAAAGACCAATGATACCTTCTGGTACGGTATGTTCCAAGAAAGTCTCAGTCCCAGTCTTCAAGAATGAGATTTCTGCGGTCATGTGTGCTAGGCTCCTGGGGGCTGCTACACATGCTGGACACAGGGGTACCCTACTATGTTTTTTGGCCTAGAATTTCTTCAATGTTGATAATGTTCACCTGGACATCTCGTGGACGTCTCCTATACATGAGGTACTTCGGGTTCATACATTGGCTCCTAGTCCCTTCACCCTCGATCTCGATACGATGTGGATCATCTAAGTTGAAGCCCGGAGTCTCCCTCAAGACAATAGCGAAGCATACCGTAGGTCAATTAAATTTAGCCAAAGCAAACTAACCTATCCATTAAGTATACAAAAGCGGCTTTTGTAGGTACAATTAGGTAACCGCATGCTTGATGTGCCGTGTTGCCATCCCATTCGAATCGTGCCTTCAATTTCGTTTGCGACTGTTGAGATAGCAGGCTTCTCAAGCCTCCCCAAGACATGTGACCAAAGAGCTATTCACAATGACCTATATCTCCCATAATCATACATTCCGAGCCTCCCAAACTCAGGTGACCGCTTCATCCGATGTCGACTGATCTGGAACTCTGTACATGTGGAATTGAGCGAAAATGGTCACATCCTCAACCATCGTTCCTAGGCTGCCAATCAGCCAAGGCAGATTCTTCAAAACATAGCCTGATTCTGTTGAATGGCACAGAATTCCGGCGCCATAAGTGAGGTTGCCCAGAAGAGACAAAATGAAGAAGAGAAGTGAAAGGCCTGCACTCCATGTCAGTCGAGAACGCCCAGGCAGTCAAAACGAGATTCATACCTTCGCAGCTCTTGTCCGTCGCATTCTTAATAATCTGAGGAATCCTCGCTCCGAGATAGGCGACGGCGCTGAGATAACCCAAAATCTGGGCTCCTGTCGCCATCTTCTCTCCATCCGTGCCAGTAGAAGTGGCGGTGGGTTTCCAAGCACCTGATTCATACGCAATCGCCCAGCCTGCGGCACCAACCACGCCAATGGCGATAACACTCATTGCATTTTTGAACCAAAGTCTACCACCTCGATCGTCGCTCTCCTCAAAAATCTGCGCGAGTTGATCATCTTGACGAGCAGCACTGCTTCTCCTCCGCCTGGCACTTGCACTACTTCGTCGTCTGTTATCGGCCGAGCCTGGAATTGTGATGCTGTTCGTCCGGGTGCGTTTGAGTAGAGGCTCTTCCTCATCATTCTCCCGTGCTGGCTGTTGAGCGTCTGCGCTAGACGAAGACGCCGCTGTGTTCAACAATGCTTTTCCTTCCTTCCTCTTATTTTTGATTCCGTAGTACAGACATTGGCTGATTAGGACACCATCTGCGATACAGAAATACACTCCAATTGCAACCACAACGGGCACCAGTCCTGCCCAGAGCGCGCCGGCAAGGTTCGCGATGTCACCAATGAACCAGACGAAGATGAACGCGAGACTGATGGCTTCGGCGGAGGAGTTGCGGTAATTTTCGAGTAATTGGGGCACGAGAAGGAATATCCAACAGGCGAGCGAGATCGAGCCAAAGATGCCCGACAGTGCCTCTCGGGTGGTTAGAGGGATCTCGGCGGCAGCGCCTACACCAGCGGTGAGCATGGCAAGGGCACTTGCCATTTTCTAGGGTGATAATGGGAAGAAGGTGACAGTCATCAGCTCAAAGCACACATAGCAGTGTGTGGGAGAAAACGAGCAGGACTGCAGCCATCAAGGTTGCAGCTGAACAGCTACAAGACTTCAAGTGGAGTTGCGATCGGCAATCGTTCTCCATCTTTGATCCAGAATTAAAACGAGATTGTCTGACGCCCAAATTTATTTGTTGTCTGTACTTGCCTTAAGCTATCATCACGTGACACATAGCGGGGCTTCTCTTCCGTCAGACGAAAGTATTCTATTCAGCCTTCTCATAATAACGCATAACATCATACATTTTAGAACTCCTTCCACTACCTATGGATCTGCAATATCGCACTCAGGGTCTTATTTTATTGGACACTGTCGCAGTTGTACCTCGATGAAAAGAAAGGCTTCTTACCAAGGTACGTCGTTTGCCTAAGACGTGGCAGAAGGTTGGCCAGAATAGTCGTACCACCGGTCTCAATTATAGCTTACTTCAAGAGTAATTTGTAGAAAGCCTTATCCTATAAACCATTTCTTGTCCAACCCTTGTGATAGAGATAAACAACTGGTGCGTAAGGACAGAGTCATATCCAAACACACATAGTAAACCGTGTGTGGTTTGCTCAACATACCGTCAATCGTCAAAATAGCGCCACTCAGAACACGCCAAAGTCCGCAGGTTCAAAACCCCCATCCAGTTCAATTTCGGATTCCACCTTCTCCTTCCCATTTGTTGCATGCGGCGTGTTCTCGTCGATACCCAGGTCGAGCTCGTTTAGTACGTCCCTCATGACTGAGTCATGCCGCAGCAGTTTCTGCACATTCCTAATCTTGTTTCCTCGAGCAATTACGTTCGGTTTCCGGACAGAGCCATTTCGTGGGTCCTCGGGTGATCTCTTATTTAGGCTCTGAGTAGTATTACCACTTGTTGCTTGCAGTGGTCTGTTTCTTCCCTGCGAATGCCGTGTTCCTCGTGCTTCAAGAGTAGGCCGGGGTTTCTCACCATGCCCTGCCAGGCTCAATTGAGTAGCTCCAGTTGCTTGTGTTACTCCCTCGAAGGAATGTGATTCAATCACGCCCGTAGGAAGATCTAGTATCCATCCTTTCTCACCCATGATTTTAGTCAAACCTTGCAATATGGGGACTCCACTCCCTGCGAGAGTGGACTTGCTCCCAATGACGAGAAGCTTACTACGAGCTCGTGTCACTGCAACATTGACTCGTCTCCAATCCTTCAGAAGATCCCCAACATGATTGTTCTCATTGCTCCGGACACAGCTCAAGATCACGACCTCTTTGTCCCTGCCCTGATATTTGTCTGCTGTATGCATTTCGACTTCGCTTGCAGCACTGCTTCCAGCACTTGCCTTGATATCACTCCTAAGGAGGGCAAGCTGCGATCGATAAAATGTGATAACACCGATGTTTCGTGGTGCAACGCCGGAATGTATCAATGCTGTGACGAGTTGAGTTGTCAGTGCTGATTCCGTGGAATTGGTGATTCGAGGACCAGCAGCAGTTTCAAGCTTAGCTCCGAGGAAGGTAATGCTGTCAGTGTCCAAGAAGAGGCAACGAGCATCCGGAGCCAGTGACTTTCGAAGCCAGCATGTGGAACCAGAGACACAAACGTTTGTAGAGCTTGAGGACCTGGGTAAAGACGATGCAGTAATATGATGCATAGCAAGTCCACCATCCAGATCCGGTATTTCCAATGATCGCTTGGCCACAGCTTCGTTCCCGCACTTAATTCGCCCGGAGTAGACAAGTTCCTTCGAGAGCAACATGATGTCTTCTGCCATACGATATTGATGCTCCAGATTCACGACAGAATCCGGTTGGGCATCTGACAGCAACTTGAATAGACTGACATCCAGACCACCCTCTTGTGCTTCCTTATTTTGAACAAGGGGTGGTAGCTGATAATGGTCACCAACAAGAATGAAGGTTCTAGCCATTCGGATCGGACCCAGACAAACAGGTAATGTGATTTGAGAGGCTTCGTCCACTATGCAATAATCGAATGTTCGAGCATTGAAAATACCGTGGTTCACACCAAGACAGGTTGTAGCAACCACTTGGCTTCCTTGCCATGAGGCATGTAGATCTTCAAGAGATCGTTTTGGGATCCCCGACACATCTGCAAATGATTGAATGTCCGGGTGGACCTTATTGATGGCCCCAATGCGGAAAGTAGGGATCTTATCGTTCTTGATCTTCAAGAGGATATTGTCTACCGCTGTATGCGTGTAAGAAGCAAGCAAGACTGATTTGCCTTGTGATACAAGTGCTCGGATGATATGAGCAATGGTTGTTGTTTTCCCGGTGCCAGGCATTCCCAATACCAAGGCATAGTCCTTTGCGCTCATGACCTTCTCAATTGCCTTCCGTTGGTCGGTATTAAGGCTTTGTTGGGAAGCTGGGCCTGTTAGGGTGTAAGCTGTGGGTGAGATTTTGAATTCTGGGGCTTTGTTTTCGACAATTAATTGCCTAAGCTCCCTGGCTTGCCACAGGTCTTTCTCCATGATACGAATGATGTTATTTCGTGCTGTTGCCATCCCATTGGCAAATTCATCCTTGTCAATCCGGTAAAGAGTCGGGCTTTCTGTATCGATTGAGAAAGAAGACGGAGAGTAGTCTGCACCCAAGGTACCCGAAAAAACCTGATTAGTCGATGGATCAAAATCTACCTTCTTTCGACGGCGATATTGTAATCTTCGATCAACAGAGACGACCACTCTATTTGGACGTACATTAGTAACATAGCCCGCTGCAAAGTTGAAATGCCCCTTTTCATCAGATATGACAATTGGTTCCCCTATGGTGATCTGAGACTCCGTGAAGGAAAACCCGGCTTTAGGTTTGTGTTTGACGAAGGTGTACTCGAACCTATTGATCTTTGCGTTCTCCCTGTTCTCGATAATAGAGCCGGGTAGAATAACAACTTCCGAAAAGCAACGACCGACTGCTTCCCGTTCCGAGCTTAACATTGTCCACAATTCACGACGAAACTTCATGGTGTCTCGTTCTTCTTTCGTCAGCAGATCGTCCCACTTCTTGAAAAATACCTGGTGTGCTGGCAAAAGATGACCGGTGCTTTCGTTGAACTTCTCTCCAAGCCCACTGGTCTCGCCATCACCATTCTCTGACAGTTTGTGGTAAGTGAAACATGCTGCCTTGGAATAACAGCTCTTGCACATATGCTCTTTCTTGATCATCGGTGGGAGAGCGAGCTTGTCGTGGACATAACAAGCCAATTCGTTGCGTTCAATTACCATGTGGCGAATTTCATTCCTTATACCTTCCACACGGAAAGTCTTTGACGTCTCCATGTAGTAGAGAACACCAGAGGCGACATTGATGTCATATCGATCAGTAAGAAGGAGTGTATACAGAGCAGTCTGCACGCGATGCTGCTCTACGTTGTCTCTCTTGCCCGTCTTTAACTCCAAGGGGACGACCAATGTTCTGCTGTCTGCTTCATTTGGTAATTTCATTTGAGCCTGGACGGTAGCATCGATATTCCCTTTGAGGCCATACATAGGAGACCAGATATGCTCTTCAAGTTCTAGAACCTTATTGATGTTGGTTGGAACAAGCACACCATTTCGATCACGGATCACGGAATCACCAGTAAAGTCATCACTAACAAAAACGCTGGCCCAGGCCATCATCTCTGGAGTCTTGCTTAGAAGATATTCTGTGGCGTCTTGAGTGCGTACACCGATCTCGTATAGCGATTCAAGAAAGGAGGGAAGAATCCTGTCGATGATATCTCTCAGTGATGAAGGGTCCCACTTGTTGAGCGACAGGGCCTGGCCGAAGACTTCGTGGAGAATATAGCCATAAACCTGGGGGGTGGTCGCTGCACTTGTTGCCTTGACTCGGTCCTGAAGGACAGCGCGGCGCATACACGTGAATGCGTCGCCAACCACAGTTGAAGATATTAAATGATCAGGATGGATGATGATCATATTGTCTGCGTCATTGATAACGCATTGACCCGTACGATCAAATTTGCCGACAACATGGACGTATGATCCTTTAGTGCATCGAGTGTCATACCAGGAATCGCGTAATGATATGATGTATCGCATTCCGGTCTTTTCATCCTTGACGGACAGCATCTATCCAAACATTAGCCGCGGACGAGAGCAAATGGACTAGAGTAGCACACTTTTTCTGGGCGGGTATGACCGACTTTGTATTCATAGTGGGACTCGAAGACGTCGACAATAAGATAACGTTTGATGGCTCGATTATCAATTGAGTCCCATATAGTCTATCAGCATTATGACCGAGCAAATTGCTATGCAAAACGTACATGTTTCGTTAAGCCTGCATTTGATGATTCGCCAGCAGGCGTGGCTTCTGCAATATTGTCCCATAATTCATCGTCATCGTCAAAGGCATTCTCAAACTCGTCAAGGCTTTCCAAACGTCCTAGGGGTTCTCTTTCAGGTCTTTTTTGGCATGAACTGTGGTCCAAAGTGACACTTTCCACATTCGTAGTAGGTTGTTGTTGGGACTCATATTTCGCCGCCAGATCAAGTATACCATTCATTAATTCCTCATCGTCATCAAATTCATCATCAAATTCATCTTCTTTTGGCGCAACACATCGTTGAACATGCGTGGGCGGCGCTCCCGATAGAGCCCCTGGTTCGTGTTGACCGCCAGGTCTTATTCCTTGGGAGGCACATGTTGCATTGGTCGTTGGAGCGTGATGGTTGCTCGCACTCGGAGGATCCGCCATCCCTTCACCCGCCTTGGTCTGGCTTGTCTCTTGTTGTTCCGACTGTTGAGCTATGGCGAACTCAACGCTCTCAAACGCCTCTATATCAAGACCGTCATCGCTAAACTCTGAAGAAAAGCTCTCATCGGGTTGTGCATCGATTCTCTCTAGCGATTCTCGCTGCGCATCAACAGCTGCACTGGGAGCACGAGCTGTTCGTGGTCGAGCTCGGCTTTGTGGTCTCGTAGGAGAGTGTAGAGTTTGAGATCGACGATCAGGCAAGGGAGATGAACTTGACGGACTGTGCTCTGCTGCTGGTTTTTTGATAAGACTTCGTTGGATCTTATCTAGCAGAAGGCCGACACGGGTATTGTTAGACAAATCTCGCCCTAAGATGTCCTTTCGTGAAGCAGCGAAAAACTCCTTTGTACGTCCGTGTGAGTCGGTTGCTTCAAATTTCCTCTTTTTAGCCTTTGAAGTAGGCCATTCAACTCCACAGCTATGAGTTCGGCGCAGACCACTGTCTTTGCCGGTGGTGCTTGGAGTCTGCGGAGAGGAAGGCAATAAGTGGGCGTATTGTGGTAATGTTGGTTCGGCTTGTACGGTTGTAATAGCATTGGCGGCAGAGTAGCGATTCCAGAGGTCTTGCGTGGGGTCGTTGTTTGGCGTACGCAACGATTTGTTCAGTGAGTCTAGATTCATGGGATCCCTGGGGGCTGGAGAATGTTCTGAGGCTCCCAATTGAGATGACGCCGGGGACGAGCTGCGAGCACGCTTTCTGCTTCTCTGTGTACTTCTTGCTGTGCCAGACGCATCTGAACTATCTGGATACGTTTGCCAGGTAACATGGTCTTTGGGGGTTGTACTTGGAGGAGTGCAGTTGAAAGCATCTTCTGTGTTCGCAATCAGGTCTTCTATGGGTATTCGGACGGCTGGAGTATGAGGAAAACTGGCTTCTGAGAGAATTGGCCGCGAGAGAGAGACATCCTCACTAGTTGGACTCTTCCCTTCCAGCTGTTGATTTTCTTTGTCTTCCTCCGCTCCAACTAGCTTCTCACTAGATTTGAAGGACTTCAGCTTCTTGCTTGCCTGCGATGAAACTGCGAAGGGTGCCGACGGCATGGTGAAGGTAGTGAGAGATGAATCCTTCACATTTCTAATTTGATGGCAGCATGTGGCAATCGGGACAAAGGTCGTTTGGGTCGATGGAAAAAACTCGAGATGAAGCCGTATTGTTTGTGTTGGCATTGGCGGCAAGCGCAGGTCCCACCAAGCAAGAAGAATACTCGGTGTTTTAACTGGGTCAAACCATGACACGACGCGTGTCGCGTGAGACAGACTCGAACGCGACCCAAACACGATCACATGACAAACTCACATGTCCATGATGACATCATATTTCATCCCTCCCCTCCACCATCCCTGAAGCGCACAGCCTCAAGTTCAGGAGAAGATATTCCATACAATCCAACCTCAGCTTGTTGCTTGTTTCTGCCTAAAATAGCCTTTTCGCACTTCTTACCACCAAGGCATCACATTATCTGGCCTTTCATCAAATAATATACTATCATCTTCCAGTTCAAGTCTAGATATCGTCAAACGTGCTCGAATATGAGTCGGCTCGGCCTGCATCTATCCCCGAGGACTCGAACTTCAACCGCAAGTCGGGCTATCACAGCCAGGACAGTTTTATCTCAGCCTTACTCATGTGACAGGCCAAGTCACGAGAGCCATCTGATATTCCCGGGGAACCCGCTACTTCCATAAGGCCGCGCATAGCCATCATTGCACCTTGCTCACCACTAGGCTATCGCCATTCGTTGTAGTCCTGACAGCTCTTCTACAATGGCCTCCTCGGCACCCCATTCACCTGCTAGGTACAGAGATATAGAAAACGACTCTAACGCATCCCCGTCACGCCCTTCTCCATCAAAATTACTCCGTATCCAGCAAATCGACGCCGACCTTCGGGCAGCATCCGTACCACCGCGCCGCGTTGCATCACCCGCCAAGAAAGTCCAAGTCCGCCCAAGGCTGAACCAATACTACACCATTGATCATGCAGTTTCTCTCTTCAAAAAGTCGAAGAATATTGTCGTCCTGACTGGAGCCGGTATCTCGACCTCTCTCGGCGTACCGGACTTTCGATCCAAGACCGGCGTCTACAATCTTCTGGACGGGTCGCCGTACAACGACCCACAAGATCTTTTCCACATCGACAACTTCAAAACCAATCCTGAGATATTCTTCAAGCAGGCTAAAAAGATCTTCCCTAGAATGCAAGGTCTTGTGCCGTCCGAAGGTGTCAAGGATAGCTCCAAGCCAGTGAACTATCACCTGGTTCCGAAATACAGCAGCACCCACGCTTTCATTTCTCTCTTGCAGGCCAAAGGCAAACTACTGACCAACTACACCCAAAACATCGACGGACTGGAGACCGTCGCCGGAGTATCTGGTACGAGATTAATCCAGTGCCACGGCAGTCTATCTACAGCCAGCTGTATGAGCTGCGGCAAACAAGTGTCCGCCAAGAAATACATGCCGGTCGTCCATGGCGGTAGTATTCCAGTATGCAAATGCTCGATGGAAGAAGAACCCAAGAGGAATAAGAGCAAGAAGCTGCCGCGGGGCCGCAGCGGGAAGAAGAAGCGCAAGCGACACGAATACGAAGACACAGATTCTGACGACGATGACGACCACCACGACTTCATGAAAGGCCTGCTGAAACCGGACATGACATTCTTCGGCGAGCACGTCTCGTATTCCTACGCTCCACGACTCGCCAGCGATAAGAGTAAAGTCGATCTGCTCGTTATTATCGGGACCTCGCTGAAAGTGGCGCCCGTCAATGAAATGCTGTTTATGGTCCCGCCTACGGTGCCGCAGATATGGATCAGCAAGGAGCGATGTCAGCGAGAGGGCGTCAAGGTCGACATCGAGCTACTCGGCGAGTGCGACCTCATTATTGATGAGATCTGCCGCCGCGCGGGCTGGTCGTCGGCCCTGGACGAGCGAAAATGGTCACCTGCAAAGGCCCCGCTCAATGGACTCAAGGAGAAAGACAGTAATCTCAACCTCGAGCGTGAGCAAACAAAAGATCTGTCCACGGAAGCCAAGAAGAAAAGGAAATCCGCGCCTTCTTCTCCCATCGAGCCGGAAACCCAAACGCTTGAAATGCGACCAAAGGTGAACGACGCAGCGAAGCGGCTAGCCGTCCCATCAACCATGCCAATACCCCAAATCAAACTGAACTTCGAGGACCTACCGTCCACGACGTCAGCAGAAGAGGCTCATATTCTCGAGCACCTGTCGAAGTACAAGAAGCCTGACACAGAAGACCCATTGGTAGTGGTCAAAACGGAAGAACATGCCTGTCCGCCGCCCAAAGTCATCATCGAGCTTGAACTCGGCACGCGCTCCAGGTGGTTTGTGAAGCGTGCGCTTTGCCCAGGCAGTGACCGGTAACGATCAACTTTTCCTAGCTCGACATACCGAAGCAATACATCACACTCTCGCTCGGCGGCAGCAACGGCGGAGAAACACTGGTTGCTGGTGACCTCTCACTGGGTATGAACACGTCGTGCAACGTTGCGATGAGCGCGGCATTACATTACAGATCACGCGGAACAACCACAATGTCCTCCCACCATGTCCTCCCAGAATACGAGACGAATGTTGTATTACTACGGGACTGAATTTCCATCATCTTCATCCTCATCCTCATTATCATCATCGTTACCACAAGACCCATTCACTCACTCATCTTATGTCAATCATTCATGGACGGTTGGCCGACCGGAGAGCTGTAAGCATAGATTTCGGGCTTTGGGATTTCGCATTCGCGGCCGGCGCATATGTAGGATTAAGATTAGGATTAGGGTTAGGAGTCCTCTGTATCCGGCACAGGAACAAGCAAACAAGGGGGCAAGACCCCTGAAAAGGAAAACGCATTGCGTTGCATTGCATTGCGCATCCCTTCTCTGCCTTCTGGATAACCGGCCGGCTCCCTAGTCCTCGGACCTCCTCATCCCGTGACGTCGTTGACACAGACTAAGACTAGATGTAGATGTAGATGTAGATAGTACCTGGGTATGTCTGTTTTATCGTGGGGCAGGCCCCGGGTGCCCCCATTGTTTGGGAAATCTGCTGAGCATAAAGACTTTTGTGGATCTTTTGTGCAAGAACTAAACAGGGAGAAGGTGAATATGGTGCATAGTTGAAGATGATCTTGGTCCTATCCTCCCCAGGAGTTCCACAGTCCATTCTATCCGCCCTGGGTATATAGTTTGTGACCAGAAAAACCTCTTTGCGCGCCTTCCAATGTCTCTACTCTAGTATCCCATTCTTCGTTGATCTAAATGCCACGCCAACGACTTGAGAACGTCTTGAAACCAGCACCACCAATCGGGCCCCTATCCTAGCACCTCAAATTATTCGACGGGCCTCGCGCCCATTTTCCTGAACCAATCCATGACACCGGTGTAGACCACGAGAAGGACACCGCCACCAGGGCCCAGTCTGAGGACTTTAGGCAGGAATCCCTTGTAAAGTGCACTGAAACCCTCCTCCTTCATGATCGTGCCTAGACCGGGCCAGGCCCAGTTATATTTGGGTACTTGGCCAGCGATTTTCGTAGTGTTCTGTATTCTACTCTTGACGACATCCATGGGAGTGTTGAGAATGGTACCGACTGTGCCACCGATAGCGCCAGAGGCGAAGTCTATCAGCATGGCTTTTGATGCTTCTTTCTTCTTGTCCACCTTGGGCAGCAGCTCCTTGACCTGGAAAATACAACCAAAGTATCCGGCATTCCAGAGGATGTGTCTCCACAGTGTGGATTCAAGGCCGTTGTATAAAGCGAGGGGGCCTTCGTTCTTGACCGTCTTGACAACACAGTCGGCGATTCCGGAGTATTTGCCTGCGGAAGCTCGATCCTGCAGACGAATCTTGACGAGTTCGAAGGGGACGACGACGAAGGACTCGGTGGCACCAGCGGTGGCACCGGTGAGGATGGCGAGAGGCTGTGTAGGCTTGTCGACGTTGAATAACCGCCGGTAGAAAATGCCCCAGGAGTCATTGGCTGCGAATTTGGTTGCTCGCTTCGGTGCTTCCATCATGATCGGTGCGCCGATACCTCGGTACAGGCGTGACGCTCCTTCATTCTTAACGATCTTTTTGAAACAATCTAGCATGCCAGTGTAATAATCTTGACCTGCAACGGGCGCTTTGCCTTGCAGTTGTCTATGCAGGTGGGGTGGCCGGTGAGCTTGGGACAACAGCTACTTAGGGAGAGGCAGGATGGGGGAGACAAACACTCTGGTCTTGATGACATCTAGCGGATACCTGCCGAAAGAGCAAAGTTAGACAAACTCGCGAGGTGCCATGATCGCCATGATCGAGGGTAGTTACATCAACAGAATCTAGCGGGCGCAGATAGGTCAGCACATTGCGCACAACGAGAGCAAGCATGCCACTAGAACCGCGCGAACACACCTCTGAGACACCAGCAATGGCGCCGGCGCCAAACTGGTAGATGAAAGGTAAAGGTTTCTCCGTCATCGTGTCGGTCGGTCGCGTGCAGACGGATTGCGTGCTCTATCCGATATGGGATCGTAAGGGGACGGTGGGTAGTGGTGTGCACAAGTGAATATCCAACAAGAAGCAAAGAGGGAGGCTTCGGCAAGCTCGATATCAGCTAGACAGATGACGCCTGGGGAGCGGGAAGTGAAGCTCGAGAATGAGCAGTAGCGAGAAAGGAGTATCGCAGGCAGCGGGAGCAGAGAGGTGGGATAGATTGGTAAAGGAAAAATAAAATCTGGAGAAGGTCACGGATGCAGATGATTGACGGAGGGCGGACTGGGCGGCGGACAGCGAGAGGGAAAGAACCGCTTGGGGTTAAAAAGTGACTGGGGGCCCCCAACGCCAACGCCAACGCCAACCCCGAACTCCAATTCCAACTATTACCTACCTATTCCTATTTCCTAGTAGTGTCCCTTCGGGTGCCTGCGGGCCTGCCTCCAGAATCGGAGCGACGGAGCTACTCGATAGATAGAACTCGTAAACAGAGCACCTACAAGTTACAACCCACTGGGAACCCATAGGGTAGTCACTAGACCTGGTAGTCACCCGTAGTATGGATGTACATTGTACATTGTAATTGAGCTCTCGCACCACTTCGCAGCCGGGAAAAGGAAATCCCCGGTGAGCTTTGGTCTTTGGCTACGGGCAAATCCGCATCCTCATGTCCATTGACCCGGTCGGGTACAAGCAGTCAGGTACAAGCGGCCGGGTATCGGCTGCAGGGAGAGCTGGGAGAGCTGGGAGAGCTGGGAGAGCTGGGAGAGCTGAGGCCACGGTAACAACACAGAAAACTCAAGTACTACACGGGTAGGTCACTAACGAGCATAAATATTATTACCTCCCATACTAGATTATTCGCTGAGCAACTGGTAGGCTGATAGAATACCACTCCGTTTCATGCTGGAAAAGGGATCGAGTACTTGGCTGCCAACAAGACAGTCCATATAGATCCCAGGTGGAGAAAGAAAAAGAAGAGGAGATATAGAAAGCGAGGGGGTATCAAAGATCAAAGCACAAAACCTGCTCATCCTCAAAGAGATGAGACACACTGCCCCTGATCAAAAACCACAAACGACAGACTGTGAGCAACCCATAACCATGAAAATTCCCAACCCACATATACTCGGCAGCGCGTCCATTCGCCATAGTAAATGCGTCTGACGACAATGAAAGAGCCGTGGCACCCTGTTGCGGGTGTGTATAGAATAAATTCCAGCTTCTCGCCCTGCTTCTGAAATCATCGCAATTGCAATCGCATCAATTCCGCTGCTTGGCCAGCCGATCGTCTCGTCGTCATCACATCTCCATAAATTCATCTTCTTCCTTGAAGCTGATCCCTCCGTGTCCCGCAGAATGCCAATACTGAGGTTGCCCCGCCCCATTGCTGCCACTGTTGGTACCACTACCACCACTATGGAATCCCGGGCTGAGCTCAAAGTTGCTCTGTGGACTCAGACTGGAATTCGCTCCTATCCGATCTCCGGCAAGATTGGTGTGCTGAGGCACCCGAAGCCCACTACCATCTGCTCGAGAATATGAAAAGGACGAGGGGTCGTTCTTTTCCATAGCTTCCATAAGCTCCGAACGCATTCGCTTCTCCTCGTCGGTGACCTGGAATGGCCACGCTCCTCCAAGTCCTGTAATATACTGTGCTAGTTCATCGTCCTGTTGGTATTTATTATAGAGCGCCCACATCAAATCCCGAGTCCAGCTAACCGATCCGTTGAGGATATCGCCCTTGTTGGGTCCTTTCTCCTTCTCCTCCAACGGGAGCCCGATCGTGATGTTCCCCGCCGTCCTCCGACCCGGTCCTGCCAAGATCGATGCTGCGGCACTACCGGCAGTCGGCGGGCTCATACTCGCCGCTCCCAGCGTTGGAGATAGCGGCCCGGTATTCTGGAGTTGCTTTTTGACCTTATCGTCCTCAAGCCGATGTTGAGGCACAAGGTGTGACAAGTCTTGGATCCGTTCGTTGATATTGTCACGTCTCCTCCGCTCCACTGCATTGTGTGACGCTCGTCGACGACGTTTCTTCGCTTCCGCATTCTCTGAGTTGCTAGTGCCAAGACCGTTCTCGACCTTGGCAGGTAACGATGCATGTTGGGCTGAGCCGAGAGTCTCGGAGATGCCGGCATGATGTACAGCACCGCCTGGCGAGGATAATGGCGAATCCAGATATGAATGAAGGCTGCCTGGGGTGCTGCCATACTGCCCGGACAAGGTCTTGGAGTGTCGGTTTTGGACACTCGGTGCTCTGATTGCTCGCCCATTGACCATCCCGCCGGATTCTGGAGTTCCGATTTGGAGAGAAGCCATTTGCGCTGTTCGGGGCGTCAGAGGAGACCGTTGATCGGACGATTTACGATTGGCCGCTTGCACGCTGGGTCGTTTCGCGAATTGTGAACTTGACAATGGTGGCATGTGTGTGGGGATCGAGCCCATCTGTCGGAGTTGGGAGTAGTCAAAGCCACCCAAGTAGGGGCTTTGGATAGGAGGGCCATCTGGGGTGGTAGAATAGACTTGCTGATTCATAGGCATGGCTCCTGGCACCCGGTTGTTATTGTTGTTCTGTTGTGGCATGCTGGAATAATCGTCAAGCATCCCTTGTGGATTTCCAAAGTCCAGGCTTTCTAGGAGTTCGCTATCATCATAGCCGGAGTTGCCCATGCTGAAACTTGAGGCCATGTTGGTGGCCCCGAAATTGTAGTTCATGCCATAATTGTTCTGCATGGACAGCTCCGAAGGGTCTATGCTGACGGCATCTTGAGCATTGTTGAACTGGTTACTGAAATTCTGAGCGTTGCCATAGTTTGGGGCACGCATGAATCGGTTGGGGTTGTTGGCGAAATCATCAGGTTCGCTCTTGATGTACGGCATCGTGCCTGAGGAGTTCGTCATGGTCTAGGTGTAGAGAAAAAGGAAAACTGAGGAAGAGGTTGGTGGTGAGGATGATATCAAATGTGATAGCGTGCTTGCCCGATATCTTTCGCGAATCAAAGTCAGTCAGGCAGACCAAGCCATCGGGAATCTGGGACCGAACAGAGAGCTCAATGGGAGGTGGTGGGGTAGATGTCGCAGGGAAAAGGCGTCCCAGCAGTTCGGACCAGACCTGGATCAGCCTGGACGATTGAATAGAAGGTCAAGAGCTGGTCAGGACGTAGTCATCTGTTGCAGCGCAAGGGATATCAGACCAATCTATAGAGTCTGACTGCAGAATGCGCCGTCAGCTGTGCCGAGTCGATGCGATTGACAAGGGTACCGGCGATATCCCGTCCCGTTGTCCAAGGCAAAAAATAGGCGATATCAAAAGTGACGTAGTGGCGGAACGACGCGAGGCTTCCACAAGCGTTGTTGGACTAATCGCAGAAGTTCTTGGGTGAGAAATCTGAAGATATGATGAACGGGTTGTGATCGCTTGGTAATGACCACCTCTTTCGGAAGGTATGCGCAGACCGCTTTCCGGATGAATTGATTCAGCGATCAATGCAAGCAAGGCAGAAGCAACGCAACTATTCACTGAATGTATCAATTTTCAGGCACTCTGCCGTCTTGCTGAGAACGGGAGGGATGAGACTGATATGGCAAGTCGGATTCAGGCTGGTGAGGAGGGGTGATGGTGGGTGGGCGGCCGCGGAATCGCAGGTGAGACAATGGAAGTCGGCTAGGTGGCCCCAGTGGCTAGGCGTGCGGGATTCGAATGAGGCGGTGGTCTCAACCGACTGTTGTCACGGAAGTCCTTGGAAGTAGGTAGATTGAAGTCGAGGTTGGGGGTGACAGTGAGACTGAAGAAGTACAAGGCTCCGGGAGTCGAAGGGTCAGGTAGGTTTTGGAGATGGATGTCGAAAGGGTCGAGGGGCGGGAAAGTTGGGAAGAAAGGTGTGTGGGTGTGGAAGTCGGCGCAGGTTGTGAGTTACCGCAGGAGACAGCTCGGGTCAGGGCGTGGCGCACAGAGGAGAGGCAGTGCGGGTGCAACGGGTATCGGAAATACAAGGTACAAGTACTTGAGGAACTGTCGCTGGTGGGTTGCCCTTTAGAATGCAACTAATTCTGGAGGAGGCAGAAAGTGGGAGAAGCTGCGGTGGGCCCGTCTCGCGCCGAGTGTTGGCTGTCGACTGGAGGCAGAATTGAATGGATGTGACGCCAGCGCAGATGGAGATGCAGATGGAGATGCAGATGCTTGGTTGGCGGAGAACTGATCTGAAGTTTGGATGGTGAGTTTGAGGAGGAGGAGGAGGAGGAGGAGAATGAGATGAACGAAGTAAGAAGAGCTGTTCAGGAGTGCGAAGTCAGTAGTGGAACAAGTGAAGATGGAGATAGAGATAGCTGGCTGAGTCACCGCAACTGTCGAGGACTTTCTTTACCTGGAGGCCGACACGAAAGTACTCGGTACTCGGTGCTAGTAGTGACAGTAGTGACAGTGGCAACAATGCGAACCAAGGAACAGGGCGGTGACCAGGTTTTCTAGGTGCGTGTCGCGGGGGGAGGGGGGGAAGGGGGGACCTGCATGTACAGAGTACCTCGTACCTTTGTCAAGGCCAAGCGAGTGCTAATACTGAGTACAGCGTAGGTATTCCGTATTGGTGCGGCCTGTGGTGTGAAGTTGGGGGGATGACTGTGAGGATTCTTAGGACTCGTAGTGCTCAGCGATGCCCCCGGAACCTGGTAGTTCCAGGCTTCGAGTCACAAGAAGGTGGCCTTGACAAATGGGCCCCGCGTTCGCCCTGCAGCCTGTCTTCCTGGCCCCTTCAAGTTTGCCGAATGTGCGTTTCGCTTCCTGCTTCCTCGGCACACCAAGAGCCACTTCGACTTCCACGTCTGATCTGATGCAGGTGAGATACGCCAAAAGTGACGCAAACAGCCGCCCCGATGTCTTTCTGGGTGCAAGATGTGTTGCTTGGATTCACCGGGTCACTCCTGAATGCTGTAGTATTTCAATTTCGCCTACGTAGACGAAGGTGATGGCAGTCCAAAGAAGTAATGAAAATAACAATAAAATGCTGACGGACGGACGGATCTCTCGCCACGGTACATGGTCATCCGGCGCCTTTTATATGTATGCAAGGCTCTACACCTCCCTTAGCAACCAGCAATCATGAATCGCGTCCTTGGTCCTCTACACATCACCGCTTACCTACTCTGTACTCGTTACAACCCTGGGGTTGTTTGCGGCGCAGCCACATGAGGCATCCAGCCCCGATTCCGGATACCTACCTGATCACCCAGGAATAATCACCAGCAGCCTCCCTGTAATAAGGCAAAGGCTTTCTGTTAGACGGACTTGGACAACATCCTACGACGCGCGGGATGTGCACCTCGGTGCGTGTGGGTGGACCCTCATCTACACCCAGATGCTTCCTCTGATCCACCTTGACCTCGCTGCAAAGGTCCCAAAAGGCAACAGCATGTCCATTTGGCCTCGATGACTCTTGCACTTCTCTACACGCTGGTCATGTCTCGGGAGTCTAAAGGTCATGTCGGCCATCAGACCAACAGATGATGTTCGCACTGCCACTTTCCAATACACCCCTTTGACGCTATCGACGCTATTGACGCCGCACCATCTATCCAGCATGACTGCTGCATTGACGGAAGAGATATCCTGGGCCATCACCGGGGTTGCTATCGACCTGGGTCAAGTGCCACCGAGTGATCATTCGTCACAACCTCCCAATCCCACACGCCACAAGCCTCGACGGCCTGTCAAGGCTGAAGGGTGCAGCGACCGTCCTCTGCGGAAACGCATGTTCCAGAAAGTCAACGAATGACCCCTCCCGACCCTGTCATGTTGCCCACCCTTTTGGCATGTCCTTCCCATTGGAAACACATCGGGGTTGGAATCTTTCTCCCACGGACAGGGGAGAGGAATGCCATGTTGTGTCACCTACCCGTAGAAAAAGGTAACATTCCAAGGCAGCTTCGCGGAGAGTGGTTCATGTCAGTGTCGTAGGCTCTTAGTGCTCTCAAAAAAAAAACACATCGGCTTGGCAGTCTGCACTCAGTATCACCATTGTGGAACAGAATGTAGTTGGGCGTAACAGATGCCCCGATGGTTCGTACCGCTGGCCGCTGGCTTCTGGCACTTAGCCTCTTCCCTCTGTCTAGTCCCGGACGCTTGTTCTGGCGAGCTAGAGCCTAGCACTGGCGATTCAGTCCGAATGGGTGTTCTGCCAGATACCGCCCTCGGCCGGGCAAGGGTCACAGTCAGTATGCGAGTGATATCCACGGTACATGAAGGAGTAATGCCGTGTGCTGCGATTGGACAAGACCCGGCGAAGAGAAGCAAGCTGGTTGTTTCTGTCTGTGTCCCTCTTTCAAGTTCGGCCATGGTCGTGTCCAGTCTCGCTTTCACACTAACCCAATTCAGCCTCGTGTTGCGTAGGCGTGGCGTGGCGCGCCCCGGATTGTCGAAGCTACGAGTTACGAGCTACCGTGTTGTCACTAGCCTCTTACGTACTAGTGTAGGTACTTTGTACATCGCCAGGCTGTTCTTCCGCTGACAGACGAACGGAATCGAACGGACAGCCACCATCCCACGAACCACCATCCACCTTTCAAACATCAAACCGCAGCCTGCTCATGACGCCGATCCCTAGGTAGAAGCATCGTTCCTCGTATGTACTATACCAACTCTGTTACCTACCTGTCCAGAATAGCAGCACTTTCGCCCTGCCCACGATATCTCAACAGTGCTTGTAGTGGTGGTCTGTCCATTTCGTCCTCCTATTTCCTGGCCACCATCACTGCCACTCGGTCCCCCCTCCACATTCCCCCAGTCCACGTTCGGTGAACCCCGAAGGCCACGATTGCCAAACCCATTCTGCAGGCAACCGCCATCCATTCAGTTGCTACTTCTGCCATTTCCTCCTGCGCCTACCCTCACATCTCGAAGCACCTCTCCCCGGAAATCTGTCCCGTCCGTCGAGTTCCAAGACTGCTTGACTTTCAGCCTTGGAATCTGTCCCATTACCCACGCCCCTCCCTGCTTGAGCTGTGGGTTGTCTGCGGTCTCTCCCTCTCTTTACACATCGAAGCATAGCTAGGTGGACAAGGGTCAAGGGTCGAGCGCCTCAGCTCAAAATCATTTCCAGGATTTCGTCCAGCAGAACTGGTCGCATTGGAGTGTCACACTTCGATACGCTTGTCGATTCCACTCGGCACAAAGAAGGTGGACTTGACACACCGGCTGATCACCCAGCATGGCCTCGTCATCTTTCAGAGATTCGATGAACTCTCTGGGATGGTCCAGAAGAGATCCGGACGCACCCGCCAACACCAATTCATCGACACCTTTCCTGTCCAAGCTCAACCCATTTGGTCGCAATGGCTATGTACAATTACCCACTCATGAGCCTCCTGGCGCGCCCTTGCCGGCTCCAACTCGGAGAGAGGAAGAGGAAGGTTGGTTTGCATGTGAGTTTCAATCTCTCGCACTTCTGCGAATATGTCACTGGGAGTCAAAAAGCTGATGAATACTACTACTCCAGTAAGCCGATGGGATCGCCTTTTGATATTCGGGGGCTGCAATCTGGCTGCTTTGGCTTGTTTCGTTATCTGCTTTGCGCTTTTTCCCGTCTTGTCCTTGAAACCGCGGAAATTCGCGATACTGTAAGTTCCTTGATCACTTCACACCATCACGGTCTGTTGTGAAGGCCATGTGACAGCAGTTACCCCATGATGATGTCAGCATGTCTATATTCACGCACTCAAGGCTGGACATGATCCTTGGCAGCCCTCCCTTTCCAACCTCGAGAAACTTGAAATATGCATGTGTCTTAGATTAGAGTTGCGCATGGCTGACGCGTCGTGATAGGTGGTCTGTTGGCTCTATGCTCTTCATCGCGTCCTGGGCCTTTCTTATGGGGCCCTATCAGTACGCAACGCATCTCATGTCCGGGCCTCGGCTCCCCTTTACTGCCGCTTACTTTGGTTCTATTGTCATGACAATCTACTTTGCCACCGGGGTAAGTCGTCACACAGCCTTGTCTGTGCAAGATGCAATGCTGACTGCAGCTCGCCTAGCTTCAATCAACTCTTTTGACGCTGATTTCATCCATTGTGCAACTCGTGGCGTTGGTCTGGTATCTAGTCAGCTACTTCCCCATGGGAAGTAGCGGTTTGCGGTTTGCGGCCAGGGTGGGAGGAGGCCGAGTAGCCGCGTGGATGAACGATTGATCTCTTTTCCCCGGTTGTCGCGATCAAGCCTCGCACCACAGATGGTGTGGGGCTATATATAAAACCTGTTCCAGTTAGACCGGTCGTCTTTCTGACACCTTGTCGCCATTTGCTGCTTCCTTCGTTCGGTGTTATATCCTCTTGCAGTGCAAAGGTTTCAGACCAAATTGTCATATTTCATCCTATACGCCGACGAACGTCTCGGTCTTCATTACCCACTCCTCTGACCGCGTCGGTGATCAAGTCCCTTAACTCTCTTTGGCCTTCCTCGGTATGGAAGTTTTCTCTCGTTGCCAGTTCTTCTATCCGCCTCCTGAACTCCGGGTCGGGCTCCTGCTCGAGGTCGTCAGACGTGTCCTCCGTCGATGAGTTGACGTTGATGGTCACATTAGGTGGTAGTGCAGGCAGATGTTGTGTGCCGTTAGTTGACGGTACGTTGCTGGCAGATGTTGCATCTCCAGACGAACCACCATGCCCCTTCAGGTATGCAGCAATCTCTGGAAAGTCCTGCTCTGACTCGATCTTGTCTGCGGCGATCAAGCCCTCGTCGTTTCTGATATTGACGTCTATGTGTAACTCCTCCACCAGGCATTTTGCAACGTCCACGCATTCAACGACAAATAAGCATGTGTCACCATCTTCATCCGTCAGATTGACATCCACGCTAAATTCATTGACCAGCAACCTGAGCAGGTCGATGTGATTGTAAGAGGCGGCAGCATGAAGCAGAGAGTAGCCATGGGCATCTTGTGCAGAAGCCAGTGTTGGCTTGGAGCGGAGGAGGGGCAGAAGGCGAGGGTCAGGGTCCGGCACGACTGCCGCTAGGAGGAAGGGATTGAGGTCTGCCATAGTGGCCGCTCAATCGGGACGAATCAGTCGAATATCGCAGTCTGCAGAAGTAATGTGATGTGCGGCTGGCGGCTTTGTAAACCCATTTGAATCTGCACCTGAATGTCTAGAACTCTGCCTGTGGCTTGATACTTTTAAATTTCAATCATTACGAGTAATGTAAGTATCATGGTGGGGCTAGTGAGGGGTTTGCCAGCGGCTGCTTTAGCTGCAAGCTTAGCGCTAATAGATGTACGCTCGTTCGGGGAAGTTAACCAGCGACAGATCTTACCACTCGTACTGGACAAGGCTGATCATCTACGAGTATTATTACTGTAATTACGAGTACGTCCAAGCCCCTACTCGGTACTAGTGAACTCTTCGTAAGTTCCACCATTCCTTCAATGAGGCTGAGTCTGAGCAGGCACAAGGACTGATGAGCAATAGTCCGGAAGTCTCAGTCGATCTTTTGCAGCTAGTGATAGTGATCAATATCTGAACGACAACCTGTGAGTCACATCCTTGGACCATATTGCCGTAACCAACAAGGCTGGGTTGGTTGGTGACTTGCTCCCAAAAAGCTCAATTTCAATTGACGGCCACAAACTCCTCGCATGGAATAAATATTCCCCTTCTCAGCCTCCCGGGTGCCTGCCTCAACCAACATCATTCAACACATTCTCCTGCACCAAACCTCGTCGTTTGCTCATTGCATGAGTTTGTTAAGGCCTAATTCCACAAACTTCTTAGTTTCCTGCTATTTCTATAGAAAATTTCCCCCCTCTGGTGGGCTTTGCCCTGCCACAGCCATGTCTCAAGACCCCCACCAGATATCTCAACTCGTCAAAACCCTAGAGACTGCAAAAGGAAAAGGCAAAGGGGGCAAGAAAAGCTTCTCGTGCAAGAAGACGACCTTTAATGTTGCAGGTAGCAATGGCATCACCGTCGACTCGTGGCGTTTCAATGATTGGGACTATAAACGTGACGACCTTCCAACCTATGCCCGAGGACTCTTCACTACCAAGCGAGTTGATGGCACACCTGAAATTGCTGTTCGAGGGTATGACAAGTTCTTCAACGTCAACGAAGTCCCCTCCACACAATGGGACCATATCGAGAAGGACACCACTGGCCCATATGAGCTCAGTGTCAAGGAAAATGGATGCATCATCTTCATCTCAGGCTTGGAAGATGGCACGCTACTAGTCTGCAGTAAGCATTCCACAGGTGCTCGCAGCGATGTTGACCAGAGCCATGCCATGGTAGGTGAGAAATGGGTCAAGCATCACGTGGAGAGTGTCGGCAAGACCACCCGTGGTTTGGCCAAGACGCTGAGAGCCATGAACGTGACTGCTGTCGGAGAATTATGTGACGATGACTTTGAAGAGCATGTTCTTGAATATCCTCCTGAGATGGCCGGCCTCTACCTGCACGGGATCAATTTCAATCTTCCGGAATTTGCGACGTTATCCGGGCCAGAAGTTCATCAATTTGCAGACACATGGGGTTTCAAAAAGGCACAGTATCTGATGATTAACACTCTCGATCAAGTCAAAAGCTTCTTGCAGGAATGTGCAGAGACGGGTTCTTGGGATGGTCGAGACACAGAAGGATTTGTCGTAAGATGCAAGCTGGGAAATAAGAATGCCGCTCCAGATTGGTTCTTCAAGTACAAGTTTGAGGAGCCTTATCTCATGTACCGACAATGGCGAGAAGCGACCAAAGCCATTATAGCCGGTAAGCCACCAAGGTTCAAGAAGCACAAAAAAATCACCGAGGAATATCTTCTGTACGCCCGCCGGCAGCTCGTCAAAGACCCCAAGATAGGAAAGTTATACAACCAGAACCACGGGATCATCAAGATGAGAGATGGCTTCCTTGCGGAGATTGGCAAAAAAGGGTCAGATATTATCGCCCAGGAGCAGGGAGAGGAGGCGGGGACTAGCGATGGCTCAGGACCTCGCGATATTGTGTTGGTGCCGATTGCAACACTCGGATGTGGCAAGACGACTGTTGCAACCGCACTGGTAAAGCTATTCGATTTCGGCCATGTGCAGAACGACAACATTGAAGGACAGCGAGGGCGGCCACAGAAGTTTGCGTATGCGATCACAAGTGCAATGGCAGCACATCGAGTCGTCGTTGCAGACCGGAACAATCATCAGAAAAGAGAGAGGGAGCAAATCATCAATGATGTGTCCAACGTGGTGCCGAATGCCCGGTTTGTCGCGCTGCACTATGTGCATGAACCCAAGAATCGAATGCTCAACGAGATCCGCAAAGTGACTCGACAAAGAGTTCTTGATCGAGGAGACAACCATCAAACCATCCGTGCCGGAAGCAAAAGTGCCGAGGAGATTGTGGGAATCATGGAAGGCTTCCTCGACCGATTCCAGGGTTGTGATCGGCACTCATATCCAGACTCGGAGTTCGACGAGGTAATCAATCTGGATGTGGCCGCGAGCTCGCTGGAAAATCTCGAAACTGTGATCACGCATCTGTACAATGCTTATCCGGGCTTGCTACCAGATGAGATGCCTAGTCACGAGGAGATGCAAGGGGCGATTGACTTTTCCCTGGGAAATCAAGTCACCAAGAAGCATGACTTGTCATTTCACAAACCAGCCCACGCGAACAAGGGCCAAAAGAAGCAAGAAGTTGCAGCTCAGCCTGCAAAGGAGCTGACCCCAGAACAACTGGTCGGTAAGCTGGAGTACTTTGGCATCACGCTGTCTGTCACGAACATCAACTCCATTCTGGCATCGCTCTTCGACAAGGGAGACCCTGACGAATGCCGGATGTACCGGTTGCTTAAGCAGTCAAGACGACTTCAGTCTGAGTTTCATGTTACACTGATGCATCGGGCGTCAGCAGTGGAGAAGCCGGAGTTGTGGCAGCAGTACACCAGTGCGTACCTCGAGGCGATTGCAAACAAGGAGACAAAGTACAAGGACCAACTTACACCGCATATGGGGCCAGCGAGGGTCAAACTTGAGAGAGTGATTTGGGATGACCGGCTGATGGCGATTGTGGTGCGAATCTACCCGGGGGAAGGAGGACCTAGCTGGCAAAGTGCAAATGCCATTCCACACATTACTATCGGTACAGCTCGTGCAGATATCAAGCCTGTGGAATCCAATGCACTGCTTGCTAGGTGGCAAGAAGGAGATACGTCAAGCTCCCGAATATATGACAAGGAAGTCCCGGGGGGAGTGATCCTGGACGGGAGTGTGAAGGCAGTTCTACGACGATGAGCAGGAAAGAGGGGTTTTCCATGAAGGTGCATCTTAGACAAGGGACTACCAAAAAAAATAGACTGCTTTCGATGACAATAGAATGGATGAGTTAATGCATATGCATTACATACAGTAGCATTGGCTCAGCCTTGCGTTGCTTGTGGAGGTGTTCTTCCATAGCAGAACACGTGCTTCACATTGTAAGAGCTAGTGGTCAAGCATGAATGATGACGATGATGATGACGATGTTGCAGATGCATAGCCTGATTCCCACACTTGCTAATTCGTACACAAGAGGAATAGGTGGAAGTGGTTGTGGTAGTGATAGTGGTAGTGTAGTAGCATTTGGTGCTCAACTGAAGGGTTGGTATTGATATTTGGCTGGACAAGGCTTAGCTCAGAGGAGCGAGGTGGGGTAGGGCGTGGCACGAAGAAAGGCGGTTGCACCTGGCAACCCCTCCACAAACAAAGACAGGCGCGACGTGGGTTGAGCTGCTAAGCTGCGAAAGAGCTAGAGCTGTTTCTACATACCCGGTCCTCCTTTTATCGTCCACGCCTACGGTACGCCTACGCCTACGCCTACAAGCACGGTGGTACACCGCGCTGCTTACCAGTCCTATGTACAGTGCTCGTACTTATTTTTCTCTTTTACGAGTAGATTGGGAACTGCCAGTATCCCCTGTCCCTCGCCTTGGTAGAGAACACATCATCCTCGGCTCTCCTGCAGCACTCGTATCATACCACAGACTTTATTTACCGAGTACTGGAACATCAAGGTATAGGTGGTAGTTCTAGGTGCTGCGGGGCGCCTACGAGACCAGCGCGGGTGGCCCAGGGCGGGTGTTAGTGGCACCGGCGGCAGTGCCAACCAGGGCCAACCAGGGCCAACCAGTCCGAGTCCACGGGCGACGAGTTAGTTACAACTTGCAACTTGCAACTCGACCAGCCGAACAGGTGCAGCGCGACGGGTTCCGTTGCCAAGGAAAAACAACTCGAAAAGCTCCCCACCCACCGAGTTCCACTTCAGTGCACCAACCTCAAAGCCTCTTCTTTTGCTGCTACCACCACTACTACTCTTGCAGCTACAGTTCAGTTCAATCCAACCTTCGACCTGCATGCTCCAGTCCTCTGTTTCCTTACGCGCTCTAATCTTCGAGTTCGAGTGCATTTGGTCTATCAGTTGCATCTGTTACCTCTGAATACCTTTGACAAGCAAGCACCTGACTCCCTCAATCGACAAATTCGGTCTTCCGCCGCGTTGTCCTGCCACGGCCTTCGCTGCACCACCATCTTCAACGCGACGCCCCAGCAACTCAACCCTGTGTTTACCTCTTTGCAACCAACACACTGCCTCCCAATCCACTCCAGCCCCTTTGGTCCTGAAGTTGCCTCATCATTTCACCGACCTCCAGAGTTGCTCTTCGACTTATCAACGTAGAATCGGGCCAGACACGTCCTGAAGCTCGTGCGTCATTCCCAATGATATTGAATTCTTGCGGTGTATTTGCTAACTCTATTTCAAAACACAGGCACCTACTGTCCTTCTTGACACGTCCCAATCATTTCACTCTTACCTGGACTCTTCTTGTCAGAAAGATCCTCCGTCACGACGGCGTCATTCATTCACCATGCCTCTGGTAAGTCTTCAATCACGCCTGTGACCTCGGGGGCACACGCGTGACTTGACCCGTATACTGATGCCCTCTTCAGCCACGCACCCGGCAACGAGTCGGTAACAATGAGAACGACGAGAACGTTGCCGCCCAGTCCACTCGTGTAACACGCGCAAAGGCCGCCGGCCTCTCTAATTCTGAAGATGCAAAGAAGCCACTCCAAGCAAAGAAGTCCAACGCCGCCACATTGAACGGAGCACAGCGACAACGTGCATTGCGAGACGTCACAAACGCTGCCAAAGCCGTTGAAGTCGTTCAAGAAGGCAAGAAGATTGCTACTGCCAAGATTGGTCTACAGTCAAAGGTTGCCCAGTCAACCACAGGTGGTGTTCAGAAGCTCACTCGAACAAACTCATCAAGAGCTGCCTTTGGTGTCAAGGACAACAATGTCAAGCCAAAACCTGCCTCTGATCTCAAGAAGCCTGGAAGTGGTTCTGGTGCTCATCAAAAGAAGCGAACACAGACTTCTGCCTCGACTGTGCCATCCTCCAAAGATGCGACACCAGACGTTGAGGAACCTCCACGAAAGAAATCATGCACAAAAGAGGACGTTGAAGCAGCCCAACCCGACGATCTCGTCGACATCATTGCTGATCTTGATGCCGAAGACCTCGACGATCCATCCATGTGTGCCGAGTATGTCCGTGAGATCTTTGAGTACTACTTCGGCTTGGAAGAAGTCACACAACCAAATGCCAATTACATGGATCATCAGGACGACCTGGAATGGAAGATGAGAGGCATCCTTGTTGATTGGTTGATTGAAGTGCATACTCGCTTTAGGTTGCTGCCTGAAACCTTGTTCCTCGCCGTCAACATTGTCGACCGCTTCCTCTCCCAGAAAGTCGTGCCGCTTGACAAGCTTCAACTGGTTGGTATTACCGCCATGTTCATCGCATCCAAGTACGAGGAAGTCCTTTCGCCTCACGTCGGTAATTTCGTTCACGTCGCCGATGATGGTTTCACCGTCGATGAGGTCTTGAGCGCTGAACGTTACACCCTATCAACTCTGAAATATGACTTGAGCTATCCAAACCCTATGAACTTCTTGAGAAGAATCTCCAAGGCTGACAACTATGATATCCACACCCGAACTCTGGGAAAGTATTTGATGGAGATCAGCTTGGTCGACCATCGCTTCTTGGAATACAAACAGAGTCATATCGCTGCCGCCGCTATGTACCTTGCTCGCATGATTCTTGATCGTGGTGGATGGGTAAGATATCCAACTTCTTTTCCTGGCAGTGCTAACGATTCCTAGGATGCTACCCTGACCAAGTTTGCCAATTACTCCGAGGAAGAGATCTTGCCTGTCTTCGATCTCTTGATCGATTACTTGCAGGCCCCAGTTGCGCACGAGGCACTGTTCAAGAAATACGCAAGCAAGAAATTCCTGAAAGGTAAGCATTTGTTCCTGTCAAATTCAGTCATCACGATGCTAACGATTTGTCCAGCATCAATCCTCTCTCGGAAGTGGGCTAAGGACTACTGTTCCAGCTTGAGAGGTGGCGGCGTGTCGCTGGCCGACACCAAAACTCTGCAATAGCATTTCCAACCATCTGGTCGATAGAGTCGCTTTGCCATGCTTGGAGAAGTAGTCGAGCTGTCCTCTGCTTCTGGATAGCTTGTCACAAACCTCTTGCTAGCCGAACTTTATCGAAAGTCATGCTTTCATGTCTGTATCAATCATTATCACGATCAAAGCACGATATCCAAATAGAATTAGCATCAACATCATTAGCACCACACCAAATCGACCAAAAGCAAGTCTCCAGTCACACCAGAACCTAGTACCCTTGCCAGCGAGCTATGCAACTGAGTTTGCTGTACCTACGCATTTCCTGATAATGTTCTTCACTCGGAAATTGATTGACTGAAGAAGTCAATTGCGCGCAATCTCTAACTATGGGAGGATATGATTTTTCTGTTTCGGCCTTCATCGCAGTTGAGCGTTGGACAAACAAAATGGTGATGGGGTGCGAGAGGAGTATTTTTTACACTTTGACAGTGCGTGCGTGCGTGCGAAATGGGAGTTTTTCTCATGGATGGGGGTGCCTTGAATGGCGAATCACGGCGTCATATGAATTGAAATGGGATCGGATTGCAAAGCCTGGAAAGTGAATTGAACTAGGCATGGACAGGAATGGAATGGACTCTGGAATTGGATGGATGCGTTTTCAAAGCAAAGCCTGCGAGGATCTGTTTGATCGAATTGAGACCTGCGAGAAATTTCTTCGTCACACAGTGGCCAGCGTAGAGTTGTATCTGATCCGGGCCCAACCAAAGCGGCCTTGCCCACTGCCTTTGCATCGAATCAAATGGATTTGCACAATACTTGTCAACATTAAGCTTACTTCGTTCAGGCTTTCCTTCTTGCTTCCGGACCACTCTTCTAACATGCGACACTGATGGGACTGTCGCGACGTGACATGCATGACACACCAAGAGACCTGGTCCTTGGGCTTGTCGCCGCAGCCAGGAGTGGGAATAATGAATCTGACTTCTTTCTGCTCTAGCCAGTTCAGACAGCCGCGCAAGCAGCCGATGTACATAGTCGTACGTAGATCCAACTAATTACCCCCCTGCTGGCCATGAAGGGAGGAGGTAATTAGGATTTTTGATAGGGGAGCGAGACCGACCTGAATCTTTCCTTACTTCCGTGATATGCGTACGGGCTTCTATCGCTCTCTCTTTATCTGCTGACGAATGCCCCCTTACATGGATCAGATGACTAACTCTTGAGATGGGACGGGACGGGATGGGTCCTACTTGACAGCGACGTCTTCTGGGATCTATGTGCGTATATCTATGTATGTATCTATGTAATTAGATCTCCTAGCTTCCATCCGTCGACTGGTGCTCGTTGCTGCGCGGTCGGTTGATCGAGTGTGCGTGCGTGCATGCGTGCGTGCGTGAATAAGTAAATGATCGAGATGGATGGCTTCCTTGGTGGAGCGAGCATGGATATCGTGGGAGGCCTAACACGTGGCGGAGGACTCTTCATCATGATTTGATTGATAGATCCTTAATCCACGGTTGTCCGTTTCGTCGTCCGGGTGTAATTAGATAGATAGATATGGAGTGCAGAAGTGTATTGGCCTCCGAAGCCGTTGCTGAGCTTGCGATGTTGGAATGGGTAGACGGAGATGGGCCTAGGATGTTTCCGACGAGGAATCCTAACTTGGGTTTAAGTATGCATCCAGGAGGAGGAAGTCGTGGTCCATGCCGTGACGCTGACATAACAGGTTCGCATATTCCATGCCGGGGCAGGTAGGTTGATTTGCTGTCCCTCTCCATCCGTGTCCAGAGCTCGTTGGGCCACTTCTCGCCTAAGGAAAAGATCAGGCTTTGTGATGGTAGCCCTTTACCGGATCGCTCGGTGATTATGCCGGTCGAGAAACTTCGCCATCAACTGAAATGGCGATAGATGTCGTCTACTCCGGGAATGAGCAGCTGTGGTTAAGGTCGTCGCAATGTCGTTGGAAACCCATCGTAAAAAGGACCGGAGCTTAGACCTTCCAGCCTCCTTTCCTGTTCTTCGTCTCTCCGTGGGAATCCGAGGCGGCTTGATCCTCCGAACCAAGATTCAGACTGTCCAGGGCAGAGGCGGGGTCGCACTCATCCTTGATAGCCTGTCGAATCTCCTCGACCAAAACTTCCGCCTCGTCGTAATCGAGGTCCTGCCGCTGGCCGCGGCCGAACATAATCGCATTGCGCGCTCTGGCATTGGGCTGCTCGTTAGGCAGATAACTGCTATGCTTCGGCGGTGCCTTGGACACCCGGGCCGGATAGGTATAATTCAGCGGCGGGCGCGGGATCAAATGGAAGTGGACATGCGGGACGACCTGCGCGGCTCCGGGCCCGTTGTTCTGCACGATATTGTAGTCGACCTCATCATGCGGAATGTCGGGCAGGACGGATTTCAGCACGGAGCGGGCCACCAGGGGCAGCACCCGGCCAATTTGGGCGCTCTCATCGCCGCTCAAGTCGCCGATCTTGACGCGATGTTTCCTCGGCGCGATCAGGACGTGGCCCCGTGTCAGGGGCATGATGTCCAGGAATGCTATGACGTGCTCGCTGGAGAAGAGCACGAATGAGGGCGGGTCGAGTTTTGTCGATTCTAGCGCTGGGGAATTAGGCGCTGATAGTGCTGACACCGGCTGGAATGTGTGCGCGATCACGCAGAAGGGACATGACGGTTTATAATCGGAGTTCTGCTGGCTGTTGTTGGTGATGTTGGATGATCTAGGTAATTGCTCTGGGATTAGGCTTGCGACTTCGTCCATTATAGTGTGAGGTCACGCCGCAAAAATGGTATGAAATGCTCAAATTGGACAACCAAAAGGCAAAAAACTAAAGACACTCCTGACACTCCTCTTCCCTCTTTGATGAAATAAATGGCTCTAAATAGGTAATGCAGGTGAAAGGAAACCTAAGAGGGATGTGGATGGATACATACAACTTGGAAATCGAGGGTGTTCAAGGTCACGAACCAAGGCTGAGGTCAGTTTAGGCAACACCCCGTACCCGAACCTCGGCTACAGTCCGTCACGTGCGGTCAGGTGACGCACTCCGATCTTTTTGTATCTCGAAACCAATAGCGCATGAGGAACGGGGCAGTCGGCATCTTAAAGGAACCGTGTGGAAGTTGGCTTGATCCGGAGAACCTGCCTAGGTATTAGGTAGCGATGGATGGCGGCTTCTGGTAGGCGTTATTCGACCAAGCTGTAGAATCAACCCGTCAGGTTTATATTCGGCCATTTCATTTCCATTAACAGTCCAGTACCTCACGCGACCTTTGTCCAGCCAATATCCCTAGTGCGCTCAGTCGGCAAGCACCTAAAGTGTTCCAAGTTGACATTCTATGGAAGAAGCCGTCGTCTGAATTCCATGCTGGAGAAGGCATTGTGGCTTAGACAAGGCCGCTCGCTACCATGCCTTGAACAGGACAAGCCGCATGACTGAACATGGGGCCGAAGTGGTAGGCAGGAACAACCTCAAGTTTCATCATTCTCCCTTTTATTGACTTGATGGCCAGACTCAGAACTGCATGCAGGGCGAACTGATATGGACCCGCTATCAATTACAACCGCCTGCCTCGGTGCCATTGGCACGATCTCCAAGGTTTCGCTCGAGATCCCCTTGTTTATCTCCAGCGTGCGTGAGGCGCGAAAGGACATGGAAGCGGTCCTGCGAGAATTGACTTCATTGACGCTGTGTCTCGGCGCCCTTCGAGACGATGCGCAAAAAGTGACTTTCCCAACCACTTTGCTCGCTGTTGTTCAAAGTTGTGATCAAATTGCCGCCCAGATCATGAGTCTTCTGGACAAGCTGAAACTGAAAAAGAGGGGTAAGATTTGTTGGACGTTGGTGGAGCGGGAAGAGGTCAATAAGCTACGATCTTCTCTGGAGAGCCATAAGTCGTGCATTGACGTGGCCTTGGATTTGGCATCTATGTGAGTGCCCAATGCTTCCTCTTCCTCATCAGGGATTATATACGGGGAGCTTTGTGACACTGGTGGCTTCTATGATGGATGCCAACCAGCGTGTACATAGATCAAGCTAACTCTCCGATAGCCAACTTCTTGCTGCAGTGAGGGAGGACACAAACGAAATCAAGGATACGACCATAGCCATAAAGGCCGACACAGAAGACATTAAGCAGGACACCCAGCAGATTAACAGCTTAGTCCAGGAGATTGCATTCCTTCGACTCCAGGTATCACAACTGAAGCGGGATAGTGGTACTGCGGGCATCACACTCCAAAGGTTCCTGGACGAAACAAGCTCTTATGCGGAGTCAGCTGTGGACGCAACAGATCTCGGAGAACTCGATCCCGACGAGATGAGAAGTCTATCTGCGATTAGCGAAGAGGACAGCGACGTTGAGCAAACAGAGGAGTCGCGCAGACCCATACAGTTGTCTCTAGAGGCTCCTGAAATCGATATTAAATACTGTCTAGACTTCAAACCTAGACTGTACGATCAACTTTCAGAGCCAGATGAAATAGCATGGACAGACCTGCAGCCGAACCTACCTTGGGTGAAAAATGCCAGCACGGCGGCCTAAACAGATCCTATGAAACACGGTTTGCGCATTTTTAGTGGAATTGAATCGGGCTCAGCAGACATGGCTAATGTACTGGGACGATCTGTACATTATACAATTGGATCGATGAAGACAATCGGATTTCAATTAAGCACAATGGATTCTCTTGCTGGGCTCGGATGTAGTATCGACAACGTTATTTTAAGATCAAGAATAGTTACTATATAGTATTTTAGGCATGAGCTATCTAAGTTCTGAACTTCTTTCTCGAACGAACGACTTTAATTTAGTTCGGGAGATAGTAGTTTTCTCTTTTACTACTCAAAGGACTAAGAAGCTCTATGAGCCATTTCTTCATATATTCAAAACAAAGATTTCGAATCTGCCATCGTGTCCAATCACGGTATTACGACCGCAGGCGCTTGTCTCTCCTTCGTATCCCGCTCTTCAGTTCGAAGAATTAGGACATGGCCTGCGGATTGGTTCTCGACCGACAAGGGGTGCTACGAGCACATACTTGCAGCTGGGCCCTGGCCGACATGTGGGATGAACACTCGGAACCATACCACAAGATTTCGAAGACTAGTAGCGACTTGTACCGGAGCTGCTTGTGACGTCCATCATACTGTGAAAACGGTGGGCGTGCTCGAACGGGCCAAGCCAATATCGACCCGGTCGTGCGTCGAACTGTCATGGATGAGACGCAGCGACCCCTGCACTGCCACTCAATCGAATCTCCCAGTGCTGCAATTGAACAGCATGAAATCGCGCATGGAAATGGGGTAGCTCATTACTGATACAGCAACAAAGATCTGGCTGCCCTGAGATGCAAATGTCGTGGCATCCCTGTACGAAGCCAACTTCGCAGACTGTTCCACCAGCAGCCAGGCTTCTTACTGCATGATGGACCTGTTTCGCTGGTACAGAGAAATGCCAAAGGTTTTCGTGCGCGTTTCCCCAATGATGAGATTAGATGTCGCTGCCTTAGGACACTTCAGCGCATGGGCTTGTTATCTGGGAACAAATCAGATACTCAACTCATCCATTGAGGCCAAGCTTTGCGTTTTGCGCTTTGAGAAACCGGTAGATTGGTTTCGGGGACTGTAACTCCAGGGTTCTAGGCACCCGATTTGTGATTGGAAATGACAAAGCCTCTACAAAATAACCGGTGGCGGACGCATACGGGTGCTCCCAGTTGCTCCGCACAGCATACCCACACTCGATCCATGATTTCTCCCGTATCATAGAGAGGACGTATAAGAAGTCAACCTTGTTTCTCGTGGCGGGTAGGATCATCGTTGCCTGGCTGTCTCACACACTCTAGAACCCTGTGGTTCCGAAGCTGCTATGGCTTCCCCCGATGTGGACTTCGACGTCGTTATCGTCGGCTACGGGCCAGTAGGTATGACATGCTCCCTGCTCCTCGCACAACAAGGCATTTCTGTCTGCGTCGTCGAGAAGTATTCGACCCGTTACAATGGGCCCAGGGCGGGCCATATCGACGGCGAGATCATGAGGGTATTCCAGGCGCTGGTGGTGGCGAAAAGGCTGGAACTGCACGCTCGCGCGGTGACCGAGTTCGAGATAAGGACGGTAGAAGGTGAGACCCTCCGGAAAATGTCCTTGTCGGACGGTGGTGGTGCCACAGGCTGGAAGTCGGACTATTTCTTCTACCAGCCGGTCTTGGAAGAAACCTTGGACGCTCGAGGGAAGGAGCTGGGGATCCAGGTGAAAATGAACCCTTTGGCCGTCGACATCATCGAACATGGTGACACCGTTCTCCTACGGACCCGTGACACCTCAAACCCGGACGGAATTCAGTCGGTTTTGAAGACCCGGTACGTCATTGGCTGCGACGGCGCCAACAGCTTCGTGTAGCACATGCAGAGCGAGGCGGTGTTGTGGAAGTTCCTCGCGCATTTTGATGTTACTCCAGAGAACGGCTCGGTCCAGCGACGGGCGATCTACAAGTTCGAGGCTCGGATGGCGCAACAGTGGCATAAAGGCAATATCTTCTTAATGGGTGATGCCGCATACACAATGCCTCCACACATGGGCCAGGGATTTTATGCTCGGGTCTCCGCGATGCAACGAATCTGGCGTGGAAGCTAGCGCTAGTCCTGAAGAGGGGCGAAGATGTGGCAATTCCCGACATATCAGACCGAGCGACAAGCTCATGTGCAGGACATTACGAATCGGGCTATCAAGATCGGGACGACGTCGGGACCAGTGACGCTAAGGCCATCCAAGCCTTCACGGACGCGTTGAGAGCGGCTAAGGACCTACCGGCACCACCGACCCCGAGATTCCCGCATTATGGAGACGGCATGTTTGCCACTGAAGCCTCGGATGGTGTTACCAGATGACCGTCTGTTCAGTCCAGAGTCATCCAAAAAGGCGTTATTAGCTTATTAGACGACCTTGTGGGCCAAGGATAGAGGTTGATCGCGAGGACCAAGGTGTCGCCAGAGATCTGGAACGCGAAACAGAGTCAGTTCCTCCGGTCTCTGCCTATAACCATGGTACATGTTTCTCGAGGTGAATCCGCTGAGTACATTGACCTCGACGGTGACATTAATATCTGGTACAAGCAGTACGGACGGAAATACATTTTGGCGCGACCCGACAATTACGTCTATGGAGGCGTAGAAAAGGGTTTGGATCTTCTGAAAAGGAAAGTAATCGTAGAAATAGATACTTTAGATAAAGCGATAGAAGTCTATCTTAAATAAAAAGACGAATAAGGAAAGCTTTATCTAGTAGTATATTACTTAAGGAAGTTAAGCGGACTTAAGGCGAATTACAATATTTATAATAAAGAACTACTTATAGTAGTAGAATACTTAAAAATATAGAGAGTATACCTAGAAGGAACTAAATATTTAGTATAAATATACTTAAACTATAAAAATTTAATCTATTAAACGATAACTAAAGAACTTAATAGAAGATAAGTTAAATAGACTAAAACTCTAGTCTCTTACGATTTTAAAATTATATATATTCGAGGAATAGAGAATATTATAGTCGATATCCTTAGTCGAAGAATAGACTATATAGAAGGACTAGAACTAGAGCTAGCGGCGCTCCTAGAGAAAAAAGAAAATTATTTAATATATAGAAAAGTAAAAATAAGAATACTTATAGTATTAGAAATAGAATTAATAATAGAATAAAAGTAAAAAATTATATAAGTAAGGTACGATAATAAAAGTATAGAATATTTAGGTATTAATAAAATAATTAAACTAGTAATATAAGACTCTATATAGATAGGAATAAGAAAAGATATTAAAGAATACGTTAAGAATTATAATATATACTATAAAGCTAAATATTTAAGATATAAACTATATAGCTTACTATAATTAGTAGAAAATATAGATAAAATATAGTCGAGAATAGCGATAGAATTTATAGTTTAGCTACTACCGTTAAGAAAACCTATAACGAATACGATATATAATAGTATACTTATAATAAATAATATACTAACGAAATATATTTATCTACTACTATATAAAGAAGTATCGATAGTAGAAGAACTAGTATATATAGTTACGAGAACTATATTCGTATAATACGAAATACTAGGAGTTATTATTACGAATAGAGATAAGCTATTTAATTTATAGTTTTAGTAATTATTAACCGACCTATTAGAAATTAAATATAAAATATTAATATTATATTATCTATAGATAGATAGATAAATAGAAAGAACGAATTAAATAATAGAATAATACTTACGATATTATATAGATTACTAGTAAAAGAATTAGATCGAGCTACTACTAATAGCTAAATTCGCTTTTAATAATAACGTATCGATAACCGAAATATTACTATTTATTACGAACTACGGAAAATACTTAAACTTTAAAAAAAAGCTATTAGGCGATAGACTTATAGTAGAAAAGGTAAGAATAAAAGTCGAAGACTTATATAAATTATATTTTCTACTAAAAATAAAATTAAATAAACTATTAAAAATAACTATAAAAATAATAAATAAGAAAAGATCTAAGGAACTAGACTTTTATATCGGTGTTTTAGCCCGCAGCCTAGCGCAACTCAATTTACTATAGGAGCCTAGGGAGCCTAGGGCTACTCAGCGCTTATTCTATATTCTATAAGAACTTATAGCTACTATTATATTTCCTAATTAGGTAATTTTTATATATAGATATATTAGTAAATTTAGCGTATTTTTAATTTTTTTAAAAAATTAAGGTTTAATGTTTACGCTAAAGTCGGCTAACTCGCTAGTACTCTAATTAATTAACTAACTACGCTAATAACTTAATAATTTAAAATATCGAAGTTTTAGTAAAATTTACTATATATATTATATAATATATTTACTAGTACTAATACTAAGTCTACTATTTAGTGCTATTAAGAATAGTCTATATAATTATAAAATAGAAAAGTTCTATAAATAGTAAAGTTAGTGTGTAAGCCTATAGTACTTAGGTACGAGCCTAGCGAGCCTATAGGAATTAAGGTTTACCCTATAAGCTCATAATAAGCATCTATTGTAGCCCAGCGCTGCGAGCCCACGGTAGCCTAGGGCTTACTAGGCTACCCGGTCCAAAATATAGATGTAGAAGAAAGAAATAGTTTATATTAATATAAAAAATATAAAAATATAAAAACTAAATAAGAAACTAGATTACACGAAAATTAGACTATACTAAATTAAGAAAATATTAGAACTAATTTTTTATAAACTATAAGTACTAGAAGAACTAAATATATATCTAGTATTCTATAAATCGCTATTAGAGAAAGTGCTAGACGAAGCTAGATCGAGACTAGTATATATTATTAAGACTAAGCGATACCCTATCAACGCCTAGTCACGTAATTAGGCTTATATAAGCTAGGATTACGTAGTATCTATTTAGTAAGGCTATACTTAAGCCTTATGGAAGATTCTATAAAACGCTATTCTATTCTATAGGATTAGAAATTACTTAACTTAATTTCTAAGCATTCTAGGAGTTAACTCGTATTTACGAATACTCGGCAATTACTCTCGTACTTACGAGATATTATAACGAAGCCTACGCCTATATAAAATAGGCCTATACTTCTTTACTTAGATAGATCTTAAGTCATTTAATAAGATAGAAAGCGACTATATATTCTACTCCTTCTTTCTACGGTTATTACGGGATAGAACTACGATAGACCCTAGAAGCACCTATTCTATACTAAGACTAGTCCTAAAA